GTTCGCCTAGTACGGAAAAGTAACCACATCTGAGGACGAATGGAGCCACACTACAGTTGTGTTAGGAACGACACGCAACTGTTAGTTGGCGGAATGAGGACGAGGATGTGGTGGCCTCCCTCCCAAACAAAAGAAAGATCACAAAAAATTAAGTTAGAAGTTGACCCTCCCAGGCCACAAAGGCGAACATGCTGGCGTGGCATAGAGATCTGGGATACATTAGATAGAAAATTTTTATTATTTATATGACTGAGAATAAAAGCGTGGCTCTAGAGCCTATAACCACATCCTCGTCCTCATTCCGCCAACTAACAGTAGACCTCTCTCATCCATACAAACAACATGGACTCACATTCACAGCAACCTAATCTAGATCCAAGTACATTACAGGAACTGGAATCCCTGAGAATAAAGCTCCAGTCTTTACAAGACACGTTCAACACGCACTTGGCGTATCTGAGGGATCCCAAATATCCGTTTACCTGGCCAGATCTACTGAACAAGTTCAACATGTTGACAGCCAAATTCGCCTCCTTGTCAGAGGACTTTTATGCACAACTCGATCCTAATTCCAACTCTACACTTCCAAAGCTTATGCTCCACCCACAAACACCAACCACTACCGAAAGTGAGACTCAAATTTTGAGCGTCCTACTTCGAACAAAGCTGATTCCTGATATTGAGCGCATGGAAGCACAAACCCAGGTGGCTATTGCGTCAGAATTTGGAGAGCCGGACGGCAATGATGGAACAGGGAAAGCTTTAGATGAAGACCGCGTCCTGAGGAAGCAACAGGAACATTGGACGAAACTCATAAACCAACACGATCAACTTGCTGGACAAGCGAATGAAATTGTCAACGAACTGGTAGCCAACTTCCGGGAAACGAACATTGCCGAAGCAGAACAACTAGAGAGACATCGACGGGAGCTTGCAGCTGTAGAGCCAGTGTGGAAGAAGGAAGGTTTTGCCGGCGAAGAAACTTGGCGTAGGTACCAATTAGAATGCATGGCTTCGTTCTTCAGCAGTGGAAGAGATGAACTGCAAGGCAGTGATTTGAAAAAACCATCGCAATCACCACAACCAGCGTTAAATTCACCACGATAAGCATTTAACGATGCATATGCCATTATTTCAATGTACAATATATACCATTACAGCAGAGGCACAATACATGCATTTTATCAAAAGTCCTTTATTGCTTTCCAATTCTTCATTTTCATTCTGCCAGTAAACCGCTGTATGTCCTCAATTCGTGTTTAAAAGTTATCCTTCATTTTACGGATTTTGAGGAGAACGTCGGCGTCCGATAGGTTCTCATCGCCAGATTTCAAAAGAGCCTTTCGTAATTCTTGCGAACGAACGCGCATAAAGGGATTGGTAAGCTTTTCATTTTCAACGGTGCTTGGTGTGGTGACATGTGTAGCTTTAGCCCATGATATCTTCTTCTGGATATCTGAATTGTCTGGCTCCACATGCTCAGCAAATTCAAGGTTCTTCCGAGTGTATTCGTGGCCAAAGTAAATCTTCGTGTCATCTGGTAAGCTAGCGAGGGTATCCAAGGAGTGCAACATTTGGGACGCGCTGCCTTCAAACAGCCTTCCGCATCCAGATGAGAACAAACAGTCGCCAGTAAAGACAGCTTTTTGCCCGGTTTTGGTGTCTTCAACAAAGTAGCTTACGTGACCAGTGGTATGGCCAGCCGTGGCCAAAGCTTTCACTTCCAAATTGCCCACTTTTACAGTTTCCTTGTCCTTGAGCTGTTTTGTCATTCCTTCTACTCTCTCATCACCTCCATAACACTCCACGTTGCCGAGAGATTTAAGAGCTTCTTTATTGCCACCGGCATGATCCCAATGGTGATGGGTAGTCAGAATGCAATCAGGAGTGACGCCATTTTCCTTGAAAGCTTCGAGTACTTTTGAAGGCTCAACGGGGTCAATAGCAGCCGCTTCAAAAAGGATAGTGATGAGTGATGTCTTCTGTTAAAACCGACTCTTTGTCATCGTATCTCTCACCTTTATTCGTGTCTTCATCAATTAGGAGATATGAATAGCTATCATAATGTGTACCATGGTCAGAAATGACTGTTGCACCTTCCTGTACATATAACCGAGACTTACTTGTCTTGTAGAACGGGAACAGGCTTGATAATCATTGTATTTTTCGAGGTGGTCGAAAAGCGACGGAGGGAAAGACGTATCATGCGTACTGTTTGGCGTCATGGCGACGCAGCGAAATTTCAAGGCGTTGCGTTGTTTGAAAATTTCTTATACCTGTACCAACCAGTGTGCAAAGCGAATTTCATACGCACTGGTACAGCAACGATGGCATCCCAAAGGTATTGTGTATGAATTAGTCGGTCTATCATTTTACGGTTTCTTGCTATGATAGGATTAAAGTAGCATCACTGGACGCATATGAACTGAATTAACAGCCTGCGCATCTTGCTTTATCTTTATCTTTATCTTTCTACTGGCTTTTGCATTCTTCACTGGCATGCCGTTACAACGAGCAGTGTACGTAGCCTGCAGAGATTTCGCTTCGGCCGGCCAACCTTCTCGGGCATGTTGATTCGAATCCCGCAGTAAATGGGGTTTTGACTAGATTTGGTTGCTTGAGCGAACTGATTGCTTTCCCCATAAGCATGTTCTATAGAGTTGAGGTGGGTATACATAAACATTGCTACAAGTGAACTACAAGCTGACACTTAGATATCTTCCATCTTAACATGTGGCTTTGTTTTTGCTGTCAACCGCATTAAGCGGTAGTATAAATGTAATATGGGCTTAGTATGGTGGTGATAAAGCTGATTTTTGGGATACGTATAACTGCCTCTAGTATCAAAGTATGGGAATGAATCTTTCTCTGCTCGTCATAGTATACCTTGGACAAAAGGTGAAAACACGTAGCACAAAACAACTTGAGCCGTGCACCACCTTTACGTAGGTAGAGCCGAGAGGGGACAATGAATCCATGTTGTACACGTTTCTCGACATTCCTGCAGGTAGTCAGCATGTGGTTTATCAGCAGCAAGGATATATTCATTGTCGATTTACTGAATAAAAATTTATCTTGAGGGTAAAAATTGTACAGCTCCAATCCGCACTAGCCTGTTTCTATAAGTTTAACAGACATGATATGACAGATACAGTGGTTATCGATGTCTGGGTCGTTCCACCAAAGCGGACCTGAAAATGGTCCTTCAAAATAGCTCTTTTGTGGATGCCAAGTTTAAACCAGTGCATACTAATACATCACATTGAAACAGATGTATACGCACACTTACGAACAACAACACACACTCAAATGAAAAGGATCGATAGATATATAAAAAATACGCTCATCTCTAGTTTAAACGCGGTATAGCTAGAAATCGCAGTGACTCCCAGCTCGGTAGAAATAGCAAAGACGCTGAGATTGGTTCTGGCAGGTGCTCTGTGCAACCTTTGCTGAGGTACAAAATAAAAATATTTTAACTGTAATGCACCTTTCTCTTTATCAGTCGTCTTTTCCTCTCCTTCGATTCCATCCACTTCCACATGCGCCGCTCAGTGCTTGCTGTGCTGGCCTTGTTGGTCGTCGCCGTCACATCGCAAACCATCGACGATTTAGCCAGTGTTGAAGACTACTACGAAAGCTTGGATCTGGTCACCGCCTTTTCAGACGATAGCAACAGCAGCACAATTTCCATCGGCACACCTGGTGTAGGTTATCACACAGCGTACACCACGATAGGCGGTGTTCAGACCGACAAAATTAATGTCGATAAACTAGAAATGACGAGAACAGAATATCAGCTCGGTATTTTATCCGAAGAGCTGATGCGATCCATCACATCCCTCCAAAAGAGGGTCGAAGTTATAATGCAAGAAAACAAAACTTACACTGTAACCTCAACTACCACTAAACCACCAAATAATAATACGCACTACTATTATTCTCTTGCACCATATTCATGGCCTAATTGCACTGGAATCAAAGCAGTCGTAAACAAATGGACCCAATGTCCTTGGAAGTCAGTTGATGGAAAGGTGCGATTCTTTTTCTCGGTCATATTTGTTGTCAAAGAAATTTGTAGTGACATTAAACCACAAACATTTTGTAGATCAACCCTGCAGGAAAATCATTAAGTGCAGGCCATTCTCTTACCTACCTCATCCGTGATGGTGTTGACCTTGCTACTAGCTATTATCTTTTTGGCAATTCTGCACACGAACAAAAGGTACGAAAGCGACTTAGTTGATTTTATTATGGATATGTTTAGAAAAACTTTCTGATTTCCAAGTCATACTTGACACTAGTATACAGACAATATTCGCACTTTCTTCATCAATCGAGCTACCTACATGGCGCCCAACATGAACTACTCGCAAGTCGTTCCTGATGGTCCAGAAGATGACTGGATTGGTAGCAGAATGGGCGTTCTAGATACCCATGGGTTAATCACCCTTCTATCATCCGCTGAGCTAATGGCTCAAAGTGGCGGCACTTACTGGACAGATTCCGACACGAAAGGTTTGCAAAAATGGGTTAGAGAGTATCGAACCTGGATGGAAACCTCTCGTCTGGGTATTGCGGAGAGCAAAGGCCGAAATAATCATGGAACGTGAGTATAGTCTAGGCGTTGGCATTCAATATTGACTTTGTCTGGGTACTAAACATAATTTGCCACCAGATTTTATTATGCTCAAATAGCGGCATTCTCTCACTACTTGGGAGAGGCTAATGCCACTCGCGCAGCCGTTAACAAATACCTAGATACCATTTATGATGGTCAGATCATGGCAAGCGGTGCCCAACCTCTCGAACTTTCCCGTGCCTTTTCGCTTCACTATAGCTACTATAACCTCGAAGCATTGGGAGCATTGGCAAAATACGCACAATCAGTCGGCTTGAACGTTTTCAACTCGTAAGTATATCGGTTTTCTTTGTACTACACCACTATCTCATGAAGACTAGCAGAAAAGCTAATTGATGCCTATACAGGACCAATGTTCATAAAGCGTCCTATCGCACTGCAGTCAACTTTTTGATCAAAAATACCTTGTCAACTAAAAATTCAGAGAACCCTGCCAACTTCCTTCCCATGCTAGAGACCTCGGCAAATGTGTATGGCGATGACAAAACCTACAACTACACCGACGCTATCAAGTACATTCGCAATGAAACCGGTGGTGGCGACCTTGGCGCTGTCTGGCTTCTCTGGACTCGCCAATAATCAAATCATGTTTTGAAAAATCTACACTGCATTCAATATAAATTTGTGAATAAATCCTGTATTATCTAGAGCAATGACAAGAGCAATGACACACCACAATAGGCCATTTTGTATATACTTGGCCGGTCCAATATGAAATCATATTGACGAGCAATGATGGTACACCCCTGATCCTTCTCTACACTTCTATTACTGTTGAAGAATTACAATTCTTTCACATTGAAGCATTTTATATTCAAGCTATAGACATGATCGCTGCTTCACGAATTATATGGTTGTAAATTTCGCTATACAATATGCCTTGCTGCACAGAAGTCTACATTAGGAGTTCCGATAAAATCTGCGGCTCTCTCATCTATTCGTGTGAAAGCGCTTCCTCCAGGACGTTCTTAACAATATCAAGCTTCACATAGCCCATGACAAAATTATCCGCGAGCCACTGGCTGTCTACAGTGCCGATATCCTCGCCCTATGTATTTCTTTCGGTTAGCTGCCGGCTAGTGACTGCAATGAAAGTCTGTAACAACTTGCCTGAAATTCAATTTGGAGACCACCTTTTGCAGTACGGGTGAAGATAAATTCATCTCCTTTGTTCACTTTCGTTTTCGGGAACTTTGCTTTGAAATCTTGAATGGCTTCCAAAATACGTCTTTCGTCATCTTCACTAAGGTCCTTAGCTTGTTCCCGCATAAGCTGCAAGAGAGATCTGGTAAAACCGTCTCTCAAATGAGCAGCACCAGTTGGCCTAGTGGGAACTAAAGAGTGACAGCTTAAGATTTAAGGTATCACATCCAATCTCATACACCATCTGTACAAGCCTACCTATTCTTATGCTAATATCTATAGGGTGCAATAGCATCTTTTGAGCCTGATCAACGTCGCTCATAGCAGAACTTGCATTTGTCCACAACTTGGCCTTTTCCAGTATCATGACGTCTTTTGGTCGAGCATACATTGCCATGACGTACACACTTATCTTAAGAAAGCTCACTTGTCTCGAACCAAGGCCAATGATCACCTTTTTATCCGTGGCTTCGTGAATTGTGAATGGAACTTCCATGTGCGTTCGCGGTTCTTGAAGATTTCCTCTTGCCGCCTCCGCTTGCACCGTCTTCGACAGCAAAAAACTAGTGCCGACCGTCGCGAACATGATCGGCATCCACACGTGTGCGCCAAGAGGTCTATTAGGGACGGCCTAGAGGCAGTACAGCTGGTTCATTACAATTCTTTCTCATTCTGTCACTTAGAATTCGGAATGTGACCTACCGTGCTTGCCATTCGTCGACCTGCACCAATGTATGGAACTGGAAGGGCCCGCACACCTGATGAACTGGTTCGCCATACACTCTGTGCTGATGGACAAAGAGGCCGTACTCGCAACATTTTATAAAAAAATTGTTTCCAAAAAAAAGGTAAATGTCTGAAAGAACAAAAATGCAACTCAGCGTTTCCAGGCCGAATATGCAATAGCATGTTGCGCATAAAAATACAAGGGTAGACCTATCCAGGCATTTTCAAACCCGGTTACAACGAATTTCTCTCTAGCTACAAATATATCTGAGAGCATAAACGCAATAGCTCCAAGGACTTGTGGGAGTGGTCTTTGAGCATTAGTTGCTGACCCTAAACTTGCAATGACCATAATGACAATGGCAACCATGTACACCAGGACAGGGACCTTCATGTCAGCATCGACGTTCGGAAGAAGCCAAGGAAGCACTTGTGAAAGCATTGCGCCTGAAGCTGCCATGCCCAGAAGACTAAGCGAGCTAGTCCATTGTACACCAAGTTTGACAAAGGCCATGCTGTAGCAAATATGAGATAGTAGAAACGCGACAAGCCCGAGAAGGAAGGCCCATTCGGGCTTGAACATCAGCATTATGTCGCCTAAGGTCCCGAAGAGTAATCCCTTGCCAATTAGACTTCCATGTTTGCTGGGTCCGCGAGGGGCTTCAATGTACGTGACCAAGAATCCGTAGCTTGACAGAGGTTTAAACAGGTATACACCGCCCGTCAATCCACGATATATGCTCCATAGAAGTCCAACCTGTGCAATTGTACTTATCCAAACACCAGAGTAAACCATTGGAGGTAAACCTGAAGGTGAGAAATAAAAAAAAGTTGGGAATTGTGACAAGCATGTGAACCTACTTTATTCGATCGAAACTCAGATTGCCATGCGGGGAAAGCGGATAGGCTCTGCTGGCAGCGGATACGAAGCACACAAAACATCACGCACACCATGTATGATTATTTTTGTACTTGTTATTTGATGCCAAAAAAAAAAAAAGGTTTAAAATGCTATGTACTAGATATACAACCATAACAACTCCACCAAGCACATCATGCCCATGGCTTGTCCATAAGGCATAGAGGTAAGTGGAATCTCCTTATAGAATTGCTTGGTATCTCCCATAGGGGTACCAAAAGAAACATTCTGAAGCTCTCCAGTTTCATCAATGTTGCTGATGACACCTCGGACCGCCTTCATTGCTACTTCAGAAAATTCGCTGGAAATATACTGCTTTCGAACAGCTTTCATGATACCAAACGCAAAACCTGCGGTGGCCGATGCTTCCAAATACGAGTCACTAGCATGGTCGTCAATAATTGTACGCCATAAACCAGATTCATCTTGATGGCGGGCCAAAGCACGCACTTGAGCATTGAGAGTATCAATTAGGTGTACACGGATGGGATCATTTTCAGCCAAGTCCAAAAGCTCAATAAACTCTGGAATGACAATGGTAATCCAACTGTTTCCACGTCCCCATAATGCACTGGCAAAGTTATGGCCACCTTCCTCAAATGTCCAACCATGGAAGAACAATCCTGTCTTGGTATCGAACAGGTACTTGATATGAAGAAGGAATTGTCTCTTGGCTTCCTCAACATAGTGAGGTCTGTTAAGCACCTTACCGATCTTTGCCAATGGAAGGACCGTCATCATAAGAGTATCATCCCACAGTTGCTGAGTATTGTCTGCCGCATATGTGATGTGTTGCATACCGCCGTACTCTGTGCGTGGCAAAGAATGCATGGCCCATTCTGCCCAGGTGTCAAGATATGGCACATATGTTTTGTCACCAGTTTCCTCATATACGTACGCCAAAGTCAGGAACACGGCCATTGTGTTGATGTTTTTGTGTCTTGGAGGTTCGGCAAATCGGTCTCGGAACCACTTTTGAATGATTTCGAGCGTTTCCTTGTCGTTGGTCATGGCATAGTACTTCCAGAGTCCATACAAACCAACACCTTGTGTCCATTCCCAGTCATTCCAGGCTTTGGTGTCAACAACAATACCGTTGTCCAGATGAAGGAGGAACTTTCCCGTTGTATCTTGGATGCCTACAAGATTGTGAATCAGGGATTTTATTAATCCGTGAACTTCTGTGGCAGATTTTTCTTTGAGAACGTTGGACATGACTGAGGAAGCAACAGTGGTGGGAAGGAGAAAGTTTCAATCCAATAAATATGTTTGTGACTCTCGGGAACTGCTTAATTTTGAGTTTGAAAATGTTCCCCGTCTACGATAATATATTTGTGAAAGCAGGTGGAAGACGGAAATACATGAAGCTTCTTCGCTCGTGCAAACCTTATTTCTGTGGGGAGTTTTCCTTGAATATTCTCCTAAGTAGATACTGAGATATAACCCAGATCTTTAGTAATTTCACACAGGTGCTTATGTATACGCTAGAACGAAGGTTCACTCAGTACCGCCAGAATACTTCACAATATTACAATATAGGAAGTGTGCTATAGCCCTACCGAGCAGCGTCTGTTACCAATCGTTTATACAGAAACACAGGGATCAACTGTGATCAGACGTAAAAATGATATTAAAACAGTGTAAAATCCTTTTCTTTCTTGATTCAGCCGCTGGTGGACTTGTGCATAGAATAAATGGGCCCATAACATGAAAGAAATTACATTCGGCCTGATAAAAGCGATGGACCAATACGGCCGATGAAGTGAGCTGATGGTCAGGCGGACTCAATAGTGGCTTACGTCCCTTCAGTCATAACAGTTTATTTAAATTCACTTATTTGTTTCTACACGAGAAGTATTCCATTATGACACACAGAGTGTCTTGTTGGTTGCACTCATGCACTGCAAATTCCTCCTTTGCTTTTCTTTTTATCTTCAGCATCCTACCAAGCTAGCCTCATGCGCGTCTTAAGCAAACGATTGCTATCTCTGGCAAAAGCATGTAGAATGAGCGTATTCAGTTTATCAAAGTAGGTTGCGCTCATAATTTGAGCATTACTCAGACCAAAGCTTTTGGTCTAGGTTGATGACATATAAAATTCAGAGCCAACGTTGAGACCACGACGGTTGTGACTTCGACAAGCTTTTACAATCTTGACATCATTTTTTGATTTAGGTTCAACAGCTGTCGAAAGGTGGCTTAATTATGTGTACTTACAGATGATGATGATGGACAAGAAAACATCGTGCAACGTTTGCTCAGCGAAGGGATTTCTGGGGCAGCACTCAAATATCCCTCGTTTTTTGATTCTCCAAGTAAGCGGTATCTGAGCGACCCTCATGTAACCTGTTTTGATTTACGGGAAAGTAAAGCTCTTCAGTTAGTCTTTCTAACCGGTAGTGTGATTTAATGTGTACTGCGTTGACAAGAGCTTGGAATAGGATCGGTGTGGTCGATAATAGCGTCCCTGTTGCAGTGCAAAGCCGATGTGTTTATGTACGGTTCTATATCTTTCCACTTTATCCATTGTATGTAATGTTTACTACCAGAGGTCTGGAAAGAGGTATCCTAGATTGGGCATTTTTGGGAGAAAGTCTCTTCAGTTACACACCTTGCCATTTTCTCTCTGACTGGGATTTAAAATGCGCACTGGGGATGGCGCCGGCACGACGTTTCTGTTCCTCCATTTTGCGGTAGCATTTCTAATTTCCCCGGGCCAATTGACCCAAGCACTATAAGCATCGTTCTAGTCTAAATTTGCTGGAACGATGTATGCATCCCCAAGTTCAGCACCTTCGGGTGCAACTTCACACTTCTGGTCCTTCATGACTGGCTTGTTCCTATTTTTGGCGCTAGCACCAACAGTGTCGGCATCCACCACTGTCCATTTCGTCAATAACAATTTTACGCTGTGTCAGGAATCAAGCTACTTGAACGTTACAAGTGTTAATCGACTATATCATGCAAAGACCAGCACTCTAAATTTCACCATCAACGGAATATCTCCAGTAACTATGGATAACCTGAACGCGGCAAAGACATGTAATTATATATTTTTTATATTTATTGTTTCTACTCACTTATATTATCTTCACTCTAACATTTGAATAATCTATTTCAAGATTATGCTGCTTCCAAAACAATTGTTCAAATTGGATTTTGGACCGCTGTCAATGAAGCAAATCAATTTTGCCAGGACGTCAGTTGTCCAATTGGAGTGGGCAATGTTACTATTCATAAGGTGACTGAAACATGTGGACATTGAATGCATAAACATCGATCTGTTCTAACATGATAACTTCATTAGGTGATGAGTCTACCTACCACAGCGCTGCCGTTTGGAGATATTTCAGTGCACTATCAAGCTTATACCCCCGACAATATATCTTTCACATGTCTCGATATAGCACCTGTGGGTTATCAAAATCCAGTGTGGCGACAAGTGTTAATAGCTGTTCCAGTTGCCTTTGCTGTATTTGCAGCTATTGTGACGATCTTCTCGATCTACGTTACTAGCACAGACGCTGAACAAGACATTTTAATATCAGCCTCAAACTATGGAATAGAGCCATCAGCACTTCGTCTCAAAACTCCAGGATTGTTCGATATCGTCTTTTACGCACAATTCATAGTTGTCACGGGCCAACTCAACATCAAGTACCCATTGTTTTATCCATTATTCACTTCGAATTTCGCCTGGAGCAACCTTTTATTTGTACCAGATTTCATCAACGACATTGTCAACACCATCTTTCCTGCCCAACTTACCACCGACTCATCAGGATGGTACCAGTCTGAACCTGGATTGAGTTTAAACAAACGCCAGATGGGGTTCGGAGCGGCTGCTAACGACACCAATCCTGTTGTTGTTGCTAGTACCGGCATGGCCAATTTTGCAAATGCCGTGGGGTTGGATGTACGCGCCTTGTTCATAACGTCCTTAATATTCTATTTAATTATTCTGGCTTGTATTATTTTCCTGTGCATCATCGCATGCATGGTCTTAGAGTTTACCAATGTAAACTCATCATACCAGAAGCTACAAAGAAGTCGGCCGTTTGATTTAACGATAGGTATAGTGGAATACTTTGAATACCTGGCAAGCACGTATGGAGTTATTCTTACTGATGTGCTATGTTTTTTGTATAGGGGCTTGTCTGAGAACCTTAACATTGTTCTATCTACCGCTCATTACCATGTCGTTCTACCAGTTGATGCTTCCTGCACCATGGTACCTGCTATTACCTGCCGCATTAATGCTGGTATTCCCCTTGTTTGGCCTCTTCGCATGGATTGCATTTCTCCTCCTACGTATTCGACCTCCATCAGTGATTTTCTCGGACATGACGTTGCTGCTTCGATATGGTACTCTTTACAGCGCCTTTACGGACGATACATTTACATTTTTCATTCTCGTCGTAGTCTATAAGGCATTAGTGGGCGCAATGGTGGGGCTGTTCCAAGCCAGTGGCCTCGCTCAAGTCATTGTCATTATCATTCTAGAAACGGTCTTTCTCCTTGCTCATTGGTTCAAGGTTCCCTACGCTGACCGATCCATCAATAACTTTTATATCTCCTTTGGTGCAGTACGTATCATCATCAGCATTCTTAACATTCTATTTGTGGATGAAGCGAACCTGTTGGACTGGGACAAGCAATACATTGCGTATGCTCAGATCTTCCTGCACTGTGTCGCCTTTTTGGTTCTCTTTTCTGTATCCTTGAAAAACCTCATACTCATCGTGACTGGCATGTCAAGCCAAGAGCCTCATGAAAATTCCCGACTCAGCGCGGGATTAGGATTGCGATGGATGCGTAGACGGCCCCAGCGTCCACGATTTTCGCATGTTCCAAGTCGCAGTATCAGTGGTCCCATCGATGTACCGGAAAATGAGATGATCACAACTTCTTCGAAGTCTAATAAGTTTGGCTGGAGACGATCGACTGGAGACGCATCTGTAGGCTTACCTCTACAGCATTTAAATAATGGCTTACGGTCAGCTACAGTTCCAGACATGTTAAACAATGGATCAGGATCTACACTAGGTCCACAAACACCGCCTCCACAACCACCAAAGCATGGTATACCGCTCACTGATGATCAATATGGCCCACAAAATTATCACAGACTTTCAGCGTTTGGGCCAAGCATATACACGGTCGATTCGTTAGATTCCCCAACACCTACACCGCAGCGCCTTAGAGCTTCATCTAATAGCAATACGTGGATGATACCAGGGCATCAAAGGCAAAGCAGCACCAGTACTGCAGGTGTAGCAACATCGCAAGCTGATAGTAACACATCTAACAGCAACAACCCTTCCGAATCTCGGCAAACGCCTTCGAATTCTACCATGTCAAACCCATCTGACAATAACCCTGTGTCACCTACTGAGTCATCTTTCTATCGACCATCACGAAGGTCATTACGCAAACGGAGTGGCGACTATGGTGGCTTTGGTGGTAGCAAAGGTAATGCGAACGAAGGACCTGATCCGCAGGCGACACCTAGACCGGGCAATAGAAATTCCAATGCACCGCAAACAACTGTATCACCTGCACCTGCCCATCCTTCAATGAATGATATTGAATTATATCGAATTTTGGGCCCAGAAGGGATGGCAGCCATTGCTTCTACGCAGTCACCATCGTCGGGTAAGAATATGGCGAAGACACCTTCGTCTGGGGGACTTTTCCCCATGTCTACCAGTGCCTCGGGCCCCGCTCGGCAGTTCAACGACACGTCTGTCTCCACAGGTAGCATATCTGGCAATGAGCCCCAGATAAAGCCAAATTGGTCTCGACAATCACAAAGTACGGACACACATCCTAGTAATCAAGCCGAAGCTGGTTTCTACGAAATAACGAATGATAGCGATTACGATGAGGCGTAATCATTTTATTGAGTTCTATTTGCTTCATCAGACGCCTCAAGACTTTTTACATAGCCAGATTTTGACACTCCTCTCTATTTCATTTCATCTCATTCAGTCATTATTAATTCCATTTGTTTTTTTACAAATTATTGTATACAGCACTTCTTATAATTGATTCATAATCTGCTTTGTTCGGCAGGGGCTGAATCATTGGTTATTGGTGGATAGGTGTCCGTGACTCAGCAGTATTACGCCAGGACATAAATTTCTCACAGGCTGTGATCCAATTTCCACTCCCCCATCCTTTTGTCTCCTTTACCCCACTTTGAATCTCGCAACATGTCGGTTTCCGAAAAGTAAGCTAGTTAAATGCAAAGTACAGAGTTCTTTCACTTCAACGTTAACTGATGGATATATCGGAATCAATTAGTACTCCAATGGCTGCTGATCGCTCTGTCTTCTTGCGGTCCAAAGTTAAGATTGTCTTGACAGGAAGCGAAACCAAGGAAGAAGCAGAAGCTGCGCTTAGAGCGCCCATCAATATCCCTCGTTACCCTCATTTCAACGATGTTCATGAGCAGAGAGTCCATATGAAGCAGAAGCTCGCTGCTGGCTTCCGCCTATTTGCCAAGTTCGGATGGGATGAAGGTAAGTTTACCACCACGATTTTCACCTTTTTTGGAACTCAATGGGTCGGTACTAAGATTTTCCCTTTTTCCCCCCAGGTGTTGCTGGACATATGACCTTCAGAGACCCAGAGTACCCTGAACTGTATTGTAAGTTATGAACCCACCCACATCTTGCCTACAAACGGAATGGATTCTTATTTGTTTATGCTAGGGGTCAACTATTTCGGCCAGAGCTTCTCACAAGTTCGCGCTTCTGATCTGGTACTTTGTGACCATAGTGGCGCCATCGTTCGAGGCAACCAAACCGTCAACAAAGCTGCTTTTGTTATTCATTCTGCTATTCATGAAGGTCGTCCAGATGCCACGTGTGCCGTCCATGCCCATTCCATGTACGGAAAGACCTTCTCAGCCCTTGGCAGAAAATTGTTACCCATCACTCAGGATTCATGCGCTTTCTACGAAGATCACTCGTTGTACGATGACTTTGGCGGTGTAGTATATACCCCTGAAGAAGGCGAACGCTTAAAGTCTGCGCTCGGTCAAAGCAAGGCCATGATCTTGAAGAACCATGGCTTGCTCACGGTTGGAAGCTCTGTGGATGAAGCCATTTGGTGGTTCATCTCTATGGAGCGATGCTGTATGTCACAGCTTATTGCTGAGGCTGCTTGCACAAACGGTTTTGAAGGACTCAAGCTCATTGATCATGATGTTGCACTTGGAACACGGAGCAATGTTGGCGATAAGCAGGCTGGTTTCTTCCAATTCCAGCCTATGTTTGCTCAGATTGTCAAGGAACAACCCGATCTTCTCGATTAAGGGAAGCGCACGTTGGTGTTATATTATGAATAAAATTGTCAGACTTTTTGTATGTAACCTGTTCTCCATCGACTCTAAACAAAAAGTTTCAACATATTGTTGACTAATACTGTCTCAAAATTGCTGCTACAGGATGATTTTGTAGTTGTTTTACCAAACATGATGGGTAGACATTTTTCTGCAGGTCTCTCTGTAACCGCGTGTCAATTCCGCTTACTGAAAAAATGGTGGCCGGCTTGTCTTACGCGACGCGACTGAGCTAAATTTTTCGTTTTTCCCTTATTGGCCATTCACACCTTCGCTGCAAAACCTGGCATCGTCGTCCCCACACTTCACTGCTAAACCTGTAGTAAATAGAATTACATACCTTCCGTTGATTGTCAATCATCCAAAATGCAAGACGATTCTCTGTCCAGATACAGACAAGAATGTAAGCCGCCGAGTCACACTTGAAAGCATTGAAGGTCTCTCATTCCAGCCAACTAATGTTCCGTGATAGTGGAACAACTGAGAGCGACGAGGGATCGACTCAAGCGAGAGATTCTTGAAGAAAAAATGATGAACTCGCTCACAGAGTTAGCCTTTGAATTGGATGATGGTACGTCTCTCGCACATCAAACGAATACCGCAGAGCCTGTCTGACACTATTCATCCTACCAGATGCCATGGATGACGATGGCAAAGATGAAAACGCACGGAAGAAGGAGGTGAGTGCGCAAAAGTATCTTACCACCGTAATAATCTTGGTTACTCACATTAAATCTCAGTTAATCCAAAGTATATTAGACAAGGCGTATCGGCATTGCGTGACAGACGCCATTCTTTTGCAGAGAATGACGGGGCGTACGATATTTAGCTTGTCAAATGGTTATGTAGGAATAAGATTGGAAACCTATTACGCAAGTAAGTGACCCAACGTATCGAACATGGATCATGAGCCAAAAACTTAACGGCCGCTGTAATGCAGGTAAATTCCGCGAGCCGTTTTACCTGCTCATTAATCAGGAGACCCGAGACGCTGAACTGCGAATAGCCAAGCACACGATACCACACTTTATCCCATTGCGCGAGTTGGAAAAGAAGTTTTTGAACGTCGATATGGATGTGAGTACCGAACAGTTTCCCGTGCCGTACACTTTACTGTCTTCATACTAAACCAATTGAAACAGTGCCTACTCCATGTATTAGAAGATTTTGTGCAAGCATTCGTGTCACGTAGAGAGCAAATAATGGAGATCACGCAGTATCTAGAGAATACACCAGCAATCAGAGTAACATGCGATGACGCAGCCAAGAGTATTGTCTCTATCATCGCCAATCTTGGAAATGGGTATGTTACCCCTTATACTTCACATTTAATGTCACTCAACTTATTACTAACTAGTCGGCTTATGGATTCTTGTGGTAAATAGCTTAATACGTGTTTCACTACGGTACGAAGACTTGCGATCAGAATTCCCTACCAAAGTTGAGGTTAAGCAAGAAATACGGCAAGTAAGCGCTGATCGTCGTAATCTTGTGATAGAGGAAGAGCGTTTGCTGGACAAAGAGGATTCATTCTATCACTTAAGGCTTACACCTGCCTTTATATCCACATTTGGAGAAGCTTGAGCAGTCAATTATAATGTATACATGGTACCAGCAAAATAAAATTAAAAATCGAAAAAGGGAATGCACAGCATTGATTTAGAAGTATTTAGCGATTATATTTGGCTGTAAAGAAATGGCGTTTCATGGTATGACATGGATGCTACTACAAAGGTAGATTGCTTCTAGATTACATCAAGATATGGGGATTGACAGAATGAACATTGACCATGGGTGGCGTCTTATTCATGTCAACGTCAAGTCGTACCTTGATCTTCTCGAACACTTTAATAACTTGGATTCCATCTGATGAGGGTGAGCTGTCTGCTGTACTGTCAGTCGACCTCTTGTCATTTGGTTTGGCAGAGTCCACGGGGCCACCCTGAGGCAGAGCAGTGTCGCTTTCAGTAGTCATTTCTGAAGTTGTCTCTGAGGTTGTCTTGTCTTCATCCATCGATAGCTTAGACTCCACGGCTTTCACAAGATCATCCTCATCACCACAGTCATCGTCGTCAAAGCGTAATACAGACTTTTCTGGCTGTGTATCGTTCATTTCGATAGCATCAGTTTGCCATGTCAGGATAAGTGTATGATTAGGGAGATCGTACGTAGACTTTTTAAGAGCCATTCTGTCGAGATGAAGGCGCTTTTCTATTCCATACTCAGGTACGAAGATCTCGTACGCAGAATCCAGGACAGCGACTACAGTAGCTTCGCAGTACATTGGCCCATGAAGCTGAGTTTGACGATGGATATACTCTGCCAGATAAAGTTGAATGCTGGCATCCTGGGCATTCTTTGCACCATCCTTCTTGATATTACACTGCTGTGCAATCCTGGCAATTTCCTTTGAATCCAATGGGAATTTCTCGACTAATGCCGGGAGTCTCGTAAGCAACTGATCCGAAAAATACGCTCATCGTACAGAAAACGAGGAATACTTACCATCGTTGAGCGCTGCTTCCAGTTGTCGATGGACAATGACATCCGCATAACGTCGAATGGGGGAGGTGAAATGGGTATACATGGGTACATTCAGGGCATAGTGCACATATTTTGAAATATCAAGTAAGCCAGTGCAGAAGTATTTTGCACGTTGCATAGGTTTGATGGCCAAAATGAGCAGTGTCTCCTTCACTTCCTGACTTTCAATCTCATTGAAAGAGGCTTGCAATGCACCGGCACTGGAGCCATCTAGAACATATCCAAGGTTCTCTGCTTGCATTAAAAACTCCTCCTGCAACAAATACATATAAGTGACCTTTCCATGACCAGCCAAAGCTTTCAATATCAGTACTCGAACATACCAGGCGGCGTTCGATGGGTGGAGCATGTCGACGTAATAATGCTTCATCTGGATATTTGCTTGCTATTTTCTTGGCTACGCTGATATTGGCGCACAACATGAATTCTTCTATAAGTCTATTAGCATCTTTTTGCTCATACAAATGGCAGTCGATAGGCTTTCCTTCGTCGTCCAAATCAAAGTACAATTTGACAGAGTTCATACTCAGAGCTCCATTGTCAAATCTGGCCTTGCGTAAATGTTTCGAAATGCTGAATAGATTCAAAATATCCTTTTCAACCTCTTCGGCCGTATGTCCGTGAATTCTGAGACTACTCGATAAGGGTCTGCCTTCGATTACATCTTGTGCATGTTGATACGCGAGCTTGCCACATGATCTGTCAAACAGGGAAAACATTAGCTATCAAAGGGATATATGATGATGGTAGCCTTGTGCATTACCTGATAATAGTACGTCCAAACCAAGTATCCTGGATGTTGCCAAATTCATCCATTTGCCATATAACTGAGAATGCGAGTCTAACATGAGAATATATGGAATGAGCGCAAGCTTCGAGAGAATGGCAATTTCATTAGGCACATACCTTTCCACACCAGGGTTCAAACTGCAGAGTTGTTCACAAAGCAATGAAGGAAGCATAGGAATTACACGATCTACCAAGTATGTACTTGTTCCACGAGATCGAGCTTCGGTGTCCAATGCACTTCTGCTCTTGATAAAGAACGAAACATCCGCAATATGTACGCCCACTTCATATTGCCCATCTCCTTTATCTATGACGTGAACGGCATCATCCAAATCTAGGGAAAATGCCATGGTATATTTAGCATGTGCGTGGTAAGTAACGTGCAGTGGTCATAATAGTCGGTACGGTACCTTTTGCGGTCTCTGGATCGATACTAAAGATTCTGTGGAATCTCAGATCGCGACGCTTGGTGAACTCCACAGCTGGAATATGCCATGGCGTGGCTGGAAGACATCCCAATGCGGCGTTGGGGAAGTCTTGGTCGTTGATACAATTCTCAGCAAGAAGTGCCTTAGCTTCTGCTGCCAAGTCTCCAACGTTGCCAAGTTCCTGCACTAGTTCACCAAAAGGGTGCTTCTCTGTGATCGGCCATTGTGTAATACGTGCCTTTACGACGAGGTGGACATCAGTTTCATGATAAAATAACAACATCCTTTCAAATGAAACTTTATACACACCACAAACAACTTTTTGGAAAACGTGCTGTCATCGTCGATAAACCCTTTGGGAGCGTGTCGTATACCTATAGCCACGAACGGCAGTCGCTTGTCAGTGGGCTTTATCCAAAACATAGAAGGTTTAGGGCGTGGGCGTTCTTCTTCGTCATCCTTCTTCTTCTTCTTTGGTGCACTTTCTACTTGTCCCGGACGATTCAATGATATCGTGCTTTCGGAAATGAAAACGTTTAGAAAGCAGTGAACGCTGATGACCAATAATGGACTTAGTTTACATACCCAGTCAACATAGGTTCCTGGGATCGATCTAGGATGGCAACCACGATGCCGCAATATTTTGGTTTTTTCCTTTCTTCATCGTCCTCATCATTCGTACAACTCTCATTTTCATTAGGGATGATTTCGATCTCACGCTCATCTTTCGGTGCAAATGGGTTTGGCTGATCCTTCTTCTTGTCAGCGTCTTTCTCATCCTTCGCCTTCTTGACGGCCCATACTTCCTCAACATCTTTAAGTTGTACTGCAACAATGTCTCCTTCTAATGCTCGGTTGCGATTGATTGCTCCGTGTATGTAAATATCATATTCCAGATCGTCGCAGGTTACATAAGCATCCTGTCGGTTTCGTCGATTGATTCGAAGACTGCCTTTATAAAGTGCCTTCGACTCTAGTAATGGAAGTACTTCGCGATGCGGCATAAATTTAGGAAACATTTCACGCCGGTTTCGAGGGTTATAGTCATCGGGGTGGACAGATCTGTGGTGTTTGCCATTCGATCCATCTTTTGGAGGTACGGTCGGAGTGGTTGGTTTTGGCGGAGCAGCAGCTGTAAGGAAATTAAAAGTGTTCAATTAAACGGTGCAACATGGTTGTATTTACAGTTAATGTCTTACTTGCTCTCCAATCATTAGAGTCACTGTTTTGCTTCGCTTTGCTAATTTGATTAGGGTCAAGCTTTGCTTTGGGTACAAATTCACGGTGTATAGCTTTTTTAAACACAGCGTGGTGCTTTGATGATATAGGCTTTTTATCCAAATCCTTGTAGTCAATCTCTTCTATTTCTGATGTTTCCCTGGCGGCATGGCTTGCACCCTTTTTCTTTGTGTGAGTTGATGGCTTTGATGTTCGCGATCCTTTTTTAGCATCCTCTTCTGATCCCCGCACAATCTTAGACTCGCCTACGACATTCACATCTCGTTTATCAGCGTGATTTTGAAAACGCGGTACGGTGGTAGAAGTCTTGCTATCATGCGCTTTCAAGGAAACGGTGGTTTGATCGACACCATCTGCGCTCTCTTTGGGAACACCTGCTGATTGATGCTCCTCATCAACTATAGTATTTGTTTCGGTTGCAGATGTGGAAGCCGTTTTGCGCTCTTTCTTGTGATGTTTAGTCTTGGCCTTGGGTGTGGATGTTTGATGGGGTTGCTGGAAATCGCGTGGTACATCCGATGCAGGCTGCGATATTTTATCTACGTGCTTAGGGTCCTTTGAATCCAATGGCTTCTCCAAATCTCCCTGCTTGTCCGTTGTAGGTTTATCTTGTTTGGGTTTCTTCTTCGAGCGAGGTTTTGTAACTTTGCTGGATTTTGGAACCGTGTCACCAACTATATCTGAGTTGTTGACATTAACAGTAGGGGCTGTGTCACTTTCGTTTATAATTTCACCGTGAATCTTATCGGGTGTACTATTTTCTTTATGACTGGTGGGTTTTTCGCGTTTCGGTTTACGATTCCTCGGGTGGTGCGGTTTAGGTGCCTCAGGAGCAACAGTGGTAGCACTTTCCTCGACGATCTTTAAAAGACAGGAAGCTTAAATGAGCTACTATATCCAACGGTAGGGTCGATAGCCTACACTGCCGTTAGCTTCAGTCAGAAAACTTACCATTTTACTTTCTGTGGACATTCAAGCTTTGGAAAGTCAATTGTCGTAGTCAAGAGGTACTTCCTTTAATTTCTGGGCCATCGTGTGCCAAATTATACTTCGCCAGGTGACGTAGCAAAATTAATTGTCACAGCTGGTGAACTGCGGTTGCATTGATTTCAACCGCCAAAATCACACCAACGCTCTGTAAGGATATGAAGGACTAAGCTTAACTTCAGACTACCTTTTCTTTATTTTGCGTATACCCAATGCACCTTGCTGCATCTCGAGTATCTCTAACATTAGGATTTTATTCTATTTTACAGGAACGGGGTATGTGTACCGCTTCATTGGATGAGCTGAGTCGCAAGAGAATAGCAATGGACGCTGATTAAAAGCAGAGGAAGCTTGGCGGTAAAGGAGGCATACATATGAAATCGCCGATGATGTTCTGCATCTTGTCATCGCCGCCAAGGAGTCAGCTCTACCGGAGTTATGTAGCAATTGATTAAGAAGGTATATCAACTTCTGATATTGCTATTTCTGCTCAAGCATGCATTAGCATATATTTGCGCAATACAACTCATTGTGTCTCCGTGCCTTACCAAAAAATTTGCAAGCAGCGGGGTAATATATTTCTGATGGTTTGCTTCCATGGAGGAAGCTAAGATCCATAACGGTAGCCTTCCGTTTTCTAGCTCCTGTTCATCTACCTTGTTGTTCAACGATGCCAGCTTCGAGGCTGGGAGAGATGGGGTCGATAGGGAAGGCTTTAGCTTCTTGATGCATGGTGTACAAAGAAGAGTCTCCAAGTTTTTCATCACCATTGACTTTGACTCTTCAATGCTCAAAACAGATGACGAGTTTCTATCTTCTTCTGTGATTCTACGTCCTTTTTTGGATTTCAATTTTTTCTCAGCTTTCATTAAGGATTTCGATAGTGCTATGGCAATTCTTAAGTCTTCATCCATGCTTTCCGTCTTTTTACGCTTGGTGTTTTTCTTGAGGGTTGTACTTATAGGTTTAGTAGGAGCCACTGATAGAGACTGAAAATCTTCGTCGTCTGATGTACAAAGTACGAAAGGGTCTTCCTTTGTCTTACTTGCATCCTTGATACTATTTGGTGGGGGGAGTTCGGCGGGTTTGTCTTCCACTAGCGGATTCTGGCGAGTTTGCCGAGAAGATAACCCCCAGTTCGTCCACTGTAGCCTTCTACCGAGTTCTTGGATGCTAACGCCTTTCCCGTTGGCGCAAGATTTCATATGTAGCATTTTACTTCGAAGTGAGAGAGTTCGGTGAGTCCAATCCTCACGACAGCAAGGACAAATGTCGACATTGTATTTCATTGGAATTGCTGTATTTCCGTAAGAATTGTCAATATTGTATCGCTCAGCAGTTATTTTTGACAGTTCGATGACACTTTGCTCAGCAACGATCTCGTCAAGACACCGGTTCGCATGTTGTTCTCGGCGTTGAAAATTATAAGTCAACATGTCCTTGCCACAAAAAATACAAGCTTGAAAATCAAGATGGTCGGCTACAGTGTTTGTATGGAGATGCAGCTTTTCGGCATCCGGGATAGGAGTGGCGTCGACGTCCAAACATTTGTTAGCGTGGTCCAATTTCTGAAGTCGTGTGGTGCCGGCCAAGCTCTTATCGCACATTGGACATTTAGATTCTTCAAAGGCTGGATTGCTCTCTTGCTGGATATTCGTCACTGAACTCGAAGAGACTATATCATTACTATGATCCATCAAGAATTTGCTTTGTTCCTCTGGTGAACCGACGGTGGCTTCCCCGGATAATGTGAGCGATTGGTCATTGCTGTCGACAATGTCCGTGGTATGTGGATAAGATGTGTGGAAAAGTACAGTTTTAGCGACCTTGTTCTTCTTCTTGAGAGTGAGGCTCTTTTTACGCTTTATTTGTAGCTCCACCGACATGACTGATTTGGTTCGGCATCCAGCTAATTTATCTGCTAGAAATGCGAAGGCAAACCTTGGACAAGGTCAAGCTTGAAAATTCTACGTGCGGTATTTCAAAGAATTTCTCGCGTTGAATTTGGGAGCGCTGGGTCCATTGTTTCCAAAACCACGTCGCGCCACTTCATGCCACAAAAAGAATTAACCAACAAACTAAAGCAAAAGAAAACGCTCGACGAAATCGTCAGGTATTCATACCACACAATGGAGAATCACCTCTACAATTGTTTATAAAGCATTACTTTCTTCTTTCTTTTAGCATTATGCGCCATGGTGATTTGAGGTAATGCTTTCTAACAAGCTTTTGGTCCACTTTAACATATCTCGCTAAACAAACGTTGCAGCACGATGACACCCAAAACAGTGAAGAGGCAGTTGGAAAAAAAACTTGTGAGTCAATTGATCCAACAGCTTGCTCTATGGCTGGTTCGAAAGTGACAATTAATGGGTAATTTCATAGAGCCTTGAAGAAAAGATTTTGGATCAATCACCATGGAAAGAAAAGATGAAGGAGCTGATTAATACGGCTCAGGTATGTTCGCTGACAAAAAGGTGTTTGCAATTGGTCGGCATCATTGCTGAGACAGACAAATTCCAGGACATATACGAGCAAGAGCCAGCGGCTCCGAAATCAACCAAGAAGGAAAATGCTAAGCATCCAGCCAGCGAAACTATCTCAAACGCCTCTAACGATGATGAAAAGGCCGGTTCCAAACGAAAAATTAAAGGCAAGAAGTCGTCCGAGATTGTACATAGCGATAGCGAATCGGAGTCGAACGAAACAGATCATGAGAGCATAGATGAAGATGCTCCTCCTACCAAGAAGAGTAGAACTAAAAAGACTGCAACAAAAAAGACCGCAAAGGTAGGTAATTTAGCACGGAATCCAATTTATGTCTCGATTCTCACCACTTTTGCACACCCAGCCTACTGATGGAGAGTCTAAGTCGGAGGAGACCATAAAACGATTGAAGAGCTACATTAACAAGTGTGGTGTACGCAAGATATGGTAAGGGCATTCGTCTGTATTATGTGTTTTTTTGCTCAAGCTAATATGCGCTGTATATAACAGGTCTAAAGAATTGGCCGGTTGCGAGACGGCTAATTCCCAAATTGCAAAGTTGCAGTCAATTTTACGTGACCTCGGCGTTGAAGGTACTGAAAGCTCCCATAATATTTTAAAAGGTTTGAAGCATTCAATTACTCAACACCACTGTGTAGGGCGCCCAACTGTTGAGAAATGCGAAAAGATCAGGTCAGAGAGAGAATTGAAGGCAGAAATAGATAGTCTCTCTCGAGACAATATTTTGGCATCGGAAAAGCGCGCCACCCGATCAGTGGTGCCACCAGTGGACGCAGTTGAAGACACTACTGAAGAAGTAGAGGTAGGTCTATGGGATATCTAAACTACAGCAATAGCCACAGCATATGGATGACAAAGCAATCTATAGGAAGCCAAGAAGAATGATCTGGATTTGACCTTCTTGGGAGATCAAAGCTCGGACAGTGATTAAAAACATATACATACTCCTGCATTTTTAATATCTTATGCCACATACTATGCTTACTCAGAGACAGCGCTATGGTACATATATATTTTTTGAAATGATAGCGACGTAGTATGAACACTACGGCTCATCTCGAAGAGGCTATTTTTGAATACGAAGTGGATGAGCTTCGGTATTGAACACCCATTCATCTAGAGGGAGAACATTGGAATCATCAAATAATAAATACAAATATTTCAAAGTTTCTGCAAAGAAGAAGCTAGGGGTGCGAGATTGATTAGCAACGTCTACGGATACAATAATCTTTAAATGTGCGATTACCAACCTTTCTTGTCTATCGTCCCATTCTGGGGATATGGAGTCCACGTAACGTATACCAGTGTAGCCAGAGTTTGCGCGACAGTGCAGTTGGATGGACTCGAAGATCTTCCATCCCATGTCTCTGTACTTTTCATCCTTTGTGTAGCGATAAAAGTAGAAAATGGATTCCAAGGTTTCTACAAGCAAATGCATAATTCGTTTTTTGCTCATGAGAATCAGGATCCCTGAAGTATACTTACCTGGGCGCAAAATGTAGCTGTCAACTACCGGGAATACACCATATTTGTCCGCCAATTCTATTGTTCTGTCAGATTTTGGAACAGGGAACTCGCCCGTTTTAGGATCCACCCAACCGAAAATCTCAGGAGCAATACCCGTCTTGGTGCTCGTCCAGGCCAATACACAGCTTTCCAATAGCTCAGAAGCTATGCCAACAATATCGTGCAGCTCCGGGATGGTATCAGCAGCTAACAAAAAGGTGCCGGGTACAAAGCATGCTAATTCGTCCATTACGTGTCTCTTCTTATCACCATTCAGTTCGGCCAGAAGTTTAATATCAGGGTGATCTTTGGGGCTTACAATCATATGCTCTATAGTACTGCGAACGGTATCAACGAACATGCGTCTCTTCTGATCGTCGCGATACCCAGAGTACACATAAGATTTTGCTAGATACTAAGGAGGAAATATGAATATGACATGCTGCTCAGTTTGCCTGAATAGTCATCTTACTAACCTCGTAAAAACTATCTCCCATACCTCCCCATGAAATGGCAGCTACAAAATTGATTCCGAAACTTTGAGTGTGTGGTTAGAAATCCAAACCAGAATAGAACTCAAAAGCTTACTTGATTCAAAACGGCCGGTTTCTGGGTCTATGAACATTGGGTATAAACCTTTTTTCTCAGGTTTGATTTGTGTATCAAAAAAATCAATGACTTTTTGACCCTACCATCGAAGAACCATGCTCATTAACAACTACGTCAATCATCCAAGTTTGAAGAATTAATTCTCTTACCGCTTCACGATACTTTTGGTCCCCTGTGATATCAGAAAGGCGAAAGAGCTCTAGTTGAACAGTGCCAATTTCGGCCAGAACCGAAGGTCCGCCCGTAAGGGGAGTGCCTGTAGTGATGTCGATATATTGGTAAGGAATCCCAGTTGAGGAGTTGAAAGCTGGTAGCAGCCTGTCGGCCAGTGCGACAGCACGGTCGACAAATACGGGATTGTAACTAAGATCGTATGCGGAGAGCAGACCGCCAACATAACGGATAATTGTTTCGAAAAGTTGAACGTGAGAAGAGGTCGGAGGATGAGCCCAATCAATGCTGGCTACAAAGTCGGTAGCTTCGGCAAAATCTTCACTCAAGCCCATTATATAGAGTGTATCTAAAGCGTCTACAATGGTGGCTGAGATATTATGTTTTAGCGTCTTTAACCCCTTATCTTTGATCGACCTTGAGAGTCGTAGCAGAGATAATCCTTACCTCCCCATCCATTTCTAACGAATAGAACAAATATAAAACATTACAAGTCACTCTCTTAAAAGCTTGCTCTCATTAGCGCGAAAAAAATACCTTGGGTTACTGTAGCTATTGCTCACTGGGCGATTTTCGTCATAGCCCCAACTGTACTTTTTGTAACCTTCCCACGCAAAAACGAATGCTTCCTTCACGGCGTTCTGCTTGTCTTTTGTGGATAGAGTCTTCGAATCTGATCCAAAAACTTGTTCGTGTTGGCTTTGGTATAGACTTGCAGGGTCGAGCTTTGTGACGTTTATAAAATCAATATGAACTGACGCTTTCATTTCCTCCGGAGCTGCCGGTTCCTGGTAGAAAAGACCGGCATGAGCGTCAGCATAAGCGATTGTCACCAAGCTCAGGGACGCTGCAAGTATGGGAAGTTTTCCGTGAAATATCATCCTCTATGCAGCGTATCTCCGTGAGTTAAGAGACAAAGTAGTAAGGATTCAAAAGTGAGTTCAGGGAAAAACGCAAGCAGGACGCAGTCACAAGGGGGCATGATCAGACCCCCTCCCATTTTGGTATAACCACCATTTCACTTCCTCAGGCAAAGATTGTTCGGTAAGGGTATGATTATTGATTTTCTAAGATATCTTTTCTACATTTACACTATTCATTGTCTTTCTCCTCAGCTTCATCCAAAATCTCCAATCTTCTTAAGATATGCCATTGTAAATCCTTATTTGTCCAATATGAGAAGTGAGCTCGGAAACCTACTATATACTCATTCGTGAGCATATCCATAAAGCTTTCTGGTTGGAGAACAAAGTCCATTCTTCTTGGCAAATCCTCAGATTCATCTTCCGAATGCTTGTGGTGGTCGCCTTCTTGAGGAACAGTTGCATCTTTTGTGATGGACTCGCTACTTTGGCGAGGTTCCATAATCTTTGCACCTGGTTCGTGAAGTTCCTTACTGAGATCGTCCATGATATTGTTGCTGTTCCTACTTATTTCACTCTTGGCACCGTCATGGCTTTTAACGCTGCTTGTATCGTCGTTGATTGTTACGTTAGGCCCCTTCCTCATGTTGGACAAGAACTCTTGCTGAGCAGTGGGAGATAAAGGTGAGTCAAAGTCTTGAGAGAGCTGATTTAAAATATGTTGTGAGCTTTTGTGAGCAGACTTTGCCCACCTTAGACTATCCACTCGCATTCCATCATTTCCAAGTACATCGACAGTATGCTGAGTTGATTCGGAGGACTTTGGAATTGAGAAATAATCGTTTTTCTCTGGGATCACGGCAGCCGTAACCACGCCGGACGTGAGAATACCATTTTTGTTGAAACGAGAACCCATACGTCTTGGTTTAAGTGGTCCGGTAAAGTCATACTTTCCAGATAGAACACCACCAGCCCATTTTGTGCTCGCTTCTTCATCAAAGACATCTTCGTCGTTGTCGGTGCAATCGATTACTCTTGGTCCTCCTTCAAATCCATCAAAAGTGGTCAAGTCTCCATGATGTGCGCGAGCGGAAGAGCCATTGTTATCCTCCTCCTCTCCATTAACTTCGCCGTTGCTTCCATCGACATCTCGCGACTGCTTGTTACTATCTTCATGTGAATGCTGACCTCCAAAATACTCAGTGATCCATTTCCAGTAACCTGTCGTTTGATGATTTTGAGTGACCGCCTCGTCGGAAGCTTCCAAGAGCTGCTTGGTAGATTGCGCCGGGTCAACTGATTCGCCCGTTGAAGAAAACGAAAATCGAGAAAACATGGATAATAGACTGGATCCGGGAAACGAGGGCAGAGATGGCAGTGAGAAGTTGGGACCAATAGGAATGCTACGTTCAATCAGAACAGCTGCTTCGTCTGTGTACTTCTCACTCAGTAATGGTTCGAATCGGTATGCCAGAGGGTCGAATGGGTGGAAAATGTTTTCAAAAATAATGGAATCATCTGGTCGATAAAGAAGTGGGTTTTGATTGCGAAATACCAGAATGGCTCCAACTGGGGATCCCAGTGCAAAGAAATAGTCCGGCTTGAAGTCCAGTTTGGGGTATACGATATCAAGCTTGGCATAATCTTCCCTTTCCTTATCGTTGGCAGGTGTCCTCTGATGGGATAGAATGTCCCACGTGATGATTCCTCCTAGCCTATGACACAAGACATTAAGTCATCATTAGAGACGATATACTTTAGAGAGCCTCTCCAGTAAATAAATCACTTACGAGTATCCATAAATCGCAATTTTTCCATTGAAATCAGGGTATTTCGACATGAAATTGTGATATGACGTATTAAACAAATTCGTCACATTATCAGTAATGTATTGTCCGCGGCTTTTGGAAAAGTAATAAAGAACGTCCGCCAAGTAATCATTTTCAATCAGTCGAATAGTAGGTATAGACTTGAGAGTAATTTTGTTGATATCTGGATCCGTTTGATCATGAAGATGTTTGTGCCATTCAATTGGGATCAATTCGATCCTAACGTTGTGGTCTGGCACTTTGGCTTGGAGAACTTGTCTTGTTGTTTCTCGTAATTCCTCCACTATTACAAAATACTGTTAAGAAGGGTTGCTATCAAGCCAATCCTTCTGACGAAAAACTTACTGTGTTCATAAAAATGGCCATATTGCTCTGTTTGCTGACCGATTCCCTTTGGTAAGAACAATGACTTAGTTTAACAGCACACGGCCGTGAAAGATTGAATGTTAAAGCCCATATACTTACGTGAATCACAAAAACGAGGTGGTTTACAGGTATATCTTGGTATCGCTCCTCTATATTTTGCTCTTTCTGTACCGGCGGAAGCTCTTCTTCAACTTTGAACGTAACAAGTTAGTCCTCCCATATGACTGAATTTTCAAACTAGGATACCTCAGCTTCGTTTAAAAAATGCTTACCAGGAAGAACGGGAGACACTGAAGGTGATTCCAAGTAAGTGGTTTCGAGGAACATTATGAGTTGGGGAGATCGACAAGGAGCGAAAACACTGGTGGCGAAACGTGCAGCTATCAAAAAGACATTAGAAGATATCACGTGTCACAAGGAACAAAGAAAATGATAGAAGACTTTAGCAGAATAACCAGAGCAACAAAACATACACTTTCAAGTAATTTACATACTCTCTCTCATATCCTTCACATTATGGTGTTTTTGATCTACTTTCCTGCCTACAGAATGGCCAGAGAACGACTCGCTTGCCGAGTGTCCCAAAATGATGTCATATAGGCAAACACATTTTGCTGCAGTGTGATCAGGTTGCTCCGCCAGCCAATTACGAGTCTACAAATTTGGGTAAAAAGCAAAATCAGCGCTGGAGAGTTTTTTATTATTATTATTTCGTACATATCGCTTCCATAAGTTTTCAAATCCTACCTGGGCTTACTTATGACAGCTCTGAGCCGGACTTGGGCTTCACCTTTAAGCTCACCACAAATTGAACCCCTTCAAAATTATAACAATGCCTCGCGCAGCAAATCGCCAGATGATAACTACTCACTTGATTCATCTCCACAATCGCCTTCCTACAGAATAGCGGGATTAAAGCAGACACGCGCTGCTAGCGAACTATCCAGCGAGCAGTATAGTCAACCGCAAACAGCACTGTTTCAGCTTTTGCAGCGAAATAAAACACGCGAGCAACCGGTAGGATCTGACGATGAGTCAGAATCACGACGGCGATCGTCCGCGTTCGGAATGGGTTTATTCCGAGGTCTACCTCAAGAAGAAAGGCAGGAACAACTGAAAGCTGAAGCAGATTTTGCGTTCGAGTGTCCTGTCTGTGGAAATGAAGAAGTGCAATTTTGGAGCAGAGGAAGAACCGCTGGACAAGCGTAAGTGTAATATGTGACCATGCTGCAAAGTCAGTGAAATACTTTGTCCTGACGCGTTCCCAATTTTAGTGAGTGCCAAAGCCGTACGTGCGGACATCGATGGATGTGGAAGCCGACGACCAAAATGGTCAAAGAAGGGACAACATTTGAACCAAATATGCCGCTTCCTCCAAAGCAATCTATCGCTCCTGCTCCCAAACGTAGGAAGCTGAAAGATAACTCGTCTGACATGCCACCTCCAAGCTACTCACACGGGATGTATGATCGACGCGACCCTTACTCATCTTACTATTCAAAGGCACCACGTCGCATTCCACCCGAGCTTTCATACGAAAATCCCATGAATCCATATGGCAATCCCTCGAACACTGCTCCTGATTATGAGCCTAACCGAGACACTGAATTCTATGAAAATTATGAAAGGTTATTTGCAAATCGAGCGCCAGATATGGACCCAAACTCTGGCAGACCCATGCCGTTTTCATCCACCAAATATTCTGAGCCTTCCGAACGACCAAAACCGCAAGCACCAGGAGAAGATTTTCCTATCGATGAAGAGGATGAAATATACCAATCAGAGCTTTTAGAATTGGAATTACGAAGGCGTGAAATTGAAGCCAGACGTGAAGCGCATCGAGCAAGAAAATCTCAGTTACTGCTTCAACAACGACGGGAGCAATTGCGCGAACAAAACATGCAGCGCCAACGTCAAAGTCAAAACCCGGTTGTCCAGTCTGATGACAACACCTCATTGTCAATGCGCTCGCCGAGTGAACTGGTCGCCGATGAAAATCAAGAATCTGCTGCTCAACGTGCAGAGATGGCATCAACCGGACAATCTGAACCTGCCAGTAATCAAACAGCACCTCCCAAACCTACAAAAGCACAAAAGATACCACGGCGTGAAGACAACCAATCTGCATCAGACGGATACATGTTCAGTGATGAAGAAGAGGATGCTCCAAATGTTCGCAATGGAAAATTGCCAATGAAGGAAATTAAAACGGTCAAGCCAATTGTTCAAGTCGAGGACACGCTCGCTGCAGAAGATGAAGGAGCTGTTCCTAGATTTGCTCAGGATGCAACGATGTCAGATGAAGATAGGATGATAAATGAAGCATACGGCTATTACTTTAGTGATGAGGAAGATGATACTGCTTTGGTAGCAATTGGGTCCGGCATTCGCAAGCAGCCCGTTTGGCACAAGGTCTCCGATACAGAACCCGTAGAAGACGACGAAAATGCAATGTCATCCGACAGCGAAGGCGTACAACACGATGATGGGCAGGTGGAGTCTGAACAGAGATCTATCGACGAAACAAAACTAGCACCAAAGAAAAGAGGTCGAAAGCCTAATCCGAACAAGGTACCAAAGACTTCAAGAGACCCCAACGAACCACCAAAGAAGAGAGGCAGAAAGCCCAATCCAAATAAGAAAACTGTGAAGACGAAGAAGCCCATGAATGGCTTCAATCCCTACTTGTTATTTAATAGGGATATGAGAAAAAAACTTGCTGAAGAACACAAGGGAAAATCCAATGGCGAAATCAGTCGTTTGATTTCAGAAGCTTGGAAAAGTATCACACCGGTATGTTCGGCATTGATACAATGTAATATGGTATCATATCAACAAGTAGTCATAACCGAATGTTCGTTTTTTTTTAGGAGGAGAAGCAGAAATATTTTGACGAAACAAATGAGAGAAGAAAGGAGCTTGGGCTACGGGCATGTGAACAAAGGGACAAAAATGAACTAAGGGCTATCCCGAATCCATTTGTTTTGTTCAATATAGAACAGCGACCTCAGCTTCATCAAGATCACCCAGGACTGTCTCTGATCGAAATGAACGGGCTAGTCACTGAACGATGGAAAGCCCTCACCGAGGTAAGTTACAGCTTGGCATGTATATTCCAATCTGTTTCAGCAGTTTGTTAAGACGAACATCTTCAATTACTTAGAAGGAGAAGCAAATATATTATAAGAGATTCGAAGACTACAAGAAGGAGTTGCTCAAATCCCACCCAGGCTTTAGGCGAAGGCGAAGATCAGGAAAGGATAAACAAGAGCAGTAGAGCTTAGTTCTACTCCATGGTGGATTGGAGAGTTTTATTGGTGCTGGGAGACTTATTCTCATTGTAAATACGTAGTGTCTCAGCCAATAGAACAATGAAAATACCATTTACTTTGGATGCCCAGTCAGAAAAATAAACGAAGTATGGTCATCAGGAACCCAAAACAGGTGTGAGCACAGGCAATGTGACTGCAACACCAAACATGGTTACAGTTACATCATTGACGATCATTCAGCGTGTCGCTTCACACTTCTATCGTTTACATTAAACATGAGCAACTTTCCCAATTACTACTTGATTCTAGAGATACCCGAGTCTGCCACAACAGAAGATATTCGTGAAGGTATATATATTTAAGATCACACATCAATCTTTTCCTACAATGAGCGTGATTTCTCTAATTCTCCATTCACAGCGTATAAGAAGCAAGCGCTACTAACCCACCCTGATCGACTTCCTGAAAATGCCACCTCACAGCAAAGAAGAGCAGCTACGGAGCGCTTTCAACTAGTGGCTGATGCGTATCATGTATTGGTGGACCGCACCCGTCGAAGACAGTACGACGAAGCCCGCTCAGCTCACCGAGCATCAGCGGAGCAAGAAGCATTTATGGAAAATCACGAGCGAACGAATGCACACGACGTATTCGGTGGTGTTTTTGAGGAACTCTTGCGAGCGGAAGTCGATCACCCTACCGTGATATGGCAAATTCTTGGCGCAGGTGCTGGAGCAGTCCTTGGTTTCATCTTGGCGAATTTTGGAGGCGCTGTGGCGGTAAGGCCCAATGATGAAATGTTTGAATTCCACGAATTTCAGGATAGTTTATTGAAGCAAATTGTTCATTTACAAAGGGTGGTGTTGCTGGAAGGTATCTTGGCAGAGTTCGTGACCGCAAGGGTGAGATATGACCGTCCTTTTCTTCAGTTTATATGGAAGGTTACTAACCCCAGTGTAATAGGCGTTTCTGTTTATACCGCCTTTGAGCGACTCACTGGCTCACAAAGACGAGAGATCTTGACGGCACTCCTCACACGCTTTGTGACACATCTATCGACTGGTGGAGGAGCCAGCTCATCTATGAAATTTTAATATGTGAATGACAAGCATTTACTACGCAAAATGCAAATTTGAAAATACAAAATATGTATGTATATGATGAACCTTTAAATAAAGATATTATTACGGATTGCAGGTCAAAATCAGAGCAGATTGGAGGGATTGTGTACTACATGACCGTGATATAATGTATCAGCGCCTGTCGTATTTGTTATTGAGTACCTCTAATGGGTCTGTTTGCGCGCAAGAGCAGTCCTAGATTGTAGAAATGTCTTGACCACTTGATAGAGTGACTTCGTTAACTGAAGAATATTTCCCTGTTATGCATCAACATGATCATGCTTTGAAACTTTTTATTCTCATCATGCTGACAAGTGCTACAGCACTGTAATCTAAGTTGCAACATATGTTTGCAAGGCAAATTACAAAGTATGTTGTGTTTGGATATGAGGCTAGCTTATGTTATGTAACCGGTATATCTTAAAGTAAGAACTTTCCAGCCTCTTCACGGCTGAAAGAGTGGGGCAACAAATCGTTCAATGTAACAAGCTTGTATTCTCGGTTGGGGGTGATCATGTAAACGGGAAGATCTTTAGGACCAAATTCTGAGATGAATTGGCTATAACGCATATTAGCAGGATCAACTTTATAATTTAATAGCATCATGAATCTCATTCTTACCGACATATACCGCAGGGGGAAACAGGTACTACTTGATCGGTAGAAACGCCCAAGGCAATGAACTTGCTGTGACCTTCGCTCTGATGAATTTGGAAGGTTAAAGTCAATGTTTTAATGTAGCGACGAAATAGATCTTGAGATACTTTACCAATGCTTTCACATATGCTGTTCTCTCAGCACAGATAGCAGCGCCTGACAAGAAAAGATGTGGGAGAAAAATTATCAGAACAAGAACTGTGGAGGATCAAACATTCTCCACTGATAAGTCCCTCCAGCTGAAATTGGAATACTTACCATAAGAAGCATTCTCTACGTTGCAACCTACATCCAAATGTTAGCAAAAGATATGGATTTGGAGTTCTTTGTCTGAACAGGAACAGTTACCTTTGATCCAGACGCCATCCTCAGTCAAAAGGGCAGCACCGACCCGAAATTTAGAGTAAGGGGAGTAAGAGTTATCGCGGGCTAGATATGTGGCTCAAAATCAGAAGTGGAAAAAAAAGCGAATGTAAACAGTTTGCAAGAGCAATTTACCTTCCAAGCTCAAATCGATAAGCTTCTCTTGTTCCTCAGTGGTCAATGCTCTAATGGTGGACATCTTGTATCAGCAGTCCAGTTACTCACGGTCGTCCATTTCACTCTAATTTTTTTTTAATCAGTCACGCGAGCTTATCCATTCAGGAACCGAAATTTTTTGAATCACCTTCTACTCGGATGTCCTTTAGCCGGAGCAGACAAAGAATGCTACCGTACACGCTTTCTGAATATTATAGATACAATAGCATACAAAATTTTCGTCTGTTTACATTCTATAAGTCACCATCACTGGAAAAGGAACGCATCATTCTTACTTTTTCATACCTGCTTTTTAATTGACCCTCGACTGAATTTCTCTTTCTCTCACTCATTAAGCATACGTTGAAAATAGAATGGAGGGCAAAAAATCGATAATTGGAGTCATTTTGACCAACAACAAGAAGAATTCCTCAAAACAAGTCGAAGCTGATTATTCTACAAGAACAGGGACTGTTGTTAACAATGAGATACAATCGGACGCTACTGCTAAATCTTTGGTTCGCAAATTGGACATTCGGTAAGCAAGGCATTGAAGCATGACGGTAGCGTTTAGATTGTTGCTCACATTAAACTAGTATCATTCCCTGCTTATCTGCGTTATACTGCTTTGCTTATCTTGGTAATCCTTTGCCTCATTGATCTTGTTCAACGGACTCATCACTAATATGTAACACTTATAGCACGAGGAAATATAGGAAATGCACACTTGACAACATTCGACAAAGATTTACATCTTAGCGAAGCTGAATATCACATATCACTCACCACGTTTTATCTTGGTTATCTTTTATTTCAGCTTCCATTTTCTCTATTGATGAAATGGTAAGTAAATGTACACGTTCTGGTCGATATATTTAGCTGTGTACTCACACTTCTCAGTTTCAGACCATCTTATATATTAGCGGGTACTATGGTCATATTTGGAGTCTTCTCATTGTCTGTTGCAGGAGCAACGGACGCCACATCTTTGATTGTGTAAGTACGATGATTCATCTGGATTTCTAAAACTTTGCATATATGTTAAAGATTGAATATGCAGATTGCGATTTTTCTTGGGAGTCTTTGAGGCTGGAATTGGCCCAGGAGTTCCCCTCTATCTATCATTTTGGTACGAACGCGACGAGATGGCAAAAAGGGTAAGCTCTATACAACATGTCTACCATATCGCCTTTTGTGGGTACTAACATGCTTAGAATGTAATAGGTCTCGGCTTATTTTTCGTTTTCTACAATCGCTGGAGCTTTGGGTGGTCTCGTGGCTTACGCTACATTTACAACTTTACAACACACCCTTGGTCTAAAATCATGGCAATGGTTATTCATCATTGAAGGAGTACCTACCATTTTAATGGGTCTGCTTAGCTTCTTCATTCTCCCCGACTAGTAAGTGTTGCCATCCGGCTCGATGACAAGCAGTTCACTATAGCCATAATGACAAGTCAAATTTAAAGTCCAGCATCAGCAAGTCCAAAATGGCTTACTGAGGATGAGAAAGCTCTTGCTATTGACCGAATGCAAGGGAATATAAGTCGTCGAGACGAAGGGTTTGATATTAAACAATTCAAGGACGCTATCGTTGATTACAAAAACTGGATGACAGGTAGCGTTTTGTCCCTAGTGAAGATATATCAAGTTACAGCCTTTCCTAACTATTTGCGCAACTAACCATTTACCAGCCCTGATTTCACTTGGTCTACATGTCCCGCTGACAAGTTTCCTATTTTTCTTGCCAACGTTCATCCAATCTATGGGCTTTTCAACCATGACATCACAACTTATGACCATTCCACCTTACTTGGCAGCCTTCGTAGCCATACTGGTAGGCCATTTGAATACCTCTTCATAATTTTCCGTATACACTGACTGGGTTTCTTTTAGATCGCATCAAGCAGTGCCGACAGAACAATGCAGCGTGGATTGCATATCTTTGTCTTGAGTGGCATTGCAGCGTTCGGTTATGTCCTTGCATTTATTCCATCTATTTGGGGCAAATACATAGGAATAGTCTTGACTGGCATGGGTGTATATGGAGCTCTGCCGATAGTGAGTAGACAGGTTTTCTTTGCTTGCTTATATCACAATAGAGATACTGATGCTGTTTGAAAAGCTGATGGCATGGACTGCAGATAATCAATATGGACACACAAAACGAGCAACTGGATTGGCTTTAACCAACATGATAGGACAGGTGAGATAGCTAACAACATGGCTGTATCATTCTACAAAGCTATATTAACTTTTGAATATCCAACCTGTAATTCGGTAATGGTTTAGAGCTTCAGTATGCTAGGGACCCAGGTTTGTTACAAGTTGTCCGCGTGAGATATGCTGGCATTTCCCATGCATACACTAATATTCCACACTTAGATATATCACAAGGATGATGCTCCAGATTATGCTAAAGGCCATCTCATATGCTTCACGTTTACCTTGATTGCCGGCGCAGCAGCATTAACACTACGAACTTTGCTACAGCGAGCAAACAACTCTGCTGACGATCAAGTCTACGACGAAGACGAGGATGCAAAGGACTTCGATCGACCCAAATACATTATCTAACCATATACTAAAACGCTTACTGATTCATCGCTCGAGTACACATTTTCGTTGGGCGCAGAATTGCAGGACCAATCACTTAACCTAAAACATTTCAAATCTATACCTTTATTCATCAAAATGTCTGGCTGAGTCTGCTCTGATTCCCAAACCTTATTATACCTCCTTCACTCCGATGGCTGGAAAATGATGGTGGTCAGAAAAAAGAGGCTGTTGACCTTGAAAGGAACATTAAAGTTCTAAAGACTGTACTTCTTCTGCACAAATTACGTTAGCACCGAGTAAATGAGTAATCCCAGAGACCCCTTACCCATGGTGATATGTAACACTGAGAAAAGGGACTGAAATAACCTAGCACTTTACAGACTATACATGCAAATCAACTCCCAAGGGTTCTTGAACATTTTGTCTTCAGCCCGGAGCAATCCGTTGGGAGGCATATGTTTACCATGTTGGGCGTTGCCACATTTCCATGTTTCACCCCCACTTTCGTAGAGTTAAGTCATTCGCTAAACAGGCCAGGCCACGGAAAAAGTTGTATCCTCAATGAAAGCATCATGCGCTGAGACCCAAAGTGGGTAGTCCGCTCGCCTCAGTAGACGCTTTGTAACCCATTTTTTGTGGGGAGTAGGATCGGTATATCGAATTTTTTCATGGCAACCGATCGACCATAGCGCCTATTCTTCAAGCTTCATTAAATCATGGTATTTTGAATGACTGCGGAAAATTGTTGGTCCACACCGGCACGTTTGAAGGCGGTATGAGGTGGGATCAACCTCGTGGGCGTTGCGGTATAAAAAAAACTGGGACATATTGATGGACTCCGGGGAATATGCCTATAGGGGTAACTGCCATACGGGGCAATTTCAAGTTCCGAAGTGCAGCTGGAGTAAGGTTACGTACTTAGCTACCAAATATTCATATATTTAGTGCCTTCTCAGGACGAAGCAAAGGTTTTACAAGTTTCTTTTCTTCATCATGGAACGTAAACACGTACCTCATAGAGCAGGTATCCTAGTTTATGGCGTTGCGGCGTTCGCGAGCATTGGTGGATTCCTTTTCGGGTATGTTGGCTTAAATTACCCACGAGAGCTCGTTGCTGAAAAAGCACTAATTTACCTTTTTTCGTCCATTAACAGATATGACCAAGGTGTTATGTCTGGCATTATTGTGATGCCCTACTGGACAACCTACTTCAATAATCCAAACGATGTGATGACAGGTCAGATTGAATACAAGCAATCAGAACAGTCGATTCATTTTATATGTTGCTAACGCTTATTGTAGGTTTTATTGTCAGTATTTACCTCTTGGGTGCTTTCGTAGGTGGACTTTTTGCCGGCCCCGTTTCTGAGCGCATTGGTCGTAAGCGCAGTATTCAGCTTGCAAGTATCGTTTTCACTCTCGGATCTGCATTGCAAGCTGGTGCAACTTCAACCCAAATGCTTCTTGGTGGTAGATTTGTACAAGGTCTCGGTATTGGCATGTATAGCATGAACGTTCCTGTATACCAAAGTGAATTGAGTCCTCCCCATTTGCGTGGAAGATTCGTTGCTCTCCAACAATTAAGTATTGTAACTGGGTACGTACCTTATAATGTACGCTTTGTTTGAATTGTTCTGATTCTAACTTGGTATTCTCCAATAGTATTATGATCGCCTTTTGGCTTGGATATGGCTGCTCTTTGTAAGATTGTTGACTGCAGAATTATGTGACAAATCTACAGTTCATATCTAACGTATTTTATTTTTTATTTTACAGCATTCAAAGCGATGCATCATGGCGTTTGCCTTTGGCGCTACAGATTCTTCCTTCCGTTCTTCTGTAAGTATATTTTTATGTTATTTTTTAAATCTTCGCCAGCACTCGCTGGAGATCCTAACGCCATCTTTTAGATTCTTCGGAATGTTCTTCTTGCCCTACTCTCCAAGATGGCTCTGTGACAAAAACAGAAATGAAGAAGCTCTCCAGACTTTGGCCCGCCTTCATGCTGAAGGAGACGTTGAAGATCCTTATGTTGTGCAAGAGTACAACGAAATTGTAGCATACGTCAAGTTCGAGCGAGAAAACGCAGTGCGCACCTATCGCGATCTCTTTAGCAAGCAGAACAGAAGACGTGTCATGCTCGCTGTCGGAATTCAGTCGATGCAGGTAAGCTTGATTCAAATCTGCCGCTTTTGCGAGGTATCAAATTCTCATTGAATATTTTTTTTTTCAGCAATGGACTGGTATCAATGCTGGTAATTTTTTTTGTCATTCATGAAATGAATTAATGTTACTCAGTAATCGAAATAATGGAACTAATTTTCTTTCTGTGAACTATAATTCACTTTAGTACTTTACTATGGTATGTATTGTTCAATCAAAATCTGGAGCTGCAATAACAATTCCTAACCCTTTATTTTCTTCCAAATAGCACCACTCATTTTCAAGGGTGCCGGTTTGGACGGAACCGCATCACAATTGCTTGCCACCGGGCTTAATGGTGTTGTTTCTGTAATCGCTACTATTCCTGCTGTCATGTTCATCGATCGATGGGGAAGAGTAAAGACTCTCCTTGTCGGTGGAACCGGCATGGGTGTTACCATGTTGCTTGCTGGAGCTCTATTGGGAGGTAAGTATATTTTATATTGAATTATCGCATACAGATCAAAGGCTAAGATCAGTCAATTTTAGCTTACCCACACACCGACGCTGGTCCTAATAATTTGGGAGCTCAATACTTCGCCATTGTCATGATGTACTTCTTCACTATCTGCTTCTCCTCTTCTTGGGGACCATGCGGATGGATTTATCCCGCAGAAATTTTCCCTAACAGAGGTACGATTATTGCAAGATTTGTAGTGTGATTGTGGCAATTTAAATAACCATTTGTGAAATTTCTCCTTCAGCTCGTGCTAAGGGTACTGGTTGTAAGTACCAACAGAGTTTTTCTGTATTTTCTTATTTTTGTATATATCGCATTCATTGACTAATCATCTCTATCTTAATAGTGTCAACTGCTGCCAATTACCTTATGAACTTCGTCATTGGAGAGATCACTCCTATTATGTTGTCGCGCATCACCTTTTGGACCTATATTTTCTTCTGCTTGACCAGTAAGTGAAGTTGAAATAATATCTATACAATTTTGAGACCGGTTCTGACAAAATGATTCTTTTTCCAGACTTTGCTTGTGTCATCATCTTGTACTTCTTCTACCCAGAGACTCGCGGTCTTTCACTCGAACAGGTACGCCTTTCTACCATGAATGATAAAAAAGATTGAACAAAGAAACTAATTTGCTACACGTTTAGATGGAGGTTCTCTTTGGCGGCGCTGGCGCTGATGTTGTTCGCCAAGTTGAAAATGGAGAATTTGGACTACACACAGAAAAGCAAGCACAGGTACAAGATGAGCCTGAGTCTGATTCTGAGTCTGACCCTAAGCCCAAGCTTGAAGCTATCAACTAGCTTTATATTCCTTAATTTTATTTCTTTACGCACACCATAAATGTTCAATAATGAAGAAAAAATAAATAAATAGCCAGGAATATATTCCTTTTCTGAATTAAAAAAATTCAACAAGCAGAATTCACTTGAAAGAGATCAAGTTTTGATATCAATCGGTCAAGAGACACTGAAAGGCGAAAAGTCAGAAAATGTACAACACTATCGGGCCAGTGATGTGCAAAGCACCAACAGGTATCGAGCGCGATATTTTCAACTTCTAAATTCCACTGAATCAAAGCTTTCAATCATTAAAGTAAAAGCGGTGCTCAACTATCCAATTCTCCAATATTCACCGTATCATCAAAAATATTTTTCAAGGGACAACAATGTGACGAGAGGAAGTCACAATGATGCAAGAATTGCTGCTTTGTCGAAATGATTAAACAACGGTGTTGGTTCACAAGAACTCAATGTCCAACATGTCATCTTTAGGATACTCTATCTTTATTTTACTTTTGAAAGAAGGATTTAAAAATCCCTTTCGATATCTATTTCATTATCATTGCTTTAGCGAAAACGTAAGAATAGAGCTTTTAGAGACTCTAAAAATGGGCTTGAGGGAAGATTATACACTTTTGATTGCTGGATATGATATTGTACACTAATTGAAGGTGTTGGAAAATAGTCCTTAGGCTAGAGAGTTTTTTTAAATCTTGAAACCAAGATCTCTCATGCATTTGAGGTGGTTGTCAATGTATTCCTTGCAATTCTCCTCGCCTTTGTCGAAGATACAGCGGTCTCGAACCTTCTTTGTTTCAGGGCAAGCGCAGCATGGCTTTAAGGGCTTTCCATCAGCGCCAATAGGTAATTCGCCAGAGTGGGTTGAAGTGGTTGTGATTGACGGTTGGGACATGGTGACAAATCGAAAGGAAAAGTTATTTGCCGCTTGTCGGGTTTTTTCAGAATTGAAAGTACCTTGGTTCAGGAAAAAAAAACGTGACCTTTAAATTTTAGAAAAATACCATAGCCAGAACGGAAAAAGTGGCAAGGCACCGTAGCAAAAGTATAACTTGAAATACGGACATAAGTAAAGGTAATTGGAGCATCGAATATCTACGTGTTAGTAATTATCGGTATTAGGTAACCTCAAGTGCATTTTATTCACATGTGAGATTTTCAACACTATGGAGGTATCGTTAACTCGCAAGGCGTTGGTAAAGTAACTACAGTCCTTTCATGTAAAGTATAATCAAGTGCTTCTAATAGTGGCCGAAATAATGAGCCATTGCCTTTTCCTAACTCATGAAATACTTTGATCGTCTATAAAGTAAGTTGTTCACTTTGACAGGCAGCTGAGGCACACAGAGCCATCTCACGTTAATGCTGCTGACTTACCCCAGAAAAATGTTATATTCCCATAATATATGTTACTAAGACATTTTTCTTGCTACATTTTTCTTTTCGAATGCAGACAGCGACTGGATGTAGCCTTGTAATACCTTTTCATTACTATCAAGCAGCGTGGTATCAAGTACTATCTGCAAATTGGTAACGTTGAGGTATGAGCTGGTGCAATAATAGGCATACCGGCTGACACACAATTTTTTGAACTTCAGTCTTTGTACAAAACGAGCAATTCATTTGTGATCTGTCAGCGATTTTCCCGACCCAGCAGACGCTCTCACACTTCTCTCACATTCTTCCCAATGGCCAAAGATTCAGCCTCTCAAAGGGAGAAATCGGCCAAGCGTCGTCTCAAACAACTAGGAAAGACTATCAAACCTTCTGTATCTGGCTGGTCAGATAGTGAAGACGAGCTTGCTGTTGGTCAGGAAGGTAACTACCTACATTCAGGCCATGCACGTGAAAATGGTCACCATGCCCAAAATGCCTGGCATGAAGCTATGAAGACGTTTTACTCACTCTGTTGAACCTTAGAAAACATCAAGTCTGTACGAATTGGCGATGTGGTTATCAACGTAGATACCCCTATTGCACCAGAGCTTGTTCCGGAGTATGAAGAGCCTCTGTTTGACGATTCACAAGAAGTGCTCAGGCACCTTAGATGGTATGTCGAGGATGCAAGCTGGTCCAAAGTTTGGTTGATAAGGCTTCTAACCTCAGTGTATGAATAGGATGATGCAGAAGGACAAATTGCGACAAGATATCTTTTTGATCGGTCCGCCAGGTCCTCTCCGCCGTTCACTGGTCATGAAGTATGCTCAAATGACAAAAAGAGAGTAAGTTATTGCTAGAGTTGGGATGCTCGAGAAGGTGAAAAGATGAAGCTAAACGCCTTGTATAGGGTTGAGTACGTTGCACTGTCGAAGGATGTCACGGACGCCGACTTGAAACAGCGCAGAGAATTATCCAAGGGCACATCGTATTATGTCGACCAAGCTGCTGTTAGAGCTGCCATTCATGGAAGAATTCTGATCTTGGATGGTATAGAAAAAGCTGAGCGCAATGTTTTGCCTATCCTGAACAACTTGCTAGAAAACAGAGAAATGGCACTTGAGGATGGTCGTTTCTTGACCAATAAGGATATCAGCTCTTTGGAGGCCAGCAACCCTAATTATCTTAAATTTGAAAAAGTCCATGACCGATTCCTTGTCTTTGCCTTGGGTAAGTTACAGTTATCTTCTAAATGCAAGCTTGCATGTGTTTAAACTAGATCCTGTCTGTTGTAGGTCTTCCCATCCCAAGATATGTAGGATACCCATTAGATCCACCTCTTAGATCTCGTTTTCAAAGTAGAGATATCAAGGCACCCGGATTTGATTCCCAAGTCAGACAATTTCTCACATTGGCTGGCCCAGGAGCCGACAAAGCAGTCATAGAACGGCTTATATCTATTAGCATGGTGCTAGGTGTTCAGAGCGGCAACAACAAAGTGGATGCCGAAATTGATGTTCCTGAGTTCCCGTCCACCATTGATGCCCTCGCGGATATATATTCCAGATTCCCTCTCGCCAACCTCCGCTTCTTGCTAGACTTGGTTTATCCTTACCCACTCCTTCCGACTTGCAACGCCGAACAACTCAGTGTCATTGAATCTGTATATCGACGGTTCCGCGTTTTCTCTCCTGCAATTGAGGCAGACCAGGAGGCAATTGAGCAGCAAGTTTTCTCCGGCTACAGCTTAGCCAACATTGAGCGATTAGACAGAGACAGTGCTACTGTTGATGGATCTTACATCCGCCCTCAGGCCGTCGCTGCATTTGCACACGAAGCTGGAAAGCATTCAGCTGTGGTCGTGGAATGTGGCTCACACGCTTTTGGACCGGCAGAATACTTTGTGGAGACTCCATATCATAAAAGAATATTGACCGCCATGGTGATGGCTCATGCTGGAGGTCATGATTTCTGTCTCGTTGGCACCAACAAGGGTGTTGGCAAGTCTGCTCTCATTCGACATTTCGCCCGTAACCTTGGCTATAGCATTGAATTTATTCCCCTGTTCCGAGACATGTCTTCCCGTGACTTGCTGCAACGTCGTACCACTACAAACACTGGTGATACTATTTGGGAGAACTCCATGCTCGTTGAAGCAGCCCTCCATGGACGCTTAGCAGTTCTTGATGGTGTCGAAACTTTGTCATTTGGAACCTTGACCACTCTTCAAAGACTCGTATTGGAACGTGAAGTCCAGCTTCCCAATGGAAAGCGATTGGTGAATCCAAAGCGATTCTTATCATTGATGAAGAAGCACAACTGGTCACAAGAAGAGCTTCTCAAGGAAAAGGGCATGATTCCCATCCATCCTTCTTTCAGAATTGTCTGCCTTGCAAGAGCTGGAAGTGGAGCAGGTCTAGATGGCCCAGCTGGCGCGTGGTTGACTCCAGAGGTTCTCACTATGTTCCACTTTGTCGTTGTTTCCCCGTTGCCCAGTGCAGAAGAACAATCTGTATTGAAGATCTTATCCCCTGGTGTCGACGAAGACAAACTATCTACTTTGTTAAAGTTTGCAAACCGTTTGAGACGTGATACAGACGAAAACATCAAAGTTCTATCGAACGCTATGTCTACTAGGTAGGTTGTTCATTCGGGGGGTTTTTTTTCTTATAAGCATTTAGACTAACTTCGTGTTCAACTGCAGACAACTCATTCGTATTTGTCGCCGCATTGCTTATTTCCCTGATGACTGTCTCCACACCTCTGTTCACAAAGTGTCGCTTTCACGTTTCATGCCAAATATTGCTAGAATGGCTCTTGATGAGCTTCTCAAGGCCAATGGAATAGCTGCACCGACCGGAAACCCCCACGAGAATTTAACAATTGATGTTCTACCCTCTCGTGAGAATCCCAAGACCATCCGAATTGGAAGTGTCACTGAGCCAGTCTTTGAAGGTGGTGACCCTATGCTTATTCCTCATGTTGTCTTCCATGAAAATCCCGCACAAACTTTGGTATTACAAGAAATGCTCAAGGATTACCAATTGGGAGAGCATCTTTTGCTTATTGGTAACCAAGGTGTGGGCAAGAACAAGCTTGCTGATTACTTCTTGCAGCTCCTCAAATTACCAAGAGAATACATTCAACTGCATCGTGATAGCACTGTTCAGAGTTTAACCACTACACCGGCCATTCGCGATGGTGTCCTCATCTATGAAGACTCTCCTCTAGTCAAGGCTGTCAGCCTTGGTAATATCCTGGTTGTGGATGAAGCTGATAAAGCACCGACGTTTGTCACGGCTGTTCTCAAGAGCTTGATTGAAGATGGACAGATGGTACTTGGTGATGGAAGACGCATTGTGTCTAATGCTCAAGACAAGGAGAGAGCCGATGATATCATTGTCCATCGCAATTTCCGCATGATTGTGCTGGCCAATCGCCCAGGATATCCATTTTTGGGCAACGATTTCTATCGCGAGATTGGCGATGTGTTCAGTTGCCATGCCGTTGATAATCCAGACATGGCCTCCGAAATGTATTTGCTCAAGAAATATGGACCCAATGTTCCTGAAGACTTGCTCGAGAAGATGTCTGCTGCATTCACTGACTTGAGAAAACTTGTTGACGAAGGATTGATCTCTTACCCTTACTCGACAAGAGAGTTGGTAAACATTGTTCGCCACATGCAGATCTATCCTGAGGAAGGCATTTCCAAGACTCTTCAGAACGTTTTTGATTTTGATCAATACGATCAAGCATCCAAGGATATGCTTATTGAGGTCTTCCAGAAGCATGGTATCCCTGTTGGATTGGAATCAGAGTTCTCCATCGAATTAGGTCAATCTATGGAGTTGGGCGATGCCAACATTAGCCAAACCTGGGCTCGTTCACCAAGCCTTACTCAGGCTAGTCAAAGTTGCCGTATGGAAGAAGCTGACATTGCCGTCAGGGGAGGCTGGGACTTGGAAAACGGTAAAAAATGGAGAGACCTTGAGCGTAAGGAAGGAAGATCCTTGACGTTCACAGAACAATTATACCATTTTGATATTCCCACCCGTGGAGAAGCTTTGGATATTGCCGCAATGGACGATGGTTCCATGTTCATTGTGACTACCAACCCAGTCACTCTCCATCGCATTGAACCTAAACACCAAAAGATTGATAGTCTCGACTTGTACGAATACTTCCCATTGCAACGTACTCCTCCAAGACTTCGAATTTCAGTCATCAAACAAAACGGGCATGTCAAGTATCTTGCTCTTCACAATCCTTCCAACAACGAGCTTCTTTGCTGTGATTTCAACAAGAACTCTGTCGTGTCTGTTGTCATTAGAGGTTTGGACCCTGTCAACTCTATTATGGTACGAAGTTTGGAATCATCTGGTATTCTTGTATTCTATCAAGAGGACCGATCTGTCATGGCTGTTTTGGATTTCAATACCAGTAAACAATATACCATCAACGCACCCATTCGTATCAAACAGCTCTTTGTCTTGGAGCCCGGATTTTGGATCGCTCAAGACAGCCGTAGCGAGAAGAAGTTCATGATGCGTGCTCAGAACTCCAATGCCCACGGTATACCACTTGTTATGGAACAGATGGTTGTTAGCGGTAGAGCTGAAAATGAAGCTTTCAGTTTGTCACAAGTTGCTCATCTGGAAAGCCCTGAGGGACGCTTCATGCACTCTGGCTATCCCGAGCACTTGGCTTCGGTTGGCGTTGACCTCAAGTCCAGCGTCATGACAGCTCATCCCGATGCAGCCGCCAATATTTATACATATATGCGCCGAATTCCTCTTGACGATAAGGGTGACTTATACTCCAACGTCAAGAGCGCCAGTCTGTACCTCGCTGGTACTAGACAATTTGCCGTTATTCATCCTTTCCGTGATGGTAGAAGCGAAGGTGTCTTGGAATTGATTAATGCTGAGCAAAACCGCGGTTGGAGAATCAACCTTCCGCTCGCTTATCTAGGCCAACCTTCTTCAGAAGTTCCTACAGCCGGCTTTGTAAGAACCCCTGTCACCAAGTTCGCCGCCTCTCTTTGCGAATTGCCAAATGGACACCTCGTCACTATGGACAATGCTGGTACTGTTCGTGTTTGGCAAGTGGATTCTTCTGAGCTCTTCCGTTCTGCACAAACATGGAAGCGCATGGTTGGCGTTGATCAAAAGGTCCTCTCCGTTATTTTTGAAAAAGCAGAAGATGAGCAAGAACATAACGCAGAAGGTGGCATGATCAATGCTGATGGACAGGCCGACGGAGGTAACGGTTCTGGCTCTGGCTCCGGAGAAGGCAGTGGTGAGGGCGATGGAAGCGGCGGAAGCGGAGGCAGTGGTGAGGGCGGCAGCGGCGGCGGTGGTACGAACATGAATGAAAATGGCCGTGAAGCTACATTTGTTGATGTTAGTACTTTGGAATTGGTAAGTTGAAAATACACTCCTGTTTACAGTAACCACACCGCAAATTCACACATTCCGTTGCTCAGCGCGCTGGTTCTGATAGTCCAAATGACGTGTCTGAGGCTCAAAAAGAGATGCATGAACAAGCCATGGCCAAACGATTGGAGCAAATAAATATGACACAAGCCGACTCAAAGTTGTTCCGAACCTATTTGGACAACGTGAGACGCGAGGTCCGTGAACTTCGTGTTATTCTTGAAAGCATTGAAGCCAAGAATAAGGAACGCGTATGGCTTAAAAACCAGACATCTGGTGATTTGGATGATACTAAAATGTAAGCAGCATGTTGAGCCACCTTTTTTTCTTAGTGATCAGTTCTTCTAACTTTCTCTATTCCGTTGTGATAGCATTGAAGGCTTGACTGGAGAACACAACATCTACAAGAAGAGAGGTGATGACGACCCTGAGATTGGCTTGTTCCAAGAAAAGCCCAAGCGCATGAATTTCGTATTTGATCTTTCAGCCAGGTGAGTTACGAAATACACGATGTAAATGAAAGTTACCCAAATGTGACACCGATGCTAAAACGCCGAATTCGCTCACTTTCGATAGTATGTTCCGCTTCAACGGTCATGATCGCCGCTTGGAGAGATCGATGGAAGTCGCTCTTATGTTAATGGAATCCTTCCGTGGTTTCGAACACAAATTCCAATACCGAATTCTTGGCCACAGCGGTGATGGCGCGAACATTGAATTTGTCACCGAAGCTAAATATCCCAAGTCTGAAAAGGAAGAGTTTGAGATCATCAGCAAGATGCGAGCTCACTCTCAATACTGCCTGAGTGGTGACAATACTCTTGGCGCGGCATCTCACGCCATAAAGCATATTGTGAAAGATGAAGCAGATGACTATTTTGTGGTCGTCTTATCGGATGCCAATATTGCACAGTATAATATTAAACCCAAAGATATTGCTAGGAGTAAGTACCGTTTTTTTTTTTGTTTTATCATGGCACGTTATGGGTTTCTGATCATGAAAACTAATGCTTGGCTTCTGCCCTTCAATTTTAGTTTTGAAATCAGACGATAGAGTTACAGCTCAAATGGTGTTTATTGGGTCTTTACAAGATCAGGCAGAACAGTAAGTTTTATTTTGCAGCTTGTTTATTGCCGTATTTCCCCATTTTGGGTATAAATATCCAATGGGACCTTACACCCGCCGGAATCACGATTTACCGTTAACACGCTGTTTGTCCCTTTCCCAGATTAAAGAAAGCGCTGGGTAGCCATGCTCACATGTGTACGGAAAACAAGGAACTTCCAAAGATTATGAAGTCTTTGTTCCTTGCTTCCATGATTAAAGCATAGAGTATAATTTAGACTTACTTGTACTTGTCACCAAAGAAAAAAGAAATCAAAGAAAGAGATTTTTGTGCCCCTTGAACACTTTTTGCCAAGAACTGTCGGCAAATTAATTATGCGGAGCCTCAAAAAACATACACGATTTGTGACTGTGGCCTGTACCTTTCGAGCAAGCTAAATATCGACTTCTTGTCGCACTAACTTCCACTTAGCAAATCATTCTTCTACTAAATCCCATGCCCAGCACATGAATGTGCTTCTCTTATTAAGCTTGCTTATATTCAACGGAATAGTTGAAGCAGCAACATGCATTCAACATTCAGACCCTTTGAATCCGTCCAAGTACACAGTATCCAACTGTACCAGTGGTCACCCCTCTCATTCAACACAATCTCAGCGTCATCGGCGAGATGAGCTAGCATTTAATGGCACCAACATGTTCCATATATCATTCAGTTGTTACGGCACTGATTCACTCTCATGTTCAAGGGCCAAAAACACCTTTATAACGGCAGGGGAGATCATTTCATCCGTCATTCGATTTCAAAAACCTGTCACTGTAAATGCCACATTCTTGCCGTTCTGCTCTATGTTGGATATATGTCCAACCGATGGGAGGAAAGTCATTGGTAACGTAGAAAGCTCCAAAATTTCTTCATTGCCAAAAAAGATCGACCAATTATAGCTGATGACTGTTTAAATATAGGATCCGCCTATCCCGCTGTCAGCCACCTTATGACTGACGAATCGGATAATATGACGCGCATGTATCCCCAGGCTCTACTGAAGCAATTCCGTCACCTAGGGGAAGTTCCCAACTGGGCATCATTTGATATTAACGCAAAATTTGACAGTGATATCAATTGGTACTTTGAGGTATGTCGTATTGGATTTAGGTTGTACAGCTACCTTTCTTCCCCTCCTATTTACATAAATTTCCAATAGGGAACTGGTGCCGTTGCAAATCAACAGCAGGATTTCCTTCGAATTGTTGTACACGAATACATCCATGGTCTTGGCTTCCTCAATTCATGGAATAATTATCTTTGGAACACCTTCCAACAAGTTGATCCAAACTGTACTCAATTTTTGACTCCCATGCCGATTTCGCCTCCCAACCAATTACAATCTGTGTATGACCAGGCACAAGATGCTGATGGACCCCAACCCTTTTGGGGGTTTGTGGAATATCCCTTAGATAAATTGGTCAAAATCAATGGTACCAACCAATGGCTATCCAAATCTACTATGCAACTCAATGGATGGGGCAACAGCAATGTCATGTTTGCTTCACTGGATGATATGTATCATTCATGGCAAATTTCCAACTACAGCAATACAGCATATCAGATCTACAATCTTTCTATCCAACCAGATTCGCTTACTATTTCTAACAAGAATTTTGGAGATATTTGTTTGGAAACCTCACTCAGTCCCTTTGTCGTAGGCTCTTCTCTGTCGCACTTTGACAACAAGCTGTACGATAATACCGTCGATTATCTTATGGTGTATCAGGTAAAGCTGTCGTTCATTCCTCTCTCCATTGTCGCCACCGCAATTCATCTCTTTCATCATGCTAACCCTTCATTTTTGTCTCTTTCTATGTAGGCTGATCCTGGTCTCAATATGCAGCAATATGTAGCTTCACGAGGCGGTGGACCTCTTGGTCCTAAGCTGCTATCTGTCCTCCAAAAACTTGGTTATGATCTTGTATTGGCTGCAAACAGCACGCAACCTAAATTGATTCCTTGGCAACAACCCAAGAACATGGTTGGTACCACCGATAACCCATCACCGTCCGTATCTTATGTAGCAGCCTTAGTGTCTACGACCTCCTCTAGTACTCCATCTCAAACAATGACGGTTTCTCAAGCTGTCACTGGTATATCCACAACACCTCTCTCTCTCTTAATAACAATGCTGGCAATTGTATCACTCCTTTAATACTTGCTGTTATAGACCAATGCTTTAAGATATTTTTGGTAATGGCAACACTTTGTATATTTTCAGCCTTTTTAAAAAATTGCCACTTGTAATAGAGCGCTTACTGTATATATTAGAAAAAATGATGCCACTTTTTGTTATAATTTACCTTACCATGTCATCTATAAAACATCCACTTGAATGATCCAACCTATCCCGTCATGAGCTTTTTGCTGTTGTAAATTATATATTCTTGCCAGGTCAGCTATTTTACTGTTGCTGGTTTCTTTGACAAACGAAGTTTCAATTGTCTGAGTTTAGAAACCGCCGTTTGCACCCAACATTTCACTATTGATTGGTGTGCTTTCTCATGGCAGACAAGCAAAAAGAAGATAATAATGCGTGAGTATCCAAGTCATTCCAGTAAATTCTAAATGGGTTATTGCTAGTTTATCTTGGGGCAAGGGCCAAGTTTAAGCTGCTCAACAGGTGTAATGGCGATCTTTGTGGGAGCTATAACAAGCGCTTGTTCAACCCATTTTGAAGGCGATCAAGACATCTGATTCGAAATGATTTTGAAAGAATGTCAGAGTACGTAATATTAACCCTTTTTGATCCAACAGTCTATTTAAAAAGCTGCTCAGTGAGCGAACAGATAAAATCGACAACCTGAAGTTAACCTACGCAGTGCTGGCCAAGCGGATTCCTGAGATACATCAGCCTGGAGACAATAAGTCGGATAAAACCACGGATAATACCACCATTGTAGACACAAAGGCAACAACCGTTAGTCCCTATTCCATACGTTGATTTCATTTGGCAAGATTCTAAGCTTATGACTCTATGACAGGCCTTTTCGTTACTCGAAAATCTGATAGACGAATGTATATTTGATACATTGTTAGGGGTTCACAAGGATTTACGAACTAGAACTTCTGTATGCCAAATATGTAAAACAAAGTATGTAATCTTTTCAATGGCAACGAAGCTGACTGCAAACAATGTCACTAATCAGCCGCCCATTTGGTTGTTGCAGATGCCAAGGCTATGGTTAGTATAATTTGATCGGTATTTACCAATCATACAGCACCCTCTAACAAGCCCTCATTTTTGAATGCATGTAGTAAACAAAGCGGGATGTGACATATTCGGAAATAGCTTCACTTCTGCCAACTTACCTTCGTACGAATGTGTCAATTGTCACAAAATGTATCCTGCAACTCGATATGCTCCCCACTTGGAAAAATGCTTAGGTTTAGCAGGCAGACAGTCCAGTAGAGTTGCCAGCAGAAGGTATACACTTTCTATTACAGATTAGCTAATGCTGTCCAGACCCTCCTACTCACACATTGATCCACTAGAATGGGCTCACAGTCTCCATACACGGCTGTCAACATGTCGGAGGACAGTATGGGAGGAAGTGACATAGAACCAAATTCTATGGAGAAAAGGCGACGGAAAGCCATGAGCAAGGTATTAAAAACTGATGTGAAGCTTTGGGGATAGGGGCGATTCCACAGCCATATTCTGACGATTTTCGGTTGTCTAGCTTTCTGACTTGTCAAGACTAAAGAAAATGAGAGCGCATGGTAAGATGCATATGATTATGTTTATGCTATATGTTATCAAATTAGCTGGCTAACATTAAGGCATTTACAGAATCACTATCTCAACCAGGCCATAAGGTATGCTTTTTATATACAGTATGCACGTTACTATTTAATTGTGCACATTACTCATACTCTTGTCATGAATTTGCTGGACAGTCTTCATGTTAGTAACACGACTATAGTCTTGTTTTTGCGCACTGACCAGTGTTACTGAACTACGCATTTCCAGATGCGGATCATATTAGGGCAGAATTGGAGGACTCAGATGCATCCGATAATAACTACAGATCAAGCGGCAGAAGGTCAAGCAGCCCAAAGTTGTATGCTGAGGATATGAAACGTAGTTCAAGTGTACCTATCAAAGGTGCACCTAGATCTCCAAACAGCGATGATAATGTTTCCCGAAAGGAACTCAAGCGAATGGCTGTAAAGGCTGGGTAGGGACAATTTTTTTTTTCCAAGTGCTATACAAATCTCCCAAATCAGTAAACTAACCAAGCACAGACGAAGCAAATCCAAGTTGGCGATATATAGCAGTGATGAGGATGATTTTGGAACCAAATCAGATCTAATAGGTGAGTATTGGCGTTTTCAAAGTGAAGGAGTTATATCAAAGAAAAGAGGAACTCAATTGCATCGGCGCATAGACATTGATGGACTGGAAAAGCGGAGGAAACATTGAAATCACTTCCTCTCAACATTGTGTATAATTCTTGTATATTTGACATAAATACATGGTGACCAGACTGCATGGTCATAATGAATCATAAACTTTTGTCCTTCTTGACAACGTTAGGTCTAAGTGACTATTTTGGGGGAATGGAAATTGTGTTGGACGCAGAGTTGTATGCAGCTGTCAAAGCAGCTACTTGGAGTAATGTAATATTTAGAGTTGTCTTCAATTTAAACTCATTAATGCCGCTCATGGAATACTGATAGATGAATTCCTACATTGGCTTCAATGTAATATGTGTTGCTCAGCATGGGACGGGGCTGACGATGAATCACTCTGAATCAAAAAATTAACCTCAGCGCGAAGTAGATGGTGTCCGCCCGAAAATGGCAGGCAAATGCGTCTCATTGGCCAATCTCAGCGGCGCTTATATTGCGAAACTTTCGTAAGTCCTTACAGCCGGTTTCCTAGCAGCGATTGTTTCTTTTCACTTTTTACATTCAATCAAGATGCAAATGAAACTCAAGCCCTCGTTGCAAGAGGTCCAAGAGATGGTCCAATCCGGCCAAGGAAATACAATTCCTATCTATGCAGAGCTACATGCTGACATGTTGACACCTGTGTCAGCATACCTTAAAGTCTCAGATCGTTCTCGATACTCATTCCTGCTTGAATCAGTCGCTGGAGGTGAAACGATAGGGCGATATTCTTTCATTGGCTCAGGTAATTAGCTCATCGCGCCATGCCAGGCTTCTCCTTTGCAAAAATCAGTTTTCGTGACACCTATGACTCACATCCCCCATCAAAAATAGATCCCTACAAAGTATTGAAGGTTGGCGACAATGAAGCTATCAAGGGAGACCCATTGAAGGTTGTTGAGGAGGAATTGAAGGATATCAAGTACGTCAATGTGCCTGGTATTCCATCATTTACTGGTAAGTGTATAGAATTGGCACCAGATTATGTTCTTCACGACCTCATTGTACCCTTCTCTCCAAATTATAGGTGGTGCTGTCGGATACATTGGTTTCGAGTGCTTTCAACATTTTGAACCAACACTGAAGAGAGATTTGAAGGATCCCATTGGCATTCCCGAAGCCATCTTTGTTCTCTGCGATACATTAGTTGTCTTTGATCGAGTTCGCCAAGTCGTCAATGTCGTATCACACTTTAGAAGCGATGTCACCGCTCCCGAAGATATAGAACGGGAATACATGAAGGCAGCAGAAGAGATCGAATGTACATTAACGCTTTTGAACGATCCTCATACCCCTTCTGTTCCTCAGCCTCCCGTCGTCCTTGGAAATGAAGCCGTTAGCAACGTTGGTAAAGATGGCTACGAAGGATTTGTTACCAACTTGAAGCACCACATTGTTGAAGGCGACATCTTTCAAGCAGTACCCTCACAGAGACTTGCGCGACCAACTTCACTTCACCCATTCAATGTGTACCGTCATCTTCGTTCCATCAATCCTTCACCATATATGTTTTACGTCAACCTGGATGAATTTCAGATCGTTGGTGCATCTCCTGAAATGTTGACCAAGGTTGAGAACCGAACAGTATATACACATCCCATTGCCGGTACACGCAAGCGTGGAAAGACGCCTCAGGAGGATAAGGCTCTTGCTGAAGAGTTGCTGAGTGATGTGAAGGAGCGAGCTGAACACGTCATGTTGGTTGATCTTGGACGAAATGATTGTAACCGCGTTTGCAAACCTGAAAGTGTCCAGGTCGACAAGCTTATGGAGATTGAAATGTATTCTCATGTCATGCATATTGTCTCCAATGTTAGCGGCAAGCTTCGAGATGAAATGACCTCTTATGATGCTTTCCGAGCAATTTTCCCGGCTGGAACCGTGTCTGGTGCTCCAAAAATCAGAGCTGTCGACCTCATTATGGGATTGGAACAGGAAAAGCGTGGAGTCTACGCTGGGTAAGTGTTTTCTGCCATGCTATGTCACCCAGTGCAAATGAAATTGAAACTTAAAATCTTTGCACCCCTAGTTCCGTTGGCCATTTCGATTACTCTGGTGACCTGGATACCTGCATTGCTATTCGCACCATGGTTTTCAAGGATGGTGTAGCATACTTGCAAGGTAACGTGTTGTCTCTCAATCCTTTACAGTCTACCCAACCTGTGGTACTAACTATGTTATTTTACAGCCGGTGGTGGTATCGTTTATGACTCTGTCGAGGAAGATGAATACCATGAAACAATGAACAAGATGGGTTCCAACTTGACGGCAATAGCCGAGTGCGAGTTGAAGTACTATGAAGCACAACAAGAAGAAAACTAACTATAGATAGCTTGCGCTGACCTATCTTTCATTAAAATTAAACCCCTACTTTCTCTCATGGCCCATTGTCTCTCATCATTACCCCAAAAAACAAGCAGCGCCATTCGAGCAAAGAATAGGAAATGATGACATACATATACGTATAAAAATGTTATCAAGATTAATTACAAATGATAGTATGGAACTAATCTGTGGTTTCAATGGTGGGGTTTGATCTAGTGGGAATAAGTTGATGCTGTTCTAGCGGTAGTTGTGGTGATGCAGGTTCACTTCGCTTGGTGGAGGCATCTGGCTTGGTTGGAGCGGCTTCATGTTTGATTTGGAAAAGTTTGATGTTGGTTCCATTCCATAAGCCACTACCAGAAAGGCTAAACACATACGCCTGACCCCAGAGCATAGACCGGAACCAAATCACCAAAGCCTCACCCCACTGGAAGCGGCGGATGTGTATGGGTTGGGGATGGGGAAGAATACCCACTAAGGTCATCTTGCGCAAATATTCTAGTACCTGAGCGTCACTGGTGAGACTTTGAGTTGAGCAAAGTTCCGTCACTTGAGGAACGAGGTGATCCAACATCAAAAGTATCGGGGTAATTGGTAATGTGGGTTTCCAAGAATCAACCCAAGCTTGTGTTGGCGTAAACCGGCTTCGGCTGCCAGGGGCGAGAGTTTGTGACAGGATTGAAGATGCGCTGGATTGTCTACGCAAAGATTCTACTGGATCCGATACCACCGTTGTCTCCGCTGGAGGTTCATTGACGGCTGGTACAGCCGCTTCAGGTGCAACATCAGAAGCAGAAGGATCTTCCTCCTTGCGTTTACCCCGTGCTTTTTCGGACAGGGCTTCTTGGTCTGTCGTTTGTTCTGAATCCGTTGGCGCAGTTGATTCGACTTGCGCAACCGGTGTAGTGTCCGTCGATTCACGCACTTCGCCTTGTATCTGCTGCGATTTTCTTCTCTTTTCTTCCTTAGCAAGCTCAATTCTTGTGATATCTTGAAGTGCGCCTGCTAGCGTAAAATCACGAAGCTTCTCGAACTTGCTGTGCGCTCGAATCAGGGCATATATGACATTCGGATTATCTAGACAGTGCCATCAGTATTACATATATTTAGACATGGTTTGTTCACAGCCACAGTACACCACGTGTACCATAACTCACCAGTGAATTGATATTGGATGATGTTGTTGAAAGATTCCAGGATATATTCGACAAGTCTATGATTGCTATCGTCAGCAAGCAGGAAGCCTGGGGCTGTGAAGGAGTTGAACAGGGACACAAGTTTAGAAGAAGATGCTACAGATAGGTTCTTCAAGTATGGAGACACATTGGCGATAATCAGAATTAAAGCTGGATAGAGCGTCGATAATGCACCCCTGGTGGTGGCAATGAGATTATAGATGGACTAGAAACAGATACGGAGGTGACAAACGTCAGTACCCTTGCTGTTACATACACAATCCTCCCAATGTGTTTGCTTACAATGATAACAAAGTCGGCGTAGCTTCCGTGAAACGCGGGTAATCTTACGCTATTTGGGAGCGATGAATGTCCGTCAAATGTCTTGTTCAACTTTACACCAAAAGCTCTGTCAGACGAAAGAGTTTGTAGGACAAATGCGGACATGCGGACCAGACCGATTTGCGCTAGAAAGACAACGTGCGGTCAGTTGCCATTATATCCAAACACTTCATCTACTGTTTATGACTTCAGCCAAACTCACCAGGGTTGTTTCTATTGTCCACGGCATAATAAATCAATACGACCATCAAGTCCAATACGCGATCCGTTTCCAACAAGTATTGTCTGAATCTCTGTGCAAAAATGAAATATAATCAGTCGTATCAAATAGACTAGTTCACATAAACAATCAAGTCAGCGGCTCTTCGCATACCTGATTAATCTCCAAAAGCTTCCAGCAAAGCATCATGGTTTCGACGTGGCAGCGAACTTGTTTGGTGGAGCCAGGTAAATACGTGTTGTTGGCCAGCATAGGATTGCTCAAGATACGATACATGCCATCGATCAAGAACTGGAAATCTTGAGGACGATGTAGCTTAGACAAATAGTATCTAAAGGCATTATCGGCTGCATGTTCTTGTGGGGCAGATTGGGTAATGGTGGTAAGAGTCGCCGGAGACTCAAGCTCGACAGTTGCCTTGTCTTTGCTTTCGGGAACGCTTTGGATATCGAGAGAGAGGCGTGACGTATCCTTTGGTAGATCGTTCTCCTTGGGTGCATCTCCAAAATCTGCATGCCCAGGTGATTGATAATCCAACAATATAAGAGCAGCACGGAGACACATAACCACCAACACTTCTCTAGGGTCCGAAAACACAACGTGGTTGTATGGTAATCCCCAGCCAAGTGGATTGTATTTCGCAGCCGTGTTCAACAGACTGCAAAGCAGTGCCAGCACTACCTTTCGCTCGGACTTTGCAACGACAAAATGGATCCAATTGTCTTGTTCGCTTATGACGACGGAGGGTGCGATATACATTGATTTAGAGAGCAATACGATCAAAAGACGGAGAGTCTCATATCGATTGACATCATGTTCCTTTGAAGAACCCAATGGAGTAGAAGAGCCTACGCCAGTTTCCCAAATAACGTAATTGACATGAGAAGTTCCTGTGGCAAGGCTGCCTGGTATTGTAAAGTCGGCTAGAAATAGTGCCTGCAGGACCACTGTAGAGTAAGGTTGAGCCTATGACCAGGTAAAGGTGACAATTGTTTAAAAAAAAAAACGATCGAGGACTTACAAGTCAAAAACTTTTGTCCTCTTGGCTCAACGGTCCTGTACTGCTGCTGTATTTTTTGATCCGGTGGCTGTAAAAGTAAGGTGCATTAACAGTCTGTATTGCAATCCCTTCGAACTCATCTCACTGATTTTACCTGTTCGCCAAAAGCCGTGTGCACCTGACCCTCCATGTTGTTGGCGACTGGAGTAGGTATCTCGATCTGTCGTGGCGTCCAAAAGAACTCGTTCTCCCATTCGCCCGAGTCTGGATTTTCAAAAACATATGGCATGAGGCGAGTCAGTACTCGCATACAGTTCAGCAGTTGGATCGTTGATCGGTGATTGGTAGTGAAGTCTTTCGAGTGTATCAAAGCTTCCATTTTTCCAAGCAGCTAGAAAATATAAAGTAGAAGTTCAATGACGCATATTCATAAGTGCTTCAAAGATGTATAGAGCTAGTACTTTGTCTATTAGTGTCTCCATATTGTGCCGCGCCGAATCTCGAACTCGTCTGATATCTGATGCCCCGATTAACGAAAACACATCGTCAGAGCTTTCTGGAAGATTCCAAAACTAAAGAGTGGTGGTATATATGAGCAAGGGATCCTTTAATGTCGAAATATGCGTTCATGCTGGCAACTGTACCTGAGACCAGTACTCATCTGCTTCTGCAGGAAGATTCTAGTAGTAGTAACGAAAAGTGTTAGCGATGGCTTTGGATATGGCTGAAACGAGGCAGAGAGACAAGTCATACATTCTCCTCGAAGAGTCTAAACACGCCTTTTCGAAACGCTAATTTACTATCGGTAGCGCCCATATGCGAGAAACAAAGTGAAGACCTCAGAGCTTGGCAAGCACGTCCATGCCACTAGCGGATCAACCAGTCACGTGCCCGGTATCGTTGACAATTTGTTGGTGGAGTGGCCATACGAAGCTGACACTGCGCCAAATCACATCTTTTTAGGACCATTATCAGGGCTGACAATATAGATGAAACGATAGAAAGCATCAAGCCGAACTATACGATTTGAATGGTGGTGGAGATAAAGTTCGTGAGACCAAATCTTGTTGCTACGCAAAGTTACTGCTTGATAGTGAAATAAATAACAGCAAGTTCCCCAACAGAGATAATTTATATATTTTCAGACTTTCTTCTATCGTATCACTTGCTTTTTCTTATAGTAACATAGCTTTCCTCTACCTTATTGCTGGCTTTGGAGTGCTCGACAAGTACACGCGTCCGAAATGGACACGGAGTAACAAATAGAGGCTACAGGTGAGCGATAAGTTCAGCAGCCAAGGCTAGTGGGAAAGGTATGGACATGGTCAGGCTGAAGATTGAAAAAAATATTGATAGTCTGGACAGCATAATTTGCCTACCATGGGAAAGAAAAGAGAAAATTCAACCAACAGCTGTATACCACAACCTGCCTGGCTACCCCAATTGCGGACTGAGTGATTTCAGACTCCCTTTGATTTTACCTCATACTCAAAGGGCCACTTATTGTCGAGATCGGTTGCTAGTTCAGTGCATTGCATCTCGCTACCGTGTGTACCGAGAAAGACACCAATGTTCACCGCAGAAGCTGATGTAATACTGAGGTTTTAAGCATGAGGGTTGTGACATTCTATCTTATTTATCTAAACAAACGAAAATAAAAACCCATAGAAACATCAAACGCACGCCTGATGAGCTGGCACATATCTTAGCCGACATATAATTGATCCACTTGCCTCTTATGATGAACTACATTTGTCAAAGGAATTCCCTCCTTCATTAGTCAACCGCATGGATGCTATCTAAATGCAACAGGGTTCATCTGTAAATCATCAGTATAGGACTTTGCTAGCCTGAGTCTGTTAGACTTGAATATTGTCAAAGAAAATGTTCAACATGGAGTCAATCAAGTCAGTCATGATTAGTTGATGATGGAATTGAAGGCCTACGTTTCTCGGTACAAGCGATGAAGAGGATAACCAAATTTTGTGCCATACTTTAAAAGGAGGCATTATTGTACAACGGCTTCGACTCAATCATCCCACCATCCACTATGTGGCATCGCATAGCCAAATGATAAACACCACGAGACATGGCGATCAATTTCTCAAATGGTAGGTATTTACTCTGCTTTTTCTATTCGCTTGTGATATAAAAAAAAGGAAAAGGGAGATTATCGTATTAGAGTTTTTGTCTGGTACCACACTTTGATAATAAACAAGCTAAAAGATTTGTAAAACAAAAACAATAGAGTAGTGTGAGGCGTGACTCTTGAGAAGAATAAATTGTACCCATTGGATTACAGTAGAGGCTGATGTCTTTTTGAGTGGATTGTTGGGGTCCGCATCATGGACAGTATCAGTTTGTGGGCGATGTTATATTGCATCGGTAGCCCAACGCTGGGCATTTCCCGGTTTGGGGCAACCCACCCCCATTCCTTCAGCCCACTAAAGATAATGACAACAGTAAACAACTACATCGCCCTCCAACGCATATGCAATATAGCGCCAGTAGCGAAGCACTGTATGGTTTTGCTTACAGTCACTCGTTGCATCGGTGAACTATTGCAGATAAAGCTGCATTTCTCAGGCAGAGCACACATGATTGGTCTGAAATTTGTCAAGCTCACTTTTTGCGGGTATGGGGTGTGACGGTCATAAGGTGTGCCAGCGAGTGCCTTGCTCTTTCCGCCTGAAGTCCTGCCAACCCCAGATGTCATTGCTACCGACTGCCAATTCGAACGGCCAGTCAGCATCATACCCCTACGATGACCATATCCGGCAAGTTCGAAGATCTTCAAATCCATTTCCACTTATCTTGAAGCGAATACTTAGAGTCCCACATATGGATTTTGAGGTAGGATTGCAAATGAATTTAAATTACTGGCGAGGAAAAGCATACTTATGTATGGTCACGATAGTTTGCAATGTGGCAGATGGCATACTTGCTGATAGCTCCTAGAAGAGTGTAAGTTCTATCGCATATATTTCGATTTAAATTCTTGCAGTTTGTCACAAAAAACCTAATTGATCACTCATATATTATTACAGTTATCGAAACATATATTATCACAAACGTAAAAAAAATATCTCGTTCTATTTTATCGAATATGATTGTATTCTGACAATTTTTCATCAATTTCAGAGACGAAGAATCAGTGGGCCAGAGATGATCCAGCATTTCTCGTCCTCATGTCTATATTACTATGCAGTAAGTGTCTACAGCACTGTGAGCCATCCTATCTACTACTAAGACAATTTTGCACCAATAGCTTCAGCAGTAGCATGGGGTCTGGTATATGGGCATGGCTTTCTTGGTATATGTAAAATGATGCTCTATATGGTGTTTGTGGACTTCCTTCTCTTTGGATCTGTGGTGGCAAGCGTTTGCTGGTAAGGAGCTCTAGATATATAAGGACATCATGCAGTGATGATGAACTTAATTATGTTATGCAGGTTGTTCTCCAACCGATTTCTCCGAGTGACAGCATCTCATTCTATCGAACAGCGCGTGGAATGGGCCTATGCGTTTGACGTACACTGTAATGCTTTCTTTCCAGTTTTTCTTATACTCTATGTGGCCCAGTTCTTTTTTATTCCTATACTAGTACGAAGTTCCTGGATATCGCTGTTGATTGGCAACACCATGTACTTTTCATCATTCGCGTGGTACGCGTACGGCACTTTCCTCGGATATAACGGTGAGTGATTTTTTTTTGGGGGGAGTAGTAAAAAGGTTCAGTGTGCTACGGCAAACTAAGCGAGCTGTGGCTTTTTTGGATCGGAAACCGTTCCGGTGCTGGCTGGGTCATTTGAGCAGGGAGTTTGTGAAACTAATTCAATTTGTTATGCGCGTAGCACTTCCCTTCCTCATTCACTCTGAGATATTTCTGTATCCAATAGGCATTTTCCTCATATTATGGGTTGGATCACTTTTCGGATTCAACATAAGTCGCACTATGTTGCAAGCATACTTTGGGTCATAACAAATAAAGTGGTTACTTGAATTTTAACAATGAAAAAGAAACTCTTGTCATAGCTCCCAAAGTGATTTGCATGGTTGCAATCGAGGCATTTGTGTGACAATCTCCCAGGACAACAACAACACGGTTCACTTTTCTTGGACTCGTTGTCGTCACTACACTCCACGCATAAGTATCTTCTGAATCTATCGTCTTGGTCATTCTCTTTGCCTCCTTTTCTTCATTGGCAACTACCTTTTTTCTGCTGATACTCCGGAGGGTCCGCGACCGTCTCGGCATTCTGAAATTCGCTTCGTCATGCAACCGATTCAGAAATCAGTCTCTTCACAGTATGCAACGCAGGCAGGTTATCTACCACCACGCTCGCCACATCGGGGCTACTCTCAAGCTCCTCAGCAACCGCCGACACCTCTTCCACTTCGCCAGCGACCATTGAACTTTCGCAAAAATGCCTGTGCCGTATGTCGAGTTTGCTTTACTTGTGCAAAGGTATTTGTTGTAATGCATATATATTATTGTTTTGCCCTTCTGTTCTATTACTGCTCATTACTGCTCATTATGAAAAATTTTATTGCTTCTCCCACTTTTATTATTTCCCATTTATCAACACTAACATGTGCCTATTGATTTGTCACATTTTCGATGATCTCTTTCTATGAACCAATTGTATAGTTCTATGGCCAAGACTGTGAGTGTCCAGAAATGCACCCTCGACGAGGTAAAAATTTGCCACCCAACACGGTCGATTCCAGATCTAAGCGGCTTATTCCGAGCGAAGTGGAAGACTACCAAATCACAATGGATTGGTTAGAGCAAAATGCCAACGATCGATACAAAGACCCTGAGGGACGCTTACCGCTTAATATATCGGAATTTGCTCTTTGTAAAGCGCATAGCTCATCCCTTTATCGTGCTAAGAAGCGAGCGGAATCCACCCTAGCTTCAAGAGCAGAACAAGACTTTACAAGTTCCTCACAATTACCCATGTCCTTACCGCCAGGATTTGAGCCGACCCCATCAAGTAGCGCCAAACGGAAGAGACTGGAAGATAATGTCGGTGTTATGCGACGCATGCAACATCGTGCTAGCTTTCCTATGCCTAATCCATATCATGTGAGACAGCAGCAGCAACAACCACCATTAAATTTTGGCCCGGTGGTTGAAACCATTTCATTACGAAGTGCGTTGACTGAACAAGAAAGGAATAATCAATCTTTAATATCGTCAGCTGCAACCTACTATTTGCGCAATCTCGCCATTACCGACACCTTTACGTTTAGGGATATTCTGCGCGAGATTGATCTGACAGGCAATGCTCCTCCTCCCGGCAAGAAAATTGTAATTACCAATATTGAGAACGACCGAACCTTTCCCATGGATATCCCAATAAGGAGTGCTATCCAGGGTAGACCGCACATTGATTTGTGCATTGATTTACAGGACATTGTATCTTTCAACGTATCTGGTAGCACGCAAAACTAAAACATCCACAGGACAGCCAACGTTCAGAAAACTAGCAATTTTTTTTTCAGGCCCTTTTTATGCCTCATCACTTTTTGGCTGCCATCGTGTATCAACACAAGTCCCTCCACCCTCCCTTTGCGTTCTTTTTTTTCGGTCAAAGGGCTTTCAACAGATTGCATACCTTTTTTTCCCACCAAGTACATATGTATAGTAAGATTAGTTAGCTTTCACCATGTTAACGTTCTACCATTCTTTGATCTTCTTGTCAGTTCTTTTATTGTGCTGGAATGGTTCCATCCAATGCATATACCGTGGCAGGTTTTCTCGTCTCATCTACCATAGTAGCATTTCGGGTTTTCCATACATACACACGAGAAAAAAAAATAGCATCCACGATTAATAACAAAGTGTAGCCAAATAGCGCGTCCAAGTAGAAATTTCTGGTTGATGGAACCAATAGAGGCGATGATTGGCCATCATGAGTATATTACAAATGGCTGGTTTGTACCACCAGACAGATCTCAGCAGTCGAAGCAATAGTCAGTATGTCAATGTGCATCGCGAGCGTGACTAAAGGCATCTTGTCAAAAGTTTCATAATGCTTAAATTTTCGTTCGAGACGATCCCCTTATCTGGAGCATTTTCTGTGGATGGGTCGAAAAAGCCTGGGACCGCCGGCCAGTCAATGCAAACCAAATGTGGGGTCGGAGCTATTTGGCAATGACGAGACCGAAAATTTATTATGTTTTTGGGTAAAAACGTCTCAACGGATCGGCCACCATCTTTTTTTCTTTTTTACTTTCGCTCTTTTCCTCCCGCAGTGATGAAAACACATGTAGCTGGCTTCGGCCGGCTGCTTACCATTCCCCGCATAGCAATGGCCTTGTTATTATACACCACCTTCATCTACTTCGCCATTATAAGTCTTACTGAAACTTCACTCCCGACCATAACACCTGCTCATAAACGAGCCCTCGACTTGTTATCATCCGACCAAGGCCAATTTATCATAGAAAACCTGCAAAAAATATCGGATAGGATTCGAGAAGAAGAAGAAGAAGTCAAAGTCCCATCCTCAGAACAGGAGAACAGTCAAGAACGTGTTACATACGACTACGACAGCATCGCTCGTAACACTGACCCAAACCACACCAAAGCGCATTTACAGTTCTGGCAGAATTTGGCACCCAAAGCTATCGAAACATATAAGCAAGATTGGAGGAAGTTTGTTTCCAATCTTTTACCTTACTCTTCTTTCCAAAGCAAATATGAAGGAACAGGAATTGTGTTCACAGCAGGCAACAAAGACACTCTGAACCGAACGCTAACCATCATTAGCATCATGCGAGATTTTGGCTGTAATTTACCTGTGGAGGTTTGGCATCTATCTGATGAAACACCTAGTGCAAAGGAAGTCAAGCAACTGGAGGCTCTGAATGCTGTTAGCAAAGATCTGTCAGACTCCAATTTAGTCCGACCAGTCCAAAAAAAGAGAGATGCTGAGAAACAGTAAGTCTTGGCAAGCCGATTGTCCCCGCGCCTTGTAAGGTGTTGTGTATGATCATTAGTCCATTTTAACTTATTGGTTTTTATTAGATTCCAGATTAAAGCTGCAGCTATCATTAATTCTGAGTTTCAGAAGGTGTTGTATTTGGATTCTGATAATATTCCTACACGCAATCCAGAATATCTGTTTCACAGCAAAGAGTTTGAGGAGACTGGCGCATTATTTTGGCCAGACTTTTGGTAAGCGATGTGGTTCAGAGAGAAGCTGTTTTGATAGAGAGCTGTGTGAACTGACTAAACCTGTTAGGAAAACGCATCCTGAGAATCGAATATATGATATCCTCGATATTCCTTGTAGTGATACTTGGGAACAAGAGGTGAGATTTCATAGTAGTTACCTGGATATAGGGTCATCATGCATTTATTTACGCCGTCCTTTGTGTTTCATAGTCTGGACAGATTTACCTGGATAAAGAAAGAACTTGGGTCCCACTACAGTTAGCCTGGTATTTGCAAAGCCATCATGAACTTTATTTCCAATTATTGAACGGCGATAAAGATACGTTTAAATACGCTTGGGAGGTACGTCTCGCTAAAATTAGGTAATTGAAAACGTCAGGGAGCAAAAGGTTAACACCGATGTCACAATAGGCGTTGGGCGCACCATACCATATGGCGGAAACTTTTCTAGGTATGGCTGGCACCATGGTAGAAGGTCGGTACTGCGGACACACCATGGTTCAATATGATTTGTACAGTTCTGGGTACGGCGAGGCGAGCCCGTTGTTTATCCATGCCAATTTACTCAAGATCACGGATAAGACCCATTTCGAGCAAGGAGGAAAGGAACGACCTTGGGATACATTGAAACGATATACCGCCACTCGAGGAAACACATGGCTCCACCCGGAATTCTACATAGCACCCTTAGGTCGTGCATGCATGGACTTTACACACCCTAACGGTGAACCAGAAGTTATTTTAGAGCCATTTGATGATATCTTACCCGGCTTCCAGCAGAGATACTTCGAACTAGGTGGGAAAGGCGGTGAGAAGAGAGTAGTCGAAGCGTAAAAAAGGAGTGCAGTGGAAATGTACAGAAAAACCTACCACACGTTGCACTGGTAATTTAATGAAAAGTTCGCACCACATCCAAAATAGAAATTTGAAAGTGTGTGGTCGATGATAAAGCTAGCAAATTGTATGATTTCGCTTCATGCTTACCCCCACATTGCGTTGGAAGTCAGTACGTTCCTGAAAATAATAAACGTATGTGACACACTCATGGTGCTGAAACGCAGGACCCATATGCATCATTTTTATGAACTTGTGACCATGTGGGGACTTGCCTTTTGCCTCAACCCGATATGACAGCCATTTCCACATTTTATCGCACCAACGATTCTATACATCGTCTTTTCCCTCTTTTTTTATCCTTCTTTTATTTTGTTCATCAAGACTGTAAAATATTATGTCAGAGCGCAAATTTAGCAACCCGCGCAAAGAAACAAATGACAATCGCGTGATGCGTGGCCCGACAGGTAGTATCACTTGGTTCGATCCACGTACCACGACAAGCGAACAGCGAAGTTGGGCACAAGCACCAGGGGAGTCAAACTGGTTTAACCCACGCCCTTACGACAACGGCTCTATAGCGTGGGGCACCAAATCGACTGTGTGGGTTGATCCCATGACAGAGTTCAGCATGAAGAAGTAACCGACTGTGAAAGTCGGTTTTGTATAGGGTAGACAGTGATGTTTTGTGTTTTTATATTAGCTTTTCAAGTAAATTTCATGTCTTTCATCAATCGTGTATGTAAAAGAAACAAAAAAAAAGGGTAACGGAGGTTGGTTGGCTTCGTTGGGAACATTTTCACCCGACGTAAAACAGCCAGAAGGTATAAAGGAAACTATTCCGACAGCAAGCGATTTTGTTTGTGCTTGTGCCAGCAAAACAGATCTAAAGCGACTTAAAAAAAAAAAAGATTATCTACGAAGAATTTTTAAAGTATGGCAGGGTGACAGCTTATACCAAATAGATCGAGTACCACTACTTCCGTTGGCATACGACGATTCGTGACAGCCTTTGGTCCACCAACTTTTTTTTTATAAAGCCCTTCAGTAGGATTCGGTCTACTGCTGAATCACTACGAAGGCTTCATCAACTTTGGTCTTGAGCTTCGTCTTGTCATGCATGAGATGAGCCAGTTCATACAGCTCGATTGTGTCTAGCAGTCGAATTGTTATCTTTGGTGCTTGCTTTGTGCCAGTTGCCTATTCAAAATTAGCCGCGTGAGATTTTGAATGACGGCCGATGATACACTATTCATTTTTCCTGTCATTCTTTTTGTGAAATTTGCTTTACCTTGACAAGTGGGAAAAGTCTATCTCCAAGCTTCTGCTTTTTCTCAAACAAAGAGTAGCCTTGCAGTGAAGCTAGAAAGTTATCTATCTCGGACCGAGTAGTCTCGTTGGAGGTGTTACCTGTGCTCTTTGGAGAAGTGCTGCTTTGTTGTGATCGGGGTTTATGGAGATGCATGTTATAGCCACCACTTCGATATTGATCGTTGGAGTATCGTTCGAATTGGTCGTTGTTGTGGCTATTTTTTTCAAGGGAAAGATCCCTTGACAGTCCGGTAGGAAGTGGAGATGTAGCTGGCTGGTATGACTTTTCATTGTTTGATGATTCATCTACAAATAATTCCAAAGCCTCTTTTGCTAGCTTGATTTTCTCTTTGAGGAAATCGGGGTTAAAAAGGCATAGCGACCTTTCCTTTCGCTTCAGTGTCAAGAGCATATCCACTATATCCTCTGTGTTAGTTGTTTCTCCTGCACGTCGTACTGCATCCGCCATCCGTACTTTCTGTACATTAGAGCTTGATTCTGTCATCACAGAGGACACCGATTCTAAAGAATTACGTCGGAGTGTCTTTTGTTTGGGTAGTGGTATTTTTGGGGGGAGTTGCACAGATGCACCGGACGCAAGTGATGACAGGGACGGCCCGTCACCTGTCGCTAAAGCCGGTGGTGGGGCGGCCGACAATGGGGGGAGCGCTGCACCAATTGTTTGAAGTGACATGGTATCACTGCTACCCTCACTTGGCTGATGTTGCCTCTGAACATAAATGTCAAATCGTTTAGCACAATGCATGCCGACCCAATGTCAAATATTTGAAGAATGGCTTACTAGTGCGTTGTTGGAATACTTTTTGACAATTCGGTTGACACTTCCTGTAACATAGTCATCATTGAATGGGTAACTGGGTGGGTATGAGCCATTGGCGGGATGATAACCCATCATCATATGTCCTGGTTGAGAGGGAAACTGCATCGGTATTTGGTCTTCTTGCCTAAAGACAATCGGCGCTGGTGAGATAGCTCCTGGTGGTGGTGGAGGAGGAGGAGCATATGGTTGCATGTACGCTCTTGACATATCATTATTAGAGTAGGGCATTGTGGGGTCGTATACATTAGGACTAGGCATTGCACTAGGGTATTGGTTTAGTTTATGAGGTAGTGTAGGTGGAACACCAATCATATTTGTGGTGGGTGGATGGACGATGGTTGGTCGCTCCGAACGTGGTTTTTTGGGCTCATGGTATGCGACAATAATGTGCTTGGAAAGCACTAACTTCCCATTCATTTCCTGTAGTGCCATAAATGCTTCCTCTGATTTGCTGAAACTAACAAATCCAAACCCTTTGGAGATGCCGGTTTGGGCGTTATTCATGACCCGGGCAGATATTATTCGACCAAATTTGCGAAACAAATTGAATAAGTCGGAGCTCTTGATGTTCAAGTCCAGGTTTTTGATGTACAGGTTCGTAAAGTCGATGTTGATAGTTGGAACCTCGCAAAATGCATCCTGTCCCACTATTGGATGAGATATCTGGCGATCCATTGGTGCATATGGGTACACCGATGATGCACTAATAGAGTCCTGATGGTACACTACCTGTTTAGTTTGGGCAAACGGGAAAGGAAAATTGGGGTATCAGAGAGCCTCCAAAACAAGGTTTGGATGCTACTTACCTTCGAGACACCACCACTGTTTAGGTCGTCATTCATTGGGTCCGGTGCTTGCAACGTAGTTGGCACCATAGCATGTATCGCCCTGGAAAGCAAAAAATTACCATTCTAGGTCTTCGGTTGACATTGATCATCTCTTTGCAAAAAGAGATATGTGACTCACAATGCCTTCCCGTGGTGTTCTTTACCATGCTGACAGCATCAATAAAAATTTTTGGGGGACAAAGGAAATGTGGTTAGCAAAAACGTGTAAAAATTATTGATAAGGGTATGATGCTTGCATACCAGTTCTGACGCAGCAACATCAGCATCTTCTTGTTCGTAAAATTGAACTAAAGCTGAATCCCGGATGTCTACGTTTGGCTCATCCGAAACGACGGTGCAATAACCTAAAGGACCAAATGTGCGGAATAGGCAATAAATGTCATTGCTTGTCACGTCAGACGCTAAATTCTTGACTTGAAGTACGATGGCTGATGGTTCAGGCTCTTGGTCGTCATCAGTGAAATATAGGTGTAAACGTGAGCCATCGTCAAAGGTTGTTCCATTATATAGTGCATGTGCTTTTTCAGCTGTCAGAAGGAATCATGTTAGTTTTTGACGCTGCTACGCCATTTCAACTTTCGGAGATCATTATATTTAGAGCTACAAACCATCTTCGTCTTTAGCAAAGCGGACATATCCAGCAATAAAAGTTCCAGCCTGATCTAGTTGAATACTAAAGAAGTGTGGTCGTTTTTAGTGGTCTATTGGCAGAGTCCATAGTACCCCCACAATATCGTTCATGCCATACCTTTGTGGATCGCAGCTCTTCAAGACATCCAAAACATCCTGTGAGCTTACACGGCGTGACAGATCTCTGATATACAAAGTCTTATCTGACGCTAAAGAGGTTGTTGAATATTGGCCAGGTTTCATCGATTCACTAGTTTGCCGATCGCCATGGTATGATCGCTGATCGTCCTTTTTATCGTCTCGAAAGGAAACACTATCACGGCTTTGTGGAAGTCTGACAACAGGTTTGATAATGAACAAATCTGTCATGATTTTCCTGAGAGGATCTGCAAATGGGCGAAGGGCCGATGAGAAGGGTTTTGTTGAAACGAGGGGTCGCGCTTTTCGCCTGCCTCCTGCTTTACGTTGGAAACAGCCCAAGTAAATTGACCTCCCATGAATTGCTGCTGATATAGGTCTGATAAAAACTATCCCACCACATGTCCACATCCCTCTCTGGATATATTCCCCCCGTATCACGTCGTATACCATATCCTATCTGATATCCGCAGTTTTATATACGGCGTATAAACGAAGTGAGGCACGCTTACCTGACACGAAGTTTTAAAAATTGACTCCAAGGTCGACGCAATAATGGGTTTCCAAGCCTGTAAAATGCTACACTAACAGTAGTAAGAGAAAGCCTAAATGTTATTGAGTCGATAGCTTTGCAAGAAAAAGAAACCTTTTTTTCCGCAAAACTTCATTCACACTTTTTTTATATGCTCAAAAAAAAAAAAAGTGCTTCAAAATCAGTTAATCTGATTGGGTAAGAAATTGTGGCACTTCAGGACGAGGCATTTAGTACCCATCGCTTTTCTCAGTGTAGTTCACTTCTTTCAGGCTTTAATTTACCAACATCGACCAAATAAATCCAATGGTCATTCATAGACATAGTAAACATTAGAAAATAAAGACAAGGAAGAAGAGATAAAGGCATTGGTATTACACAATTGTACATATGGCGGGGTGACGATCATTATGCTAGCTAGCATCTGGGTCAATACAAATAAATGCAACCATTATTCGCTGTCTACCCAGTCTGCCGCCAATTGACCAAAATATGGTACTTCGTATCGTTCGAGCGATGCACCATCCAAATATGCTCGGTATCTGATTAAAAAAAGGCGACGTGACGGTGACGCAAATGTTGGTTATAATTATACCCACTGTCGGATCTGTATCTTAATTCAGTTTGCTTACCCTAACCACGCAATGAGCAGAATGTCGCACACAAACAGCATCCATGAGAGCACGCTTGATATGAACATAATAACGAAATGCAAGCACATCAACGTCAGGAACACCAGGGATGACTGTGGAAAAATGCATAAAATCAGATTATTAGAACTCTATGTATCTCCAGCCCTGTCAAAATTGGCTGTCTAAAAATTCTCCCGTTCCTTTGCTTTGCACGTTCCTGTCAAGCAAACCCTTACCTGCCAAGCATGAAATCTAACATAATCATTTTGAGTTTCCAGAATTAGGAAGAAAACACCTGCATGCGGGTCTAGGTTAGAATTCTCCGGCTTACCCAGCTTTATAGGCTGATCTCCAGTAGCAATAGTCTCCTCCCGCTCTTACCAAAAACATGATAACCTTACCTGTTATTGGTCCAAGTACGTATGTAAGCGCTGCTTCAATGTCAACTCGGATAGGCATCTTCGTTTCATACTTGTTGACTCGAACTCCGCCTTGTGATCCTTTGGCCGCTCCTATGCTCGGTGCATCCGAAAAAAGTCCCTCTTCAAGTAAGGAGGAGGTTGGTCGATATGCATCGGGAGGTCCGTCGGTTCCAGCTTGGTATGATGAATATTGCGGCTGGAACCCTTGAGTAGATTGCTTTCCTTTGCCTTTGCCATTTTTGCCCTTCTGCTTTTCCTTGTGTATGCGTGCAGTTCGGTCATCGTCTGGGGAGGGCTGGTATGGCGAGAAGTCGGAATAGCCAGACATTACCAACGTAGAGCTTTTAGAAGGACTTTGTAATGGGGAATGGCAAAAGCTGGGCAATGCACGGCAAATCCACAAGGCCAAGCGGCTCAGGTCACATGCTTTCGTCATACAAGGAAAAATTTCATCGTATGTGATTGGACAACTTAGCTAATATATAACTATATGATTGGCTGAGATAGTTTAAACGTGATGCTGATTGACTCGAAGCTGTACGGTAAATTGACTCAATCGAATATCGTGAAATAGCCACCCGGATTCAGAATAGCAGTGTAGTTAGCGATCAAATACCAAAAAGTAGCATAATATCCGTGAACGAGTGCATCTTTTATAAGTTGTTTGAACATTATCGTCCAGAAGCGAGATAATAAAAGATTCTAACGGCTGCACCAGATTCACCTTTGTGACGTCGTTCGCGCCTGAAATTCGAGAAATTTTGTCCTCACAGCAAGATCGCTCAGCGCGTCTCACTTGTTCAGCGTAATCGCATCTCATGTCTGAACGAAAAAACTTGGATTTCGACTCTATCCATTCTGGATTGGACTCTACTGTTGGTAGATTTCGCCTTGCTCCAAATGGTATTGGATGGAAAGGCAGCGACGAGACTACAAAGATTATTGCCGCCAACGAGATTCGAAAATTCACTTGGCTGCGCGTCGCCCGTGGCCACGAGCTTAGGATCACTTTGAAAGATGGATCCGTTAGCAAGTTTGATGGCTTCAAGAAGGAGGCAAGTCACAATCTTCTTTACCGAGAGCTCTTACACAATCAACCAGACCGCCAGCTAACTTTGCGAATGTAGGAATTAGAGGAGCTTAGCCATGCAGTTAAATCCATGTACAAGCAACAGCTCGAATCAAAGGAACTCAGTCTCAGAGGTTGGAACTGGGGAAAGACAGAATTTCAAGGTGATTATTATGCTGCATTGGCTACTGTTGCTATGGACCCCATACTGACAACCCTCTTAGGACCTAACTTGATTTTCAACGTTGGAAACAAGGAAATGTTTGAGCTGCCTTTATCGCAAGCTATTGGTGCCAACAAGCCAGGAAAGAACGAAGTTGCCGTCAACTTTGTCGACCCCGGCCAAAAACCTGCAGACGGCATTAACCCTAAGTTAACAGACGAGTTGATGGATATCACCTTCTATATTCCCGGTACCGTTCCAAAGGAAGAGAATGTCGATGGTAATACCGATGAGGATGATGGCGAAGAATTAAATGCTGACGCTGTAGGTATTTTCTAATTACACTCGACCTGAAAAACTAGGTTCGGGAATCTCATTCTTTGTCACATAGGTTTTTTATGAAAACGTCAAGTCGAAGTTAGAACTTGGCCAGCTTACCAGCGAGAACATTGTACAATTTCAAGAAGTCTTGTGTCTTACGCCTCGGTATGTACAAATAAGCTATTTAAATGTCTCCTTTATCATCTACTCATGCCAGCCTTGATACAGTGGTCGCTACAACATTGATATGTTCCAAGATTTCCTTCGTCTTCGTGGAAAATCATACGACTACAAGATCATGTACAGCAGCATCATCAAACTCTTTCTTTTGTTGAAGCCAGATGAAGTGCATGTTATGTTTGTCGTAAGTACCGGTGTTTTGCTCCTTTCTTACAAGCATACTCTTAATAACATGATCTTCCTATACTTAGATTGGATTGGATCCCCCGCTGCGACAGGGTCAGACGAAATATCCATTTTTGGTCTTCCAATTTGTCCGTGACGAAGAAATCGACGTTGACTTAAATCTCGATGAGTGAGTAAAAGTGATGCTACAACAACCGGTTATTATGGTCTGTAAATACTAAATCTTTGGGGTATAGGGAAACCTTGAAGGAGAAATATGACGGAAAACTACAGAAGACATATGATGCTCCTACCTATGAGATTGTAAGCACCGTATTCAGAGCCTTGACTGGCAGAAAGGTGACTGTACCATCGAATTTCAGAAGGTATATATTGCTTGTTGGTTGTAATCTAGCTCTCTATATGACACTCTATACTCACTCAAATTTGCAGTCATCACGGAGCACTTGGAATCAAGTCTTCCATGAAGGCCAACGAAGGCTACCTGTATCCCTTGGAAAAGTGCTTCTTGTTCATACCAAAGCCACCAACATTTATCCCTCACTCCGAAATCGGCGTTGTCACCTTCTCCAGAGTATCTGCTTCCAGTGGCGGCAGCTCGAGAACTTTCGATATGAAGTTTAGCATGAAGACTGGTCATGACTATCAATTCTCAAGTATAAACAGGTTAGTGCTTGACGACCATGCATTTTTACTTCTTCTGGTGTAAATAATTAACACTCTGATAATGCCCCAATCAGAGAGGAGTATGCCAACCTTGAAGAGTTCATAAAATCTAAGAAGATTAAGATGAAGAATGAGCTGAACGAGGAAACCTCTGTCACTTATGCTGAGCTCGGTGACGATAGTGATGAAGATATGGATTCCTCACGAAAGCGACGAAGAAAGGAGGAAGTTCCATCTTATCGGGATGACGAAGATGGAGATGAAGAAAGTCGTAAGTAAAATGTTGAAAATGTGATATAGCTTTTTCCAGGGTACTGACAATAGCACTTTGTAGCTGATGAGGACTTCGCTCCTGGAAGTGACAGCGACGTGGCGGAAGAATTTGACTCCAATGCTTCTGCAAGTGACGACGACGATGCTATGTCTGACGAAGACTAAAGCATTGATTTGTAACTTTGGTTGCTACGACAACAAGTTACCACTCTGTCAGCCAAAGTAACCCAACCTTACCTTTTTTTTGAATGTCGATCCAAACAGCTTGCTTACGCAACAGAAAAAAGAAAAAAGAAAGAAAATGAATCAACCCAAGAGATGATTTCACGACTACAGCAGTTCCTTCAATTGTATTGTATATAAAGAATAATGATTATCCCCAAAAAAAAGTCGGTTGTGTTAAAGTCTATGTGGACTAAATCTGCTAATATACTTCGGCTACTAAAGATGGAGGCGTTGGTCAATATGAACTATGCATGCACTAGCTAATATTTTTTAATGTCGATGGCATTGGATTTTGCATGCTCTGGATCACCTGTCGTTGGTACTTTTAGTTGTGACAGTAGATCTCGTTGTGTCTGCATAAGTATGAATTCGCGATCGTTAATATGGCTTTTACCGACATATTGGGGGCATGTAAATTAAAAAGCGAACCTCATCTTTTAAAACACGGTATTTCCATTCGCTCAATCTTTTGCCGTTAGCTATGCTATCCGTTATCCACTCCGTAGTGACTATTTTGGTCAGGTTGCTACGAACATGGAGGTGTTTATGAAGCTTAGACGCGCACACATTACGTTGAACGATCACATGTGTTACTTTACGTTGGGCTAGAGCATAGCTAGAATTGAAAGTTAGAGTTGATTCACAGGAATAATAAAGCGTTGTATTCCCACATTACCTGATGTTTCCGCCATGTTTTGCTACCAGTTGCTTCAATTGCAAGTCCTTGTTATTTCCAGTCCACCCTGTAAAATTTTTAAAAACTGAATTACAGAACCAGTAACTTGTCTTCATTTTTACCTTCCTCACTTACCATTGATGTAAATATTGACTCCATTAAATATATTACTACAACGTTCAGGGAACTGAGACTGTAATTTCTGCTCCCTTTTTTGCATCCACGAGGACGATGGCATACTGCCACCAGATCTACGCTGATGCCCAGTGGAATGAGCATTGTACAATGTGTCCTTGAATCGAAAAGCTGGTTCATTTTCTAGAGCATGGGGTGCAATCTCTTTCGGGATTGCTGTTGATCTTGGTTTGCGGATCAACCAGTCGTCCATTATGAACAACGAACGCGACGCTCCTGGTAAATTTATAACGTCTATGAAATGACGCTCTCTCTTCTCACGTGATCAATTAAAGCGCCGCTGCCATCACAAGACCAATGACTCGCAGGAAAGTGAGCCTATTTGAGTCTTTTGCCAGTGGAAAATTCACAACTGAATGCCAAAGCAACATGGAGGCTCACGATTTCGCTCCAGGGTAAGTGATTAGCTATACCCATTCGTCATATCGTCCTTACGGAGTATCCTTAAGTTGTCTACGCCGACGACTGGCTACTGTCCGTGCGAATATGAAGTCGGACAGACCGCCAAGAATCCTCGCACCGCCTTACTTCACCTTAATAACTAGTTCCAAACTATTCCAGGCGTCATGATATTTATCTTCATCATGGTTCCGGTGATATTGATTATTCTGCAATTGCATGGAATTACGAAGGTACGTTCTCTTGATGCGACATGATATGCTGATTCGCGGATATTCATGTGATGTTGTACAGTCTCTCCTGCAGAAACATTCGAAGTATACGAACCACGAGAGGAAAGGATGCAGACGGCTTCTGAGTTCACGGTATGACAGCATCATTCTATTGTATTCGAGTTGAATCTCAGATACTGACATAGGGGCCAATCCCCGCTTTCAGAGTGATGAAGTGACTCGCAACAATGTTGAGAACGGTGTAGATATGGTATGCATTTCTATATTCGATCCTTCGTTTTTTCTTTCTTTTTAATTTGGATTATTTATTTTGAAATCTAAATAGCAAGGGATTGACTGGGATCAACTTCGTATGCGAAGGGATGAATACCGAAAGCAACGGTAAGGGCGATCTATGAAGCTTTCCTAATTTGACCAGCTAGTTCTCATCAACCATGGTTGTAAAGTCTCGACAGATACCGAAAACGGAATTATGAAAACCTGAGGGCTTCACATGATGGTATTTTGAAGGTTTGTCAAATTATTTCACTGATCCCTTTTTGTGTTGTAGCTTATCTCTAACTCATATTGCTTCGTCACAAAAAGGAGGTGAAGCCTGTTCGACCAGATGGAGATTTCTATTCCTTCCGTTATACCAAACTTTCTGAGAAATGCTCGATTGTACATTTTCAACTTCGAAACCTCCTCTGGGCACCCAACAAGAATGAGGTTTTTTATACATGTAAGTAAGTTCCATAGTTGCAAATGAGAAATACGCTTATTCATCAAATTATAAATTCAGACAAAGACCATGTGCGGGTATGGTCACCACAGTTACGTACGAGCCAAGATGTTTTGCACTTGTCTCGAGACAGAAATGACATCAAAGCTAGTACAATAGCCTGCAAGGATGACGTTTTAATGGTTGGCGGTAATAGTGGAGAGTACATCTTCAAACGATTGAATGCGTCTGACGCTGATGAACATTGGGGAAATATTACATCCGATGCTTCTGGCATAACAAATCATATTGATCTCATCCACGATCGCAATGGAGGTACTTGTTAATCATGCTATAGGCTGTCTCATGCATTTTTTCATCACGCTAAAAACAAAACAAATCGCCAACAGTCTTCCAAGGCCTGATTTCTAGCAACGATAATCGAGCACGATTGATGGATCTTAATACCCTCAAGATGACTCGAACTTTTGATTTCCCATGGGCAGTAAATGTATGTTCCCTGTTTGTGCACATGGCAATGGCTTATTCGGCAGCACTTGCTAACTTTTTTTGATCTATTGCTAGTGTTCGGCAATGAGTGGCGACAAACGAATTCTCTGTGCTGTTGGAGATGCCACTGAGTCGATTCTTGCCGATGCGCAGTCAGGAGAAGGTACTATTCTGTAATTTTCACACTTCTGCTTGTCATTCGCGTATTACAGTCGTGCTCAAACAGCTATCATGTCAGTTATAAAAGTGTTGCACGGACATATCGACTATTCGTTCGCCTGCTGCTGGAGCCCAGATGGTCGATACTTGGCCACGGGAAATCAGGACAAAACAACGAGAATATACGATATTCGAAATATGTCGGAAACTTTGCATGTTTTACGAGCCAATCTAGGAGCCATACGATCCTTACACTTTTCTAATGATGGGCGGTACTTGGCTGCAGCGGGTATGACTTGTGATGTTTGATTGGAGTTTCGTTTTGCTTTATACTCATATACCCTATCCCATATAGAGCCTCTTGACTTTGTACATATTTATGATGCGAAAACCTTCGATTTGTCTCAAGTTGTTGATTTCTTTGGCGACATTGCCGGTGTTTGTGAGTAGTTTTGGGCATGAAGATGTGCGCACATTGCTTCGAGTAGTAGATAAATGTCTAACTAATACTATTTCCACAGCATTTACTCCAGATGACAATTCGCTGTATATTGCAAACTCAGATGATCGCGTCGGGTAAGAAGTGGATCTCATGAATATGTGCGATTTTACTTTCATATCTAACCGAAAACTGTTGCAGGTCTATCATGGAGTTTGAAAGGAAAAATCACTCTTGCTGGCAATACGACGATGCTTTCCTTGTGTAGGTGCACATATCGACGTACAGTAACCAGTTCTTTATAAACACATAGCCGTAGGACTATTCTGATGCTTATCACAGTCAGGCCATATATGAAGTAGTATCGACTCTATTTTTTCGTCATTCTCTTTCCTTCATTTCCGCTTTGTTTTTTCTCGGCAGTAGTCAGACATTCTCTGTACAAGTAACATCAGACCTTACGTCAAAGCAACCCATATACGCACCAAAAGAAGATTATAGTAAAAACTAAACTTGTGTGAGACGATTTTTTAAATGAGTAGTAAATTTTCACTGCAATTCTCGCAAGTGGTTCAAATCTAAAGAGAGTTACAGCTCACATCTATTACAGGTCTTATCTAATATACATGTATTTCATTTACGTTGGTAGTACTTCTTGTCGTTGCAAGAATAGCCATATGGTGTATTCAAGGGTTTATATTACAGAGCGCTTGCGTTCAATTGACTGTTGTGGTGCCATCTAACAATTTCTTCGTATATGGTCCAAGAAACAGCCGAGTTCAAGGATTTTCGAATGAGTCGTACGCTGATACCATCAAAGAAGCCGATAGCACCTTCCTCCTGTCAGTAGAAACGACGGAACGCCCGCGCCATAGGTCAGCATGCTACTCCCGACATCTACCCATCATACTATATGTGTGTTTCTTACCGCTATCACCTTCTTTGCTGAACTCCAAAGGTTTCTATATACAAGTGGCTTCAGCTGCATACGAGTTTTGAGCATATCGAACGGTTGCGTGAAGCATGTAGCCGTCACGCCTGCAAGTACACCTGCACATGTGGTAAGGAGGTTAGATATAATTAAAAAGCAAGGGGTTTGTAAAATGGTTGCTGCCATGTCGTACCTGATCCCAAATTGATCGCAGCATTTGCTACATTGATGCCATTGTGTGCTGTCCATGCTGAATCAAGGACCGAGGTTAGAAATGTGAATTCCGAATATATACTCAATGATACCGTTCACCGCAACCATACATACCATTAGCAGTCGACTTGCATTGTTCGTAGAAAAAGAGGTATATTCCTGCAAAAGGAGCATCGCGAATAAACGTGGCACCATATCCAGCAAATAGGCCGCGAACACCATCATTTTTGATAATAGAGCTAAAAGCATCTGTGAGGCTTTTGTAGTTGTAAAAGTTGCTCTGTAGACATCAAAAAGTTAATCCATATTGACCACTGCAGTCTTGCTACAACCAACGCGTTTTGTCTAAAACATACCTCATATCTAATTTTGACCACCGTGATGGGCATCATTATGAAACCAACAGAGCCTCTTGCGGCAGCGCCAGCCAGCAAATTGTCCCACGTTTGCAGGGGGTTCTTGCCAGTGGTGCGCGTTGTGGCTAAGGCTGATCGCATTTCAGCCAGAGCAAAGAAATACATTGCAGAGCCAGGTACATTTCTAAGGCTTCGGTAAGTACCTGGTAACGAAGATACTGAGGACATCCTTACTGCTCAATATAAATTACCTTAAGATAGTTGGAAAGGTTCCGCGCCAGAGACCAATTGGGCCATTGGTTCGAATTATATCTCTCACAGTAGAGTAAATGTTGCTACAATAAATAAATAGACATTTAGAAACGGTTGACACTTGTTATGGTTTTTGACAACAGTTGTTGTCAGCGTGGCCAACCTTTTTTGAGGGGCAACCAATAAGCCTTTGGTTTTTGCCTCACGTAAAAATGCAAGGTGGTCTTGTCGTTGTTGTTGGAGACGTGTCTTTATAAGGTCGAGTGGTTGGAGCACAGTACAGGCTACCATGCCTGAACCCGCTCCTCCCAGTAAATGCAGGGCAGGATCCACCTTGGGTGCCATGAGTGAGAAAGATACAACTGCAGGGCTGGCCGCTGCAATTCAAAAATGTCGGGTGTGACTGCTCACTTTGACATGTTGCGCGGGAACAAGAACCAAATGGCCCTTCCGCTTTGACTCACGTTGACAACTGCGCTTTATTTTGTCTAAGCCTTTTCTCGGTGTTGAACGGATGTTATGGCAGTTTTCTTTTCTATTTAAATGAACAAAATATATAGCTCTATTACAATGGATTAGTAATAGTGAATTCAAGGCGACCATCGCCGAGAACAACAACGTCCACATCCCCAAGATCGTTAACAATGAAGTCAGCGCCAGCTTCTTTCAATTGCTCGAGAGAGTGGGTGGTCAAGCAAGCAATGCTATGCATTCCCGCTCTTTTAGCAGCCTCCACGCCAGCTGGGGCATCCTCCACAACCACACAGTCCGCTCCACTAAAGCCCAGCATCTGACCGGTTCGAATGTACCTTATATACGCAATACAATTAGCTTGGTACAACTCCTCCAGGTTTCCACATTTTCAGTAAGGCTTACCCTTCAGGATCAGGCTTTCCATGCTCTACTCTATCGGCTGTAATCAGAGCCTTGGGAATGGCCATGTTGCATTGTTGCAAGCGGGCTTCGGCCATATAGGACTTTGCGGATGTACAAATTCCATATTTGTCATGGGGAAGGGCGGAGAGGAGGTTGGGAACACCTGGAAGAATGGATACACCCTCGGATTCTAGAGTAAGTTTACGTTCATACATGTCAGCGATCTCTGGCGTGGCATGGTGTGGTGTCCAATATTTCAAAGTATCAATAGTTCGACGACCATGAGACATTTCTAAAATCTAGGAAAGAGGAGAACAGGTTAACATAAACCGGTTTGCTCCAAGGGGGACAACTCATAGAGAGGGAAAGGCTTTCTCTATGAATATATGAACAGTTAAGTTTACCTTCTGAGCGTCCAAACCATGTTCTTCAGCATAACTTTTCCAGTGCTTTTCAACAAGAGGGGTGGTGTCAATGAGGGTACCGTCCATGTCAAAAAGGACGCATTTCGTTATTAAGGTCTTGCGATTGGATGTCATTATTCTAATGATGTGTAGCTGGGGAATATGACAGCAACCGGCAGGACCCTGTCGTTAAATACACCAACGCTGTCACACTTCCAAATACAGTTTAACCGAGGGATCAATACCGAGCCAGCGGGGATCGATTTTGTTATATACAATTGTTCTTGTTCTTTATTTTGAAGATACGACAAACCAAGTAATACGTAATAGAATAAAAATTGTAAAGTATAGAAACCTACAACTTGGACTTGGAACCACTGCTGAGGATGTCTCCAAGCTTGGTAGCAAGCATCATCTGACCCTTGATCTATGATAGAATTAATAAGCACAAAAAATTAATGGATGATCAAAATAACTCCACAATCTAAATACAACTCTCCACGAAAAATCGACACGCGGCACTTACCTTCAACTTTCCTTGCATGTAAGCCTTTTGACCATTGAGCTTACCAGATGCAAGATCCATGAAATCAGCATCCTTGATGACGATAGTGACATCGGATTTACCAGGGGGCTTGCCCTTGCCAACATCACCCTTCTGCTTGAGGTCGATCCACCAGGTTTGGGACTTGCCTTCACCGTTGGTGATATCGAATTGGAAGAGAGCCTTAGCCTTCTTAATTTGCTCTTGCTTTTCAGCATCGGAAGCACCATCCATTTGCTTCTTGGCTTGTTCGAAAATGGAGGAAGCGGCAAATCCGGCTTCTCCAACATTGCTAGATCCAGCATTGCCGGCGGAAGGAGCAGCTTCAGGAGCGGCACCACCGTTAAGCTCAACAGCGGCGTTGCTGATACAGATTACATCACGCTCAACGACACGAGTTTGGAAAATGATCTTGTTTCCTTCCTTCCACATTTGAGTCTCAAGAGTTTCTCCAGGGAAGACATGCTTGGCAAAGCGGGCCTTGATGTTCTTGAAGTTGACAGGATCGTTGTTACCGAATGCCTTGAGGACATGCTTACCGGAAACACCGAATGAGCAAAGACCATGGAGGATAGGAACGTCGAAGCCACCCATAGCAGACATGGAGGGATCAATGTGCAAAGGATTGAAGTCACCGCTGAGACGGTAAAGGGCAGCTTGATCTTCGTTAGTCTTCTCAGTGACGACAGCATCAGGCTTGCGGTTGGGAGGTGCGTTAGCTGCAGTGGCAGCTCCGCGGTCACTACCCTTCTTGGGTCCACCAAAGCCACCAATGCCACGAATAAACAAGGTGAACTCGTTTTCAAAGAGGACTTCACCGCTCTCATCGGTGGTTGTGACGCCGAGAACGACTGAAGCACCCTTGCCCTTGTCAAGAACTTCAATGACCTTAGCCTTGGATTTGAATTGGCCACTGGTAGGAATGGGCTTCTTGAGGGAGAGGAATTGTTCACCGTGAAGCAACATCATCTAGTAGAAAGAAGCAGAATAAAACATTATATACGTCAGTAAATGCATCAAAGGACAGTGTTTGGTGGTAATTCATTACTTACAGGGTTGAAATCGGGCAAGAATTCGCCGAAAGGAACAGCATTCATAGCAGCGAAGGATGGAATAACACCAAAGGTGGGAAGAACAGAGAAGTTTTCGTCGTTCTCATAAACAAAGTTGAGGTCAGTTCGCTTGCAGCCAACACCGAGAGCATAAAGGATGACTTCCTTCTCGCCATAAGAAAATTCCAAGGTTTCAAAGTCAAGCTTCTTAGCAGCTTCGATATCAAGGCCACCCTCAGACTTGTTTTCCTTGGCAGCAGGAGCTTCCTCAGAAACATTGCCAAAGTTCTCCATGAAGCTCTGGAAAGCCTCTTGGGTGCTGTTAGGGTTAGTGGCACGACCATCTTCGAAGTCAACAATCTTGGCCCAGTTAGCAGCAATTTGTTCAGGGTACAAAGGCTTGTTGGCGGGGAAGCCGACACCACCGGTTCGTTGCCAGCGAACCTTGGCAATCCATCCACTTCCAACTTCGAAAATGCTTCCAGTTTCTTCAGTGTTTTGATGAGCGAGATATCCAATGAGAGGAGCAACATATTCAGGCTTGAAAGCCTCAACCATCTCAGGAGGCATAACAGTAGCAGTCATACGAGTACCGGCATTAGGAGCAATGACGTTGCAGATAATGTTGTTCTTTCTGCCTTCAAGAGCCAAAGTCTTGGTCAAACCGACGATACCGAGCTTAGCAGCAGAGTAGTTGGTCTGTCCAAAGTTTCCGTAAAGGCCAACAGCGGAGGCAGTGTTGATGATACGACCGTACTTTTGCTTAAGGAAATGGGGCCATGCAGCCTTGATGACCTTGTATGTTCCTCTAAGATGGACACGGTGAACAAGGTCCCAGTCTTGATCGGTCATTCTGGCAAAGGACTTGTCACGCAAAATACCAGCATTGTTGACAAGGATATCTACTCTGCCGAAAGCCTTGAGAGCCGTTTCGACGACCTTGTCACCATCTTCCACAGAGTCATAGTTGGCCACAGCCTTGCCGCCGGCCTTGCGAATTTCTTCAACGACAACATCGGCAGCCTTGGAATCTTGACCTTGGCCAGTGTGAGAGCCTCCGAGATCATTGACAACTGATTTTCGAAAACAATGGAAATGAGACATAATGAAATTGCCATGGGGTTATTTCAATTTCTACTTACCAACTGAGGCACCGAGATTGGCCAGCATAAGAGCATAAGCTCTACCAAGACCACCACCAGCGCCAGTAACGATGGCAACTTGGCCATCGAAACGGAGAGGTTCGGCTTTAGGGTTGGACTCCAATGCTTTGGCTTGTTCTAAAAGGCCAACGAAGTCGGTATCGGTAATAGTGGAGGGGTATTCAACACCTTTGCTATAGTCAGTGATCTCTTCCCACTTAGCACCAACAGCAGCAGGGGTGAAAGTATCATCAGCCTTGAACACAGCGCCTTGAGAACGTTCCCATCTCAATTTAGCAGCGAAACCAGCACCAACTTCGAAAACACCACCATTTTCTTCGGTGTTTTCGTGGCAAAGGTATCCAACAACAGGTGTGACGAATTCAGGCTTGAGTGCTTGGAGGATATCCGGGGGCATGATCGTTTCAGTCCTGTGAACGGGGAGGATAGCAAGTTTAAAATCAAACAGGGTTGACATAATGACAACACCACTGTGCAGGTCACATAGACATTACTAAACTTACATTCTTGAAGCTGCCATAGGAGCAATGGTATTGCAGTGAATATTGTCCTTAGCACCTTCCTTGGCGAGTGAGGAAGAGAAACTTGCCAATGCCAGCTTGGCTACGTGAGAAAGTCACAACTTAGCATTTTGAGCGTAGATGGTTAAAATTATCACATGGCTATAAATTGAAGAGACATATTACCAGCACTGTAGTTTGCTTGACCAAAGTTACCGTAAAGACCGGCAGCAGATGCAGTCATGATGATTCTGCCAAACTTTTGCTTCTTGAAAATGGGCCATGCGGCCTTGGTGACCTTGTATGAGCCGCGGACGTGGACGGCTTGGATGAGATCCCAGTCAGCATCAGACATACGGGTGAAAGACTTGTCGCGAAGGATACCGGCGTTGTTGATGATGATATCGACACGTCCAAAGGCCTTCATGGCAGTTTCAACAATCTTGTCACCGTCCTCAACAGAGTTGTAGTTGGCGACGGCCTTGCCTCCGGCCTTTTGAATTTCATCGACAACGACATCAGCAGCCTTGCTGTTAGCGCCGCCTCCAGTAGCTGAGGCACCCAAGTCGTTAACAACAACATTGGCGCCACGGGTTGCGAAGAACAAAGCGTATGCTCTTCCAAGGCCTAATAAAATACAAATACCAGCCGTGGTGAGTTACAGAAACCAAAACGACAAAACGACGGGTCGATACACACCTCCACCAGCTCCAGTAACAATGACAGTACGTCCGTCAAATCTCAGTTCAGAAGCCATTTATAAATTTGAAGAGATTGTAGGCTCGTGAATGATCTTTTGTAGAAAGAGTTGCTCGAGTTAAACGACACTTATATGAATGTCGGAGTATTAGCACACTTTCACATGTAATATCCACGTGAAACGGTTTGTCAGAGGAAATCTTCTCCAAATGTAAGCCTTTAGACGAAAGACATGGGTTTCTTCCTTTCTCAAGCATTTATTATATAGCTGTTTTGGAATACTGTGATATACAATTGCAGTGTATACAATATCCAGACTAGTATTAGAGAAGTGTTTGTGAAAATCTATCTCATAGCAGAATGTTCTCTATGTAAGCTTCACGTGTAACGTTGGAATTGATTACAGGGCCACTTTACTTTCACAGGCGTGAAGTCTGGGGTAGTAGCGTATTGGTGTTGATGACATGTTTACCTATAATTTGGGAGTATCCTCCTGGCTCTCAACAATTGATCGTATGAATGGCCATACTTGCTTGCGAGACCACTTAATGTTATGTTGTCTCCATACGCCAAATGGTTGTTTGCTGTTTGTTTTAAAAATATCATCTGTTAAGCGTCGCAATTGAATCTCTTGATTTTGTTCCATCTTTTGTAATATGCCGTTCAATTTCTCGTTCCGAACAAGGCCTAATAGCTCTCGTTGGAATCCTCCTTGGTTTTCTCTGTCAAAGGCTGTCATAATATACGCTATGTCAAGCTGCCGTTCGTCTGCCCAATTGTGCAACGCCGTTTCCACTGAATTAGATTTGTTATTTCGCTCTATCCAGCCTTGGAGATACCATGGCACAGCGCTGATACCGACTTTGTATCCATTGTCAGTTTCCCACTCTTTGTAGTCTTTTCGGAGCAAGTCACGGTCATTGAGATGGTGTATATTGGATTTCGCAGTCTGAATGTCGTGAAAGTAAGTGTCAGAATCAAGAGTCACATGTTGCTTTAATAGGTTGGCGGCCATGACATCGTCGTCCGTAGTACGATTATATTGGGGCTGCAAATTTACGCTGTCGACAAGTATGGGAGCTAACGCCAGTTTTGCAAGCGATTCTAATTGCTCGTCCTTGGAATTTTGTAGCACGTCTTCATGATGAAGCGCAACTAAGCTGGAACATGATCCACTAGGTTTGATGGTTCTGAATAGCTCGGTACCGTACAAGTGTTCATCAACATGATGATCAATAATACCACTAACGAGAGGCGACCATTTCTTCTCATCCAGTGAGAATGGATTGGCAAGCTTGTTGTGGTCAACCAGAATTAATTGGATTTGTTGAAACACATCTGATAAAACGGACAAGTCAATTGTGTCACTATAGCAAAGCAGTTGCGGATCAACGGAGGATTTTGACAGCACAAAGCCGGCCTCTGGTCGCAATGCGAGGTCATTTTTCGGTATATTGACAAGAGGCAAGAAGAAGTCTTGCTTATTTTTGCTCTTGTGGTCGCTCAGGTACGCAAATGTCAAAGCGCTGGCAATGGAATCCAAATCTATCGGAAAATATAATACGATCAGCCGACTAGTGGATTCATGTAGGGCGATCAGGTCAACTTACCACCAGATTCATTTCCTGTTATAAGGTATAGGCTGTCTTTCGAAGATCCAGCGTGAATGGCTTCTTTCACTCTACCAAGTGAATGGTTCAAAAAATGGTTGAGGCTCTGCATTGCAAGCTTTGAAGCAGTGATTTTGGTCTCAGCAGTGAAAAAAAACCCCCTCTTTATACCTCGAATTAAAAAAAAAATTACCCTTTACCCAAACTGAATTTTGCAACCGTTGCTCATTATCGGCCATGGAAACTTTACAGCCTCCTGCTCACCTCAAATCTCGGAGGCAGAAGGAGATGTGGAAGAGACAATTACTCCAAAATGTAAAAGAGAGACAGAAAGCCCAAGAATCGCAGACTCCGTTCCGCATTGCTGAGCGTAGTCTGCAATCAAAGGTTGCTACGCCTGATCGACCACCAGTCGTTGACTTTACCAACCTAGAAAACAACCCTCCCGAAGTTAGAGCAAAACTCATAAGAGTTGAACTGTCCCACGATTTGCGTGAGATATGCCCCTTGTTTGGACGCACCGACGACGATTGGTCGAAGCGACGTAGCATTGCCTACATCCATTCAGATATAGAGGGTACGCTCAACTTAATATCATACATGGACTAGATTATTTTTAATGACTTTTTCATTTCTTAGGCCTCATATTTATTCCTAATCCATTTACTGAGAGTGCTCAACGTCAATTGATCTATAATTGCCTTCAAAAGTATACACAAGCGCCAAATTCGTCGAGTTTGGATGCACATTACGAAGTTCCCGCAGAAGGCGTTTGGAACCTCTATACAAAGAGCCGACGCTGTGCATCTAACGAAGACGACTCTCAATTGCTAATAAGTCGAAAGTCAAGATCAAACAATGGTCAAAAAATACCGGAATCTGCAGATCCTTACGACGCACCTTCCACGTCAGGCCAGCAGTCGACCAGCATTGAAAAGGATCCTGACATCGCAGATATTAAATCAGAACCTTCACTACATAAACCTTCTGAGCTATTGCATCCTTCGGAACTCATCAGAAAACTGCGTTGGGTCAGCCTTGGCTATCAATATAACTGGTCAGAAAAAACCTATTTCTTTGACCGACCTATACCCGTCCCAGAAGAAGCGGCGAAGTTAAGTATTGCGATCGCCAAAGCAGTTGAAGGAATAGGGTATCGTCAGGATGATGGCTTCCGATGGCAAAACAATTACAAAGGAGACAACTATGCACCTGAAGCTGGAATTGTCAATTATTACCAGCTTAAGGACACCTTGATGGCTCATGTCGACAGGAGTGAACTTAATATGGAGGCGCCATTGATATCAATGAGGTAAGTGTACACTAATATCCATTGAGTATCATGTCTTGTCTATTTTTATTAATTCGTTATAAAGTCTCGGACACAAATGTATATACCTCATAGGCGAGCAAACTCGTGATATAAAACCTCACGCCATCCTTCTGCAAAGTGGAGACGTCATGGCAATGACAGGAGCAAGTCGCAGCGCCTTTCATGGTAAATCATTCTATTTTTGTTGAAGTTAAAAGATGAAATTAGAATATATAACTTGTGCTGACGCTTTTCATTGAAGGTGTTCCAAAAATACTGGATGATGGTCCGTCGTTTCTGCAGCCTGGCACAATCGACGAAAACATACCAGACTGGGATGTGTATGGGGAATACGTGAGTAAAGCCCGTATCAATCTCAACATTAGACAAGTCAATGTCGACTCTTCGTCCACATAAATATATTAGACCGCCCACATATTACAACGTATTGTCGATCGTACAACAAGCGAGAACATTGCGCGAATGCATCCGAATAACGCTACATGTATTAAAAGGCTGTACATTAATTGAGTGGGTAGACAAAAGCCTTTGTTTGCATCATTTGTTCGAAAAGGAAGAACAAGGAATTAAAAAATAATTCTAATCTATTGATTGATATATATCTGCTCTTTTGCAGCAATTATCCACTCACTATTGCTCACGTTTTATTTGAAAATTGTTTTTATTATCTTTGTGCAATTTGAATAAGTACACAATAAATCTATGTTATCGTCAACTCAACTTTTACACCTCGCCAGCATTGGGGACAATTTCAACATAGACAAATCCTTCCTTTTCCAATGCCCAACGAAGATCTCGCAAATCTTCACTACGACTGCTAGCATCACTTCCATTCCACATGCCTACAATAGCACCTCCTGAACCCGGGAACTTGGCTACGCAGTTGTACTCCTTGGCAAGTTCGATCATGCGCAAGTTGGCATTGCCAAGTGCAGCATCACCATATACAGCACGGCGCAAGTTGAAGTTCGAAGACATCAGCTCAGCAAATCGCTTGTGATCACGCTGTTCCAGGGCATCCTTTGCGTCGGTGGTAAATTGTGCAAATTGACGCATGGCTTCCACAACCTACAACGATAGTAAAATGGATGAGTATACGACATTGCTCCGCTGGCGGACGGACGGATTAAAACATCACTTACAGCTGGTTCTCCATTTGCGAATCTTTGTCGAACAGAACTGTGCACTTTTCCTGAATCCTTTGGGTCTGCAACATAAGCAAGCCAGAGAGGAGGGAGGTTGTCCATGTTCAGTCTCTCGTACTTTCCGTATCCATACTGATCTACCTGTTGCTTGCCAAAGTCCATGAAGACAAGACCACCGTATGCCTGAATGACTCTGTCTTGCAATCCAGCTGAAATGCCGAGCTCATCTTGTTCAGCAGATAAAACCAAGCTTGCTTGCAAGGGCAGCGGGATTTGTTTATCAGTCACTCCATAAAACTTAAGTAGAGTCTTCCAGAAGGCTGAGATAATAGCAGAAGAACCAGCGAGACCAACTTGTCTTGGAATATTTGTCTCGAAAAGTACGCTGAAGCCTTGCTTTGTGTTGATGGCAATAGCGTTCTTCTTGCAGTGAGTGAAAAACACTTTGCAGCATGCCTGGAGCAAGCGATCGCCATTGTCATAGCCATCCGTCTCAGAAATCACTGCCATCGACTCGATGGAGCTGAACAAATGAGGGTCGGCTACCGGGTTAGGTAGAATGGAAATGGTTGTATATTCAACTTGAGACAAAGGATTTGGTATGAGTGTAACCTCGGCCCAGAAGTTGGAGATTAAAAGAGACATCGTTTTTCCTAGATTGGTAGTTTAACCAAAGATGAACGTCGGACTCTCTAAATATCATTCCAATCCGTGATTAGTTCTTACCGTAAAATCCATCGCTAGGGTTGCCCATCAAGCCTACGCGTGCAAAGGAACGGGTGACAATCGGCTCTTCCTTATGATGTGGATAGTTTTCTGGAGATCTGGGTGGAATATTACTATTCAAAAGCTTCTCCCACTTCTCCAGATATTCCTTCAGCGTTACACGTGGATTGAGGTAACCGTGTGCTGTGACATAATCGACTTCGATAGCCTTGACATCCTCTTCTTGTTCGTAAAAATTGAATATATCCTTCTCCAAGGAGACAACGGTGTTATCTCCAGAAACCACCTGCTTCGCGTCTTGATGAACCTTTCGCAAGTAAGGTTCAAGCTGAGTTAAGCGGTCATGTCGAATGACAAAGGCAACTGGGCAGATCAGCAACTTTCTTGCGTCAGTGGCATCCTCTTTTGTCAACAGGTCAGAATTTGCCGCTACAGCAATGCGATGGATGCGAGGATCATCCCCATGCTCGGGAATGTGATAGATGACTCTACTTTCGCCATTAGCTTTTAAAGTTTCCAATAACTGATGTCCGCGGGAATTGTCAAAAAGCAAGTCCGCTGGGACGATAGACAAATCATCATTGATGTCCTTTACTCGATGTACAAACGATATGTCCGAAATTGCTCCCTCGCTGCCACCCATACAAAGCAAGTTAATATGAATTTAGTGCGTTATACAAACAAGGGTATATGCATACCTGAAGCCGCTATTCAGAATGTTTTCCTTTGGGAATGAGTGTCCACTTGCCCAACGTTCAAAGTGCTTGTATCTAACCAACAAGACCGTTAATTATCCCAAACGAAATCAAAGTGGACCGAACTGTGAACAATGAAAGGAACTTACGAGTGAGCAGTAGCTACAATGTAAATATTGCTGTATATAGCTCTAGCTTCATCATACCACCAGGAAAGTGCTGGTCGTCCCGAGATGGGTAACAGACATTTCGGTACACCTCGATACCTCAGGAAGCGATCAGTGTTCTGGGACTATTTTCCACAATTAGCAACGGAGTCCGGTGAACGATACAAGTTGCCAATAAAATTACCTTAATATCATTCTCTAGTGTTGTTGAAGCATACGCAGTAGCTAGTATTACTAGTGTTCCGGTCATTGTGAGATGACTTTATTTGCGGGGATGAAACGGGTGTTAGCGGCCATGAATATCTTTCCTGGGCCAGGAACACTGAACTGAATTTGGTGAGACTGTTTAAATTTTCAATCCCCGAAGGCCATTCAACTTACTTTTTGAATGGGCTGACGGAAAATTCCTGCTGGAAGCCATTTTCTTTTCTCGGCTGCATTCCTAACGTTTTTGCATTGGCGCCTCAACCATTGTTACTAGCCAGTTGCTTGTAGCTTCTGATACCGGTTGCTTTGGTACAATGGTAAGTGTCTGTTACATTTTATAAAATGTAGACCTCCAACCCACGATATCGAACCACCCATCAAACTGAACGACCTATCATCAACTTGCACCAATTTAATGCATATGGTTCTCCCAAGTATGCCAAAAGTCATTCAATGAAAATAGCTGTTCAAGACAGTGTGGATGAAGATACACTGGTATCAATTGGAAAGACTCTTCTTTTCATCTGAGCCTTTATCAACTACATCATGCTATCCACTCATGTGGGCAACCATCTGAAGCAGTCAACGTTAACATACCAACTTTACAAATGCCACATGATGACTTTTTTGACATGTATGATAACACTCTCATCCATTTTTCAGACTATTTTTTTATTCCATTGTCGTCGTTGCCTGCAAATTTTTTGGCTTGCGCAAGCTGACATTTTAAAAAAGGAGGCCATATAACTGAGTTTCTAAGTCAACGTGACTTCGACGTCATCGTATGAGATTGCAACGGTTGGGGGGAAGGGAAAATTTTTCAGTGTTTGCGTGTAGTTTATAGTACAATTGTACAACGATCCTCTGAGTGCCAAGAAAAAAAAGCCGGTTTGAGTGCAAAGGAAATAGAAGCTACCGCTCCATTTCAGAAGCAAGAAGCACTAAATCCCATTAGCATTCGCAACGTTCCAGTTGCTAAGCATAGCGGGACACATACTATATATTACCTCTGTGTGCTCTGAATTGACCTAGTAGTCATCAATCAGCACAGATGGTGTCACGATTTCGAGTTAAGAAGCTTTCCCCCAAGCACCCGCTCACTATCTACAAAGAGTCTCAACTCCCTGACATCCATGACATTGGGAACCTTCAACGTGCAGTACCTCTGATAGAGACTGGCGTTGATAAGGACGAGGAAGACGAGGTTAGTACTGTCTGTTTAACGATTTTTTTCCCATGAGCCTTTGTGGGCCCATAGAGCCTCTTGGTTTGTCCGTCTTGGTCTGGCATGCTGCTGCGGTGGTTGCTGAGTTTTTATAATACTCTATATACATCCCTGCCCAAACATCCCCAATCCAACCCTATCACCGCCTAATGTGGCAATTCTCCTTATGCATGATTACTGAAACCCTTACTTTCCTTTCCATTTAATTAGCATGACCTTCAAGCTGCCATTTCCGCCGCCCAAGCTGCCGTCACCACTGGTGAAGCGGTCCAATTATATATTCCTACCCCAGATGCATCCATCACAATTGATGATGCTGAATTCCAAGCTTTATACAAGAAGCCATTCAATCAACCTGGAAGTTTTATAAAGTACTCTACCACGGTCGAGGATGCCATTGGATGTCTGTATGATATGGACGAGGATGACGATACGTGGTTGAAAGCGTACAATCAAGACCATACACCTAAAATATCCGAAGATCAATTTGAGCAAGTCATGTGGGAATTTGAATCACTTGCAAACGAAAATATGCCCTTCCTAAGTGTGGTAAGTTAGCATTTTTTCTTAAACGGTTCCATATAAGCGTGAGTAATATAAAATTCTAATTTCCCAAAAAATGGTATAACAGGATCCATCGCAAATACCGCCGTTTGATGAACTTGAGTCCCATTTTAAAAAGCCAACCTTGCTACCTCTTCAAACAGCAGCTAAGAGTATATATAATCATTGGAAAGAACGCCGAGTTCAAAATGGTGGCAAGCCTGTCAATGCCGTTTTGCGTTTTGAAGAAACAGGTGTTCGTAACGATGCCGACCCCTATGTCTGCTTTCGTCGTCGTGAAACCAAGCCGGTTCGCAAAACTCGCCGTACCGATCAACAATCTCTCGAGAAGCTTCGTAAACTGCGGGCCGAGATGGAAACTGCTCGTAACTTGCTCGAGATGGTTCTTCGTCGAGAGAAGATGCGCAAGGAGAGCTTGGCTCTAGAACACACTGTCTTCGACAAGAAATGTGTGCTTCGGGATATGCAACGACAGCTTGGTATCAAGGAAGATGAAGATTTACTGTTTAGTAAGAAGAAAAGGAAGATGTCGACGGAAAGCGGGTCTGGGTTAGTGGATAAATCTAATTATTTCCTGCAATTCATGCTTATGTGTGTCACGCCTTACTCATCACCCATCTTGTTTACTCCCCACTGTCCCCCAAAAAATTATTTTTCATGCAGAGCGACTATCAAAATTCCTCTTAACAAACTCAAACGTGACGGGTTTGATCTACATGAGAAATCTGCTGCTGAACTTGCTATCCTGGCTGAAGTTGAGAAGCGAAAGGAAGAAGACAGTGGCTTTGAAGATATAACCGATGTAAGTTTTGTGCTGCGTCTAAAACTATTATGCTATCTGTCATGTTACCTAACGTCATTTTTCAACTCAGTCTCCATATCAAGGATTCCCTATATATTTACCATCCAGATTCTTGCGCACAGTTTCACCAAACAAAACTATATCGGCCAATGCACCTGCTCGCCTCAGCCGGCCTAGTTATCGCAAGCGTATGGGCCGTGGTGGACGTATATATATAGATCGCACTGGATTTGGCCGTCACCATGTAGAGTCCGTCAGTGGTAAAACAAAGCCGTCTGATCCATACGAGCGCGCTGTAAAGCGATTTAAATACGATTCAGATGAAATGACTGATGATGAAGAAGATGTCGATGACATGCAAGACAGGTATGATCCATGGCATGGTGGCCTCATTGCGTTCGTCTGAATAACACCCAAAAAAAATTTTTTTTTTGATTGATCAAACAGGTTATTGCGGCATCAATGTCAGCTATTGACCGAGCCGGACCTCCGAAGTTTGGTAACCATACCGTTCATTAACCCATCTATGACTTATCCTCCCGGAGGTATGATGGCCAACCGATTGAACACAGCCGCAAAGCAACCCGTAGCCAATGTTCAACGACCTACTAGTGCTACGGCCACCAGTCCATCCATGACAGCTCGTCCCCTTAATGGTGCTCCAACATCACCTTTGCGAAGACAAAATAGCAGAACCAAATTGACACCACAGCAACAAGCTCTTGCTATGACGAATGGTATGATAGCGGCCAATATGGCTGCTGCTGTGAATGCACCCAACAAGGCGTCTTTGCAGCTAGCTATGCAACAGCAGCTCCAACAGCAGTTACAAGCCTCAGGTGGGAACTTACCAGCTAACATGCAAGCTGCTTTGCAAAAGAAGATTCAAGCTGCAGCGTTAATGCAACAGCAACAACAAAGAGCAGCTGCTGCCGGTACCAACGGAAATGGAAATCTGAGTCTGTCGCCCATCCAGCAAGCCAATATGCTTAAATCAAACGGACTAGGCAATGGACAAAATGGAGCTATGAACCTCAAGTTACCCAATCGGCCCAACAACATGATGCAGCAAGCTTTCAATGCTCAGCAGCAACAACAAGTTGGTGCACCAAATGCCATGAATCTTGCCCAAAACGCTGCGTCTCAGGCATCTTCTGTTTTGCAACAAGTTGCTTCGTTACGGAACCAAGCAGTGAATGGCACGTCACCCGTCATGATGAACGGCATGCAAGCTAACTCACCGCTCTTGAATGGGTCACCGCAGTTCAGTCAGCAACAACTCCAACAGTTGCAGCAGCAACAGAAACAAAAACAGCAATTAGCCCAGATGCAAGCGGCTGGAACGTACGCGTCACCCATGCTGGGACTACAGTCGTCGCCGGTCATGATCTCTGCCGGAGGTAGTCCTCAACAGATGGCCTTGCAGTCTCCTACGCTTCAAATGACGGCTCAGCAACAGCGTCCAATGTGACCGATACTGTACAATATCCCCTCCTCTTTCTCGCCATAATCCATAACATAATTCTCCCTTTGATAACTCCTTTTTTTCTTTTTGTACAATAGTCGCTACTTCCTCCCCCCTTTTTTTTTGTGTTTCCTTGTAAACGTCTGCTTTTTCTTGGTCTCTTCCGCACCTGTGTTGTTTAACACCGTTTTAACCCCTACCTCATTCAAAGAAAGTTGCCCATATTCTTTTACAGCCTTCCATATCATTTTCTATGTAATAAAGCGGACGCATCTGAAAAATCGCATTTGCATTCACATATTTGATAGACATTTATCTACCAATTATTGTTTATAGTGGGGATGGGTTTTTTTAAAAATTACTGTCTAAGTGTGTAGTTTTTTTGGTGGCATGTTATAGCGACTTGCGACTAATTATCATGTGTATAGCAGTTGGTGTGGAAGGATGGCATGGAAAAGGGAGAGAGTTGCAAATGATTGGTTGGGAATATAAGCGTAATGGTACATGCATATGAAGACAGAGTGGTTTCGAGCAGGTTCGTGGGGGGTGAATGAGAGGATGGGATAGCAAGAGCATCTAGGCTGTTGCTTTACTTGATGGGAGCACGCACTTTGACGGATTTACCTTGGGATTTGGCCCATTTGACACAGGCTCGGTTTTGCTGGTCACAGAGAGTCATCAAGACTTGCCGTTGAACGAGCTCGGTAATGGCTTCCCAATCGTCAATTAAATGACATTCCTTCATTTCAAACACCGACAGGCGTTGACAGTGCTCCAGCACTTTACGTATACTCCTATTGGTCAGTTTATGACAATTGTTGACAGACAGCCTTTCCAGACCGCTACCACGAGCATGAGCGAGCACTTCAATGCATTGGTCCGTTAAATCGCATCCAGCTAAACCTAGCACAGCAACATTTGTCAGCTCTGCAATGAGTTTGATCGATGCAAAAGTGATGCGACGGCCTTCTCGAATACGTCCAACGTTGAGATGTCGTAACCGGGGACAAGCCTGAGCAATTTGCGAGATAGAAACGTCAGATACCGCACCACATGCTCTTAAATCGAGGTGGACCAGTTTTGGACAGCTTTGAGCTATGAGCGATATACTTATGTCGGTGATTTGATGACATCCCGCGAACGAAATATTGGTGAGATTCGGGGTAATGAACGCCATGACGGTAGTATCGGCCAGGTAGTCGCAAATATACATATCGATATGGGTCAGTTGTCTAGCGTATCTTGCAACAGCGGTAAGTGGCTCGTTGATGGTGTTGTCTTTCACTTTACGGAGTGACAAATATCGCAAACCGCGACGATAAGACTCGATATTGGGACTGACGGCATCTTGGTCTAGCTTTGGTGCTTGCAATGCTAGGACTTCACTATCGTCATGGTCGCAATTGGTACATTCGTCGTCGATATGTTGGAATTTGTGAAACGCTCCCATGTCACAAAGCGGTAAAAGGCGACGGAAGGTGTGCAATGGAGGAGTCCACGAGGCAAAAACGCTGGCAAAGTCCTCGAATTTTTCAAAGTGATTCACTTGCGTATCTTCAAAGACCACCTTTTGCCATAGAACTCGCGCCGCACAGGTATGCCAGTCTCTACAGACGAGCATGCATGCATGCAAGCTGTTCTCTAACGCTACGTGTTCAAAGATCTGCTCCAATAGCTCGGGTAAAAACACCCCCTTGGGGGTGGAACGGTTGGAATAGATGTCTAGCACAGTCGACTGCACGTCGAGATCATCCGGTTGCGAATGGACAACGACAGACATTCAAAGCAAAGGCAAGAGTTGGAGTGAGTGAAAGGGGAGGAAAGGCGGAGTGTAGGCTAATAATTTTTTTATCATAGTCAAGGCAATGAGCTCCCCCAAAATTAAGCCCTCCATTCTTCGCTCATTCCTACTACTGCTCAATCTCCCAAATAAATTAAGCAAACACTGATATTGGTATCCAAATATGTGTATATATCCAGTTTATTGAGGACTTCTTATTTTTATATATATATCATTTTCATAAAATAAAATAAAGACTACCATCATAGCCGTTCCCCTTCATACCGACTGCGTTCCTTATTCTGGTCTTTGCCATAATATGAATTGTAGTCAAGCCTGACGACAAGACAAAGGAATTGGAGTGTTTCTGTAGCCGAGTAGTAATTGAGTGCATCAATCAGCAACTTCATATGATAACTAAAGTTTTCTTCAATCTTGTGGAGTGATCGGCTTTGGCTTTCCAACGTAATGCCACTGGTGTTGCCAAATTTGCCAGAGCTTACACCGAACTTTTCAGAGCTGTATTGCTTTTCAAGTACCGTGAGTGCATGAGTGAATTTGTCAGTATAATTTGCGAAGAGGACACAAGTGGTCATCAGTTTGCTGTATATCTACAATATAATAGGAATTTTTCGAAAGGTTAATTGATCCCATTTTTTTCTTTTTTTTGGAGACTCGAAAAAACTGACATGCCAGTCATGCTTACCCGTAACAGCTTGGAGTTGGTCAGCATACATTCCTTTAGACAGCTGTCCAAGAAATCAGAATGTATTTGCAATACTTGATCCACGGTAGAAACCTTTGAAAGGGTATCTTTGAGTTGATTATGATTGGGTTCCAAGATTTCATTGGTGATATAGTAAGAAAACTGCTGGACAAACACCGTCATGCGATTTCGCAAAGCAAATATTCGGTATTTCCAACCGTTGATATCGCTATGCTTGGAGGGTCGCTTCCACAGTGGCATTTTGTGCTCAGTCCATGCCTCACTGAGTAAACTTTCAGTATGTCGTAAGTACAAGTGGTGTCGGAAAATGAGCTGATACTTTGTCAGTGCTTTTCGGGAGATAATGAGGGAGAGAGGGAAGGTTACAGTGTAATCCAAAGTGAGTGCATTGAAGCCTAATGTGAAAGCGGTGGATATGTTAGTTTAGCAATTGAACCTTGATCTTTTTTTTGTTAACAGCTTATGCACCATACCATTGAGGACTTCTCGTGAACTACTGGATCCAACAACGCTACTAGCTGTCGAGCCACCGTCGCTGTAAAGTTTCTCAGACTGAGTGCCGTGGAGGCCATATAAGCTCGTTGCTAAGTCGCCAATGGTCTGTAAGCTATCACGTAGTCCAGCTGTCGCATTTCCTATCCATCGTCCGTCTTTGCCGCCAGCGGCAAGTTGAGCAGCGGATCCGTCCAGGCCAGCAACGTTGATAATTCTTAATAACTGATCAACCATCTTGAGAGAGCTCATCCCAACCTTGACATCCTCCTTGTAAGGATCATATACAGCCACAGATGAAGGATTTCTCAAAGTCAAATCGAGAAGCGACTGGAGACGGGTAATGACAATGTCTTTGGTAGGTTTTCTCAGTTCTTCCTTTGCTACATCCAGGAAAGGTGCAAGGAAATCAGATTGATCCAAGAAAAAGTATCGTTTGAGAGATCTGTTAAACAGGTTAGCGTTGGAAAACGATATAATTGAAAAATCAAGACTGAAATTTGGTTTTGTTTCATATAAAAAAAAACGTACCGAAGTCGTGCCAGAAGTTGCTGATCTTTGAGCAATAGGTCCAATAATGTTCGATTAGCATATTTATAAGCAGCCTCCAAGTCTTGGACAAATCTAAATGCAAGACATAACAGGATTTGCATTAGTAGCTGACGAGTCAATAGAAAGGGTAATTTTCCCGCATCTCACCGGCCACCATCTACAGCCATAAGGATATCGCCGCGCATGGAAATGCCATCAACGCTGGGCGAGGGTTTTTGACCAAATTCAGAACTGCGCTCAGTGCTGAAGGGAACATTCTCCTTGTTTCCTTCATTGCTTTGGGTATCAGCGGAGACGTCTCTTGGTTGAGGCGGTGGTGTGGGCAACTCTTCAGATTGCGGATCAACTTCATCCTGATTAGTATCCTGGGGTCCTAAAATGGTGATGCCACATTCCCGGACAACGTTCAAGTACTTTCCAGCAACCAGGATCTTGTGTTTGAGCGGCTCAAGAAAACTGGGTACTGCAACTTCTCGAATGGTATATCGCATTTCCCAATAAGCGTCGTTGAAATCCTCTTTCAAGTTTTCTTTTCTCACGTTTTTCTTTTCTTGCACCATGAATTCATTATATGGATCCTGAATTTCACCTCTATGGATCCAAGCATATAGGATCTCGAGGTACGGCAGTGACGCTTGAGAAAGTAAATAGCTGTATAATTTCTTGTTCTTGGGATCACTACAGACAAAAATACATGATACCATAAGAATGCCATACATTTGTTTAGCCAAATAAATAACGTTATATTGTCTTACCCGCTCATACCAACCAATCTCTCTGCAAGCATAGTGAGGAGAGCGCCACCTTTCCGATGATCTGATACTTGAATGTCGTTCTTATCTGCTTCAATCCCCTTTAGACCTTCCAATACAGCTTCAAAATCATTTTCGTCATCGTCACTGGATTTTCGCTGAATACCGGCCGCTCTTATGCTATTTGCCAATGTGTGTAGTGTATGCATTGTTTGTAAAGTAGGCTGAACATAAAACCAGAGTTTCTGGAGGGTAAAGGTTGGAGCTGATCGGAATTGATGTTCTAGCTGTGCTATTAAAATCAAGTACTCCTATTGAGCAGCAACAAACAGTGTGTCAGCCTCGAAGAACGAACAAGTCGATGGTAGTGAGGGACTTTTCATGTGAAAAGCGCTTTTTTTTTCTTACCTTTAAAAGAGATCGAATGGCAGAGCAGAGTGCATGACTGACGGTACCGAATTCAAAGCGAGAATGTAATTCAACAAAGGCATCAACAGACATATAATAAGTGGCGATGGGGAGAAGTTTCTCTACAAGCTGCCGTATGCTCGGATCTGCACGAGGATGGAAAAGTCAATACAGCTACGGGAATATATTTGACAGATCCCCTTGAAATCATATCGTACCCAATGTTTCGTCCAGCGAGTATGCAACATCATCCCAAGAGATATCCGTCCCATTATCGGTAGTGGGCGCCTTTGAAGGAGCCGATTCATCCATTCCATTGTCATCTGATTCAGCATCTCCAGGTTGAATGATTTGCAGGTATTTTCCGTCGATGCCCTGAGCGAAGACAACGGTTAGAACACCTACTTATGCATGCTGATCACTATAAGCATACCGTACCATCATTATGTACAAGAGATCTTCAATCATTGAATATTCTTGAAGGTGTAAAGGTAAGGATCCTATTTCAGGCACAAAGTTATCTGACATATCCGCTCGCTGAATACATAGGTCATACGCAACATGTTTAGTGATCTTGTAAGGTTGGCGGTTGTTGAAGCTGATGTACCTACCATGCTGACGGCTGGCTGTATTCTAGTGTTCAAGGGTGCTTTGGCATAAAACCTATCTTCTTGTATTGAATGAACTGCAATATAGAATCGTGCGTCTTAGATACAGGGCTTGTATAATACATGCATATGCAAATGAAGAGCGATGGTTACTTTGTTCTGGAATGGTGGGTGGTGCAGTAAGAGGCGGTTCTATTGTCGTTAGAATATCTGGAGATGAAGCAGCTAATGGCGATGATAATGAACTATGGCGGATGTTTGCAATTTTGCTCGTGATCTGGGTGTCAGCGATAGTGATAAATGCATTAGCACTATGCGGAGAAAAAGGGGACGTGAGTGGTGAGTATGCAACGAATGTGGTACCTTATTGACCTGGCGCTCAGTCAGGAGAATGCCAGGAGACCTTGACTCTCGTTTGTCCATTGACCGAGCAGACGATACTCGATTGGAATGGCTACGTGGGCGTGACATGCAAGTGCGAGAGGTACAGTGAAGGATAGGGTAAAAAAGAAGGCAGACAGACAAAAATTCGCGAAACCACCTCTGGACTGTGAAAAATACCCAAAATTTTATGCTCATTGACGCGGCGTTCTTATTTTATTGCAGCCTGTTTTAATCCATGAACGCGTTCAATTCCGCCAGTTCGCGCTCTTCTTCCTCCGTTAATAAATCGTCTAGAGAAACATCCGCTTCCTTCTTCTTCTTTTTTGAGGCATCAGCGTACTCCGCGATGGCCGATGCTGCAGAAATCGTTGTAAGTAAAAACTGTCAACCGATATTGAGATATTTGATGGTGAACCATACCTGTCATGGACCATGATCGTACTGAACAATCTAAAGAACCAGTATATAACGTAGAGCCTACAATATCCATGCAGCTCACTTCATCGAAATGACCTTCTATATTGCACAGCTTTTTTGCAGACTGGTGGCAGCAAGTGAAGAAAAGAAAAGAAAATTTGAGTCGGGCTATAATGGACGATATTTCAACCGTGCAATGGGCTCACACTTACGGCAATGTCCCAGACTGTTATATTATCATCACTGCAACCTGTACAAATATAGTTTCCAGCAATTGCCAGACATTTGACAGTGTCTTGATGCTCTAAGGTAGTATCGCTTTCGCCAGTCTAGAAAAGTGGAGGCATTGTTAATAGGACGCGATGCTGATGTGGTATAAATTCCAATACTTGCCAGTATATTCCATCGCTTGGCTGTCTTGTCTGCTGAGGCTAATGTCACGAATCAAGAATACGCGTCAATGATCATGCTCAAATTGAACACGGTTTATATCTCCTTCCTTCCTGATTAAAAAGCCGTACCTGTCCACAATTCCTCATCCCACACGGTCAGAGCAAAGACATTAGTTTCGTGCCCTTCGTATACCTTCTCAGCTTGGCCGGATTCGACATTCCACTTTCGGATTGTGCGATCTGATGAAGCAGAGAATAATTTTGTGCCATCTTCGGATATGGCCAAGCATTCTACAGATCGAGTATGTCCCTTCAGATCACGGACACACTCTCCAGTTGTAATGTCCCATTGTCGGATGTGTGCGTCAGCAGAACCTGAAAATAAGAATTTGCCAACAAGCAGGATAGACTTGACAAAGTCTGTATGGCCAATGAATGTCTTCACGCACTCTCCAGTCTGCAATATAAGCAAGAGTAAGTAAAACGACATGTCCGTACACAATGACGTCCATTTAAGGTTGTCGATACAGTAACCCATACTTTAAATTGTTTTTATTGACCCAACCACCCACACTTAACATACCTTGACATCCCATTGCTTGACGGTCTTGTCCCAAGAACCTGTGAACAATGTCTGCTCATCTGGCGACAGTGCGATCGACGTGGCAGGACCATCGTGACCTTTAAAGATCTTGACTGCATTTCCGGTCTATAATGGTGTGACATTAGTGGTCAGATCTCGATGCGGTACAGCCGATCAAGTCGATGTGACAAGAGGTACCTCGAGATTGATTTTCCTTGCTGTAAATGCGGATTCCGCGATATAGCAGTATTTTCGTCCCTGAGATACTTTCAAGGCCAGGACCTTGGAGGGTGTCTTGACGGCGTTACCGGCGGTATAATTGTATTTTTTCTCCTTTTCCTTCTGCTTCTCTAACTCAGCATCGGTCTGGAAGAAATGTCCCGGGTTGCTACTAACGTTGGTCATGTCGATTTGGCAAGTAGATGAATAGAGCTGGTTGACAATTCTTTAACATTAATTTTGGTTCTCCGAGATTCTGGGTTGGAACGGTAAATGCTGAAATCAAAGCAATACATTTTGGTTTATTGTGTATTTTTTTTTTTTTTTGAAAGATTGGGAAGGGTAGTGAAGGAATGTTTACAACGATTACGGGTTATGATGGGAAGAATAATACAATTAAACTTCATCCCGTTCGATTACGTGCGTATTTGAGACTGTTAGGTTTAGTTAATTGACTGGGTATAGGAGGTGGCGACAGGTTATACTGGTTGCGTTGCGCATTAGGGTGAATGAAACTGAGATTATCAGGAATAACATCGTCAAAAGCCTTCAAAAGACTTTCGGAGCGAACTCTAGAATTACGCTGAACAGGACTTGATTGACCTTGATCAGCAAACGGGCCTTCGGAGTCAGAGTCTTCATCATTTGAATAAACTCTGCGCCTGGAGCTGTGTGAGATGGTAGCACTTCGTCTAAATGGGTTTAAAGATTTTCCCGAGTCAAAATCAAGTCCTTTAGTAAGAAGCAGTGATTCTCCACGATCGATCTTGGTTAACAGCTTTTGGAACGAGTCAGGGTCCATAGAAGCTCTTTGCGTAACGGGTGGTCTTGACTGAGACCTGGATACAGAAGAGCCAGAAAAGGGACTGTCCATGTCTTGCATATCGTCTAATTCTGATGCTGTGTGTGGTTTACTCATCATGAGTGGCTCGTTTAGCTCGGTCAAGAGAGGCGAGTTCGTGGACGCATGAGGCACAGACCGCGACCTTCCATGAGAATAAACCGTCTTTCCAGCTTGATTACCGGTAGATGGAGGGAGTTTATTTTCGATATCCAACTGCAGCATGGTGGGTGGTTCAGGATTGACCCAAAGAGGCTGCTGATTATATTGCGGTAGCTCCGGCACCCATGACCGACGGTCACCTACGTTGGCATGCCAAGAAGGTTGCCCATCCTGTGGGGTTGGAGTAGCCTGCCAAGACATTTGCGTATCTACCCATCCCGACGCCGAAGAGGACAGACTACCGAAAGGTTGTTGTTGCTGCTGCTGCATAGAGCCATCAGACGGAGGATTAAATGCGAGAAAATTTACATCGGACGGCGTCATCATAGCCGAAAACCGTTTTGAGGGTATATAGCCCGTCAAAGCACCGCCATCTGAGCCGTTGGTAAACGGAGGTTGGGGAGGCGATACGCTATTCGGCGACGCGGCCGGGTTAACATAACCATTGTATCCATACTGTGATAAAGGTCGGGAGCCGATATGCTGTTGGGGAAACCCGCCAGAGTTTGGCAAGGAGGGTAACGGGCCAGGAGCGTTTGAACGCTCCATTCTTGGCGGTGGGATATACGGTTCTTGCGGAGTGGTTTGTTGTTGCTGGGCTTGCTGTTGTTGTTGCTGCTGCTGAGCCCACCAGGCAGGGTCCGAGTTATTTGGAATTGGCTGATGGTGATTCATTCCGGTGGTAGGCCATGGTTGATTGTCATTAGATGGCACAGCCGAAGATTGCTGCGGCTTTTTAATAAGAGCATCGATGGTGTGAACGTCAAACCGCGGAACAGGTGCTATGCGCGATGTAAATCCCAGGTAAACATATGCTTCTTGTAAATAGGTGGAGTCAAGTGATATGAATAAGCCAACTTACCTCCAAGGTGAACCAGCTCAGGAGTGACCCTGCGACCATTCTGAGCATGAGCAATCAGTCTAAGCATAGCATAAAATTGCTCTTCCTTCAAGCCATCGGTAGCAGTATCGAATAAACGTAATATCTAGCAGATGCCGTCATCGCGCATCAGTACAGTTGCAAAGCTGGGAGGCACTCGTTCAATCAAACTTGAGATCAAACAATATATGTCAGCTTACCTTCTCTAGAACCTCGTCGGTGATATGACACCCTTGTAGAAATCTCAGTATAGTTTTGTTATCTAGTACCCCAATATTGAAAGGGTCAAGATCCTTCCACCATGAGAAATACTGAAGTCGCTCATGCTCCGCCAAGGCTGACAGCTTCAACTGTGGGACGGCGGGAGAAGACTGCTTTACTGCGTTATCATCTTCCTCTAAAAGTTTCGAAAGAGGTTGCTGTGCAGTTTTATTTGACCTTAATAAGGTGTTTTTGAGTTTGTTCATTGATATAAGTTGGGTAAAGTTAAAAGAAAGGCAATATGGAATTTCCAGTGCCGACATCATTTTTGTGAGATTTTCTGGGACGGTCATTGGGTTTGGGGGGAAGGTGCCACAGTATATTACTTTTTTTTGGTTCTACCACTTCAACTAATGGCCAACGAATCAGGAGTTACTGTTGAGTCACTGCAACAGGTGATCAAGGAGCGCTTGCAAGCAGACCATGTGGTATGTTGACGCAAGAATGCTTGACCTTGTCGATCAACGCGAGCACAAATTCAATAGCTTATTTTTCTTTGTCGGACATACAGGAAGTTGTCGATAACTCTGGAGGATGCGGCCAAATGTTTGAAGTCGTTATTGTTTCATCGCTTTTCAAGGACAAGCGTACATTAGCAAGACATCGCCTTGTCAATGACACTCTCAAGGACGAGATTAGTAAAGTGCACGCCTTCTCTCAAGTATGTTAACCTTTGTCGTGTCTTAGTCAGCGTTTACGCTAATTGAAGTCGTATAACTAATGGTTTTCTTTTGATAAACTCTTTTGAAATAGAAATCATACACTCCGGAGGAATGGACTCAACACAATTCATAGATTGCATGCCTTCCGTTGAAGTTATAAAGCCAATATTTAGTGATTTGTAATTTTGCTTTTCCGGGTCCATACATCTCATGACCGGATCCTCCATACAAGCCATGAAGTTGTATTGACGTAGGAAAGCTATCAAAGGTTAAAAACAATGTAGTGAATTAAATATTATCTTATACACCCTTTGAACAATTTTGTATCTCGCTCTTATGGTTTCAAAACACTTATGCACAATGTATGTGATAGTTTTAGTCACTGCGCTCCTAAAAATTAGTTGTAAAGTCCAACGGACTACAACCTCCAGGTATGACCTACCCTTCCCTATCCTCCCTTGCGTAGCTCGCATGAATGAGGTGCATATATTTCGTTATTGATTGATTTACATCAAAATTTACTCTCTGAAGTACGCTAAACAGCAGTCCTGGAGTTTGTCAAGTCCTACGGACAAGACTTGTAATTTTTTTTTTTATTGCCGTTATGTTTCTAATTTTTCTGGAAGAATTGATACATTACTTTGCGAACAAATCCAGATAGGACATCTGGTTCATCTTGATAGAAAGACTATTATAGTAGAGAATGGTCGCCGTTAGACATGGTGACCATTGATATCGGATCAGTAGGATTGGATCAGTAAGAAACTTACCATAATGACACCCATAGCGAATGAGGCCATAGCGACCTCAAAGTGCTTGATTCGGATAATCCATTTACGTTGATAACATATTTCATAAAAGCTCTTGAGGGCTTTTGGTAAGACATATAAAGCCAGTTCGGTTCGTCTTCTTTTGTCTTCGAAGAAGATACTAATATATGAGCAAATAAATCCTGCAAGCCAGTACAAGTATTTACTATTGAAGGTAGTCAATCCTGCCTTCACAAGATTACGATGTCCACAGATCTGATACTGGTAGAGCATAACAAAACTAGCCAAGAAAGCACCGGATTTCATTGTAGCAACCGTTGTTTTAGACAGCAGCTTTACCGGACTACATAAGACAAATGAAATCAATATAAGACGCTTCAAAAGTCGCCATTTTCCAAACCGTCACATCTGCAAAATCGACTTACTCTCTCTTCAAGTGCTCAGTTCTCAGCAGCAACATCGGTACAAAATGTAAAGTGCCGTATACAGGCAACATGCTTTTGAAGACCTTTGAAAAGCGCTCAATAGCTGTCTTATTGCAGCCGTCGACCCAAGGGTGAATGCATTCACTAGTTTTTGGACAGAATTTTGTAAGGGGATAATGTACGAGTATGGTTTTTGAGAAATAAACCTACCATGGAAGGACAGGAGGATATGGTGGTATAGTTTGGGCGATTTTGAGGGCATGGGCAGTGGGTCTGAATTTCTGCACTGCATCAACGACAGCTAGTGTATCAAGTGGAACTCCACGAACGTTTAGATTATTCAATTCTAGCAGATCTTTCGGAACGCGAGCAGCTTTAAGCATAAAGCTATAGAAGTCTGGCGGTAAAGTTTGTGGCTGCATCTAAATTAGTCCATGTAGCGTTAGTAAGGTGATATACCATACCACTTTGTTACCAAGCAATTTGGCAGCCAAAAATTCCTTACAGTATAAGCATAAAGGACTTGAGCTGACGTGAGAGCAAACAATAAAGCATCGCCATTCTTAAAGTTGACAATGTCTCTCTCCTTGCCGGCATTATAAAGAGCTTGCAAAGCTCTACACGAGGAATAAAGGATCAGTTACATTTCAGCGAGAGACAATGACTTGGAATCTCGGTTTCGGCACTTGCCTGACAAAGAACTGCTGTGCAATGTCAACTCTGCGCTCTTTCTTCTCAAATAGAATACTTAAGCCAGCGATGGATCCTGCAACCATACCGTTAAAGCGGTCTTCTTTACCACGATAGTGCCGCATACCGTTGTTGATCAGTTTCCAGAGCAACGAAAAAGAGCCAAACATGGCGCCGAAGCGCAAAGCATCCAAGCTTTGGAACGACGCATGGAGAATGTTGGCTAGAGGAGCTCTGAAAGTATCGTTGGTGATTGTCAATTTTGGATTTGCAGGCAATACGGGATGATCCGGTGCTGGGGGTTTCTGCGTTAATCGATCATTTACCTTTTCCGCGCTACACGCAACAGGTACAAACAGAAATTGACGCCAGCTCGTACTCCGTACGCCAAAAGGAATGCCCCTATAATTGATCTGCCATTAACATTCGTCGTTGTAACGAACAATCAAGAAAGGTTATCGGTCTTACGAGCTCCGCCGTGTAAGGCATGTCGAACGATAGCTTCTGGCGTGTCTGGACGTTTCCAATCCTTTTTGTGGCCGATATCGGAGGGATTTCTAATTAATTTTGCCTTTAGCCGTGCATAAGACGACGTCCTATGCGGCGGCTTGCTATCTGACATTCGATCAAGGGTTATGGAAAGGAGAAGATAAAAGACCAGTAGACCGATGTTTCCTTTTAAAGGTGCTTTGTTGGGTCGTTATATTCTGACTCCGAACACAGATCACAGCGGTTTGACATGTGAATTGGGGAAGAAAGAACGGAAAGGCAGGTGAAGATAATTGCGTAAAAAACCATCAGTTGAATTCCTAAATAGATTATAAAGCATCACGTAACGTGAGGAGTTTTTATATGCATGTCTTTCTGGAGAGCAGTCGCTACAAAAAGTCGTGGTCAACGACATTGGTCTCCACCTTTTCTGCACACACCCAGTGACTGCTTTTCGCTCGCAACCAGTTTCTCGGCTGAGCTCAATGTGTTCGTGCCTTTCTTTGGATTCTTTACCAGCTATGCCTTGGCGCCCAGAGGGTATTTTACACGGCGTGCAATATGCTATTGAAGGAAGCTTGATTGTTGTTCAAAACCCTCAACTGAGAAAAGAACGTTACCTTCAGATATTTGGTTATCTTCTGATACTTTCGTTCACTCTATTCACAATAAGCAAAGTGCTCATTGTGTTTCCGTTGCAAATCTTGCGATTCATCGCCTACTTGATCTCTTTGCCCGGTCGATACGACAATACCAAAGTTGACACATTCTTATTGACTCTTGAACGTTACATTCGGGAGGGCTTGGTCTCGTTGCCTTTTCTCGCGTTGTTCTTTATGCGGTACTTATACCCTAAACCTATTGATCAACTCTTCATGGAATCACTGCGATATGTCGATACAAAAACTGATGGACGACCCTACGCACCAGCCTTGGCTGCACGCTCATTTAAGATCAACTATTGGGCCAACCTTCGACAGTACCTAATGCGGTATTTTAAGAAAGGCCGTATAGGAATTATTGTGTATTTGTTTTCACTATTACCCATTATCGGCCGATTTGTCCTTCCAGCAGCAGGTAGGGTCATCTTATTTTGATATAGGAACAGCAAAACCGTCTTGAAACATAAAGCCATTTATTGATGCCCTTAATCACTCTACAGGAGCGTATACCATGTACAAATCATTGGGAAAGGGACAGGCAGCAGCCGTTGGTATCTGCTTTATCATTCTACCGCCACATATAACCCGTGTCATCATGCGTTCATTGTTTGAAATGAGAGCTCTTATGCGTGAACTGCTCGAACCGTACTTTGAACGTGTTGGTCTGGACAGCAAACAAAAGCGTAAATGGTTCCGACGCCGAGAGGATATTTTGTTAGGATTTTCAGCTATCGCTTATGCTTTTACTAGAATACCTTTCTTCGGCGTCATTGGATATGGACTTATGCAGGCTGCATCTTCTTACCTCTTGGTGCAATTGGGTGATCCTCCGGCTCAAGGTATGAGCGCTTCATCTTTAATCGAAGGAAAAGATATCAAAGTTCGGCACAGCGAACCCTCGGCAAAGGACGATTAAATCTCAGCTCCAATGGCCGAAGTAAAAGCATCAGCATGACACTCTCCAATATTTGTATTTCACAGACGGTGGTAGTTGAATAGGTGTGGACGTACTTGTATACCAATACCCCAAAAATGCGTGTTCTGTATTTGAACAATTGTACAGTGATAGGTTTGATAGATCAGAAAATGAGAGAAATTAATAAAATGGACGACTAGAGGAAAAGTATGGAAATACATGCAGTGGGGGGATGCTAGTGGGTAATATGAGGGGACTGGGATTGAGTGAAGGAAGTGATCACGCGATGAGAGCCTTGAATTCTCTGATAGGGACCTTAATAGACTTGATCATCACTTTACACGAGCCACCTTCTTCCCGTATATCTGCGTCAACCTGATAACGTCCGGCATTGGAAGTCGCAGACCAGCAAGTTCCTTCCTGTTTCAGACGAGCCATGTCGTGCCATACAGTCGCTTGGGCACTGATGGATCGAAATAGAATGCAGTAGATGTCTCGCACAGCCTTGTCCAACTGAATGATGGTTTCTGGAGGCACATTGTAGACCATAGACTTGGTGGCCATATCGAATTTTCCTTCTGTCACTCTATAAGGAGACTCTGAATTTATCTAGATTTGACTTTCATTAGATTATTGACATTTCCCTTCATTGCACACAGGTATACATTTCATACCTTGAATTGCCAGTGAGCGGTGATGAATTTCATACGACGACTGATATCCAGTAGCGCTATGGTGCGCATACGATGGGCTGTACGTTCCACAGCCCATACGTCCTTTGTTTCCAATTGCTGGAGGACTATGAGAATGATTTCGGTAGGTAAGATAGAAAGCGACATGAAGAGAGAAAAAATTGAGATGAGATGCGACCTATTTCTACTCCTGCTTATTGTCAAATGCGGGGTTTGTACAACCTCAGCTTTCCCACGATTCCATCTCCCTCCATGACTGATCATTTGCGAACCAACGTTCTTGCGCCACTAAAATCATATTTTTTGCCGTGAACCAGAGATAGATTTGCATTGAGTAAGTAATATATTAGACAAATTCAATTAGGACCATTTGCTTGATAACATGTAATATCGTACGTTTGTCCACGAGCGCAACTGACGTGAGGATACTCCGCCAGCAGATTGGTATAGCCCACCTATGAACCTCAGTCACGCTCATTAGAGGGGTGGGGTGGGGTACTGTGATGTTTACGTTCTTTGGGAAGTGTATATGTGGCTACGTACACGATATTTTGCCTTGTCTGGCTTCTATCTCATTAATGGGCCGTACTGTGTGTCATGGCTCAGAATGAGTGATTACAAGCATGCGCTATTCGAAGAGCGTATGCTGGTGAGACATAGCAAGGAAATTGCTATTGATAGACATGTCGCCATTTTTCTAAACACGGCGTATTAATCCCACGGCATTGCGTAAGTCAGCAATGACCTTATTTACCTGATGCCTGCGTTCATACATCTCTTCAAATACTTAGCTATAAAGCGATTGTTATAGAAAAGTCTTCGCATCTCAATACCAGCAATGGTCAAGGTCTGGCTGAGTAGAATGTATAATGCCTGTAACTGAAACATCGGTGACTCATTTACGTCTAGTCGCGCTTAAAAATATCGTGGACGGACTGGTGTAATGGGTAGTCTCAGAAGATGTTGTAACAAACAACGGCGCGCCCTAGTGAAAATAAAGTTATGTGTAATTAAGTTAGTCACTCCTCAGCCGCATTCGCCTTCACAACGTCAAAATGACCAATGTTGGAATCAAAAGTTCACGAGCAGCGAACACCAGGAATTCTGCTTTGGTAGGGTTATCTTCGGCTTTCTCAGTATATTTCATATATCTAACATCAATTGACTGGATGTCTAATCGAAATCCATTGGAATAGCATCTATATGTGAGTCAAGAACATTGACGGCATTATATTTTTTGGGTCAAACTGAGTGTAAAAGACGCCAGGCCCCTTTCCCCACATTTTGAAAGAGACTCAGTCGATGGCGCTGCATCACATCCCAGCAGCACTTCCACCTATCACGTTTTCCCCACATAATACAGTTTAAGGGAAGTTTCTTTTGCTCGCATGCCTCTTTGTTGAGGAAATAGTAGGTTGTCCTACAGGAACTAGGCATACACTTCAATATACCTGTTGTCGATGTATTGACTGAAGAGCGCTTTTTATAACCAACTCTGTCAGCATGGACTTGCCGACTTCTCATTCCGAATACAAGAACATAATGATGATATTATTGAAAGAGGTAAATTCATGTATTGTTGCTTTATTAAGTGGATGGGAATGAAATGAAATGAAAATGCCAAAACATTTTTGGTTGTTCTATGGTACATGCGAAGGGAAATGCGGGTATTGTTGTGTGTGGTCTTTGGATTAACCATATTAGAATATATGGTAGGGTATGGCTGAGTGCTAGAATATTCTTTCGCAATTTACGAGCTTGCAAGTAATTCTAAAGGTACTCGCAGTTCGGTCACTTGAAGGGCATAGGTGGTCTCGCCGCATTCTTGCTCCTTCCTAACGGCAGCGTCGATTTCGCAGCGTTTGCCCTTAGTATGGCACTCAGTCGTCTTGCCCACAGGTGTAGTAGGTTCAAGGGTGAAAGTGAAGCCATCATTGATGCTCTTGACGGCGGACGAGGATGGGTTATTTTGACGTTGCAGCAATTGACAGTGTACTTCTCGTCGATGATCCCAACATAATCGAATCTCGATAGGCTTCATAGGAACTTCGCATGTGACTTGCTTGGTGATAGGATCAAATTTGTATGGTCGTGCTTCTTGTTCAGACAAGTGGACAAGCATTCTCCACTTTAGCTGCTCATCACCACTACTTGATCCTTCGCTCCAGTGCTGTATGCGTTTCTCAATTTCGTACAGTACTAAGGACTGAATGTGTCTATTGGTGCGTTCAATTCTGACCAGGTCTTCAATGCTCATTTGTTGTAGCACGAGACATATTAATTCAAGAGGAATATTAGAAAGTTGGAGAGAATTGGTCATTATGGGTAGAGTAATGTGTCTGGTGTAAAGAATGAAAAATTTATCAATACGAAAAACCGGACGCTTTTATATTGTTGTGCGTTAGTTCAACTGAGACAAAGCTCGGAATTTTGACTTTTTTGTTCGCACTGTTAAGAGCACTTGGTTCAATGATGTCAGTCCATCATTGTGTGATTATCTGCCTCAACCCTCACTTTTCACAATTCCTTCGATGGTATCAACCTATATACCTTTTATCCACTTCATGACATGTTATTCAAACTGTGAATATGGCAATGATGTTGCTATTATCCTCATATCAATTTTGATTACTATTTATTTTACTTATCGACTGTTATCTATTAGCGAGAATAAACTCAGCAGCGAAATCGATACCTTACCCTGGAAATTTAAGCAAGCTTAGCGGGGCCATGTGTTTTATTCTGGCAATTAAAATTTTTCTTTAGAGGCCATTTTTGGATAATGGCCTGCCCTTTCAAGGTGGCACGATATGTGTCAGACCCTGTTATCGACCCGAGAGACAAGATGCTCACAAGTAAAAGTTAAGATAGACAGCATAAAAAAGATATATATCAGGGTATCACTGCCCCTTCGCTCCATCTAAAAGGGATCGGAGCACTGATAATGCAAAATACCCGACTCCATTTCATATTTTAGATCTTGCGCTGACTTACAATACATAGCGGCCTTCCTAATTTTGCAGGTTGGATAAGCACTATCGATAGCGCGCACATGTCTATAGCATACGACTGATGTCAACGTGCTATGAATTGGGCGAACTTTAAAAAAATATCATATCAACGTCGTGTGTTCCTGGATATGAGACGGACGGCAAAACTGAAAGGGTATAAAAAAATTTAATCATTCAATTTTTTTTTTCCTTTGAGCAGGAAACCATTCAGTACGAAGATTAACAAAAACAATAAAAAAGCGCGAGGGCAAACTGAGGTACGTCTAGTACTACTATGTTCAGTATGCCATGCTATCTACAAGTAGTGAAGTTGGTGGAAGAGGTTTTGGCTTGCTTGGTTGGAGCTTAATGAGAGGGTCGGATGTGTAATTTTCGTGTTCATCGATATTAACTTTGCTGTGCGCCCCTATTTCTTGTGGTATGGGAGGCTATTTTACATTTGTGCATAAGCATCGTCATAAATGGATCGCAACTTTTTCCTCGACCGAGTTTCAACACCGCCTAATGCACTCTTCTCAGCAGCTGCAGCCGCAATAGCGGCAAGCGATAACGCTTCCAGTGCACTCTGTTGATAGTCATTGGAGTCACTGATATGCAACGAATCTTGCCCTTGCGAAGAGTCTTGACCAAGCGGTTGCGAGCAGTCTGCTATAGCGGAGTCTTGAGATTGCATACTCTCCTCTTCGTGTCGTGAACCAGCATCACTGACATCACTTTTATGGCCGTTAGATGGCTGTTCGCCTTCTCCAAAGAAGGATGCTTCACCAAAACCGGAGTCCGTCCTCTTCTTCGCCTTTTGCTTTTCATACCATTGATGTTTTCGTTCTTGTGCCTTGAGCACACTTATTTCTCTACCTATCTTAGACTTTTCCTTGACGATCGCTTCAAGGATTCGTTTCGCTTGCTGTAATCCCGTTCCATTCTTCTCCTTTGCTCGGATTTTGACGAGTGCTTCAGCTTGTCGTCGAGAAGTGACGGATTCGCTAAGCTTTTCCTCCAACTCTGCCAATCGCTGCTTTCTATCAAGCGATAGTTTTTCGGCTGTCTCGTTTCGACGTTGCTTGAATGCATCTCGTAAGGAAACCCCAGACCGGGAATTGGGATTCAATTTGGATCGAGACTGTCCGCGCTTATACGTGTAGCCATCATTTAACAATTTTCTCTTGGCATGTTCAAGAAGTGCCCCTTTGTCAGCGAGAAAAACAGGATTATGCAACGCCAATTTGACGCACGCTTCGTTGATGGCAACTTCGTACGGAGTGAGTGCTCTTGTGGAGTTTTTGCCGTAGATGGTGGCATGGGATATGAGTACCTCCTTTGAGATTGTTTTGCTGTCTCCGTCGCCTCTCAAATATACTGGAACATCTTTGACAGGGAAGCCGTCGGGAATAGGGATATTCTCTGGCGCATGGGCTGGATCAATTTCGTCTATGGCTGGAAGCATTACGTCGAAATCGATTTTCTAGAAGCGAAAAGCTTATTAACAAATTGTTTTTTTGAGATGCAAGGAATAGTATTCGCTCGTGGCAACACATACTTTCTTTTCAGGACTAGCACGAAGGTTTTCTTCTTCTCGAGGTGGGGTATGTGGAGATGGCTGACGTTTGCGAAGCAGTCGAAGTGTGGAACGGAATGCAATAGCGTGGAAAGGCAACATTCCGACAGAATTGAGCAGCTCTCGCAAGTCAGTTTCTTCGATTTGCAGAAGTTGTGGAATGTCATCGTCTGCAACTCCAACTTCCAGTAATGCCGAGTAGTATCGTGATAATTTCAGATTGGTCAAGAATTCTGACAAGGTGGGATAAGCTTCTTGGGTATTGCTATCACTCGAGGCCATCGCATTTTGCGGCTGATCCATAATGGACGATAAATATGGCCCGTTGAGGTATAACGTAAAGGAACGGTAGAGAGGACGATGGAGCTTGGGCCTTGTTTTCGGCTTGGGTGCCTGCGGCAGAATAGGCTGGAGATTTGTTGTGTGCAGGCAAAAACAAGTCACGTTTTTCGTCAAACACCTGATCGCACATCGTCAACATTGGATGCTTGTAAAAAACACTGGCGTGCTTTATGGTCTATGAACTTTTTGCATTGATTACATAAGGACAGGATTGAGAATGAAAGCGAGAAATTGTAAAGAACGATGATGTGATAAGGAAAAAAAAAAGAAGAAATCTATATTGTTCCATTTTCTTTGTTGTGTGATTTACTGGCGCCTCTTTCCTTTCGACTTCTTTGCGCTTGCCTTGCCAGATTCTTCATTGATATATTGAACAAGTTGATCTATGGGAAGTTCACCTCTAGGTACAGCATTTGACTTTGTTTGTTGAATCTTGGCACCACTTTCACTAGCCTTTTGTGCGAGCTTGGCCTGCTCGACTTCAGCCTGCTTAGCAGTAAAGAGGGCATTGGACGTCAACTCTTTAAGCCACAAATCACTCTCTTTTGTGCGGGGATCCTCCTCACCCAGCTGTAATTTACAAAAAATAAAAAAGGGTTGAGCAGATAATCTCGTTATCCTATGCATTCACAAACGAACATACCTTGGCTGTGAAAACTTCATGGGCAACACGCTCAGCATTCAAAGCCTTCTCAAATTCTCCTTGTAGGGTAAATGCTTTGGCAAGAACATGATAGCCGGTTCCAGTAAGGACGTGGTCTTTGCCCAGAATGACTTCTTGAGTCTTGCAAGCACGTTCAAAGCATTTCGCAGAAGTAGGGTAGTCACGCAAAGATTGGAGCATAACACCAATGTTGTTCTAAAAAGACGTCTAAGTAGGTTGAAGAGAACACAATATTTTGACTTCATGGAAAACTTACATCGGCTGTAGCAGAATCTGGATGACCAGCACCGAAAATGAGATGCCAGTAATACAAAGCATGACGCAAGTATCGCAGTGCCAGCTTGGTTCGGCCAGCAGAGTGCTCGAATAAACCAAGGTTAAGCTATACGAGATGTTCAGTATGACGTCCTATCATTTGAAAACATCAATCCTTTCTCCATCAAGATCAGTCACTTACATAGGTGTGCAAAGTTTCGGGATGATCAACACCGCAGGTTCTTTCCGAAGCAATGACAGCCTTACGTTGGAAATCCAAGGCCGCTTCTGAATCTTCTCCATGGTAATAGATCATGGCAAGAGCTGCATAGCACTTGCTTGTCTCAGGATGCAAGAAACCATAAGTTTGCTCATGGAGAGCTAGAGATTCCAACAAAAGTTCCAAGCCGAGCTGACGGTGTCCTTGCGAAATGCTCATCTTACCAGCCTCAAAAGCCTCTTCTGCAAAAACACTGCGAGTATTAGCTTGCTTGACAGTAGGCTTGAGGTTAAGGATATCATCAGGGACAAAGACGGTAGTTTGGCGAATGATCTTGTCAAACTTGGTGGCCTTCTTTTCGCCCTTCTTATGCTTGTTCGCCTTTGCTGCGGCTTGTGCCTGTGCCTTTTCAAAGGCAGCATCTTCAGCTGAAAATTGAGCGAGCTGCTCTTCACTGTATGCCTCAAAGTGGTAGTCCTTGGCCTCCAATTGAATACCTACACGAAGACAAATTTCACGAAGAGCTGGAACGGTCTTGAGATTGTCTACAAAATCATCAGGAAGATTGTAACGGAATCTCTTCTGGACCTCTGATTGAATTTGTTGGCGAAGAGAAGATGGGGTGAGATCAGCATAGGTGGCAGATGATCCGGCAAACACTTCAGCCTCAGGTTTGGGGTTGAATTTGGCTCCAAACAGACAGTTCAAGAAATGTGAGATACATGCTGAAATATCAGTAATGGCGCATGATGTCAATAGGTTACGAAGGATACGCTTGCTGGCACGGGTTACCATTTCCTGGATGGCAATAACCTTGACGTGATCCAAGCGATTATCCTTTGATATCTCAACCAATTGAACGATTTTGCCAAGGTATCGCATATTGATACCACGTTGGTGCATGGCCTTGGTGAGAGCGTCACCATCCAAAGGTGAAACGACGTATGAAGAGAAGTCAAGGACAAGGCTAGGAATGACACTTTCGGCCAAAAACTTGGAGGCATCGCGAACATTGTTCTCATGCTCACGAATTGACTCTTCATGTTCTCCTTCTTTGGTCTTGACACCAGTGAATGCATCGGGGTTGAACGAGAGCTTGAAGTCATTAACATCAATCTTAACTTCTTCTGCAGACCGCAAGCATTAATAAAATATGTATATAGAGGACACTGTATTCACTTCCTGCAAAATCATCGTACCTTCAGAGTTCTCGGCGGCATTGCCATTTTGTTCCTTTTTAGTCTGCTCCTTTCCTTCCTCTGACTCAGGTGTAGTTGCCTGCTGTTCGGCATCCTTGGTATCGTCGGTTTTGCCAGTCTTCTCCTTGACCCATTCACGCAACTTTTGCTCCCAATACAAAGCCATCAGTTCAGGTCGAAGAAGGGTCATCTTATGAGGATACACGGGTAGCTTGTTGTCAGCATCAGATGTCTCGGTAGCTTCGTTTTCTTGGAATTCAATGTCGACTGGATTCAACCGGTACAAATCCAAAATATACCGTCGTCCATCAGCACCAAGAAGACCCTTAGTTTCCAGTGAGGTATATAGCTCAACCTCATTACCTTCACCGTCAACCACTGGGTGAGCGGCAAGATGCAATGCTTTTGCAGCAGCTCCAAGCAACTCGTGGAACTTCTCATCTGCGGATATCTTCTCGCCATTATCCACGGAACCGTAGACAATGGATGTTTCGTCTTGGCGTCTGAAAATGCCAGGAACAATGCTTTGCGCTACGACACGAACGCCCTTGTAGTCCACAATAACACTGCCCAAAGTGCACAAGCCTTCGACATCGGCATTGTTCAAAATGCGCACACCCTCCAAGTCCTTGCCAGTGGCAACATGAGCAGCTTCGTCACCACCTAACTTTTCAAAGGTACCTCTGCCATCTGATCCTTTGCTGAAAAAGATATTGTTGTAGACATACATGTGCGAGCCTTCGGGTTCCAATGGATTCAATGCTACAATGGTTCCTTCAACAACAGCCATGGCGCCCTTGACAGCAGCGTCTGTAAATTCAGCTTGAAGCTTGTTGATAAGGCGCTCACGCAAAACACGTTCTTGAAGATTGGTGCGTGGAAGTTCACGGTGGGATTGAAGTTCATCGTTCCAGTCACGAAGTGAGTCGACAGAATCAGTGCCGTAGTTGAGGAAAGCCTCTGCGGGTCGAGTCAAATCAAAGGTGTGAGGAGTCTTCTTGACAGCCCATGGGTAGGCTGGAAGAGTGGTGTTGACAGGCAAAACTTCAAGCATGTGATGATCGGTAATGAACTTTTGAAGCTTCTCGAAGTTGGTAGCAAACAAGGGTGAAACGTGTTGCAAGAGAGTAATAAGTGAATGAGATTCAGTCAGCTTCTCTGCAGAAGGGGCACGCTTGACGGTGGGGTCGAACTTGTTGTTAGACGAGTTGTTGACGAAGAATCCACGGACGTTAGATGTAATATGGACTGTCTCGTTTTCAAGAGTGGTGAATACAAGGTAAAGCAAATCACCCTTGAGCTTTTGGGATTGTGGGACGGGATTCCATCCAGACAATCCAAAACTCTTCAAACATTGCGGAGCTGTTCTTTGAAAACTCGTGGGAACAAACTGAGAAAGGTGGGATTTGGCATCAAAGTCGTAGTTGGTGAAAGCGGTCTCTGCAACCGGAGCATCAGAAAACAGCTCATGCTCTTCATCCTTCTTTTCGCCAGCAGGGACAATCTCCTCATCTAAGTATATAGATCAATGGCTGCACAAAACTTCAATCTGTCGAGTGATGATAGAATGTCTTACCTATTTTTCCGGTGACAGCTGTCAAAAATGACAAGCCACCATCCACGCCAGCATCGCCAGGATTGGGCTTATAAGGACCAGCAAGCAAGTCTCTTAAGCGGTTGATATGAATGCGGGAGTCGCGATCGGTGTATTTGTCTAAGGGGGAGCACACTTTAAGTACACCATATACTCGATAAGGCATACTACATCATTGTTAAAACATACCTTCCACAAGATATAACTGGGATTCCGTGGTGATACCCTCAATGTCACCGAGTTCTTCAAAATCATTCAACTTTTGGCCATTGAATGTCAGATAGAAACAAGAGTAGATACAGGTTTCAGGAGACTCAATGATGGATTGTTTGATGTCATGAATTGCTTCCCGGGGGCTAGCCTTTTGTTGTATTGTATGTCAATATGAATGCATTCTTGTTCTTAATCAAAACCTTCAAATATAACTTACCAACACTTGAATTTGACCGGATTCTCGGGGAAGACATACGGTCAATTGATAAGTTTCCTCAGCTACAAGGTCTGTAAACTTAAATTAGTCATAGGATTTATTGATACTGCTCAATAGCTACTCCTCCTTTCTCGTACCTTCTTGGTCTTCAGTAACGACAGTATCGTTAACTTCAGAATGAACAGGCTGGTTTTCGGCCGCTTCTACAGACTCGACTGGTTTTTCAGACATGCCAGCTACCTGATCGACATTTTGAGAATTGTTCGAGTTAGTGTACAATTTCTGCTCGCACAAGCAACAGTTAATTTGACATGTCAACTTACCTGATTTATGGACGAGAAAAATCACAAAGCGGGGGAGCTTTTTGTGTGTTGAGCCCAGAGTGGCATCATCAACCCTATGAAATTTAATTATGTGATGAAAACCTCGCTGTATGAAATTGAACAAGTTCCATACTATCACAACCCATTCATTGCTCGACATAAACTGCTAGCCCACTGAACTTTCGGACCTCCTTGCTCAGTATGCAGTATTGGGATGTTGAAGGTCCAGCTCCTTAGCTCTTCTCTATATGGCGAAATTGGCAAAAGCATCATTATCTCCATGCTTATAGCATATCTTTATAACTTTTATATTATGCTGTTGAAACCAGTTTGCACATCTGTTTTTTCATTGCCTTTGTGGTTTTACCTATTCGTAATTTGAGTCCACTATGCGACTTGTAAAGTCTCAAAGGAAAAGCATTACATCAGTGTACCAAGCCACTCTGGGCTGCCAAATTTTCCCCACAAATGACCGCCAGGTGCCATACGACCCTGTCTTCACTTCTCAACATGTCGAATTCACTCGTCGTCTATGTGGTTGTATTTTTTCTGTTTTTAGGCAGTTATGCTTTGAACTTGACAGCTTTGTTCCTGCCAAAGTGGTAAGATCCTTTTCATTCCTTCACAATGGCTATTTTTGACACAGCACGTACAGGCTCGGTGACGTTATGCATTTTTAGGCTGATCTTTGTCACTCCACGACCGTTTTACACGGAAACGACATACGGGCTCTTCCGATTATGCAGAAGGTAGCCCATATGGTCAACGCATTTTTGACCGCTTTGTAGTACCGTTTTAGCCTTTGTGTTAATTCCTGGGACCATATCCTTACATAGTTATTCCGGAGATTGTCGACCGTTTCCAATTGAAGACCAAGACTGCACTGAAGGTAAGCCGAACAAAAAAGACTACCCATTCTGGTGACAACAACCCGATATAGGTGTGTCTGACTTGTCAATGTGTAGAGGGATTCTGTGAACTCTGGAAAACGGCTTCGACGGGAATGATCTTGGCAGCCGTCATTGGCGGCTTGGCACTTCTAGGGCTTCTTGCCACTATGTGCAGCAATCGGCGTAAGCGAGCCAATGGCTGGAAATTGCTATCTGCGTAAGTCGATTAAAAAATATTTTATCTCCTGTATTTCCCATTGCCAATGCTGATCATCGGCTACTCCAGACTCTTTATCCTCCACGCTGTTCCACAGGCTGCAGCCATGGGTGTAGTTGCTTACTTATTCAATTCATCGTCAAGTTTCTATGTGGGTACCCGCTATGATCTTTCGTTTATTTTTGCAACCATCAGCTGGTGTTTATCTGTTGTGATCGCTGGAATACTTGTTTTGGCAGCTGTGTTAGGCCCTCCAGATTATGCTTATGAAAGCTTGTAATTTTAGGGACTTTATTCAATAAAAAGAGAAAGTAGTATTCCTTGTACAACATAAAGTGGTTACAACCATGCTCAGATGTCAATCCGATCTCCCGAGAGGTTTTCAAAGAACGATTGCACAACTTTGCTGGTTTTTTTTTTTTTTTCCATGTAACACGGTTTCTTCTTCCCTCTCTTTCTCACTCTGACTTCATCGACCTTCTTATAAACGAGTGCTTCATCATGAATTATCATGATAAGCGCTCATCGATGTCGTCTTATGCCGACAGCGGATATTATGCCCCATCGGTTAACTCGACATCCAAGGAAACTCCATTTAGTCGAACCTTGCAACACACTCTAGCGTATTACGGCCCAGCAGCAGAACGATCCCGTGCATCATCTATTCAATCCAACCGATCGAAGCGTACCGATGAAGTTATAGCTCTGCCACGGCCGCTCACATTCCCATTTCACAATGATTCCTACTTTCTACCGGTAGCAGAGACGACCCACCGAAGCTTGTCGGCGTCCAACTCTTGCAGAAGTTTGGTATCTCCACCAAGAGGACAGAGTCCCCGGCAGCGAGATCCGACTATAGACTCGATTAAGCCCGGAACAGTCCGGTCATTGAAACAGATGTTCCAAAGGTCAAGCGATACTACTCAAGCGAATGAGGCAAATAATTCCATATCTGCAGAAGAGGCTAACATCACACCAACGTCGCCACCACCAAAGTCTGTGTTCACTGGGATTAAGGAAGGAACTGTAAAAGCCCTGCAAAGTCTCTTTACAACGCCACTATCATCCAAGACTGATCCCTCCAAACAACCTCCTTTGAAGCCTACGAGGACTTGGAAATGGTGGAAACGATCTAAAGTTGATAGCCAAAACCCAGCAACCGAAGCTGACTCGAGGCCAACTTCCTCGATTTTTGGAGATGCTTCCACACCCCTTTTGCAACCACCTTCAGCAGCTGCTAAAAAATCAGCTGGTAACCGATTCTTCCCCAGAATGACAAAGCCACAATGGCTCCTTCCCAAATCCCCTGCCAAGGCCAGTGAACATTTTGAAAAACCAAAAAATCCTATTTCCAGTCTTTGGAATGGTCTCAAGTCGATTGTCAAACGCAAGTCATAGAATGAACGCTTTCCACATACCCCCTCAATCACTTTGTTATATAGTATAATGATTGAATCTCATACACTCATTGATACCCCTCGATACATCCATGCCAATGTCATTTTTTGTTTTGCCACTATCTATCTATATTTGACACCTCGTCGTAAGTCCAGTAAAAATCTTAATTGTATTGTTTGACATGAGTGCTACGCGTACATCGTACCAAACTTTTTCATAATCATTTACCGCATCTGGCAGCCTTTGACTTTTCGCCGTAAAAGTCGACCCGAAAAAAAGGGGGCGGCGGTGGTGGTGGTGGTTATGAACTATACCTGGCATGTCCCCTTTTTAAAAATTGATCTGCATCATCGACGAGACACGTTACCCTAAATAACAAAAAAGCACTCGCATTTTATTACTCAGACTCTGTCCTGAACTTGAAATTTAGAACATGCCAACGTGGGCAAACAAGCTTTTCATTCCACATAATTTCTATAGGGTATGTCTTGAACGCCGTATTGATGTGCGTGCGACGGTGAACGAGAGCTCATGTGACCTTCGACGGTTGTAAGCTGAAAATTTCAGCTAACGAAGATTGCATCACAGTAACAAGGTTCATTTATAAACTAGGCGGCGCTCAGAATCATGAAATATCACTCATTCGGACCTTGTCTATTAATCATTGCTTGCCATAGTGTGAATCCAAGAGAAACGGTCGTACAGCAGCTAAATTTTATACTCTAGCCCTGGTGGATTGGTCCGCTGTATTCCATATTCAAAGTACAGGTGCTGTAGCTGATAGAGCTGCTAACGATATGAGCGACCTTATTTTGCTCTTTTTGTCTCTCCACTCTGCGGTTAAATCACATTCCATCGCTGAACACATCGAACCAATGAACCGCCCCGCTTATATTCCTGTTGGACTCTGAAAACTTTGCAGTATGACGATGAGAATGCAATTGTGTAGTTTTTGATTGTATCTTTTTGAATGCGAATCAAGACCACCTTTATGCCTATACTTTCTACCGCTTCATATGGTCAAATACTGCTTATAAAGAAAAAACCCTTTTAAAGCAGCTTCTCACCGAAAAGCCACTTCCTCAACGTTCTGTATCACACATTTTGGTGCTATCCATAGAGGCATTGTGTTCTCAGTGTAGAGATTATCGCAATTTGGTTACTCTATTTTTCTGTATACTCAAATTGCAATTATAATTTACCTTCCAACTGGCTGGTTGACTTGCACTGCTGTATCACATGATATTCTAACATTTGGTCCCAGGGTCTAAGCAAAGAATGTTGTGGCTTTTTTTTTGGTACTTCTTTTTGTTCTTTGTGTATTTCACCCCGCTTTCGAGATACATCGAAAGGTTATCGCCATAAGCAAGGAAGACGAGTGTGTAAAAAAAAATGAGATGTTAAAAACGCTCAATGATGGCACTGACACTAATGACGTTTTGCGGGATAGCTAGTATTGCATTGGACTCCTGAATATGCGGAGACTAGAAAATAACCTGATCGGCGAATGAGTTGTACGGTTCGCAGATCATTTTTGGAACCATTTATAGACATTCTTATTCCCAGGATGGGCAGCATCGGAAAAATTTGTTGATGCTCAAGTTCTTGTAAAGCAGTTCTTCATAGCATGAAAAGGTTAATGACGGAGAAACTGATGGAGTCCCCAATCCAAACCAACGCAAACCCAATGGCCCAGCAATTTCGCGGAATTTCAAAAATTTAATTTTTTAGATCCCAAACATTTTTGAGCCCCCCCAGGTGTAATCACATCTGTCTTTCCCTTCTTCCTTTGCTGTAGTGACCCATATACCCTTTGCATTCATACGAAATGGTGCGTTATAGTCCGCTGGGGCGCTTGTCGTCCACCAATCACACCTCACGAACAACCATGATTGTTGTCTTTGCTGTTCTCGCTATATTGTCCATTGCATCGCTCGCTGCTTTACGGTCCTCGGATTTCGCCAATCGATTGCACCTCTTTTCGTCTAGTCCTCCTCCACCAGCGGAGGTAAAAGATCCTAGGTGTCCAGCCACTGGACCTAACAATCATTTTGAGCAACAATATGGCCATGAACTCTTGCAACGATCCATCGCACATGAAGGAACCAACAAGCGTCTGCGTGAGAAGATAGCCAAGGCTCAACGGGGAGAAAGCTTGCGAATGGCAGTGGTAGGAGGATCGGTGTCGGCTGGTCATACATTGAACGATTGGAGGAACATCTACTTTTACCGATTCTTAGATTGGTGGAATGAACAATTCCCCGAAGGTCACCACACTATCTTCCAAGGAGCTGTACCAGCCACCGACTCTGGCTACTACGCTTATTGTTTTGATAAGCATATACCAAAGGATGTTGATATTGTGTTTGTGGAATTCTCACTGAATGATGCCAGGTAAGCTTACAGTGTTCAAATTGGTCAGTCAAGGAAGGTCAGGCACAGCGGCGTCCCTGATCCTTGCTTAGCTGAGGGGCCCAAGCGATCTACGGCGCAAGCCCCACCGCCCTGCACACAACCCTTTTTACGAACTTACTGCAAATGTACCAGTTGTCTAATCTCCCTTTTTTCCCCGTCATTTGGGTAGTACCTTACCTTGCGAATTGAATAAGCAAGGCAGTATAGTTCAGGCTAAGATGATGGAATCGCTGGTTCGAAACCTGCTTCGTCTGCCTAGAAAGGTATGTATTGATTTTTTGGGACTCAAGTTCTATGAATAGCGAGGAGGCATGACCTGACTTTTTACGTTTCTGTGATATTCACAGCCCGCAGTTATAATGACTTCAGTTTTCAGTTACAATGTGAACGAGTACTTAGATGGCCAGGAATCACATTTGCCTATCTCCAACTACTATGATTTGCCACATATTTCCATGAAGAATGCTCTCTATGACCATCTTAACCGCCACCCAGACGACCTCCGATTCAAGCTGTACAATGACGGTCACCACTTGTCAGACTGGGGACATCAATTATTGAGCGACCTCATCTCCCATTACGTTGAGAGACAGATGTGTGCCATGTCGGACCAAGTCCAGCCACCTCTCTTGGACAACTACTCATACAACGAGAGTATTCCAAAATTCGATATGTTCACTCACCGGTGGGAGCAAGACAAATTTAGAGAACTTGAACCCTATTGTCACACATTTGCGGATCAATCCTACAAGCCCAAGGTTATGGAGGGTTGGAATTTCTGGAACTGGCAGAATGAAAAGTTCTACATTGTAGCCGATAAGCCAGGCTCTAATATCACGTTTGAAGTTCAAGCAAACCAAGGCGTCGTGTATCTCTACCTTCTTCGCAGCGCTGATTATAATTTGGGCAATGCTTGGTGCTGGATTGGAGACGACAAGGAGAAGGGCCGGGAACTACAAGGTTACTGGGATAAATGGTATAGCATTGGTGTTATGACTCCTGTTGCTGAAGGTCTAAGTCAAGGTCAACACCTGTTACACTGCGAGCTTATGAACAAGACTTCTAACCCCAACGGTGGTACCAACTTCCGCATTCTTGCTGTTGCCAGCGGATGATAAGCTGCTTTCTCAATGGAATGCTACATGTAGGAAATATCTCTCCCCTACTACACTAGATATGTGGTTCTCTAAAAACCATGAAAAATTTTCTTCTTGATTTGGATATACAGTATGTCTAGTTAAAATGAATTTGAACCTATTCATCTATATCTTTCATCTATTGCTATCATTACACAGCGAATGTTAAAAGACATGTGTACCTTTGACCATTCACCTGGCTGTTTCATAAAAGCAAACTGATTTAAACACTATACACCACGAAAATAAAAAAATGCACCGTTGTCATAAAAGCACATAAACTGCAAGATCTGCGCTTTTTTTTTTAGGGGTGTTGACGCGACAACTGTATTTCGGCTGAGGGAACAATGAACTTTTCACAGCCCACTTTGAATACAGGGTGAAGAAGTGGAATATGTCATCTGAACACTGCTACATGGCACATTAACAAGGCTAGAAAATACCGTCACAGCTTGATCCAACCCTTAACGTTGTTGCACGGTCTGTAGAAGTGGCCAAGGAATAAACAAATGTCTCAATGGGAAAGTCTGTGGCGGCTTTTTGGAACCTGAGACGATTACAATTTTCCAAATTTGGCCTAAGTTGAACGAGCGAGATCATTTTTATTTATTTTCGCCAAGATCCCGCCAGCAAGTCCTCTCAACCCTTTTCACCACTTTCCATCACCTATGCCGCACTTTGCAATCACCAATCTCACAAACGTACCACTTCATATTGCCCTCTCGCATTTGGGCCCTGTCCATTATTATAACAACCTTCAGCCCAACCAGACTGTCACGCTCAGTGTTGGTCAAGTCTGGTTTACCATCGAAGCAAAGGTAGCATCAGGAGAAAACGAGTATAAATGGCACCATGTTGCTGTTCCCATTGTAGCCGCCACGGTTGTAGGTGTAGCTTCGGCGGCTGCTATAGGGGTCGTAGCCACTGCTGTTTCAGCTGAAGCGGCCATTGCAACCTTTTTGGCAGCAGGTACGTGACGACATGGCAATTTTTTCTTTACATCATAGACTCGAAATACTTACAAAGTTTACTATGTGTAGGTGCCAGAGCTGGTACGTACGCTACTACACTGACGCAGAAAAAACCCATACAGTACGCCTCGAAGAAACTCAAGGTCGTTGGGAAAGAACATATCAAGGATTTTAAGAAAAGTTGGGTGGCGAAAAAATGCTGCAAACGATATGGAGTCTATGTTCCAAAAGAAGGTATCGAAGCTCGGATTGTCGGTGGCCCACAAGCTGTTTACCCAACAGCCGACGGTACCCAAGTTATAGACGCCGACGTCACAATGGTCAATTTTAACATTCTCATTAAAGACACCGCTGCGTCGGCCGCCGTTCGACCGCCATTACCACCACGACCACTCACTGTACCTCGAATGAGCAATTCAGGCGACAAAATATCTGTCAAGTCCATGTAAATTGATCCTTGTACTTCATACCCGAAATAGCCAATTTGGTTTTAAAAAAACCCTTGCCATTGTTCAACTAAAATAATTTTGCCGTTTCATTTTTTTATTCATCTTTTCCTTTGATTCTAATACTTATCTCCCTTAACCCCCTTGTAAAGTAAAACCCAGCATTATATAAAATACGAGTGCGAGTACAATGTCTATAGTATAGCAATTCTCTCAACTATAGTAATGAAATGTCCTGATCAATACACACTTTGGTGTAAGCCAAGTTAGTTCCTGCCAAAGAATCGAGTCATGACGCTAAGATAATGGCGGTTAATGGTATCTGGTTCGGTCTGGTATAATGTCATGAGACTGCCCATGGCGCCCATGAATAAGATAACATCTCCATGTGGGACATTACGGGCATAACCCCACTTGACCATGCACTTCCACCACGACTCGAGAGCACGAGGCAAGCAGTAGAGACCAAGTTCTAAAAAGGGAAGAAGAACAAGTCGTGTTAGCCCCTGGAATGGCAGTCAAGCCTGCGATGTATCCATGATTTCGTACCTAATTGACGTCCTCTAGCTTCTATCATAGTCATACTACCACACACTAGACCAGTAAGCATGTAGATCCAATGTCGCTCCTTGCCGACAAGAGGTCGAACGGTGCATGGCGTTGAAAAGCCAATGGTGACATAGCACGCTAGGAAGAGAGCTGATCTCAAACACGATTTGACGAAGCGATCGAGGACTTCTTCTGGCCTAAAAATTTAGGGAGTTCACGTTTAGTCGATAATACAATACTCTTTTGATGATATGCTTCAATGGTTTCCCACTTACTCAGATTTAAGCTGGGACCACCGGAATACTGCAGTCATAATCTACATGATATTGCGAACCAATCAATGAGCGGTTAGGAAAGAACGTATTGGAATCAGCCAATCAACAAGGTATTCTCTTACAATGTTCAGCGGTACATAGAGCTTGAGAGCACGCAAAAATTCGTTACCGAACAAAGTCGCCTTGCTTCTAGTGCAGCTGTCGTCGAGTGGATGTTGCAGAGCACACATGATGTAATTGTGCTTCAACTTTGGGGGGATGACACTTGCAATGTTTGGTGAAAAGTGTTGGGCAATGTACTCTCGACTCGTCCATCCACTAGGAAGGCGAATATTCTTTTCCTTAGTCAGTTGATTGACAGTGTTGCCGATAGCGTGGGTAAGAGGAGCGGCCATAGGGCCAACATCTTGCTTCCAACCTGAGTGTACAAGCAAGAATTGATAGTATGATTTTGGCAAGGTCTCGGCTTCAAAAAGGAAGGCGTAAATAATTTGTCCGGAAGCAATCATCATGACTCCAACACCGGCCCAAGTTTCCAGGAATTTAGCCAACTTGTCGTCCCACTTTTTGCGAACCATCAACTGTCGTTTTTCGCCATCCTGGAACCCTGCAAGATCCAGCTCATCTTTCATTACCAAAAGCTCTTCCCGTCTTGCCTTCTTTCTGTGGGCAGCCCATTTCTTCATCAGCCATGCACCGTTGAATTGTAAACTTCTGGTAAGCAGATAAAGCATGATGGCTTGCCGACGTGACTTGCTAGGGTCGATCAATAGCGATAGCCCAGCGAGAGATCCAGCTATGAAAGAATTCAGTCGATCAGATTTAGGATCATCGTTCTTTCGAATGTTTCGAAGAGTGCAAAGAGTTCCCTTGTATGTGCTTAGAAATACACTCATAAACAAAGCAAACAATGTCGTATCCCTAATTGATCACAACCAAGAATAGTCAGCTATTTGTCGGACACACAATTCTACTATGCGGGGGAGATGTCAAAACTCAGGTCGCAATACATACTTGCCAGCCATTTGCCTGAGTAGACCAGGTCTATAGATACCAAAGCAAAAAAGAAAATTGACATTAATTTAGCATGCTAGTACATCATGAGGAGCCATCGTGTAAGAACATTATCGTTACGTTAAGACAACTAACACACTTACTTTTTAAACACCTTTCCGGTCAAAAGTGCCGGGAGGATGGCCACAAGATATTTAATACCAAATGACATGACAAAGGCTCTGATAAATCCACGAGTACAGTTCTGAGCGCATGTTTTTCCTTCATGCTTGCAGAACGTGGGACCCTGAGCTTCTTTCTCACTTATTTCCAACTGCAGACGGCGAAGATTTTGACTGAAGAGATAAAAATGAAGATTTGGGGGTTGTTACTAAAACTGACAGTTGTTTCGTTCCATGCGGTTTGTGTGAAGATAATACCTGCTGAGTCGCCGAAGCTTTTCCTGAAAGTCCTTGAGACCCTTGAGAATGGCTTCCTGCTCCTTGGTAGTCACTGCCCTTGAAAGAAGCTGGGCCAGTAATTCCAAGAAGTTCTCATAGTAGGAATTGACAACAGGAGCAATGTCCATTTGCAATTGGGTTAAATGGCAAGAAGCGGGTAGAAAAACTCACGGACCAGAACGGAGCCGGTCCATCATAAAGTACACACACCCACTGGCCCAGATCACATGGGACTTACAAAAAAAATTGGGGTCGAAATTTTGTTCCTTTCCCATATTGGTTCTTTTCTCGCTGACAGACTCTACCAAATCACACAAATTGATATATTTTACTGGGGTAAAGAAGATGGATGCCCTAATTAACAAGTTTATCTATGTGATTCAGTGTGATGGATGAGCACCACCATTAGATCCATCTGCGGATATCACGGACATTTGCCGCCATACGCCGTCGAACCCAGCCTTCCACAACCTAACCGTACCATCATCGCCAGATGATGCTAGGATTGTACCCTCTATGTTCCATTCCACTCTCCATACCTAAACAACATGATTAGTCGCAACGCAACAATATACGAGGGAGGCGACCCGACAGCAATGTGTTTCCTTTACCTCCGCTTGATGATCGTCAAATGTAGCTAAAACTTCTACCTTGAATCGTTTACCAACTTGTGATTGATTTGGTGAAGCAGAAGGGCTTAAATTCAGTTTGGATTGGGATGGGTTTCTTGATTGTGGGGTTTGGGGTGGATTAGATTGGGTGGCGCTAATTTCTGTTAACTTGAAAATACGGACAAAGTGATCTTTGCATGCTGTGGCGATTAATTGATAAGATCGTCCCATGCTTGGTGCCCAACAGACATCGTGCACTTCCTTTTCATGACCAGGTAGGTATTCGCCAGGATACCACCTATTTTGTCCGTCGTGTTTAAAGATCTAAGGCCAGCCCAGCCAAAAAAAAAAAAAAGAAAAAGACGTGCGTGCGTGAGCAATAGGCCACCTTACCAATCATGTTGCGTTGACAACTTACACGAGCTCCATTTTCTCTACCTAAACCAACTACCATCATGGGCGCCGGGCATCGGTTTGGACACCAACTCAAACAATAGCTTCCACCGGCATCACTGTTACGTCCTTGATTGGGGCCAGCTTGCTGCAGTCCACCAGATGCTCCTGCGCTCCCGCCAGCAAGGCCTTGTCCTCCTGCCAATGCACTTGGTGCTTGAGAACCAAATGCGCTAGTAGCCATTGTGCTTCCACCAGTTCCACCACCTGCGGATGCTGAATGTGCATTAAGCGACGAGGCGTTTGAAGATATTTCGAATTCCTCCATTTGTGGCCATTGTGTCAAATTAGTTGGCTCAAGAGCTTCGTATATTCGGACAATGCCATCAGCAGCGCATGTTGCCTGTACAAAAAGGTTTGGTTAGCATTAGCTATTTGAGAAAAGAAAAAATAGAAATCGTCTGAAATCGTGTTTATGCAGCTGGAAGTAGATCATACCAAGCGTAGACTTCCATTTCCTGGCGCAAATTCAATATCTTGAACAGAACCTCGGCTCTCCACTAATCGAAACTTTTCTGCCCATCTTTTTTGGCTGTTTTTGGGTTCTGTCATTTTGAAAATGGTACATAAATGTTAGGTTAAAATCAATCCATGTTGGAGTTGAAAGAACTGTACACAAAGGTATGTTGTCCTGTTACCTATTTCTTGCTCTTCCCATATTTTAACCTGTCTATCAAAAGAACAACTGGCTATAACTTGACCAAACTCGGGATTAGCCCATATAACCTTGAGGATGGAACAATCGTGCGCCTTCCAAGAGTCGTTCAGTTCCCATTGTGCTACTCCGTTGCCAGATTCATTGAAATCCCAGACTTTCAGGCGTTGATCTGAGGAACATGTGACTAGACGCTTTCCATAGTAGTTGTAAGCGACATCGTGTATTAAATCTTCATGAGCAGTGTCGAAGCGTGTTGCTTGCATGATTTGATTACACAGAGCAAACTTGAAATTGGTTGGCTTTGACGCGCTTGTGTGCGACGGATTGCCTGCCTCATCCTTGGCAGTCACGAATCCTGACTGACTGGCATAAGCACTTTAATTGCGAGAAAGACACACCACTTTGCCCTTGCTGCCAACACTGTTGAATACTTCATATCACACTACTATATCAATCAATCAATACGCCAAACGATAGGTTGAGCTAATTTCAGTCAATGTTTATCATCTGCAGATATTACAACCAAAAAATTCGTAAAGACCGCCTGTCGCTACGATAATACTGTCTCCATCAAGGATACTGAAAAAAATCTATTACACCGTACGCCATAGGTCGGGTGGAAGACTACGCTAATAACAAATCGAATCAATTCCAATTTAAGCTACCACTTGTTATGAATGACTCGCTTCAATTGCGGGTGTAATAATATCCAGGAGGCAAACTTGCTTGTTGAACGTTGTGTGCACCTTGCACAGCCAAGTTAGCCATCATTTGGGTGGATTTCAGCTGCATTTGCATCTTCATTAGCATTATCTGTTCATAAGAGTTGAATTGTTCCACTATGCGCGAATCTGGCGCAAAAGGTAACTGACTACGCTCGACGAGTGGAAGATTCAGTCTATATTTCTGTATGACTTCATTGAGCTTGATGAACATGCCATTAGGGTTTCTCTTTGCTAAATTGGAGACCAGAGTATTGAACCCGTCTTTATCGATGGCTGGAATCAACAACGCTGCTTGAGAACTTCCTCCCATGCCGCCGCCCAACATGCTGCCGCCGCCACCGCCGAAACCAGTGCCGCCTCCAAGGGCATTCGCCAAAAAGTTGGCACCTTTGAAGACCTTGGATGCTACATTAACAGCATTGGCAACAGTGGGTGGAGCCAGCTTTTTGGTAAATTTGATTCCAAAGTGATTATAGAAGTCCTCCATTTGGTTGGGAGGTAGATAACCAATATTTCTATTTCTCGGAGTCCCCAAGCCTTGTTCCATGAATGATTTGATTTTGCTTTGTTCAATTGCACCCGTGTTTTTGGGGGCATAGGTTGCATCAAGAAAATTGAACATGGCTGTTGTGTAACGGCGAAGTTCGTCCGTTGGCATACCATAGGCGTCGTAAAATGCCTTTGGATGCTGAACATATTGATTTTGCGGATGACCAGAATGACTGGGTGGTGGTGGGGCCTGTTGATAATATCCGTAGGGTGAAGTTTGGCCAGGATGAGGTGGTGGGGGACCTTGTTGATAATATCCTTGTCCTGGATTTGGAACAGATGTTGGTGGTCCTTGTTGATAATATCCCTGTGGGGCATTTGGGCTAGATGGTGAAGGACTTTGTTGTTGATACCCTTGAGGGTAAGTTGGGGTAGCTTGGGGCGGACCTTGTGGATATGCGTATTGGTTTGGTTGCGCCGGGGATCCAAAAGGAGGGGATGGGTGAAATCCTGCAGGCGGAGGACCTTGGTAATTTGGATATTGACCTTGTCCAGCGGGAGGATAATGTTGGTATCCTTGTGGCGGAGGAGAATAGGGTTGCTGATGTGGTGGCGGGTATGGCAGCTCGCCATATGAATGCTGTTGCTGAGGTGCAGAGTGTTCTTGACTCTCCTGTGGCTGGCCACCTACTTGCTGAGGCTGCGGCATCGGTTGCTCTTGGGGAGAAGCCGGAGACGGCATGGAGGGAGCAGGAGCATCCGCTGGTAAAGGTTTATTCTGAAGGGACTGTCGACGTGAGCTATCTTCCATAGCCAGGGAGTATTTTCAAGCAGAAAAAGACAATAGTAAGAAAGATCGTATCACTGGAGTTTTTATTCCACCAAAGACTCGGGTCCGCAATCTACCTTACTATTTTTTTTGAACCTTTGTGGGTATTTACTACGGTCAGCGGGCGCATGCTAGATGAGGCTGGTGGTAGTCAAGCATGATAGCACCATACAATGTTTGAACCATCTTTCATTTTGATATCGCTTGAAGGAAAAAATTTAGAAAATTATTTTTTTTTAACTCTGTCGTTGGTTGACACAAAGAAAAGGTTTGTAAGAACAACCTTTGTTCACAGAATATTCTTCTATCAAACAGCTCACCAGAGTTGTTTAGCGTGTCCGATTTCCGGTTGAACAAAACTGCTGGGCTTGAATCAGGGCTGATAAAAGCAGTCGTTTCGTGCATCGGTACGACGAGAATGCCCCCCATTTGGTCAATTTTGAACTTTTCCGCACGATGATCATCTGCCTTCTCGAGTCAGCACTGTAACCTAGGCAAAAAATATAATTAGAGATATAATATAATGCAGACACTACTTCATCGCCGTCAGGCTTAGCATTTTAGAAGAAACTGTTCCATGTCCATCGGCGATGCAACAGCACATGTCAACATAACTTAAGCATACTTTCGAACACAAATCGGTTCGCGTCATATCAGTTTATGCATTTGTCTAGCGATAGCAATTGTACGCTTTATTTATTGCATTTTGACTTTGTTTCAAATCTGTAGGTAGGACTTAATCAAGAGATACGATAGAATATTTTGTTCTACTGCTGTAGTACAATTGCTCATGTCGTGCAATATCAAATTTGGCGTGGACAGGCCATGACTCAGACTTTTTGATTCAAGTACAGATTCTTCTGAAATATCGGCAGCACGCTGAAAATTAAAGTAGTCTGAAAGACATTCTATAAAGGTACTTGAACTTTGATGCTGACCAAATTGAAGCGTAAAAGTCGCTTTCGCGACGAAATGGTCGGATTACTGCAGCCGAACGAAGTATCTAAATAGACTATAAGTTGGCAGTGATAATTAGAGCTCATTTTGAAACCTTTAAAACGGATGTATATGATAATACAAAGCACGCATGGTTACAATAGAGGCGGAAACCATCAGTCCTATCTCATCCTGCTTCAATATACTCTATGAACGAAAATCACATACTCCTTTGTTATCCCACCTTCTGTACACCACCCATACGCTCTAGGAATTCCTATACAGACTCTAGAAATTATATATATCTTAATTGCGTTTAATACTCGTTGATTTACTCAAGGACTGAACCTCTATACTGTAGCGGAAAACCGAGCTTTTGGGCTCGCGAATTGGGAAAAATTTCATGCAGATTTTCACAAGATTTTCAAGTGACTGCTCCTTATACCACTTTCAGTTTCCATGAAGCCTGTGTTGCGAATTTGTCGTCAACTCATGGAAGAACTGCAAGAATGCTAAATTTATATGAATGCAGGAAGCGCAGTGCACAATGTGCTTGGCTTTTAACCCGTCCGGCACTGAAGCCTAGCGGGATGAATAGGACACCAACGATGTCCCGTACTCGACCAATCCTCTTATTGGCCACAAAATATTCGTCCAGCTCAGCGAAGGAGGATGGCGAAAATGAACGCAAGTTGAAGATAGGAAATGGTAAGCTCTTTCTTCAGTTCAAAGAGCATAGTGGAGACACCGTATTGATACCTGGTATTCAAATTGGCACTGAGTAGCAATAGATACCCTGCAAACGACACTCCCTTATTTCTTTCGCGACGGTCTTGCGGATCATCATATGTACCACCCGCACATCCTGTTACATGATCCACAATACACCAAGATTCGTATACATGGAAGAACCGCATACATAGGGGTTTCGGAAATGCTGCGGTATAGCGTCGACCTATACTATAGAGATATCACCTTTGAAATACTAAATATGCGAGTAATGGATGATACGAAACAATCCCCAACACGGTTACAAGTGCGATGGCAGCTGGAGGGCTTATCTCGTGCTAGTGCAGTCATGTCGTCTGGAGCAGTCACCAAATCGACCTTTGAAGGAGTGTTTCAATATACCTTTGACGCCTCAGGAGACATTTCGGAACACCGAATAGAAAGTATTAACCCAGCTCCCAGTCGCCGAGTTATCTTTTTGCACGGAATAGGCGGTAGAATACGAGCATGGTGGGAGAGAAGGAGACTCCCAGAACTAAGTCCAGGTATGGGATGTGTATCCCACACTGACCATTCGATAACAGCCAATTTAGAAAAGGCCCAGTCATAGCCTGCATACTCATTTTCCCTTGTAAAAATATATAAAGTATAGCCCGGTAAACTCACGGCAGAACTCATGATACGCCATAGCATTTTGAAAGATAGAAAGGATATCGTATGAACTCCTAGAAGATGGCAGGCAGCATCATAGATTAGTTTATAATGAAACTTTTATGCGTCACTTAGAGAAGTTGCTTTAGGACATGGCGATGAAATGAAGAACAAGTGTAATATTGGAAGACATGCCGTAAAATGAATTAAGAATATCATTGAAGAAGAAAAATAATGCTGACAACGTGTGAAAATGAAGGTAATCGATGCATACTATAAATAAGGAAGAAGCAATATGATAAAAACGATCAGCAGTACCAGACTTCCTGACCGTTATGTAAGGCTTGAACAGCAGCAACAAGGTCTGCATCTTGAAGCCTACCTGGAGAATTCTGCTGAGGTAGTGAATAATTTGGGTGTTGTCCATGGGCAAACATAAAGGAACTAATATCCTGTGGGCTATATTGCCCACAGCTTGGGGAAGTAAACATGGTTGCTTGTGATCCCAGCATCATATCTGAAACCTGGTCTCCAAGTTGACCAAACGACATTTCAGGCGTAATAGATAGTGTTGCTTCGTTGGCATGAACACCATACGTGTTGTTGGTATTGTATGAAAGTAAGTTATAACTTCCATTTGCATTGACATGGTTCGGTGTCGACGAGCATGATGATGAGGAGGAGATACTAGCACGCGGACTGGATGACATGGATGGCATATCTGAAGTATTGTTGTTTCCAGAATCTTCAGAATCTAACATTTTTGAGGTCTGCTTTTCTTCGCTATCATCCAGATTGGACTCGCCGGTTGAATTGTCACGCTTGATTGGACTTTGCGACCTCTTGCTCTTTGCTATACGTTGCTCTCCCTTTAAGCGTAGCTGAGCAAGAATGGATCGAGAGTCTTGAACTTCATCTTCAGTCTTACGCATTTGACTGACAAGTTTGCTAAGGTTGATATCCAACTTTTCCTTCTTATCGTCTCCAGAAACAATTTTTTGGATAATGTTTCTTTGACAATCCATAGCTGTCTCAATTTGCCGTATACGACCTTCTAGCTGGGATAAGTTGTCAATAAAAGGATCGACGTTGGCCGGTTGAGTATTTCGAGAACGCCGTGAACTAGGGTAAGCACAAAGAACACCAGTTGAAAGGCATCTGGTACAATTTGGATGGCCACCGTCGCAGCGCACCTATGTTTTTAAAATCGATGAGAAAATAGTTTAGTTAACCTGTATACAATGAAGTTCGTAGAGACACCTAAGGTCATACCTTCTTGTGGTGGCATCTAAAGCATGCGATAGGGGCTCTTGGCCGTTTGCCCGAGGAGTACGTCCGGTTGTTTCGATTGTCCTGAATTGCGCCCATAATGTTAATTCGCAGTGTATGCTGAGCTATCTTTTGAACTATAGTCAAAAAAGTTTTTGGTGAAGATTTTGATAAGAAAGTAAAAGATAAATGGCCGATCCAAAACAAAAACAGGTGGGTTATTCATGTTCAATTTATACAGCAATCAGCTAGCCAGTAATCATACATATTGACACCTGCCACATTGGTTCTCAACCTCATTTCCAAATCTATCCACGAATAATAGGAGCAAAAGAGAGCACATCAGCAAAAATCCCAGGACTGAGTCAACATCCTCACGTCCCCAGATGTATTGGAGAATAGTCGCATAAATTTACACTGATCACTCCTGACTATCAGATCGAAGTCTGTCACAATAGTCATATCTATCTAGTTACTCCCATTCTACCTTTTCTCTTCAACTATTGGAAATCCTCTTAGGGGACGTCCAGATGTCATAGTACTGGTTGATTTCCCAGAAAACGTTTGTGGATGCCCTGCATGCTTCATTGCAGTCTTGTTTAATGTCGTTATAGAACATTATTTTTTCATATACGGCTATCGTATTTTGAGTGGTTTGATTATATTCTATCTACATTTTCACGTTGTAAGCGTGCTGAATCATACAGATCGTAGACTGAATGATCAGGGGACCAACGCAATAATTTCTTCTTTATTTTTTTCTGGTGTTGGTCCATAACGAAATTTTGACTTGAGCATGACGAATAGTCAACGAACATGCATATGCACAAGCGCCTTTCGTGTCTTACCTAAGATGTATCACCTACAACATCATCGTGGATGAACATCAAATGGTAAAGAATAGGATTAAAAAAAGGTATGGGCTACAGAAATTTTTTCGCGTGAGATGTCAGGGGAACGCCTTACATTTCTATGTTTCACTTTATACGTCCCGAAAATACACTTTCGAAAAATAGCAGTAAACATATAGTATCGTATATATTGAAAACAAAGTGTCTCTATGTTTCTCAATTCTTAGGTTAGTAAAACTGATGATAGACACTTGCAGCAGGGATATGAGATAGTAGAATTCGAGTCCTGACCAAATGTGTTTCTTTGCTCTACGGTGGTGTAAGGCGTACACAATGAGCATGTAATTCTCCCCCCCCCCTTTTTTTTGGCTTCACTAGCAGTCTGTCACGTTTGTATCATGTCCTATTCTCACTTATTCAGCCATCTGCTGATGGGTGCATGCAAAGATGTATAAATGGGTATCCCGACGTTCTGTCATGGTCTATGGCCACCAGGTATTTTTATCTACTAACCCAAAAAACGTGAAGGAAATACGTTCATCAGTATCATCGACAAGTTACAGATGAAAAGAAGCAAGTCCTCGAATAAGATATCGGGTGGCATTGGTTGATAATTAAATATTATTGGGCTTGAGCCTCCCCATTGTCATGCAAACTCTCAGATTACAAGAGAGGCTTATTTACAAGTGGCCCATGCGCTGGCTGGCTTATCTACCGTTGATCTCAGCCATCAATGTGTTTTTCGTAGCACTTGCACATTGTAATGGGTTATGGTTCGACTTTAAGATACATTGTGGTAAAAAAAAAAAAAACGCTAATAGTGAATGTGCATGATCAGGATCTGGGTTATTCTAAGCGAATCCTGTACCCACGCACATCCGTTCTTACCCTTATGCTGTAAATTGTACGATGAACTATTTCACATTTTAATTCTTGATGGGATTTCACGCTGTAGACTGCCTCAAAAACGATGTAGCATTTCAGATGATCGCATGATTTTGCAGTTGGCTTGACAGTCTAGCTACCATCTTTTCTCCAAATTTTGAAAGATTTAACTCATTCAACACAAAATATATCGCAAATGCATTGAGTTTTTTTTATTATATCTCTTTGTGGCAAGATATAATGAGGATCTAGCGTTTGAAGAACGTTTGCTTCATGTTATGATCACACTTGACTGGTGACTGCCTTTCCTGCCATAAGAAAAATTTCGCCTAACAACTTTACGTGAGGATTGACGAATTTTACAAACTGGAGAAATGACAAGCCCATTTTTCACGCTGCACTCCGAGGCAGGATCGTTGTTACGTCGAGGAACTATCAATTTTGCCAAAAGAGAGGGCAGAGTAAGTAGTCTTCCAACGCCAAACTTTTTGGCCCACACGGTTCGAGGCTCAGTTCCCCATTTGACATCGGACAACTTGGAGCTTGTTCCGGTGGATTCTCTACAAATTTCGGCAGAACATTTGTAAGTGAAGTAGTCGATGATAAAAAAACGTTCTACTGGAATCTATTCTAAAATATTAGGCTTCAATAGCTATGAACAAAAGGAACCAGCTGGCCTGTCATACCCCCATGGACTACACTCCTACCTTAACGCGAATAAATATCTCCTCTTTTTGGACACCAGAGATCCTTCAAAGCACGTACCATCATCTGCAAATACAGAAAAGTATCTTTCGGTCAATACTCATGGCGGTGTACGACAAATCACGCCAGAACTTTGGTGCCGTATGATCTCGCAATATAAGCCCGACTTCTACGCTGTCATCGCCGACGTCTTGTCAGACACCGAACCTGGAAACAAAAGAGTCAGGAAGTCTGTAGATAGAACGATTCGATGGCTGGATGAGTGCTTGGAAAAGACCAAAAATCTTGACATTCCGGTCTTCGCCACTCTTGTAGGTAGTCAATTTGAGCAAGAGCGCATCCGATCCGCACAAGAGGCAGCTCAGCGAAAGGTTTCTGGGTTTGTCGTCAGTGGCCTAGGTTTTGGAAACCAGGCTCTCGACTTGATCAAAATTTCACTCAACGAGTTGCCAGAAGACAAACCACGAATCACATATGGCTTCTCTAGTCCAGGTAATATTTCATAGGCTGTTAGTGTTCAGTTATTGCTGACCAAATATTGATCTACTTTGCTATTTTCCAGAGAGCGTTTTAGAAGCTGTTTCCTCTGGGATTGATTTGTTCGACAGTGCATATGTATCAAAAATGACAGATAAAGGCAGAGCCTTGACATTTGAATTCGGAAATGAAGAAGGTGAGGCAGCTGATAATCATGGAAGCAAGGAACCTAAGTCTATCAATCTCTGGGATCCTTCCTTTGCCGATGACTTTACGCCACTTAAGAAAGGATGCAAATGCTACAGTTGTATCACCCCACATTCTCGAGGATATATACACCACTTACTTAATGCACATGAGATGTTGGGACTGGTGTTGTTGATGAGGTAAGGAGCTTCAAAAACAAATCTATAGTGGCAGGTACTGTATATTAATTATCTTGCCATTAGCCACAACCTTTATCAATATGCAAACTTTTTTGAGTCGATTCGTCAATCTATCGATGGTAAAACGTTTGAAGCATCAAAAAATCGGTTCATGGAAAACTATTCACATGAAGTAGAAGGCGATGGTGCGCAAGGACACGAAGACGAAGTAGACGCCAACTCTTTGGGAGTTCCAATCAAGAAGAAGAGAACATTGTTACTATAGAATGGGAACATTGTGTGTTTTTTATTAGTGGAGCAGCATTTCCTGCGTGTCTTTTTAGAATTTTATTTTGTAATCGGTGGCAAGAGTGTATAAAATGGCCAAATCTAAAAATCTTTGACAATCTGCCATCCAAGAGGCTTGCCTGCCCAGAATGGTACAACAGTTCCAAGAGAGCTAGGCTGGCCATCTTGGGAGATATGAAACTCGTTAGGTACAACAAGCTCAGAACTGGTTCTGGCCAGAGTAACGGTGGCATTTTCGAATTCTGGCTTTTGGGACAATCCATAGAAAGCTTTTCCGAAATGACAAGCAAAGTTTTCTAGCTTATCCAGGCAGCCGAGAGAGTCAAAAATTTGAGCGAGATAAGGAAGCACCAGAGGAGTAGTGAAGACACCAGCATGAGCGCAAGATGTCTCTTTGGTACCTCTTGGGTGTGGTGCGGAGTCAGTGCCAAGGAAGAAACGTGGATGACCTGTGCGTAAAGAAAGGTTACTTGGCTTCACTAAAATGAATCTGGCATAAAATACCGTCAACTTACCTGAGCTTACGACCTCTTGGAGTGCTGAGCGATCGTGAGGATATTTGGCGACCGGTTTGCAGAAATGATGGGGTTGGCCGGCCCAGTCATCAACGATTAATTGAAGATGGTGAACGGTAATAGTGCAACCGACAGTGTCGCCCAAACGCTTGACGAGTTCAACAGCAGCCTTTGAGGTTGCGTGTTCGAGAACAATCTTGAGCTTAGGAAAGGCATTGTGAAGCTTTTCGAGCTGAGGGAGGAAACGTTCCTCTGCGTTCATCACACAAATATCGCTCTCGGCATCGGATGGGATCTCGCCGTGCAAGTTAAGTACCATGCCTTCCTCCTCCATTGCCTTGAAGATTGGATAATATACTTCGTAGTTTTCGATACCACCATCACTATTGGTAGTGACTCCACGAGGATATGATTTGACGCCAGCAATTCCAGCCTTGGACGCTTTGCGAATTTCTTCAATGGTAAGCTGGGGTGACAGGTACAAGGTCATATAGAAAGTGACATTGGGAGCCAGTTGTTCAAGCTCCTTCTTGTACGCAAGAGCTTGGTCTGTGTTACTGATTGGTGGACTCAAGTTGGGCTGACCAGATTTTGAATTAAACAAACTATTGCATTCCTACCCCACACTCATTACAAGGGCAACATACCATGATATATGCAAGGGAAACACCGCCTTTAGATACCATGGGTGTGACCATGCGCATCATTTCGCCTTGACGCAAGTGCAAGTGGAAGTCGGCAGCGGCAGGTAATGTGATAGTGTCCTGACTCATGGTTGTGTTATTTCTGTTGCTGTCAAAAAAAAACACACCACACTTCCTCCAGTTTTAGGGCTAAAGAAAATTGCGTGACTGTTTCAGGTTTTCAATTTGTCTTCCAAATCTCAACCAATACTTTTTATTATTTCAAAACGATCAGTGTTTGCTTTACTTTTGATGTATCAATCAGTTTTCAGTCACCACGGCATCTGCTTGTCCTTCTCTAGCGCGACTTCCTGATCCTTCAGAGCCATTGCTATTGGTTTTAGGTAATCTGGGTGCATTTCCACATCGATCCTTTCCGAAATTGATCTTCAGCTTCCTATAATCATCCTTATTCTTGATCCCTTCCAATGCGTTCATAGCACTTTGTACGTTCGTAAAGTTGACAAATGCACAGCTCTTTTCGGTCAGGAAGTTGATTAACTCGATATCACCGTATTCTGAGAAGTCCGTTCTCAGCTTCTCTTCTGTGATGCTTTCGTCGAGGTTACCTATATAAACATTACGGGAGGCACCGTTTTGGACGGCCATGAGGATAGACGCAGGAATCTGGACCGGTTTTCCCCAACCACCTTTGAGTCTGCGCCCTTTGATACTAATGCCTTGGTAGGTGAGCAGTTGATAGAAGTTGAAAGCAGCTGTAGCATCCATAAAGGTTACAAAGGCAATGTGTTTGTCCGAAAGGTATCTAATTTGATACAATATTCCGCCACGAATAGCGTTACAGATATCTTCGCATGTGGTATCAGGATGTATGTTACCAAGGTAGACGGTTGTTGACGTTGCAGAGTTACCAGCCATGTACGATTGAGACATCATTTGAGAAGCCGCCATTTGGGGGTTGCGAGAACTACCATAAGGGTCGTATCCGAATTGAAAGGGATTTTGGAAATTGAAGTTTTGATTTTGCAAAGACTGGCTTCCTCCTTGTTTTGCATTGTAAGCACATCTATCTTTGCCATAATTGACACGGCGGCCTTCCCATTTGGACTCATTTGGAAGGTTGGTGACGCAGTTAATGGCAGCGGATATGCTTGTAAAATGAACAAAAGCACAATGCTTCTCGGGCACTATCTTGATGTGTTCGATCTGACCATACGTATCCAAATCAGCTTTGAGTTCTTCCTCGGTAATGTTTTCTTCAAGATTTCCGAGATAAACATTACGGGTAGCTCCACTTTGTACCGCCGTCTGGACTGTGCTTGGGATAGTGCTGTGCTTGCCCCATCCTACTCTAACATCGTTGCCGTTGATACTCAACTTGTGGCCAGAATTAAATTCCATGTAGAATGCTTGTGCTGACGTAAAATCAAGAAACGATAGAAATCCGCAACTCTTTTCTGAAAGGAGTCTTAGCGATTCGACAACTCCGGTATGGACGTGATTCAATATATCATTGTAAGTGGTGTCCTCCGGCAAGTTTCCAAGGTAAATTGTTCTTGAAGGCTCGCTCCCAGAGTTTGATGCGCCGCCCATGCTAGCACCTGCGTTGAAACCCATTGGAAAGGCAGATTGAGGGTAACCACCTGCCATTCTTGAATTTGACATTCCAGCAAACTGTGAATTCATCATCATGGGAGCTGCGCTGTAAGCGCCCATTGACCCGTACATGGAATTGGCTCCATTAAACTGACCAAGAGCTGCGAAGCCATTTGCGCTGTCAACGCTTGGTGTGAAGGCATTTGCTTGTGAATACTGTGACATGGACATAGCAGCTGCATTTGGGTTCATTACACCGTATTGTGAGTAGATATCACTGCACGCGTGACAAATCCGATGATAAGCATTGTGATGAAAGAAATTGATGGGCATTCTCAAAAACGTACCCATATGGATTTGGCGTAAATCTTGGCTTTTTGTTAATATCAGAATTGCTCTGATTTACATAATCGCTGCTGCGCTTCATTCAAGCACTGTGGAATTGGAGTGGTATTTGTCATCATCTGCAATTTGGAACAGGTTAGCTAATTGCTCACTATCATTTATATTAACCAGCCGTTCATACGAAACAAAAAGGTCACTTTGAAAAAAGTGCGGCATGGTGCAATGTAAGAAGAGAATTAAAAACTAACAGAAAATTGATACCATGAAAGTATAGAGTGGATATACGACAGTTGCAACCGAAGAATGGGCGTAAGAAGGCAAAACAATTGAAACAGTTAGAATAGAAAGAGCAGGATGACGCTGAACGAGTTGACGAAAGTGAGGGGCTGCCACCACCCGAAAGATAAATGGGTAGCACACTGAAGAATACTTCCAATAGCCTGTGCTGTTCAGGAACAAAGTAACTTACAAATAATGGATGTGAAGGAGAGAGATAGGTAGTGAGAGATAGAGAGAAGTTTGTCAAGATGACTATGAAATAAGCGATCAAAGAGAAGTAAAATTTAGAAACCCCACATATAAATGCAAACTGTCAAAAGGATCATTCTTAACGCTCCATCTGAGCTAGACAACTACATTACGCGTACGACGCAGTGAAGAATCTGTACCGCTAGCAGTGAAAGCCCAATCGAAAGCCAAGAAAGAGAACAAAAGAAAATATAAAGAAAACTTGGTTTTAGTAACTTACTCTGATCAGCTTGAATTACAGGAATATCAGAGCCCGGTAGCAATAGTGAAGGCAATGGTGTTCTCAGCCACTGAGAAATAGGAGCGGAACACAATCAAAAGGCTCTGGTTTCGGGGAAGGTGACATAAATAATTGAAGATAAAATTAAGTCATAAAAATTGATATCTCGCCCCATTTTATGTATGACACAGGTGAGCGCACATGGAGCTAGAAACGTAATTTAATTCAGAGAGATAATTACAATCGTTATGTAAACATTTGCGGTAAACGTAGTAAGTAACTAAAGAAAACTTATGTCTATCAGTGTTGTTTTGAGTGAAAAGATAACCTACTGCGGACAAATTCTCTGGAAAATGCAGATACATCATTTATCACATCAACTACTACTTCATCTTATAGTTCATTAAAGAAATTGAGTATATGACATAGCAAGTCGATTATTCGAGGTTGCTGCGAATTCATTACCTATGCCCATTTTTCTGCAAGTCCGGTGACAGGATGTGATTGGCTAATCTAGAGGCCCATAACATCATTTTTAAAACGAGGTTTTTTGTTGCAAGTGCCAAAAGTTTTTTGTATCCATATATGTCTGATCTCCAAGACCTGAACGCTCCCTACGGTAATCAATCAACCTATGCTTTGGATTATATCTACCCGGACACAGTCGAAAGCTCATTACTGTTGAAATTTCCATAATTTAGACCCTTTTGCCGATGTTGGCGAAGATGATAATGGAGCTCAGCCTACTGGGTACATTCGTAAGTATCAAGTGTGTCTATTACTTTTTGGCGACAACTTCATTTCAAACGAACGACCTTCGGGCTCACGATCTTGATCTACGTTTGGTATCTTACTTGATCATGGATCCTGAAAGTTTTGATTATGACATGATCTGTCCTGATCTTTCTTGACCGTTAATCCCCTCAATTTGCAGACATTCGTATCCAACAACGCAATGGTCGCAAAACCGTAACTACCCTCCAGGGTCTTCCCAAGGAATACGATGCTAAGAAAATCTTGAAGAAGTTCAAGAAAGACTTTGCCTGCAACGGCACAGTCGTCGAAGTTGAGGAGATGGGTCAAGTTCTTCAATTGTCTGGTGACCAGAGAATAAAAATTGCTGAATTCCTTGTGTCTGAGGACATTGCCAAGAAGTCTGATATCAAGATTCACGGGTAAGTCCTTCACAATGATCTGACAGGGATGCCCCAAAGGCCATATTACTGACCAGTTACCGCAGTTTCTAAACATCATCTAGATATCCAAATATGACTCGGGTGCAATTCCCAAGAACCCAATTTGTACTTTGCTTTTTATTTTTTTTTTCCTTTGATCTGTCCTTGTACATTGTTCCCATCTTCTTTGACTAGCTTAAAGACAAGAGAAAGCTGATAAATGAATGTTTTTGGAGTGAAGCGAATGTCACCAGATTGCTCAGAGCGCAAAATGGCCTACTACTGTTGCGAGTCTCCAGGACCATACATTTGCGATTTGACATTGAATTAATTGATAATGTAAAGCCTATTGGTATCAAATTCAATCTAGACTTTGCTGCATAGCACCCCAAAACGCCAGTAATAGTAGTCTTTTATCACCCTTTATATGATCCTTACATCTCGTTGATGTATGATGTGGCGAAGCAGCTAGTAATTCAACAGGATGAGATGGTGTTTTAGCATGCCGCAGCACTACAAACAAAGTCTTGTACGGATATGGTAGGAAATGAATGTCATTTTTTGACGCTGCTTAAGTCACTTGCAAAAAACAGCTCTTCCACCGATCCGACATATAGTGCTGTGAATTGCTGGCCCAGCTTACAAACGAAATGATGATATGCAACATTGGCTACAATCAGCAAATGGCACAAAACATCGTGCTTCCATAAATTCCGTCAAACTTATGGTTTTTATCTACTTGCTATTGAAGGAGCAGAATCTGCCATTTGGTTAGGTATTTTAGTAGCATATTATAGATTAAGAGGTAGTATTACTATTAAATCATAATGTATTTAGCGATTATCTATAATTTGCAGAGAGAAGATATTGCGTAACGCACAAACTAGCAAACTTGAGACGCTAAATATGTTATCAATTTTGGCTATTCAACAATGAAACATTTCTTACATATCTTGTGGATCAATGGAATCAGGATCACATATTCCAAGATTGAACCGAATTGCCTATGAATGAAATTGTCATAATCCTGATGAGATTGCAGCTTCACACATCAAGCTAAAAGAAAGTATTCGAAATTTTATAGTTGTTGGCTCTTTTCATGAGTGTACTGTCCGTGTATGAGTGATATTGATTTTCCTCAGATCTGTCCCAGTTGTTTGGTTTTCATTATTGATTAATAAAGGTATTTACGTCTCCGGGCTTAAGGGTATTCTTTCACCATATGTTTTATATGCCTGCAAGGTAGCATGCTCCATGAGTAAGATAGATAGGCGAAGTTCGTTTTTCTCATCAACATCACTGTAAACATCAAAACAACGACAAATTTCGGTCAAGTATGACAACTACTGTGTAGTTCGCTTCCTTGTTTAAAGGCGCCTTACATTTCCACAAGAACCGTACCGTGGGATGTAGAACGCTCATTGAAATCAAACGCTATAGATTTTCCGTATGGGTGTACTAACGATGGCCGGCGCTTAAAACCTTAGCCGCCCCGCACATCTGGAGGACTGTTATTTATACTCACTTAGTCAGTAACAATTTTGGCCACTACCTTTCTTTTCCCGTTAACAATGATTTTCCAGTCACCAAGAAGCCCTATTGATATACCAAACCTAGACTTGTATACCTTTCTTTTCACCGAAAATGAGTTTAATAGGCATACATCCCCGAGTAAAAAGGTGCTGGTCGATGCTGCAACTGGTGAATCAATAACTTATGGCCAGCTGCGAGATCAGTCAAGTAGGTTGGGCCATGGATGGACTGCTCGAGCGGGACTTCAGCAGGGAGATGTTGTTGCAGTTTTTGCGCCAAATCAACATGATCATCCAATCTTATACTATTCGCTGCTTGCTGCAAAATGCGTCATCTCGCCCGGAAACCCAGCATACACAGAACGTGAGTAAAAAGCAACCTGCATGATGTGGGAAGACACTAAGTGACTATCACTGAGACTGATTGATCATTTACTTGATGTAGAGGAAATGTTGCACCAGATATCGGACTCAGGAGCCAAGGCAGTTGTAACAGTGCCAGCTCTTCTTCCCCTGGTGATTGCAGCCGCCACTAAGTGCAATATTCCTATTGGCAATATTTACTTGTTTGGAGAGAGTGAGGTGCAGGGTTGCAAACCATTTAGATCTCTCATGGGAGAGGAGCATGTCCAGTTTCCTATCTCTGGAATCAACCCAAGCGAGGATTTGTCCTTCATCTGTTATTCCAGCGGAACGACTGGAAGAGCAAAGGGAGTCATGTTGACTCACCGCAATTTTGTCAGCAATGGTATGTCATCTACAAAGAAAGAATTCTGCATACGATTGTCGTCTACTAATTTAATCGGGCATATAGTATTGCAAGTAACTCATTTGGACAAGGATTTCCACCGTCTGGATGACGTTTACATGGGTTTCCTTCCATTTTATCACATCTATGGCATCAACTCTTTGGTTCTCAGCGTCTGTGGCTATCGTGCACAATTGCTCGTTGTGATACCAAAATACACTCTGGAAAACTTTTTAAAGGCTGTGGAGAAGTATAAGATTACATATGCCAATATTGTGCCACCTGTTGGTAAGCTATATTCACCGGACTCAGTGAGGTCTAGCAGTCGTGTATTTTAGAAGCTAATATTGCGTTTTTGTGATGCAGCCGTTCATCTTGGAAAAGATCCGTTAGTCAAGAAATACGATACCAGCTCTCTGAGAATGCTTGGATGTGGCGCTGCACCACTTGGCAAAGAGCACATTGAAGCAATTGACAGGCAAATGGGAGTTGGAGTGAAACAAGGGTACGTTGAAGTGTAGCTATGTAGGCGTACCATAGAATTGATAACGAACATCTTCATTCGCAGATACGGCATGACAGAATGCTCTTCGACAACAACTTCTCAGCCTGTTGATGAGTTGGATAGAATAGGTAATATATTCGCATATGCGAGATTACACGTTAGTGTACACTATCTGGTGAAATCCCTCACACACAACCAATCCAATTACTTAAATACCGTTTTATTAACAGGTTCGGTTGGAGTCCTTATTGCCAATAATGAAATGAAAATCGTTGATGAACAAGGAAATGGTAATTACAAGCTCAACTTAATTATGTGTTCTAAAAAAAAACTGCTTACCATGGCTAACAAATTCTCTATAACAGCATTGGGCATTGAGGGAGAAGGAGAAATCCTGATTCGGGGACCAAACATTATGAAAGGTTACCTCAACAACCCCAAAGCAAACGCTGAGACTTTCACTGCTGACGGTTGGCTAAGGACAGGCGATATTGGAAAAATGGCAAAGGATGGCCACTGCTATGTCGTCGATCGACTCAAGGAGTTGATAAAAGTCAAAGGATTCCAAGTCGCACCAGCTGGTCAGTATCCTCAGAGATTTTACGCAAAGTGTACTTATGAATCCAACACTTACCGCCTGAACTTATTTTTAGAGCTGGAAGCATTGCTTATGGGCCGTAACGACATTGCGGATGTTTGTGTCATTGGTGTCTATAATGACGCTCAAGCTACTGAGTTCCCTCGCGCGTATATTGTTTTGCAAGGAAACACAAGCCCTTCTAAGGAACTTGCCACTACTATCGAGAAATATGTCGCAGAGAACGTTGCTCCTCACAAGCGTCTCCGAGGAGGCATCCGTTTTGTGAACAGTATACCCAAATCACCCAGTGGTAAGATCTTGCGACGAGTTATCAAAACCACTTGGATTAAAGAAGAGGAGGAGCAAGAGAGAGTGAAGAATGGTCTTAGGGCTAGATTATAGTTCAATCGGATATTCATGCATAATAAATGAGAGTAACCGTACTTAATAATGTTCGGTTTATCGAAAGAAATAACATCACTAATACCAATGTCATTAATTCAGCTTGGTAATGAGCTGGGGCGGCAATACCAGCCTCATCGGGGTTTTTGATCCACATTTGCGGCCAACTGTCACAAATGAAACCAGGCTGCATTCTTTGCTCCCGATCAATTTGACAAACGGACTCCATTCAAGAATGTCAAATTCTTCCACACCGGTGCTCGAGAAACCACCAAATGGTGAAGCAAGCGTTTCAGACATACAACCGGCATTCGCTCAGAATGGCGAGACCAAAAGTAGCACTTCTTACAAACCGACACCAAACGTAATATCGCCTACACCACAGCACACACCAGTAGAGCAAGACAAGTCTGAGTCCGTCCCGGCGCCAAAACAGAGTATAGCTCAAAAATTGCGATCTAAGTTGCCAACTTACGAGCAGTTTAAGAAGACCCTCAAAGCTGACATTGCTTTGACGGTTGTGTTGATCATGGTTTTGGATCGTACTACCAATATCGGAATTGGTCAAGGCACTCTTTTAACATGCGTCGCCATGATTTTTTTTTGCCCGGTCAAGCCAATCGGACTACAAGTGGAGGTTTGTAGTGCATGCGCTGACATCAATTTTTTTCATAATTTGACTAAGCGTATTTATCCAGGTGGTTGCTCTAAGTCTGATAGGAACAATGGTTACTGCCGCATGGTCATTTCTAGGTAAGCATTATACCACTTTATTGCCACAATCTCATATATATATATATATATATATATTGACTCGTCTTTGGTAGGTATGTACCTTGCCAACTTGTCGAGAGACCATACCACGGCAAACCCATTGCAAGCCAGCAGCGGAGTCATACTGGAAATATTCCTTTTCATTGGAACATTTTTCCTGAATTGGGTTCGAACTAACTATCCTAAAGGTAAATACTGCAGCATGTCTGTTACTCTGTCATTGAAGATCATTGGGTGAATCAGTTAAATCTTTTTATTTTACTCTTGTGAATAATAGCAAATTTTGCCGGTATCCTTGGATGCATTGTTTTAATTTTTGCCATGACGACGGCCGCAATAGTGCCCACCTTTACACCAACTGTCATTGTAAGCTGTCTGACCAAAGGGCTCGATAATGTTTTCCCACTAGTTTAGTCTAATTTTTACCTCCTCTAGTGGGCATTTGTCATTCCAATTTGCATAGGTGGCGGATTCGCGTTGGTCGTTGATATTGTGATATGGCCAGAAGACACCGCAAACAACTGTCTCACCATGTTTGCAACCACGCTTGAATCTTTTAATCAACTACTCACGAAACAAGTTGAAGTCTTTCTACAAGATCCATATTTGGAACTCCCAGGACAGGCTACACCGCTGTCGGTCATTCATGGCCAATTACAAGGAAATATAATGATGCTTATTGAAAGCAAGCGAGCTGTACAGCGCGAAGTTCTTTATTCCAAACTCACAGCAAAAGATTTTAGCTACCTCACCAAGCTCGTCAAATCAATGAGGGTACCTTTGCATGGAATCGGTCTCAGTCGAGTGATAGAACAAGAAATGTATGATGCTCAAAGTGGAGGTGTACTCCAAAAATGGCAAACGGTTAACTTGACCTCAAATCCGGTCTTGGAGGATAATTCCAGCATACGTTCGGATTCACAATCCGAAACAACTACCGATACCGCTCAGTTGATACAGGAGTACCAAGAAATTCTGAATGTTATCAGACCCATATGTAGCAACCTTGCGGTAGAATGTAAAAATGCAGTATCAGAATGTATGACACGTCTCAATTGTCTGCATAACGGGAGAGATAAAAAGCAGCCAGAACCAACACCTCAACTCCCGAACCTAGTAGATCAACCCAAGGCTGAAGGCTTGCCTACTGTAAACTCAACCGAGATCGCATTTGCGGCTAGGCTGCGAAGGGCCATCGAAAATTTTGAGAAGGATCGTATATCAGGCATGGATCGCCTCTTTAGTTGTAAGCTCACCGAAAGAGATCCACATAGAGCTATGCTGCTATTGCTACTTTTCCAATACAACCTGCGCGAATATGCTGATAAGGTCTTGGAAATGGCAGACTTCGTAACCAATTTAGAAAAGGAGCGACAAAAGCGACACATTGGCTGGCCTAATATCACCTTGAAGAAATGGCTCAAAGAAGACACTCGTGATGAGGACATTACTGCAAACGGCAATCAAATGAACGATGGAGATGGAACTGCCCAGTTAGCTAGGACAGCAAGTCGTGTGAACTATCAACAAGCTGCGATGGATACGTCCGCTGGACCTTTTATTTATGAAGAGGACGCCAAAGGCCGTGTACTACGACGTGATCCTGATGTACTAGCACCAGCAACAAGGTGGGAAAGGTTTTGGTACAGGATTTACGAGTTCAAGGTCTGGCTATTCGAACCTGATACCCTCACCGTACTGAAGACTTCGGTTGGCTGCATTCTTTTAGCTCTTCCGGCATACTTTACCTCATCCGCGGTTTGGTATAACGAATGGAGGGGTCAGTGGGCTGTCATTACTCTTGTATTCTGGATGTTCCCAAGCTCGGGATTATTGATTTTTGGGTACGTTTGAGATGGATCATATTTACTTTCGAGCCTTGACAACGTGACATCAGCTTAAAACTACCCTATGGTCAACATTGATATGTGCTTTATTGCCAATTCGCTGACTAACTCTTTCATTTCTACTCCTCTAATATAGCTTCTTCCTTCGTCTACTTGGTACCATCATAGGCTGTGTCCTTGGCATCGTGGTTTGGGAAATTTGCCAAGGGGTTACTTATGCTCTTGCCGTTGTCATGTTCATTGTCAACTATATTCTATATCACATTTTCTTTTACAAACCTTTCTGGAGAGTCTGCACTTTAATGACACAGATTACTTTGATCTTGGTGAGTATATGCCATGACTGGCTAATCCCAGTCTGACTATTAATATTTCGAGCTGACTTCTTTTTCTTCCACAGGTTATAGCGTATAGATATAATTATGTCTTGCAGGAAAACTCGGAGCCAGTTTGGGAAGTCGCCGGGAAGGTAAGCTCTATATACTAAGGTACTTCCTATTCAAGTAGCATATTTATTCAACAACCACTATTTCCAGAGATGTTTGCTTGTCGTTATCGGCGTTGTTGCCGCTTCCATTATGTACTGCATTCCTTTCCCAGTCACTGGTCGAGTGGAACTTCGTTTCCGATTGGCCCAAACAGTGCGCGATATCGGAACTCTATATTCTGCCCTCATATACTCCTTTGAAAACGTTGATGCAAACAGCCACTTGGGTGAGCAACAACGCAAGAAATTCACAAAATTAGCTCTTAATATCCAACGTCAAATCGCCTTGGAGAGGACATTACTTGCCCACGCAAAATATGAGCCCCCGCTTCGAGGCAAGTATCCACAGGAAAAATATGCAAAGTTATTGGATACCGTGGATAATATGGCGGATATGGTATATGCAATGGTGAGTGACCGCGAAGGCAATAGTGGTATGAAAAGAATTATGCCGCTAAACACATTTAATATGCACCAGGGCGCATCACTCGAAAAATTGCCTCCGTTTTTGCGCGATGATTTATCTCGAAAAGCGAAAGAAGCCCGCAAGACTTATGCAAGTATCGGTTTAATAACTCAGGTCTTGTCAACCTGTCCTTTCCGACCAAATCATTAACCTTCTTTGTCATATTCCAGATTGCTACCGTTATGACTGGCTTTAAGTTGGTGTCAGCAGCCTTGGCTGCAAAAACGTCATTACCTCCGTACTTGCATTATCCTAAAGATGCTCTTCGCGAATTTGGCGAAAAGATTCGTCAGGTACCTAACACGGATTCTTCTTACTTCAAGGATCCCGGATATTCGTAAGTAGCTTCCGCAAGTATCTTCGTAAGCTACATAGTATTGACCTTTTCTTTCTAGTGTATTTGCCGCATACTTTTTAAACAGTGGCTCGTTCGTCATGGAGCTTCAAAAGCTACTCGAGATCATACAGGACTTGGTTGGTATCGACACCCCTAGCGAGTGGATGCGCTTGGCCTAGACTAAGCAAGGAAGAGGTTCGACAGATTCAAGGACAGTAGTTTTCAAGACATATAACGACAAACAAGAAGGCGTATCTTGATGGCGTGAGTCTTCATGATGTATTATATACTATTTACCTAGTTCTGTTATTTTTCCATAATTATTTTTTTATTTATATCTTCTGTATGTATGTTCCATCATATTTGTTCATTCCCAATTTTTCATACCAGCATAGGCCAATATATTCTCTTCGATAGTTCAACCGTCAGGCTGAAAAAAGTTTTATGAAGTACGTAATTAAATAAATAATGAGAATATTCAATCCAGCTACAATAGCAATACAGAGAGTTTCGCCTCTGAGCATTTTTACAGTATGTCGATGCCAACATGAATCACTTCATGGTTGATCGAACCTACTTAGCAAAAAAAAAAGCGCATTATTCACGTATGTTGCATTGAAACTTTTGACAATTCATCAAAAAATTGCTCACACCCAGGCTCGAACTGGGGACCTTCTGCGTGTGAGGCAGATGTGATAAACCAACTACACTATATGAGCTGCTTGGATTCGAACTCCTGACCTATAGTAATCTTCCGAAGACAACTACCACTGAGACAAATGTTCGTTTTTGAAACCGAATTTACTGTGATTTAGATGGCCCAGCATCAATGTAGAGTGTTGATGATATGATGAAGTTGTTGAAAATGTCCATCTAACGAGCCTTCCTTAGACCAACATACGTATATTAACATAATATTGTCTACTTCATTTCATAAAAAGCTTTAAATATAGTGATGTTTCGATCAATAAAGACGCTTTCTACTAGCAAGATAAGTATCATCCATGTACATAGTGATATGATGCACATCATGATAATGAATAAATAGTTCGAGGAAAAGAAATAATTTAAAGAAATTTAATTTAATATTATCCCTTTATTACATTATCATTTGCTCACAAACCTTGATTGTCTTTTAATCCAATGGTCATGAGAATGTGATTATCATTATGCAAAAGTAAATCGGCATCGACATATATCGGCATATAACACCACATAAATAGGCTTCCCATAGTATTTAGTATTTTTCTATATTTTGTTTAGTATTCATTTTGACAATAGATAGACAGCCCACAAATAAAAATGAATTTCATGCATAGGAGAGATACTGAAATTTAGATTTTAGCTAAAGTTTGAGCATCTCATTATTCGATCAGTCCAAGAGATCCTTCATAGCACTTGGCTATTTTATCATCTTGAGTAAACAAAGCTCAGCATAGAGGGATGTTGCGCTGAGTGTGCTGGTCTGCTTTTCATCTTGTAATATATCAGCCGGAGATGAAAATTCACGTGACCAAGACATCGGCTCACTCAGCTTGCCGGTGACTGATTAGGTAGAGGCAAGTGAGCAAAATTGAAGATCTTCCTTTACAAATTTCATCATGGTAAGTTGGCAATGAAAACTAGTTGCAGATGGATCATAAATCCTTTCGATTGATGGATGCTAACTGATGGATGGATTACTTTTAATAGGGTCGCGTTAGGTACATTGAGATTTTAATTCGACAAATCAGCCATATCCAAATCATCAGAATTAACCATTTGAACACTTTTTTTTTTCGCTAATAATTCAGAACTAAGACCGTTAAGAAGGCTTCCCGCGTCCTCATCGAGAAGTACTACCCCCGTCTTACTCTCGATTTCCAGACCAACAAGAAGATCTGCGACGAGGTTGCCATCATTGCCTCCAAGCGTCTTCGCAACAAGATTGCTGGTTTCACCACCCACTTGATGAAGCGTATTTCCCGCGGTCCTGTTCGTGGTATTTCCTTCAAGCTCCAAGAAGAGGAGCGTGAACGCAAGGACAACTACGTTCCCGAATTCTCTGCTCTTGACACCTCCGTCATTGAGATTGATCCCGATACCAAGGTAAGATAGAAAAGGAAGTTTTTGGCGGTGACCAGTAGAGTGGCGTAGATGGCGACAAGAACTGGATTGAGTACCTTGTAAGATCCCATTACTGACTACATATATGCTCTTCTTAAACAGGAACTCCTCAAGTCTCTCAACTTCGAGAACCTTGCTGGTGTCCAGGTCTCCGCTCCCGTCACTGCCAACGCTCAGGCTGACTTCCGTCGTCCTCGTCGTGACAACCGCCCTCGTCAGGCTCGTCCTGCCCGCCCTGAGGGTGAAGCTGTTCAAGCTTAAATTTTTTTATTGCAATTTTGCGGATTGACTGTTGCAGTTAGTTCTGTATAGATGTAATAAAAGATTGTGGTGCTTTTAGCAAAAAATATAATGTAGGATGGCAAGTGGAAGAGAGTGGTATATTTGTTGGATGAATTATTACAACAGGGATAATACAATAGTCGCCTGTGTCGTGGGAAAGTTACCTTTAGACGCTATAAACGGCATGTCGACCAGGTAATACTTGTTGTTGATAGTTGTAGAATTACATAGCATCCATTAGCCCACTGCCCGAATAGAGTAATTAGATTACTAGTCGTAAGGCACATGTAATCATGCACGCATTGCGACGTCCATAAAAATTCATCGCGCTTGCGGTAAGTCATCGTCTGGTAGCTCACAATTGTCCAAAAGGGTAATCAATGTCCCATCAGTATGGATACGTATCGTTGATGATAACGATTAACTACTGGTTGACCGTATACGCTTCAGTTGTGGTGAAGGGTCCCGCAACCTTCCTAGCTTAGCATTTGTCAATCTCCTACATTCTCCTTAGACACGTAAAAATCGACGATATCCTCCGGGTGATTGTAAGTGATGACTCTCTAGATGGTGAAAATGGACTTTTTGACATTGTGTTTATTCTAGCAAATACATCCTTAGCAATGATAGCGTTTGGAATCAAAGGGTATTAATTGTTTCAATTGATATTCATGCCTTTTGATCTAAGGTCACCTTTTGCTTCAGAGATTTCCTAAAAGTTACCATCGCAGGGTTAGAAGTGCCCAGTTAAGATTATAGCTGGCAACGTGCTATGTATCATATTTACTTACCCTCATGAGTTCATCGTATGCTTCTGGGCATTCTCCAAAGGTCATTACATTCCAGCCCAAAGTTCCTAGGCAGTATGAGCCGAAGCTGACAAGAGCCCACCACGGTAGCTGTGGAATAGATGGGTTAAATCAGACTGTGTTTCAAACCTCAACGGCTTTGAGATCAGCAATGTTATTGCGGACTGTCGTTGACTTACCACCGGTATAATGTCATCTTGGAACTTTTGCGGAAGCGGAATGATGCGAAGGGCAAAGGCGAGATAGAGGCCAATGATAATTGCGGCCGTGGTGAATGATTCGGTTGCTCTGGTCATTATGTACAGGTAGACGAGGAAAAAAGCTAATAGACAGGAGAAAGCGTGTTGATTGCTGTAAAACTGTAGCCAATCAAATTACAACAAATTATAGTTGTTGGCAGGCACACGTCGAAGTTGCCTCTCACTATTACTTTACTTGACTATGGTGAGCAAAAGATCCCTAATCCCGCCTCCTTTAAGAACGCATGGTTATATTAACAGACGACAATGCAGGCAAATGGTAAAGACAAGGCTGTAGGTGCTGCGGCATTCTCTCTTGCTGTAACGGTTTTTGTCTATTATACCACTTGGGCGTTGATCATGGTGAGCATTCAATACTTAGTACTATAAAGCCTTCTCGAAGATGACCCACTGACGCGCAAAGGGTGATAGCCTTTTGTTGACGAAGATCACACACTGCACAACTACTTCCCACCTGACGAATATCGTATCCGTATTCCTCTTTTGATCCTGGTGGTTGGATTAACGGTCATTTTCTCTTTCTTGGCACTTGTCATGATTAAAAGCAAGAGCAAAAAGACGAAAAAGGCAAACTAGGCATAATATTCTTGGAGAAGAAGGGTTACTTTGAGAGAAAGGATAAACGAGAGAAACTATGTAGAGGATATCTGCATTGGACACCTACAGACAGATGTAGCACATCTCTTTACAAAAATAAAAAAGCATCAATACACTGTCAGCGTTCTGCAAAGAACATATGGATCTACTGCTAAAAACATGACCACTTTGTAAACGTCTTGATGTAGTTTGATGAAAAATTCACATATTAGTAGCATAGTGTCCAGTGGCAAAACCAGGTTTCGAATCGTTTGTCCATGACTGAGATGTGTATTATTCACGCAAGAGATTTCAGTCTTCAAATCAAATCTGTGAAACACGGATATCCACCAGGTCGCTCTTTAAGATTGCTTTGACTAATTTGACTGCCATGCTGATTCTGTCCTCTTTGTTCGTTCTGTTGTATGATCCACCATAAATCAATTAGCAACCATGCAAGACCAGCATTGCCTTCAAACAAACTATTTGGGTGATCAGGAGTATGTAAGACCTTTCTAGAAGTATGCTCTCTCCATTCACAAGCAAATCGGCAAAAAGCTGCTGCCTTTTTCAAGTAATCTGGGGAGTCTGGGCATACCGAGTATAGTTCTAAGAACGCAAACGCGTTCCCAGATATACCTAAAAATGAAAAAATGGTCAAGGCAGGTGAAAAGTTTGGAGCGACCACAAAGTTCGCCATATAGCTCATCAAAGTTAATTCATTAGGCGCCGTAATTCTTACCATGACAAAGGCCTGCTGATTTGTTCAAAATTCCACGCTCCCAAATACATTTTGCCTGCTTCTCAGCAAACGAAAGAATTCGTTTAGATCGGTCGCCGGGGTACAGCCGGTCAATCAGAGTTAGGCAAGGAATGACACCGGGTGCACCGTGACAAAATCTGCAGGAGCAGTAAACATAAATTCAGTTATATGATATTGAGATAGAGAGTCAATATATAGAGATGACTTACTGTACAAGTTCGTCCTTATGGCTGGACAAGCTAGATGGCACATTTCCACTTGTAAGTGTCATTTCACTTAATCGGTCGGCTACGGTCAAAAGATCCTCTTTCCAAGGGTCCACCAGTGATCCGCATTGCAATAGAACCCCTACTATACCGGCTTTAGCTGTAATTAGCTACATTGCATTATACCATGCAAACTAAGAACACAACGACAACGAGGATATTTACCGACACCATGAGCAGCACCTAGATAATGTCGGTCATGCCAGGACCACATCAATGGCCAACCATCTATGGCACCTTTCTGGCCATGTTCAATGACTTTCTTGATAACCGCTAGACGCGTGTCGTCCGTAATGAGATCACCGGCAATATCTGAGCAATGTAGAGAAACCAATTGCAAGGCGTACAGGTATCCGACTCGACCATATAATAACTCGTCACTAACAGCGTCGTTAATTGCGACGGATTGATACTCTAAGAGTTTTTCCAGCTCAAGTCTGGCCTTGTAGTCTTTACGTAGAACGACGTGATGGACGCAAGCTGCAACAGCTATCGCGCCTACCGGAGAATCAATGAAGCCACAGTGCTTGGAATTCAGCTCAACAGCTGATTTTGTTATCGACGTCAGATACATTTCACACAGCTCTGCTACAGGATCTCCAGCAACGGTGACAGAAGGGTCAACATTGTGAATGTGGAATAGCAAATAAAGGATTCCGGCCTGGCCGTGGTAAATGGAGGACGTATGGCCACCTATTGGAAATGCAGGTAGACGAGCCAAAATGTATTCAATTTCTGTAACCAAGTGCCGCTGAAGGTTATTTGGTTGTAGAAAGTCTTCTAGGTCTTCAGTATTCAACGTGTTTTCAATATATCGGTTATGCATGATTTGAACAAAGAGTGGACTAAAATTTCGTTAGACATTAATTTTGGTTTAACGCTGTGGACAAACAATAAAGCAAAGCTCTATTTAATGGAGACGAAGCACTGTCCTCTATAATAGCCCCAGGTCCTAATTGTCTGTTTATTAAAAATTTTGAAACATGAAGTTATAGTAGTTCGACTTCTTGCACAATTGCGCACAATGTAGGCGAATAGATAAAGTTGTCTTTGTAATTAATTACGGCATATGAGAAACTTACTCTCTGCACCATCCTCTATTGTCCTTTAATTAAAGCCCGTCTACTCAATGACTTTATTCTGTGAGACCATAATCAGGCGTAATAAGGCGAGAAGTGCTCTATAATTATGGTAGTCATATCCTATACTCTTATTTTTTTATGTCAATAATAAAGCTAATGAATAGTTGGGGACAGTGAACCCCTTTGAGGTGTATACTTTTCCTACTTAGTTTTGCTGAGAAATCGATCAACATGACCATTAGCCATGAAAAAGATTTCAATAAACAGTTGGACGGACATCTACATATGTGGTCATATAATCAATGCCAACTAATCTTCTGATATTATACTTCAAGCATGTCGGGGGCTGCTGTGCTTGCAAGTGAGCGGTATTGTATGAGGTGTGACTGTCACCAAAATTGAAGTTGTTCAATTTTTTTTTTTTTATGTCGACGACTCCAACATTGCCAACTGCAACCATGTCACTGCCAGAACATTTGGAAACTCTACGCACTAGAGTCGTAATCGAAAAAGACAGTGTTCACAATGTATGTTATACAATATTCATCTCTAAATTATCCTGTAAAGCTTCACAGAGGCAATCTCCACAGGTATACGTTTATGACAGCGCCTAACGTTCACTCCTGCTTATAGGTCTCTTCCAGCGACTATCCTCATCAATATCCTGGCATAGATAGTTCTTGGAATCTCGAAAAGTTCAAGGAGGTTAGCAGCTTATTACTGAGTTCTTTTGTCTTACTGCAATCTAACCCATTGCTTTAGCAATTCCAAGTGAAAATCAATAGACTTTCCGATCTGGAAATGGAATTTGATCTTATAGGCGTTGACGCTTCCATTGCGAATGCTTTCCGCCGAATCCTGCTTGCTGAGGTATGTATATTCTCTAGGCGGCAAACACGCGGAAGTATTTACTTATTGCTTTGATTGCTTCAGGTCGCCACAATGGCTATTGAGAAGGTCTACGTCATGAACAATACATCAATTATACAAGATGAAGTTTTGGCACACAGATTGGGTTTGATACCCATCAAAGCTGATCCTCTGCTTTTTGATTTCAAAGGAGGTAAGATAGAAGACATCGTGGTAGGGTGGAAAAAGTAGCCGCGTTGACCTTTCCACTAACTCTTGTACCTTCACAGAGGAAGACGGACCCACGGATTTAAACACAATCGTCTTCAAGCTTAATGTCAAATGTGAACGCAAGGAAGGAGCACCAAAGGGAGCGACAGACCCTAAAGATTTGTATACGAATTCCCAAGTTCTTTCTAAGGACCTTGTTTGGGAGCCAAAGGGAGAACAAGCTGAACGCTTCGCTGATGACCCAATCCGACCTGTACTGGACGACATTTTGATTGCGAAATTGCGGCCTGGACAAGAAATCGATGTGGAACTCCACTGCCATAAGGGCGTTGGCAAAGAGCACGCGAAGTGGTCTCCCGTTGCCACAGCATCGTACCGACTTCTGCCCGAGATCAAGATTTTAAAGCCTATTACAGGAGCTGATGCCACCAAGTTCCAAAAGTGTTTCCCTCCAGGCGTCATTGATATTGTTGAGGAGAATGGTGAGAAACTTGCCAAGGTAGTCAATGCTCGCAAGGATACCGTTTCTCGTGAAGTTTTGCGTCACAAGGAATTTGAAGATAAAGTTCGTCTGACTCGCGTTAGAGATCATTTCATATGTAAGTTTCGACATCGCCGCCGCTATAGTAGCTTATTTCTGCGAGATTATTAACCATGGTACATATACCCTTATTACAGTCAACATTGAATCTGCTGGTGCCATTCCACCCCAAGATTTGTTTGTGCAAGCTGTTGGTGTCTTGATTGAAAAGATAAAGGCAATCAAGCCCGCCCTTGCCCAAGCAACTGGAGAGTCGGCTTGAACGATAATTTGACGGTGTATATAAAACTTTCCCCCCTTCCCCTTTCCTATCCATCCTTTTTGAGAATCCAGTCGAAATGAGATTTCAAATTCATTATGATAATCATCAAAAGCACAATAGACATGCATAATCAAACCATTTACAATGTGTGGATATGCTTTCAAAGCACCCGTGAATGCAGCGCTGGCAGTTTTGAGGTCCTATTACGTTCATTAGTGATGGCCTTGACTGATGTCAGTTCGAAGTTGCCTCAGAACTTGGGCAGTGATAAACATTATATTCTACGAACACTTGTCTATCAACTTGATTATTAATCGCGAAAGTATATCACTATTACCCATTATGCGTCTCTTTATATGACTGGGAACTTCGAATTGCGAAGTATCATCCTTCTATAATGATATATTGCACGAATTTCTATCTTTATACCTCAATGATTGAGTAAACTGTTGTGTACCATCCCGCTATTTCATTGATGGCCACTATTCAAGGACTATATACTTTTGTAAATGATCAGGAATAGCTGATACTAAATTTTTGGATTCCAACCACTTGCGACCTGTGACAAAAATTGGGTCAATTTAGCCTGTTCACTTCATTGAGCGATTCCATTTTCACTTTAACTTACTGAATAGACGAGATTGGTATCTGTAGGCTCCATCACAAAGAATGGTGGTGATAATCTTGCCCTTACCAAGTTTCTTGGCAAGCTCAACTGCAGCAACAACGTTGAGTGCAGAACTGGCGCCGACATAAATACCTTCTTCATCCAAAAGTCTATATAACATCTTGATACTGTCTTCATCAGGAATGTTGAAGGAGCCATCAATGACACCAACATCAGGTTTCAAGTTGTCGGTAACACGACCTTGTCCAATACCCTCTGTGATGGAGCTACCGCTTCGCTCAAAAAGTTTTCCTCCAGTTTGAAAGTAGCTATGCAAAACTGAGCCAGGAGGATCAGCAAGGTAGACCTTGACATCGTCACCTTTCTTTTCCTTAAGGTATCTTGCAATACCAGCCAAAGTACCACCGGTTCCGGTAGCGCATGTAAAGCCATCGATCTTGCCTTCAGTTTGAGCCCAAATCTCAGGACCAGTTGTCTCAATATGAGCACGACGGTTGGCGGTATTGTCAAACTGATTTGTCCATACAGCGTTGTCTAAAGATTCAGCATGTCTAGCAGCTTGATGGTTGTAGTTTTGTGGGTTATCGAATGCAACAGCTGGAACTGGATAGACTTCAGCACCAAGCATTCTCAACAAATCAATTTTTTCCTGTGACTATTGCGTGATTGAGTCGGTAAGATAAAATTTGTGGAGGTAGGTGATTCCAAAAAATTGGGCAAAAAGGTCGTACCTGAGTGTTTGGCATGTAAATAACGCACTTGTAGCCCTTTGCTCGGCAGACATGGGCAAGGCCAATACCGGTATTTCCTGCTGTTCCCTCTACCACTGTGCCTCCAGGCTTAATCAATCCCTTTTCTTCGGCATCCTTGACAACGAAGAGTGCGGCTCTGTCTTTGACAGAGCCTCCGGGGTTCATGAATTCAGCCTTTGCGAGGATTTCTGACCCGGTCTCTTCACTCAATCTGTTCAATCGAATCTAATATTCTTGTGTAAGACAAGGTTTGAAGTCTATGAAGTGCTTTAAGGCAAAAGTTTAGCTGAGCTTACCAAAGGTGTGTTTCCGATAGCTCCAATAAAGCCATTGGTAATCTGAATTTGTAAAACTGTAAGTGAAGCTTCCAGTAGAAGACATTAATGTTTGAGTATATATTACCTGTGCATTACGCGCCAGGGAGGATGAAGTGTATAGTCTTGAGAATAATTTGGATGCCATTAGAATGGAGCAATGGTTTGTCAGAGTCCTGTCTGAGCTTCGACCGAGATGAATGAATTGACAGTCAGATTGCGTGTGACTTGTTTGGTCGACATCAACCAATATGAGGTTTCAAACAAGTTGTGAGAGCAGCGGTTCAATGGGTTCATTAGCTTTCTTTATTTCTTCGAGCTTTGTATAGCAGCAATTGCAAAAAAAAAGAGGACTATGCTTGTAATGTAGATATTTTTTTCTTCATATTCCGTTGATAGTGCTGGCCAGCGATGGTTTGATGGGCATAAATAAAAAAACTGACATTGCTTCAGCCAGTCAACACCGCCAATTGATGATCAGTCAATTATAGCCAATCAACAACTGATGATTCATTGTGATAACTCCGGCTTGGTATAATTTTCAATGTGACAGCAGGACACAATGATTTTTTCTTTGCTTCTACTCGACTAAATATGGCCTCTATATTGCGCGCCGGAAGATCACTGGCATCGTCCAACATGTAAGTTCCATTGTAAAAACGTAATGTAACTCATCACCGTGACATAGAAACGCGTTCGCTAATGGACAACGTCCAGTCACTCTTATGCAACCAAAGCTGCTGTTATTGGTGCTCGCCACTATGCGTCCTCCTCTTCCTCTACTGTCATGAACAAGTACAGCCGAAACATCACCGAGCCAAAGTCTCAAGGTGCTTCGCAAGCCATGTGTAAGTCGATTGAATGATTACATCAAGAATTATGAAACTTTGCTGACCTTATGGCCATCGTAGTGTACGCTACTGGTCTTGACGATAATGATCTCAAGAAGGCACAAGTTGGTATCTCCAGTGTATGGTACGAGGGTAACCCATGCAACATGCATCTTTTGGATTTGGCACAAAAGGTCAAGGAGGGTGTTGAAAAGGCTGGTTTGATCGGTTATCGATTCAATACCGTTGGTGTTTCTGATGGTATTTCTATGGGAACTAACGGTATGCGATTCTCGCTCCAATCTCGAGATTTGATTGCTGACAGTATTGAAACCGTAAGTGTCTGATTATAAGGCTGCTCAACATTACCACCTCTAACGATCACGTTGATCAGGTCATGGGTGGACAATGGTATGATGGTAACATCAGTTTGCCCGGCTGTGACAAGAACATGCCCGGTGTTCTGATGGCAATGGGTCGTTTGAACCGTCCATCCCTTATGGTCTATGGTGGCAGTATCCGCCCCGGTAAAGGCTGCGGTGGTAACACCTTGGATATTGTCTCCGCTTTCCAAGCTTACGGTGAATATGTTGCTGGTAACATTAACGAAGAGCAGCGATATGACATTATTCGAAATGCGTGCCCCGGAGCTGGTGCATGTGGTGGCAGTAAGTTTTACTTCAAGTAAAATAGTGTAAATGAGAGCGATTTTACTAAAAATTGATCATCTTCACTCCAATAGTGTACACTGCCAACACTTGTAAGTAGCTTGTGCATCAAGCATTTATTTGCTGGTATAGCAACTCTTTATTAATCAATCTTCGTTTCATAGTGGCCTCTGCCATTGAAGCCATGGGTATGACCTTGCCCTATTCATCATCCGCCCCTGCCACGTCGAAGGAGAAGATTGATGAATGTATGCAAGCCGGTGAAGCCATGCGTAACTTGCTTGAAAAGGACATCAAACCCAGAGACATCCTTACTCGCACTGCTTTCGAAAACGCCATGGTCCTTACCATGGTCCTCGGAGGATCCACCAATGCTGTCTTGCATTTCATTGCCATCGCCAGAAGTGTCGGCATAAATCTCACTCTTGACGATTTCCAGGCCGTTAGCGACAGAACTCCTCTCTTGGCAGACTTGAAGCCAAGTGGCAAATATGTTATGGAGGACGTTCATAAGGTTGGTGGTATCCCTGCCATCTTGAAGTTCCTTATCGAGGAGAAGATGGTCGATGGTGATGTTATGACTGTCACCGGTAAATCTTTGGCCGAGAACTTGCATTCTTTGCCTGGATTGCCCCATGGCCAGGATGTCATCAAGCCTTTGTCCACCCCTATCAAGTCTTCTGGTCACTTGCAAATCCTGTACGGAAACCTTGCTCCCGAAGGCTCCGTTGCCAAGATCACTGGTAAGGAAGGTCTCAAGTTCAAGGGTAAGGCTCGTGTTTTCAACACCGAGGCTGCTTTCATCGAGGCTCTTGAAAACAAGGAGTTCAAGAAAGGTGAGAAGGTCACCTGTATCTTGCGATATGAAGGTCCCCAAGGTGGTCCCGGTATGCCCGAGATGTTGAAGCCAACCTCTGCCATGATGGGAGCCGGTCTTGGTCAAGATATGGCTCTTCTTACCGATGGTCGTTTCTCCGGTGGTTCCCACGTAAGTTGGTTACGGTGAAACGAGCATATAAATGAAGACATTTTTTATTGACTTTGTCTCTTGCAACAGGGTTTCATTATTGGTCACATTACTCCTGAAGCACAACTCGGTGGACCTATTGCGCTTGTCCAGGATGGTGATATGGTTACCATCGACGCCGAGAGCAATGAGCTCAGCTTCGATGTTAGCGATGCTGAACTTGAAAAGCGAAGAAAGAACTGGACTGCACCTGCATTCAAGGTCAACAGTGGAACATTGTATAAATACATTAAGAATGTAAAGACTGCCTCTGAAGGATGTGTTACTGACGAATAGATAGTCGATTACATATAAGATATGAAAATAAAACATGAAAATTCAGTGCTAAAAATGAGGTAGGATGGCCACCTGTAGCTTGTCAGGGGGTAAGTGTAAGCAGCCACTTAGAATACATTTGTATGCACTCAAAAAAAAAGTTGTGATAAACGGCAACTATTCCTACCATCTTCTTGGCAAAATCTGCGAAGGGATTCTATTGTCAAAATACTATTTATGCAATGTCGTCGTACGACAGTATTGATTGTAAGGACTGCATGGTGAAAAGAAAGGAAAACTACATAGGAAAGGGTACAAGGAGAGTTTACTAAGGATGTTTCCAGCGAAAAATCCAGTCGATGTATGACCTCTTTAGTCCTCAGGAACGTCAGTGGCCTCCAGTATCGGAATAATAGCGTTCCAAATACTAGCGCCTTGCTTATAAAATTCAATATGGCTATCGGCATAATCTAAAAGACCATTTCTGAGTTCAGCCGTTTTTGCTTTCTCAAAAACTTGAAACTCTTTCATAACTTGGTTGGAGAACATATTAGATACATCATTGCTCTTAGCAACCTCGTCTTGCAGCTATAGGAAAAGGAAGCGTATGAGACTTTAACCTTGATCATTGCAAATGACAGTGACACATACCTCAGCTATTCTGTGCTCAAGTCTCTCTAGCTTCTCTTGCCTAGCTTGCACCATATTGACTCCTCGAGCTTCGTTTACCTTGTCAGTGAGGAATCCAGTAATATTGACAGCCGGACGATCACCAAGCTTTCTGCCAGGGTACATAGTTCGCTCACGTTCTTGAATGGTATGCTGCAGATAGTTTGACAATTCCTCAAAGTCAACCTGTTTCTGATCCCGGGCGCGAAGTGATGTCTAAATAGCGCAATTTCATCAGAGTTTGAACGCGCAATATACGACAGAAATGCTGGCTCACTCACTTTGGCTGCTTGGCAATACGATAGATACTCGTGGATTTGGTTTAGAAACAGTAAATCTTCCTTATCACACTGCATAACGAAATTATGTGAGTACATACATACATCAATGATGATAGTAAGCATTTCTTATCTTACCATCTCTTTGATTGCTCCCGAATACTTTCTGGATGTTTCCGCGAATTGGCCTAATTGTGAAGAAATCCCAGTTTCAAGATTTGAAAGCCCATCGACGCTATTGGCAAACATGGCATAATCCTGGGACAGATCTGAAACGCAGTTTAGCCCGGTTAGCACAGTGAATTTCATGTATCCAAACATTATCCGTGCGCACCTTGTTGGCGTTTGCCTATTCTGCTATAGAGCCGCTCAACAGTATTGAGATTGTCAGCCAATTTGTCGATGTTCTCCTTCATATCCACAAAGCGCTCTTCTGGTTTTTGAACTTTGGTGAATGCATTCAGGAAAGTGTCACTCAAGGTTTCCATCACTGACCCACTGGAAGGGTCTCGTACAGTCTGAAGCTGTTTGTCATGTTTCTATACCGACACATATGTTTTTAGAAAGGCATAGGGTAAGAATTTCTCAGCATCAAACAATAACTACTCACGAAATTTGCAGATTCAAGGAAAACTCGGGTACTTTGAGATTGTTGAAAAAGCGGATGCCGTGCGATTCTATCTAAAAACCACTGCAGACTAAGATATCATGCTGATCAGTAAACAGAACATACAGTATCAGAGATTATTTCTGTCATTGCATACCTTTGCCGACGTCTCTCCACAAATTCCGTTCCAAATCGATCTCCTTTAAGGTATTCTAAGGAAAATGCACGTCGTCGACAGTTAGATACCATTAATGGCCGCTATAAGCACGCCTTTGGAAAATGCAAATGTCTTGGGTACCTATTCTATGCTTCTCTGGCAACGGTGGTACAATACTGGCAGTATATTCAAAGGTCAGTGCGTTGTACAGCCAAACGAAATCTTGATACCTCCGTCGCACACGACATGGAGATCGCGAACTGAACGTCGGGATGCTAGTCTGTAATATGTCATTTCTGTCAGATATACACCGACGTGCAGCGCAGATTAAAAGTTGTTATTGTACAAACATGAGTGGTAATTAAGTAAGAGATATAGGTTCCAGATGAGCCCTCCGACTCCTTCTGCGGCTCAGTAATTGTAATCGTCATAGGTTGTGCAATAAAATGTGAGTCGTTTGATGTATTGGTGTCTTTGGACTGGCTTGCTGTGTCAGGTGAATGCTTGGCATTGAAAGTATCACGATCATATCCGCTGGAACTGGAGGCATGATTCTCATATCCATTGATATTCCTAGTCAAAGACGGTTTCTATGCAAAGAGTTTAGAACGAGGTTATTATATGAACGATCAAATAGGTGTGTTTGCGAAAAGTATCCAAATACGACAACGGTCAGAAACTTTCCGACCGTCAGTCACTCACCTGTACATCAAATGTTGCAAAGGGATCCGAATCATGTTCAGTTCGTGATGATTCTAAATCCGTAGCGGTTTGCCAGTGTACACTTCCATACTCGTCGTCGACATTCATGTTGAGGACCTTTGCCGAGAGTAGCCAAGGTAAGCCAGCTTCTTCTGGTAACACTTGACTTTGGTCTCGCCCACATTGAACGGTCACGAGATATCTTGATTTGGATAATGTTGCAGACAGCCTCCACAGTGACGTACGGAATGAGAGCTCTTCATAGCCAACTCACTCTCTTTGCAAGCAAGTGTATAGCAGTTTTTGCAAGATCCTTCTTTCTATCAGTATATATTAATCAATTTACATTGATGCTGGTGAGAAGAAAAAAACATAACTATGTCCAGTAACGCTTGAGATATGCTTTGACATTAGTGCGATTATAATGCTTCACGGCCGATATATAGCTTTCACTTTACTGTAGGGATGGTCCTTATAAATCAACGCTTCAGTTTCCAACCATTGCACTACTATTAGGCTTTAACAACTGACGACCATCATACCAAGCAAATTGATGACGTATCAAAAAATTTGGGCTTGCTTTTGTGCAGACGCGAGAGCCGCAGCACGCGTGCAAAAAAAAAAAACCTCGCGTTACAAAATTTCTGGTCGCGAGGATTTCTCACCTACAGGCATCTCTCGACATCATGGCTCAGCCAACCAACGGTTCTATTAAAGCGATATACAACGATGAAAAAGATTCAGCACTGTACAAAAACCCTGTGGTACAAGTCATAAATATCAAAAAAGTCCCCACTAGCAACAACGTTAACCGATACAGGTAAAATCTCGCATAGTCAGTTTCATAACATTTTTGACGAAGGCACGAAACTGATCGCAAATACTCAATCTTTAGGGTCATCATTTCGGATGGAACTTATTTCATGCAAGGTATGTAGGCCAGTGCAATGAAACGAGAACAACCACTCGATCAGCTAATTAGTCTCACATTAGCTATGCTTGCTTCGCAACACACTGCACTTGTGGAGAATGAGACTCTACAGAAGTACTCCTTGATTGTGCTCAAAGACTACGTCTGCAACACGCTACAAAACAGAAAGTAGGTTGATTTTATACTTATCAAACCTGCAAATTGGTGCATTTACGTAATACTATATCTAACACTGTGCGTAGAATCATCATTGCCCTGAACATTGAAGTTCTTCCAAATGGTCCCGATATGCATAGGATTGGTAGCCCTGTCAACCTGGAAGCTGAACTGGGTCAGGACAGCGGTGCTAAAGCAAGTAACGAACAACAAAATGGCCAACAACAGCTCTTTGTACAAAACCAACCGCAGCAAAATGCCCCAATGTCTAATCCATACAACAACAGTGCAAACAATGCTACTTCTATTAACAATACATCTGCTCGCTCAAATAATGTTTATGCTGATGCTAACCTCTTTCCCATCAAGAGTTTAAACCCTTATCAGAACAGGTAAGAACTACTAGATGCTTGTAGTTCATATAGTGAACAGAATGTTGATGTGATTTTGTAGATGGATCATCAAAGCTCGTGTAACTCAAAAGTCAGATATCAAATTTTGGCACAAAGGCACTAGCGAAGGAAAGCTCTTTAGTGTCAACTTGCTTGACAAGTCGGTACGTATAGGAGGATCTGCTTTCTGCTCCATCGTTTTATTTACGTTTTCTGGCCATTCAGGGCGAAATCAAAGCAACTGCGTTCAACGCCGAAGTGGATAGACTCCACTCTATGCTTCAGGAAAACAAAGTATGTACCTATCTTTTAATTTTATGCGCGATGTACATAGCGATTAACATTATGATTTTCAGACATATTATATTTCCAAAGCTCGAGTGACTATGGCCAAAAAGCAGTTTTCCAATCTGAACAATGACTATGAGCTAGTCTTCGATAGTAACTCTGAGGTCGAAGAGGTATGACTACCGTCCAAAGTGATTCGTTAATGAGATGTAGGCTACATCTGATGTACATACTTTCTTTTAGTGCAACGACGAATCAATTCCAACAATGTCTTTCGACTTTGTTGAAATCGCAAAGTTGGATAATGGCATTGAAAAGGGCGACACTGTTGGTATGTATACAATTCTTTGTTGTTATCACATTAAGTTTCAAGTCCTCGCATGCTTACGAGAAGGTACTAGATATCATTGGCGTTGTCAAGGAAGACGAAGGTATCCAAGAAATTGTGTCCAGAGCTAGTGGAAAGCCGGTATGTATTGTTCTTCTCACTATTACGATCTTCTCAACACCAGCTACTAACCGGTGGCTAATCCAACTACGTTGACTCCCACAAATTAGGTTAAGAAGAGACAGCTCACTATCGTTGACATGTCCAAAAAGCAAGTCAAGCTTACGCTCTGGGACCGACAAGCTGAAAACTTCGATTCTACCGGCTCTCCAATTGTAGCATGTAAAGGTTGTCGCGTCAGTGACTTTGGAGGAAGATCACTGTCTTTGCTCTCAAGTGGAACCTTGAAGCTTAACCCCGATATTCCTGAAGCCAGTCAACTCCGTCAATGGTAAGAGATATAGCTGGCTAGCTCAAGCTATCCATGTAGTTGTACTGACACTATGTTTTATCAACTCGCCTATCAGGTATGACAGAGAAGGTCAATCTGCCTACTTAGACTCCTTCAGCAGTTCCTCCCTTGGAAATTCCGAAAATAGCAGTGCGGGCTCCACTCCCACAAAGACCTTAGCAGAAGCTAAGACCGAAAATCTCGGTGCTGGAGAGAAGGTACAGAAAGAGCAATGCCCCTACAGAAGAAAACATATGAAATGATATGCATGAACTAAGTTTTAATCAATAGGCCGACTTCTTTAATGTCAGAGCAAGAGTAGTCTACATGAAGAGCGATAATTGCTGGTACCCCGCTTGTCCTGAATGCAAGAAAAAGCTGGTCGTAGAAGGCGGTAGTTGGAGATGCGAAAAGGATCAAAAGCAGTTCCCAGAACCAGATTACAGGTAATCTTTTTGAAAAATTTATGACGAGATGTTGCATTAATCAGTCCTAACCTTGCTCCTAAAGATACATACTCTCGCTTAGCATTAGCGATGCCACAACTCAGATGTTTATGTCGGCTTTTGACGAAGTCGGCAATAAAATCTTGGGCAAAAGTGCAACTGAAATGGTTCGCTTGAGAGAAACTGACGATGTAGCATACCAAAACGCCTTCAAAGATTGCTATTTCCACCTTTACACCTTCAAATGCAAAGCCAAAGTAGAGAGCTACAATGTAAGTAATCAGTGTTATTTTTAATTTTATTTTTGGCAACAAAGCGAGTCTAAATGGTCAATGCGCATGTTCATATTCTAGGATTCCGCAAGAACAAAGTATACAATCATTGAGGCTACCGCAGTAGACTATGTAACTGACGGTAACCAACTCGCTAAAGAAATTGATTCGTACCTTAGTTTGTAACTCTCGCCCATGAATTGAATAAAAAAATCCCCATTGTTTGTTGTACTCCGCACATTGCGCCTGTGGTTATGTTTCAGTGAAACACACGCACGTTCAACTTGAGGCGATAATCTTTAACACCTGACTCATTCCTTAATGCCTTTGTATCATCGCAACGTATCCGAACCAACGCTTACGGCTACCGCAGCGTCTCCTCCCCCACATTTGGATAGTTCATTTTCATACTCACAAGGGATCTCACACCCTCACTCAATCAATTCTGGGAGCAGCATCAATGAATCACCAGCCTTAAGCTTTAATCGGGCAGAACACCTATCCAAAAAAGAGCTTGAAGACACAATTAATGCGCATAAACAGCTTATCGAAGCAGCGACCTTATATCGAGAAAAGTCGACAGAGTTAGCTGCAGCTGCGGCCGGCCTTGGCACAGCCCTTGAGATGGTAGCAAAAGAGAAGGCTGCCTCGGATTCAGGTCAGTCAAGTAGATACGTTTTGAGTTGGTTGAATGAGGGACTGAATATATAAATCTTCAAGGGAATGGTCTTCAGGCGGCTGCCGGATTACAATTTTTGATATCAAATCATCACCTTTTGTTGGTAAGTGTGGTGTATAAATCAAGTCAGCAGTAAGGTGATCTAGTTTGGCCACTAACAATAATACGTAGGCAAATTTGATTTCAAATGCATTCGAAGCTCCACTTGTAGATAATCTTGAACGGCACAAGGCTTCTATACTGGTAAAATAACAAAGTTTTTCGTACATGTATCACATCACTCCAAAATGATTCTGATTTATATCGTAGCGGAGTCAAGAAAACTACGATAGCGTAGTGAAGGCCATGAATGCAAAAATTGGCGAGACGGAAGTACGCAGTTTAAAGAACACAAAAAGAAAGAACAGAGGTAAGAAGCGTAATTATACTTTGATTCACCCCTTATCCATAATTAAATCATCCACCGTCCCTAAGATTTGCGGCAATTTCGGCGCGTTCTGCAAGACTTGACACAACAAATCGATGAGCTGGAAACTGTCAAGATTGATTATTCTCGATATGTATTTGAGACAGAAAAAAGAAATCACCAATTCATACTAAACAAAGTATCGGGATTAGTACGTGCCCAAGTCGATATTTACGATCGAATATCCAGTAAAGGCTTAGGAGAGCCAACTCTAGAGCAGGTAGGCTTTATGCTTATTGCCATTTCACAATGAAACTGAATGCTAACGATTTATGAACCAATAGATGGTGACTTCCAACCCTGATCCATTTTGCGTTTATCCTACTTCAGATGAATCAAAGGCAATATTTTCTGTCTTGCCTCCACTATCAATAATGGATGCAACATCACACTCCTTGATTCAAAGTCCGTTGGATTTTCATAACAATGCTCTAATGGCAGTTGATAGCCCACCAACTCCACCTCCAAAACGCGAAGATCTATATTCACCTATTAGCAACGAACATAACGATGCTACTCAACAAACGGAACATATCGATGGTTTTAACGAACGCTCTTCACTCGAAGACATATCTGCACCATTAGGCGATAATGATAGTAACACCAGTGCAGGAGCTCCTGCAGGCGGCGAATTAGAAGACGATGAAGATTTAATCTTTATTCGAACAGATTATTCGGATGAAGAGAAATGGAACCTTGTCAAAGAGAAACTCGATCATGAGGATCAATCTCTCTTTTCGCACCTTAAACTTCAGAACACACCAATATTCAGTGGTAGCACCATATCTGAATTGTGCACATCCCAGCATGCCAAATACCTTCTTATAGCAGACGATCGGACGATGTTGGACCAGACACTTGCTCTTGTACGTTGCGATGATGAACGGATAACAAGGCTTCAAATTGATGAGTTATCAACAGTAAGGAGCAACCTTTATAGACTAGATTTTGAGGAGTTTGAACAAGTGGCAGCGGTGTGCGGGTAGTGATAGTGCCTAACCACGAAATAAAGATCATCCCATGTTAACAAATATGGGATTTTGCACGCTACTTGAAACGCTTTGGAGCGCCTGGAAGTGCATGATTTTGATTGCGCAGCCGACAATAATAGCCACAATTTTTTTCTTCAAGCTTCATGATATGCCAATGGAGAAACGCACGTGATGGGGTTTGAGCACGTGACATAGTTGGTCCTCTGGCGACCGTCTCCACTCAACTTTTTTTTTTTGTTGCCCGTAATCAAGTCATAAAGCTGAAGTCGTCAAGCAGAATGCGTAACACACAGGTCTTTGCTGGCTCTTCCCACCCTGAGCTTACGTCTCTTGTATCCAGACGTCTCGGAATCCCGGTTGCAGACGCCAATTTGAAGAAGTTTAGCAATCGTGAAACAAGCGTTGAAATTTGTGAGTGTTCGCGGCTATGGGACGCCATGTCAAGCGTACACAGATACTTGGATTCTCAAACTAAAACCCTTTTATTTTTAAGGTACTTCTGTTCGAAACCAGGATATTTTCATCATTCAGTCAGGCTCAGCCGCAATCAATGATAATCTCATTGAACTGTCTATTATGATCCAAGCTTGCCGAATGGGATCTGCCAAACGGATCACAGCTGTTCTACCCTATTTTCCATATTGTAAGCAAAGCAAGCGAAAGGGAAGAACTTGTATTACCGCTAAACGTAAGGCCAATATCGATCTATCATTCATTCGAGAGCATTCTAAAATGATATTACCCCATGCGAGTGACTGCTGTGTAAACTGATTTTTTTTATGACATCTCGAATTTTAGTGGTTGCCAACATGCTTGCGGTAGCTGGCGTGGATCATATCATTGTAAGGACTCGTCGCTGCTAATCATATGCATGGTGATGAGCCGAAAATTTTTGTTCATTCATCAATTACAATATTACAGACAATGGATCTACATGCATCACAAATGCAAGGCTTTTTCCAGCGCCCCGTAGATAATCTCTATGCTGAGCCCACAATCGCTAAATGGATCACTCAAAATGTTCCCAATTGGCAAAACGGTGTTGTTGTCAGTAAAAACGCTGGTGGCGCCAAGAGGTAAATTCCCTCGTGATTGTGATGTGTAATCCGGCCGAATTGGAATGTTGACCCCGCACGTTTTCATCAACTAGAGTTACATCGCTGGCGGACGCTCTCCGACTTGATTTTGCACTCATCCACAAGGACCGCTCTCGCTCAGGTCCCCAAGGTTTAAATAGACCTTATTCTGGCATGCCATCAAGCCAAAGCGATGGTACTGTTCGCAGTCTTGTCACAAGGGTGTCCAATGTCGAGAATGATGAGACTGAAGAGGGTGTCGAGGAAAGCGGAGAGGATGCCATGTCCGTATCTTTGTCCTCACTGAACGAAATGAGTGCCGCAGTATCGGTGGTTGCTGACACCGATGGCGAAGAGAGCACCATCACGCTGGTCGGCGATGTAGTAGGAAAAGTAGTGTTCTTAACTGTATGTACTTTACGACGTGCGGAAATCTATGCTCTCACAACATTTTTCTTACCGAAATTTTCTTTGTCAGGATGATATTATCGACGGATGTCAATCCTTCCTTGACGCAGCAAATCATATGGTCAAGAAATGTGGAGCAGAGAAAGTATATATCATTGCAACTCACGGCGTTTTGAGCGGCGACTCCGTTAACCAAATCGCGGCATGCGATAGTGTTTACAAGGTATGGTGATATATGAAGGTTCCTAGATGTGGATTATGTGGTTTATAGTGAAATAGAACCTGACGCATTTCAATCATCAATAGCTCGTGGTCACCAATACATTCCCACTTCCCGAAGAGAAGAAATTGGCCTGTCCTAAGCTAACTGTCATTGATATCTCCAACACGTTGGCCGAAGCCATCAGAAGAACCGTATGTGAAATTTCCTCATAACATTCATGCATTATGCTTGCAGCTTCATTTTTTTTTCTAACCCCGTTACTAATCCATCTTGCACAGCACAATGGCGAAAGTGTCAGTTATCTGTTCCACAATGCTGACTAAACGTCCTTACCCACTCATCACATATAGATCACTTCAATTGGAACAAAGAAAATAAATGAATATTTTTTCACCCAGCTTAAGAGGAAAGGAAAGTGAAGTGGGATGTGGGGATTTTCAAGATCGAAGCATCTAACTGCGGATGCAGTATTGTTCTAGCAGCGAACCATTATTTATTTCTCGGTGCAAATGTAACGAGATCCAAGTCACATAGTGGACATGATAGAATTGTAAGGCAAATGTGGGCAGGAGGTGTATGTTGCCATGGGAATGCAATCAAACGGACAGAGGGGGGGGGGATCTTGGTTTTACTGTTATGCTTCTTCAACAGCAAGCAGAAATTTGAAAGTAAGAGTACATTCAGTATAAGCATATGCACTCAATGAGAAGCGATTGTTTCACAAAGTAAGGATGATAGTAGATTCAATCACATTACTGACCTGCCGAAACAGACAATGTGGGAGTTTGCAGAGTTGCTTGTACCAGCGAATTTCCAAAGTAATATAATATTCTTACCAGAAGGCAGCTGTAACCTACTGTTGCCTGTAGATGACATATCGTTTGCAACACGAAATGAAACCGCCGTCTTCCATCAACGCTTCGGCTTCTATGGATATGTGAATTTGGGTATTGTCAGAGTATACTGTTTATCATGCTCACCGTACTAAAAGCATTGTCAACTAATGGCAGCTGCAGCGGAGCCAATGTTGATTATTCTCGGCTCACCATAACCATGGATAAGTTGCTCACTATCAGAATGCAAGGAAACATTGTGACAGTTGTGTTGGGCACAGCAAACTGAGAATCACTCTGCAAAAGAGTCGATGCATAAATCATGATTGGCTATGTCCTGTATTCCCAATTTAGCTGCCCATAACTGGGAGGGATCGCCATCCTGGCGTTTTTCCGTGAAGTAACGCAACAGAGGTTGTCGCATTTCCTCTCTTACAAGACATTAGACATTTCCACGCTCAATGCTTTTGGCACACCAGTGGCTATAAATTACCATTATCAGTCTATATTGATCAGTTAACACTCCTTTGAAAACTCCTTGTCAGGCCTCCGCGGCCGTAAAACTTTATATTACCCCCTTCAGTAGAAGTTTGTGTCTCATTTTGCTAGATCAACTCAAATGAGGCCCAAAAACAAAAACAAGTCGGATACCGGCTCAGCAAGATCCTCTGTCGATAACACCTCTAACAGCGAGTTACAGCAAGCTGCACGTTCTAACCAAAAGAGCGGTGCATTTTCTTACATCAAATCACGATTATTTCACGCGGGTTCAGCACCTTCGACTGGGCAGAAGTATCTTGGAGAACTAGAACGGCCGTATCAAAATATGCTGGTTACACCTACACCGCACGAGTCCTCAAACTTCATTGGTGGCGCTACAGACTCTAGTGCTGGCAAACTAGACATACCAATGAACACGACACAAAACCGTTCAGGTAGCGGCAATATGCTATCAAAGTCGTTTGAACCACTTCCAAACCAAGACTGGGAAGGTGGGCCTGGAAATCCTGTTAATCTGCGACCAGTCTCTGTATTGGGTCTTGAAGGAGTAATCAAGCAAATAGAAGCCGCAAATGGAAATGCAGCAAAATTGTCTGAACTTCACAACTTACACTCTCGGCAACTGTCAAGCATGATCACGCCAGTCCAACCCTCAGAAAGTAGAAGCAAGCAACTTCTCAATTCCACAAAACGACTTAGTGGTATCGTTATTAAGGAAGGTTACCTTTTCAAGAAGACTGACTTCAAGACGTTTAGTCGGACAGCTCGCCTAGATCGTAGCTGGAAAGGCTATCATGTCGTTTTACGTGGCCACAAGCTATATCTCTATCGTGCTCAGCATGAAAGTGCGTTAAAAGCTTACTTCCCTTCGCCAAAGGATCACAATATGTCCATCTCACATTCCAATGCCAGTATTGACAGCCAGTCGCCAACTAGTGAAGTTTTTTCTGCATACTACCAGCTGCTGGACAAAGGAATGGAATGGCTTTATAGCGATTTTGATCCCGATTCTCAAACTGTGCTCTATTCTATATGCAAATCAACCGCTGACGCACATCCGACTTCGCACAATCCAGAATACTTCTACGGCGATTGCTTCACCGAAGTGGACAACATCACCGGTGCATATAAAGGGTATTTTTGCCTTTTGATCTTCAAAACCAGACTACTGATATGCCAAAAGGAATGGTCTAAAACGAAGGATGGTAAGCGAATACTGTCTTACTATCTATAGTAATTTGAATTCCGTTAACTAACTCCATGTCATTTCATGCTAGGCACTGATGCAAATACAAATCGAAATGGTGTTGGACAACCAAGGAACAGATGGAACATTGACCTTGACGTATCATTGGAATCTGTCCAATTATCACACGGCACTATTGAGGTCGATAAGAAATCAAGTGAAGAAGGAATGCCTGGAGTTATTGAGCCGGAGACTGAAGATCTGGCTTCTCGATCAACTCTCAAAACCAAAAAATCGACCACATCTTTGAGCTCTCACGTAGTTGAGCTCGACATTTCTCCACAGGGACATGCAGCTAAACTTAGTCGCCATTTTGTGCCTACATCTACAGACGCTGGAAGTCGTTGGACAGATTGTTTCGCACATGCGAAACGTCGAATCGACCAACATACAAGCGCGGCTTGGAACGCTCTTCCCTTTGGGACAACACATGAGTCAAGTCAACAAGGAGAAAAAACCAACTCTAAGCCTGTCGATGTCAGTTCTCTTATTCTGAAAGAATATCGAGTTCCTGCAGAGTACTTTGACTACCGTGATATCCAAGGCGGAACAGTTGATGAACTCTTTAATGAACTACTGAGAGTTCGAAAGGACTATCTGGAGACTGGATATGTTGAATTTGTTCGAGCTTTCCTGTTGACGTATTCGCTATTCACGACTTCTGCGGAACTGATATCAGCTCTCAAGAAAGGACTCATCGCATTTGCAAGTGATGCAGAGGCCGGTCAGTGGGCTATGAGGAGAGCTTATCAGATCACTCAGATATGGTGTAAAGATTTCAAAGCTGATGTCGTCGGAGAAGTTGCCACCGGTTTACTGGACATCTTGGATATGGACCTATGGAAATCTGAATGTGATACCCCACATATAACACCTGACAGCATTTCTGATTTAAAGAAGACTGTACTAGCCGCTGTTGATGATAATGCTAAAACCTATGAAACCTCTGTTTCCTTGGATTCAGAGGCAGTGACGTACGATGTCAAAATCAACACAGTCATCAAATCATCCGAGCTACACCGCAACAAAGGAAGCCTGTCCAATACCGTCGATGTATCTGACATACTGAATGTGGGATTAACCCCAACCTTTTTCTTGAAAATTGATCCGGCAGACTTTGCGAAACAGATATATCTATTTCACCAATCCAGTTATCAAATGTACAAACAGCGACTATTCAATCCCCTATGCTACATTCCACAATCACTACCTTCAACAACTGCTCCATCGCACCTATTATTTACCACATCGTCACCACATTTCCTTACTAGTTTTGTTAATCAGCACATCTTGATCGATAGCCACCAAATGTGCAGCAGTCAATTGGATGAACTTGTACTACGAGCAATGCTGATCGAACATTGGGTTCGAGTTGGAGAGGAGCTGTTGAAGTTAGGTGACATGTGCGGATGGTGTTCAATTGCTGTCGCTATTTGCTCTTTTGCTATCTTACGGTTGAGACAAAGCTGGAAATTTGTGAACCAAGACCTCATCGAGCGACTTACCAACATTTGGTCACCCATATTAATTCAGACTAATATGTTTTCCACAGAAATTGGATCATGTGGGTGGCAAGCATATGCCACTATTGGGAAAGTGCATGTACTGGATCCGGCACTAACAGATATTACATTACCCAATGCTTATATTGATGATTTTACGCGAGCTTCCAATGGTGTTCCGTTCTTCGGTGTTATTCGGCAATTTGTGGAAAGACTACGGCGACACGTTCGACGACACTTGGATAGTCCAACAAATGCGAATAATCACCAACAACCTATCGTCAACTTTGAAAAGTATTGGTCTATGTATGATGCTATCTGGACGTCTTTACAACGTTACCAATCAATGCCTCAAGATGATACAGTAGAAAGTCTCGTTATTGAACCTATTGGGCCCATTCAAGCATTCTTTGAGCATACTCAGGTCAACTTGCTTTCCGTTCCCAATGATTACAATGTATTGCAGGAATGTTCTTTGGAGTGCGAACCTAAACCATTCATGATTGGTTCATCCATACGTTCCCCACGAAAACTGAAATGGCTTAGCGAAAGTATCGCTCCTGCATCCAGCTGGATACTGTCCTTTCCGCAGCTAGTGTCTAGCATCACCAAGAAAGATACTCTGAGTGGCCTTATCCAACCAACAACAGTGCGCAGTATGAAAATGTTTCAGCAACAGTTACCGACAGCGAGAACATCTCGCCTCAAGAAATTAGCTATGCCTGATACCATTCCAGAGTCTGAAGGAAATGACAAAGGAAATGAAACACGCTCACCAAGCACAAGCTCTATGCAGGAATCCAGTCGAGGAAGCAGAAATAGAAAGAGGACGTATAGTTTTCCATCATCGAGGAGTATAAGCGAACTTGGATTGGACAGCAACTTAACTGCAGTTGAGAACATGGAAAGCAACAGCCGGTCCTGGATCAATCCTGAAAATTACAAGAAGTCTCAAGCAGTCTCCAAGTCACCTTTTCATGCAATCGTTCATATTGGAGCAGTTGGAGAGAAGCTGCTTTCAGTCCGTGATGGCGAATTGATCTTACAAATTGACGATCTCAAGGAAAGCAAGCCATCGTTCGTCACCACTAAGCCTCTTTTTAATATCGTTCCAGAGACCTTTCTTTTTGAATCAAAACCTATTCCAGATATATCCGTCCGATGGACAGAGGACCAAGGTCAAGCATTAGCAGCAGACGGCAAAATCAAGGTGCAGAAGGTCAAGGTGAAAGCCGGTACTTTCGAACGGCTCATGGATGTTCTCATTTACGGCTTATCCGAATATTCTGCCAACGTCGACAGTCAAGATGATTTTGGTGAATATGTCTTTAGTGAATGTCGGCTTTCTGTGGATATGGAAGAGTATGTCCATGTTTTCTTTGTCACATATCGATCTTTCTTGTCCGACACCGAACTTTTGGAATACCTTCGAAAGAGTTTCATGAATGCTTCTTCCATTGGCCGTATTACCAAACTTCGACAAAAGTACTCTTTAAAGTCCATGTTTGAAACTTCTTTTGACTCGAACAAGCCATCAGAGGAAGCCGACATCAAAGACTGGACGTACATTGCTCGCGTTCGACTTCAAATCCTCGATATTATCATATACTGGGTGGGGAATTTCTTTTGGGACTTCATAAATGAAAGTGCCAATCGCAAGAGGACTAGTCAACTTGTTGATCAAATGACTAAGTCAGCTGAAGACATGCGACTTCAAGTTGGTGAACTGATAGAGGAAAGTACCAAAATCAACGACGAGGCGGAAGGTGTATTCGAACTTATCGATACCATGGAGCTCAAGCTAGTGCATATAACGAGCATGTTATTTGTCAGCTTTCTTACACCCTCTTTGAATCATCGTGCTATTGGTGACCTTCAATCATCCAACATCGACAAGTGTCAAGTAGTCGAAAAGTATTCAACCTATGTTGCTCAAACAAAAGACGATATCAAGACTGGTTCAAGTAGTCCCGCTCAATCCTCGTACATGTCATCGAAACCTGGATTAACCACATTGACTCAGTCACCACCTGCTGTACCAAAGAGACCAATTCCAAGCGTGTTGGTCCAACTCGCGGCAACGGATATCCTTCAGCAGGTGGATTCCATAGTGCAGCAAATGTTCACTGACACTACTCTCCAAGACTGGATTCTTTTGAATGATACCCTTGTGACTCAGTCTATAGATGCATATTCTTGGCTTCCTGCGCGCAAAAATGTTGGTTCTTCCGTATCAAGCCATATGATGGTCCCTCCATACACTGAGCAAATTGGTATGAGCAATATGGCAGATGACGAAGTACTCATATCCGATATTTTTATTGCTATACAAGGGGCTCGTCGATCAACGGTAGCCTCTACTTCATCTGCGATGGAAAATTTAATGGCAGCACTCCCGGATGCTATACAGCAGCTGTTCAATTTACACTTTTCCATACGATCATGGATCATTAACGAATTGACATCATACACCATTGATGCTGACCAACGCGCTGAGAGGATGCAAAAATGTATCGATGTCATTGTGCTAAGTAGATTGCAAATGACCACAGAACCTGTTTTTAAGGAACTGCTAAACAACCCAGAGCAATTGGATCCATTATCAAATGACGGTAAAGTCATCCCTGGATTTGTGGAATATAGTATCCTCAGTGCTTTAGTTAGTCCTCAAGTCCGATTGTTTGTCAAATCGTGGACAAAAACTGCAGAGAAGAATCAAGCACAAAGCTTGGATACACCGGAAGCCATTATTGATGCTGCTGTCACTATTGCTCAGCTCACCAAGTCTCAAGCAAAGTCTACTAGGAGTCGACCCTATGTCATTAGCATAGGATGGATCATCGAGATGATGTTGGAACTTGGTGAAGATAGAACCGAGGCGATAAGGAATAATGAACCTCTGGTAAAATTCGATCAATGTCAATACTTCTATAACTTTTGGAGGTTCATCAGTCAGGTACAAGAACTTGTCAAGGAAGATAGTGGTATGCGGATGTCCGAGTCTGGCGACTTCACAGAGAAGCTGCGGGAAAGCTTAGCACCACGACTTATGGACTTCTTGACTGCATCCACGCAGCCGTGGCCAGCTCTATCTTTGAAGGGACTCCGAGAGTTTGCAAGCCGAGAGAATGCGACATTAGAGAAAAACAAGGGGTTATCAGTCTCACAGGCTCAATTGAAGCTTGTATCGAATTCTAACCATGGCGCATCTACCATCGGCAACAAGTCGATGGTGTTTGGAAAATTGGTCGCGAAACAACAAGAGAAACTGAAAGTAGACACAAGGGAACGTGACAGAATCGACCGAGAATGGAGAGAAATGCAACATAAAATGCAGAAGAAGCAATTAGAGCAAGCGAAAACCATTGAAAAGCGCGAACGAAAATTACTCAAACATCAGCATGGAACATCTCACCAACATCAATCTTCACATTTACCTTGGATTAACTCTTTCCTTCGTGGTCTCAAAATTACTCACACTAATGAGCAACATCAAGAATTGGGTGGAGTGGGCAGGGACGATTCTCACCCGCCCGATGTGCTTACTGTCCCTATTGTGACAGACAACATGAAGGCTTCGAACGTTATCAACCTCATCAATTCGACATCTTCCGTGGCCAGCACGTATCTCAAGCGTGATTTTGTGTTTCGAATCGTTACTGAGGAAGGTGGCCAATATTTGTTTCAAGCCATGAATGATAGTAATATGCACGACTGGATTCGAACCATCAATTGGGCGGCAAAGGAAGGCGCAGCTAGACGACTTACTGTACTAGTAGCACAGGCTGAAAATAAGAGAAAGAGTGGTACATCGGATGACCTCAAGTTCTTTGATGACCGACAACGCAAGAAAGGTAAAGAAGTACGAGGCTCCATTTACGGTGTGGACCTATCCGAACTTATGAGTTCAGGCAAGATTCCATTAGTGGTCGAAAAATGCATTGATGAGATTGAGCGTCGTGGTCTTGAAGAAGTTGGCATCTACAGAGTTGCTGGTTCTGGCGAAACAGTTTCATACCTTCGTCAACAACTCAATAGGAATGCCGTCAATGTCAATCTAGGTGACGACGATTGGATTGATATCAATGTGGTTGCAGATGCTTTCAAGCAATTTTTCAGAGACCTGCCACAGCCTCTCCTTACATTTGATCTATATGGTGATTTTATGAAAGCATCCGGTAAGTTGGATAAAGCACTCGTGGAATGGTTCGTCTTCGAATGACCATGTAGTGTAGAATACATTTGTTAGTGCATCCATGTTTAACCGGTCTATTACTCTACAGCTCTCGAGGACCATGATCAACGTATACTAGCTATTAAGAAGGTTACGAAGCGATTACCCACCAATAACTATATCTTACTGAAACGTCTAATAGAGCACTTTGTAGTGTAAGTGTGCAATGCAATTCTTCATTTTAAATATGATGCGTAGCATGAAACTTGTTAGCTAACAAATCCCTATTGCTTTCAGTGTCACAGACTATGAAGCTTCCAATCACATGTATGCCACAAATCTTGCTATTGTGTTTGGTCCAACGTTACTTCGACCTGAGCCTGGACCGGTATCGTTTGCTACAACAATGGCTAACCTTGGCCATCAACAGAACGTTGTCAAAAATTTGATTACCCATTATCATTTCATTTTTGATGTGGAGAGCGAGGATTGTGATCGGGAACGAGAGCCAGGAGAAGACAGCATTGGAGACCAAGAGGAAGACCACGAAACTGTGAATGATAGTGAATAATATCATACTACGGATCTTTATTCTTTTGTTATATTGCAAGAAATAAAACAAAAAATAAAATAAAAAAAGACAATGTGTACCAATAATCACGTCAAAATGTGGGGGGAAACAGGAACAACATTGCTGTGGGAGCAAGGTTCGACTCGCTGTACACGTGACTCAGACAATGGTTCTTTTCAACATGAAGCAGCTGTTAATTTTTTTTTTCAAAGGTATGCTCAGAGGTCGACTGCTGCTTTCACTTCCTAAACATAGAATGGTATCGTCGACTGGTTCAAGTGTTACCCAATACCATAGTGATTGCAATAAAACTGTGACTGTGGATGGTCACCAAATCAAGATTCCTTTCACTCCAGGTGAAGATGAGCCAACATGGGCTAATGCCTGGAGACAAGCGGTTCTTGACGTAAGTCATGGTTCTTTTTTTCCTATTAATTTTTTTTTTATTTTGGGTGTACATCACCATTTTTGTATGAGGTCAGGTCAGAGCATAACCATTGATGTAATGTGTCGTGCCATATAGGAAAAAGCCAAAACATATATCGATCCAGCAACAGGTTATACGGTAATGACGGAACTGAGTCACTTGAGCCGAGGATTTTGTTGTGGAAAGTAAGTGGTAGCATTGTTATTAAAACTTACTGGCAGGGAGTGTGAGATTAAATGTTTTAACTATAGTGCCTGTCGCCATTGCCCGTACAATAATATCAATGTGGGCAAACCAGCCAAAGAACGTGTCAATGCTAATGGTGAGTTGCTTTACAAGGGCAAGGGGAGCAAGATCGACTGGTAAGGTTTTTTTGTCTCTCCCAGTGGACTGCCAGAAAAAGCAATCCACCTCAGCTGGCCGTACCAACACGCCCCCCAAGCATTTTGGCTGTACTGGCCAAAGTAGCAATGATACCTTTTTTTCTTTTAAAGAAGAAAATTACGCCCATTCCTTCCCGTCTGCAAACCAAACCAACTTTAGAATAAACTTTTCAATACCTTTAGATGACTTCTTGGCCTCAGTTTATATATCTCCAACTCCACATACATAATAAGTATGTGTTTTACTTGGTGCAGCTATGCATGCACCCGATGGCATTTCCAGATTATCTATCTGTGTAATGCCCTCTCAGGTGTAGCATTGCCGCACGTGTAGACCAAGCCCAGGCTGATAGCAGAACGAATGCTTTAGGTTCATTATCAAACCTACAGCAAAAGGAACAACTTTGAACGTTCTCTCTCGGTAGACACTTTCCGAACACGAAATCTTGCCCTTGCGTAAAGATTGTGACGATATATGGTCAGATTTGATGGTCCTGATACGCCAATTGCATGACGTAGACCATTTTGTTTGAGTGTTGTTGCTCACAAATTGAATATAATAAACCATATCGAAGTTTCTGTTTCAAATCTCAGCAAATGACCACCTTATATTTCGTTTAGTGGAACAAGATTTCCCCGATCAAGTCGCCACCCTACTATTTATATCCAAGCTATGATGCTTGCGATATGGTCGATACTTCATAATCGTTTAGCAATTTCTCACTTTAATGGCGATATTTGAGAAAAGCAATATTATTGAACCATGCAATTGTAGGTGGAATTGAAAAGTGTTCTTTCAATTGAGCCATAGTCTAGGGTAAAAGTTGGTACTGCGGGTTATCAAATGGAGTTTGGATTGAGATTGGGGTGTGAGAGTAGGGCACACATTGCATTGGAGCAACAGGATCAGGTACCTAACCCAAGCCAGTAACTGATAATAGACTTGCAAGTTGACTGCAAGTTGCCTTTTTATTATGAGTGGGTCATCTCTCCCTCTCCCCCCCCAACTTTGGCAACACAAAAATATGACGTTGGGAATATTTTTTTTCTCAAACTCAAAACTTCCGAGTATGAAATACTATCTGAAACCTTTTAGTATAGGAGGAGAAAATAACGGTTAACAATTAGAAAGTTGATTGCGCATAACACGATTTCCAATGCGTAGTATAGACACTGAAGGCTTTATAAATAGCTCAAGTTGACATGGTGAGTCTGAGCTTTTATGTGGTTTAAACAGGTAATGTTCTAACGTAACCCATCATTTAGTCTACTAAAAAGTCCCAAGCTCGCCTTGGCATAGACATAATAGGTAAATCCGTATGAAGACATATCGTGGTATTGGTAACCATGATAATTTTTTTTTTTTCTTTTTTAATTCTTTAATTTTTTAGAGTATCAGCCAGCATTGTCCTCAATTTTTATATCTTTCGCAAGGTTTCTTGCCGAGACCAAAGTACATGTAGGATAGGATCTCGGCTTAGCACTGAGTGGGTGCTTTGAGATGGGCTTAAAAAAGTAATAAAAAAGAAAGTCTGACCGGCTTGGCTCAGTAGTGACTGCCCTAAGTGCTTCGCCATGACAAAATTGGGGCCAGCCAGTCAGTTTTGTTCATGGTCCCCAGAATACTGTTAGATATAAAAAAAAATAAGGACCGCCCGCTTTCACTTCACTTTCATCTATCACTAAAGTAAAACCCCTTCCTCCTTCTCTTCTTTCTTCCTTTGTCTTTTAAACTTTTCCTCTTTTAAATAATCAATTCTCCAATGCTGTCAACGAGCGAGCATTCACTTCAATGTGATAGTGCCACTGCCACAACTACAACGTCATTACTATCCCCGCCCTTGACCCCTACTAGTGACAATCAATCGATGCCTGAAGACCGACTACCATGGTCTGTTGACAAGAAAGGAATGAAAGTCCATGATCATTATAATGCCATGTCTCCCCCTGACTTCTACGCAAGAAAAGGGCGTAATAAATCCCTCATCCGATATGAGCAAGCTATGGCATTGCCTGAATTTGATTTACCAGCACCTGAACACGAATTGATTCAATGCGATCAGTTCATTACGCAACGATCGTTCCAACAGCCAGCAGCTCCATGGATGAATCATCGAAAATCTACAAAACCAAGAAGGTCTTTGCAATCCGATCAAAGAGCGGATCAAAAGATTTTTCAACTCAGAGTCTATGACACCAGTCCATCCGACCTACTTGAATATTCTAGCCGGGTTATCCAACCGCCGGTAGTGAAGTCTAAGTCGGAATCCCCAGATCATTATGGTACCAGCAGCGATGACGAACAAACCATTCAATTCAAGCGAAGGCGTGCTTTATCTGACGCATCCGAATCCGCTGCCACCAAAAAATGTAAAACTGATGCTGCTATGGCATTCGACCGAGTGAACGTGGAAGAATCAGATGATCAATTCTTTGAATCTGGATGGATACCCAACTATCAAGTTTTTGATCAGCGGCCGGTCCGTGTCGTTTGGAAAGGTAAGGAAAAATAACTTGTGTAATGTTTTTTGCCTGGGGGGTGGATCCGAAACACAACACGCACAACCACACATTGCAAATTTTCCATTGCTCTGCTCTCTCACCTGGGCGGCGGGGTGGGGGTAAAAGTGTATGATTAAATGCAAATAGTCACTTCATTACCTTTGTGTTCATGCCCCCCCCCCTCCTTAAAAAAATCATCACACATACAATAATATTAATGTTGTAAATAATGTTTTGCAGGATCCCCACTCCAAATTGGCCACATGCCATATTTCCAAAAGTTACATCAGGGTGAAGTGAACATTGCTTCTACTCTACGATTGACTCCGGAACAATATATCAAATGCAAGAGAACCTTGATACAGGCTGCATCAAAATACGAAAGTCAAGGAATCCCATTCAGGAAGTCAGATGCCCAAAAGTTATGCCGAGTCGACGTCAACAAGACTTCCACACTTTGGAGCATCTTTGGAAAACTGGGCTGGATGGGCGATGGCTGCATTAACTAATATTAGTGGCTGACTTGCTTGCGATGCCTCTTTTTTTTTTTTGGCCATGCTCCTTAAATCATCGGAAGAGATATCCATCAAAAAGAAGGCATTCTACACTGAGCTATCATTTTGAGAGCGCTCTCTATTCGCTTTTGTACATAATATCAATCTCATTCATGAACATTTTGATAAAGATCTTGTAAAACGTCATTTTGTTGGGGTCCATTAGAAGTCCATTTTCCTCTCATTGCTTTCCCGAAATGTTTGACTACTTTTGGACTGTATGATGGACGTAATTTGACTGGCCAACTAGTCCCCCAAGGATTTAATCTAGAACTTTTTTTTTTTTTATTCGAGAGATGCTATGTCTCTGGATCTATATTCGGGGTAGCGTGGGGGGCAAAGGGAGGAAATGAATTGGGCCTGTCAAATGAGTTAAAGACCCCATGAAATGCCGCACTTACTTTCTATTATGATAGGATATGTGCTTTTGATTGACACAAATCCGTGGTCGGGGACTCGATTTATCTATTCCCCTTGAATCCACGTTCTTTCCTTGCACTCCGAAAAAGATCGTCGCACACAATTATTACAACCGGCCAAAAACTTTTCGAGGAACTCGCCTCACACTTGTTGCTTGAACGTTTGCCCTGACCCTCCCGACTATCGGAGCAATACATTTCATTTCCATCCACTGCATCTAGAATCTCTTTCAATGAGACCAATCTAGCTCTAAAATTCAGGATCAAATTGCTGGTGGTATTGCTACCATGATGACTACTGTTGGAACAAATTCCGTTTTTGTCCATCATAACAGAACATGCTGCCTTGTTTTCTTTGTTTTTGCGCCCCCCAATTGAAATATAAATGTTGCCTTATATTGAAAATAACCTTGTGCAAATGCTTGAGTGCAATGCTGATCAAATCCGTATGAATGCAAGAGTCTTGTTGTGTTGACAAGCCATTTACTAAACACGGTTAAGGGCGCTTGTCCTTGTCGTACATGCGTGCCTCGGGTACCATTGCATCGCGGTCCATGAAAATCACAGCAGAAAAAATAAAATTTGCAATTGAGGGAAAAAAAAGAAAAACGAAAACGTGATAAAAAGCGAAAGTGGATTCATGAGCTCGTACAAGGCGTGTGTATTACTTTGTTTCAAAAGCGAAGTAGAATGATACTTGGTAAGCTATAAGGACCCGGTCATCACCGGGCTGAGCCAAAAAAAAAAAAAAAAAAGTAATAAAAAAAGGTTTGGAAGGAGAGAATTGGCTGGCTGGCAGAAAAGAAGGAAGGCGAATGGGTTGGGTAGGGTGAATGACACAGGACACGAAATTGAAGGCTAAAATTACAAAACAATGCAGCCGCGCTTCTTAGGTTTGGGTGCAGGTTCCAACGCGGCAACAATAGCTTCATCAAACACATTCTTCAAACCTGGTAGGAAAAAGGTGACGCATTAAAATAAGTGCCACACTTTTTTGTCTCTCAATCCTTTTTTCTCACCTTTTTGCGTCAATGCACTGCATTCCGCATACTTGACGGCACCAAGTTCACGAGCCAATCGTTCACCAGCTTCGTATGCAATTGGTCTTTGCTTCTGTCTAGCAAGTTTCTGGAGCATGTTGGGGTCATCTCTCAAATCAACTTGAGTGCCTACAATCAGGCAGGGGACACCAGGGCAATGATGGTGAACTTCTGGGAACCACTTCTCTTTCACGTTTTCAAATGAAGCAGGTGAAGTAACGCTGAAGCAGACAAGAAATACATCGGTTTGGGGGTATGAGAGAGGACGAAGGCGATCGTAATCCTCTTGACCTATTGTCATACAAGGAATAGGTGAATCTTTCTTTCTCAGTCGTACAAATATAGTGCAGCACAGCAACTTACCTGCGGTATCGAACAATCCAAGAGTGTAAGGTTCATCGCCAATCATGACGGTGACAGCATAGTTATCGAACACCTACGAAATACATTGATTTAGTACTCCATTTCATGCTCTCTTTACAGGTACGTAAGCTCTAGTAGCGTTATCTTTTTCATGTTTTTTTTTAACTTACAGTTGGGACGTATTCGGAGGGGAATTTGTTGGTTGTATAAGAAATAAGTAGACAGGTCTTTTGCAAAAAAAAAAGAAGGGGGAGTAAACAAAAAAATTAGGTTAGTTCATTCTTGTAATGGTTATTCAGGCACAATCGCTGGCGTTGCGATATGGCAACCACGTTATGCAGGATTGGTTTCGTTAATTCGCTCTATACTATCACAATTCCGCGATAACCGGTTATCATCTTGGCGGACAGAGTAACAGATTGATATTCATTTGGCCGAGAAATCGCAGGATTCTATGTGTAGTAACTAAGTCGTATATACGCAGCTGCTGTGCCGGTGATGCTGCTGATTAAGAGAGGAGGGATGCGGCGGGCAGTAATGTGATTCGGCAGGAGCTCATCGGCAACAAACATTCGAATGGAATAAACACATAAAAGAGTAGGATTTGATAGGATACATACCTTACCAACCGCACCGTCACCAACAACGACACATTTTATGGTCTGCATGATCTCCTTGAGTTTATTAGATTGTGCCGAGATGAAGTCTAAGGCAACCGACCTTTCAGCGGGAAATCAAACTGTCTGAATTTTTGCGTGACATACAGAACTGGTGCCCTACTCGACCAAACGGCACAAAGCTGGTCGCAACGATTGATATGTGGTGGTCACCAATATAAATAGTTGTCATCTGCAGTTGGATCTAAATACTTTCCATTCTTTATAACATAAAACAAGTTGTACTATTCACTTTCTGCACCTTTGAACTCTTGCTTCAGTGGAGTGCAAGTGTTTTGGTCGAGAACCAGCAACCTATTTTGCGCTTAATAGTTATTAAATCACCCATGCCCACCTACTTTCATTATCCGCTCGCCTCCTGTGGTGGACGAACCTAAGACCAAATGTATTGAATCACAGCCGCTTCTCCATATCCAATATGTGGAATATATATTTCCACTACAGTATTAAAGCAAGCAAACCAAAATGAAAAGCATTTCAATAAATAGAATTGCACATTGACGATATAATAATAGCTTCTAAGAAAGTTAGAAAACTATTTCGTGCCATGAGTGTGAAACGAATTTCTCTCCTTGATTGATCATGAATTTTTTTGCAACAGAACGAATCGGATTGCATGGTTTCAATTGGCAATAAAAATCCTTGGCAGTATATTATTTAGGTATTATTCTTCTTCTGATCCAGCCTATATTCCTGAGAGAATAGAAGATTCATCACATAGAATAGAACATAGAAGCTCGAGGATTCTTGGTTTACACTTGCGTGTATAACGGCACCTTGGCGAGTTTAGATGTGAGGGCTTTGTGGAGCGCAGGCTGAGTCGCAAAGCGGGAGTTTATTTTTATCGCATATCAATTTCATTAGGCGATCTGTCTTTTTTTTTTTTTTCTTTTGCTTTCTCGTGTATACTTTAATCCAACTATCACCCTACTTGACCGCAGCATAGTTAGCATGAAGCTCTCTACTACAACGGTTGGAAGTCTTCGATCCAATAAGAGGTTCCTGGCCATCATTGTGGTCATGGCCCTCGGTCTGATGTTTACTGTGTTTTCTATGGTACCTTTATCCACTTGCCACGGCACTATACGAACAGTAAACTCAGCACAAGCTCTTTCATCTGATGCTTCGCAACAGATGTCGTTTGCCAATCTCAATCATCTCACTGCATCTGCTTCCGCTCGTGATAACAAGGAACATGTTCTTATCCTTACACCTTTGAAGAACGCTGTTCCTTATCTTGACCGATACTTTGAACTCGTTGATCGCCTTACATATCCCAAACACCTTATTTCCATGGCTTTTCTTGTATCTGATACCACTGATGAGACAGTTGATGAGTTACAGCGACATGCTCGAAAATTGCAAAGTCGCTGGAGCGACCGATACCATTCCATCCGTATCTTTGAGAAAGATTTCAAGTTCGAGCTGACAGAGGAAGAACGCCACAAGTACGAACTTCAGCCAAAGCGTCGCTCGTTCATGGCTCGGTCCCGCAATTACTTGCTTACAGCTGCTTTGACAGAGGAGATCTCTTGGGTACTTTGGTTGGATGTCGATGTGGTAGATTACCCAGAAACTATCTTGGAAGATCTACAGAGCGTCGATGAAGACATTGTTGTTCCCAATTGCCTCTTGCAGCGCGCTGATGGTGCATTCTGGGGTTATGACAAGAATAATTGGCAAGAAACTCCTGAATCATTGGAGAAGCAAAAGGATTTACCAGAAGACTTTGTGTTACTTGAAGGTAAGTTACACATACTTTAAACGAGGTGGTAGAACATTTGCGATAAGCTCAGATATTGATCCATTATGCCTTTTTTTTTTATTCTCTTTATCCAGGATACTATGAATTCCTCACTGGTCGCTATCTTATGGTTGATATGCCCACACATAACCCTCCATTGACTAAGGTTCCTTTGGATGGTGTGGGTGCTACCTTTACCCTAGTCAAGGCGCAAGTTCATCGCGAAGGCGCAAACTTCCCGTCTTACCCATTCCAGCATCAGGTGGAGACCGAAGGCTTTGCTAAAATGGCCAAAGCAATGGGTTTCAGCGTATATGGACTTCCAAGTTACATCATCCAACACATCTTTAATGGGTAAAGGCACTCCAAACGAATGATTGCATATCCAATGCCTCCCGTTGATTGCTTGATCATTCCTAGTTTTTTCCCCCCTCTGCATACCAAAACCACATTTTCTCATGTATCTCTAGTTTCATAACCAGTACTCTCTTCCCCTCCATTTATTTCTCTAATGTTGTTGCTACTTGTAACTTGCTTATATATATCTCTCTTTCGCGTCCTAATAGAATATTTACCATATTACACCATAACTTTTTCTTGCAAATCAATTGGAATTAGGGGCCTGATTCTGTTCAGTGTTTGTCCCCATGGCCTAATCTTGCAGTCTCAAGGGCCTATCCCAAACCTGGAACACCATCGCCACACTTATTCTCTTTATCTCTGCGACATGATACATCACCATCATAATATACGATACAAAAACGGACGGGTGTGTATTTGTCAACTTTTGCTTTGACATTAAAAAACAATTCTATGTAGACAATGGGTACTTTGTTGCTTACAAGTCATCTCTCATTCCGAATCCAGGACCATATGGTTCGCTGTTGAGAGTAGTGTACTTTCCAGGGGCATACTGTAATAGTCATAGTATTAGTTTGCTGTATGCACATAGTAAACTGGTGCATTGATGACGATGCTTACCTCGCAAGTGTGGCGACCACCTTGGGGTCCAGGTGTGACTGGCTTACCATTTTGCAAGTTTTCAAGAACCTTCTTGGTAGTCTCGGGAGTCAAGTCCTCCTGTGTTGAACCATTAGTAAAAATATCACAATCAATTGGCCATCCTGAAGAAATACATACATAGTAATCATCGTTTATAGCAAGGACAGGAGCGTTAACGCATGCACCTGCACATTCGACCTCAACTAGTGTGAATTTGCCATCCTTGGTTGTCTCGCCAACTTCAATCTTCAAGTGGTCCTTGATGGTCTCAAGGATCTTGGTGGATCCACAACCACCGAGCTGGCAAGGAGTGGTAGTACACAACTGCAAGAAGTACTTGCCAACAGGTTCTCTATCAATCGATATAAAGTTAATGAAAGGAAAAAAAAAAAAAAAAACGGTGTGGTTGATTTTAGGTATGTATGTCGAACTGACCTGTTGAACATGGTATAGAATGTGGCAACCTCATATACACGCATAGGAGGAACTTCGACAAGTCGTGCAACCTCATTCATGACAGAAATAGAAGTGAATCCGTTTTGTCTCTGGCCGAGATCAAGAAGTGGCATGATGGCAGCTTTCTTGTATTGAGGAGGATAACGCTTAAGAATCTCTTCAATTCGCTTCTTGTTGTCTTGGTCGAATTCGAAAGGAATGCTAGGATTATTTTCGGGAGTGTTGCGGTGCTGGAGTTTCGAAATGCATCATCAAAAAAGACAAGGATGAAAAAAATAACACATTAATAAGTTGATGGTGATGTATAATAATTGCCATGGTAAAATTCCTACCACAAACAGATGATCAGACAAAGCTGCAGGTGAAGAGTGAATGGTTCGCTTTGCAGCCATATTGCGGGCTACTGCAGAGGTTGTCGCAGCCTGGCGAACAAGGGCTCGTACAGAGAACATATTTCTGAATGGAGTGGGGAGAACGGGTAGCAAAACGAATTAGCGGTGTGCGTGCGCGACCAGCCTTTCAAAGAGCTTTCCTAGTCAGGCGTAAACAAAAACCGACCAAGAAGGTCAAATTTTGATGACGTCGCCTGCTGAAAATCCATCTGTCAAAAAGTCACAAAATGAACACCCCAAAATGGCCGCATGCAGTTTTCCAGCCTTAACGAAATAATTCTTGACGCCAGGCATCCTACTGCTCTAACTATATTCAAAAAACTCTTTTTAATTCTGTGGTTACAAATTATAGAATTACATCTCTCTCAGATGGTAATAAACTACTGTTTCTTCTTGCCATCCTTCGTTGACAATTGACCATGAAGTGATTTATGAATATATGCACCTATAGCGGACAACAGTATTATTTAGTAACTCTTGAAAAACATCTGTGCACCATTATACAATTTCTAAAAGTTCACTTACCGAGCTCATACATCACCCAGCATACAGTACCACTGACGGCAAAAAACATAAGTCTACCATTTGTTGTCATATCCGCAAGGAAAGGGTATGCATAGTATTTGTTCTTAGAGTAGCAGTACGAAGTCCAAACATAGTAAGCAATGGTAAAAAGGTAAATGTTGACAACATGACTACTTGAGCGTTTGAACTCTACGTTGAAGAACAAGAAGTCAATCCATAGGAACAACGCCGGGAACAAATGCAGACAGCAGTCAACGAAAACTGGGATTTTGGGGGCATCCGCAGGAATCAAGAGCTTTGGGTCGAGGAAAATCATTCCCCAGTAGAGAACTGAAATAAGGCCTTCCAACTAGAATCAAATGTGCTGTATTAATGATACTGTAGCTTCAAAGTGGTTCCTGTTGCTAGCTACTTACCGGGACAGCAATGCTACCGATGACACTGTGTACTTCTGTATACGCAATGGTTTGTCAGCTTACGAAGTAGGCTTCTCAGAAGCATGGAAGTGGAACTTACTGTTGAGGAAGCCTGGGATGAAGTCTCGAATTAGACATAGCAAGAATGATATTGTGGCAACTGTCAGGCCTAGAATGGTCAGGTACTGGAAGTGACCGCCAAACCCATTAGCGTATGGATTCACAATGCGGTTAACGTTATACAATGCCCACAAATTGGAGACAGAGCCTAGTAAATGTAACGATGTACGAATGAATGTTGACATGGGCAGAAAAGGTATGATATCACTACTGAAACGTGAAAGAAATGTGAGCACACACCACCCGGCAATTAAAAGGACCGGGCAGTTGCGTCAATTTCCGTAAATTCGTTTCAGTTAGCGCTTCAGGCTACTATGGCCAATTTTTGTATTCAAACTCTGAGAAAGTCCCGCAGTGATGAAAGATGCTCTGAGCCACGAGCATCGAGAGTGCTATTTCTGTCTTCTATGAGGATCTCAACTTTCTATAATCGACTGACTTTGGCCCTGGCCATTGAAGCTTTGCTATCATAAACTTTATTGGCGTCCTCATACCAAAAGGTTTTTGCTATCGAAAACCATACATAAACACAAATAAAACCAGCACAATACAATGAAGAACTTTCTCTCGCTTTCCGATACATCTGGTATACGTCTCACTATAGATATAATCAATACATCTAGTACTGAACCATAGTTCCTTCTGTAGTCCATTTAAAAATAGTGATAAACGTCTAAGAGGACGGATGCCTGATAATTCACCACACAGGTATATTGCCATGCATTTCATTCTATTTAATTCTATTTACATGATTTTCGCTGCAAGTTTGTTGTTTTTACTTTCCTGGAGTAACAGGTTGTTTGCTTTGTGAAGACATTGTTTACTATACATATCTAGTCCAAACTCCAAGTAATGCCTCAGCGCTATCAAAGCTAAGCAAAAAACTGCAGACGCATATTGCTTTCGTCAGTTTTATGAGAAGTGGAATGTAGTTTCTGAAAGAACCCAGTCCTATCAGCAAATTGAGCAAACGAGGGGTGGCAATGCTCTTGACTCTCGCGGCCAAAAAGTAGTCACGAGTGGATTTGCCTACTCCAAAGTTCTTGGCTGGGCTGAGTGTCGGTCATCTCGTTCGATTCTTGACGGCTCCAACAAAGCGAGTGTAAAGCATCATGTCAGAGCACAAGAGCCGCAAACCTTCCAGTGTGTATCAACCGCAGTTCTAGTACAACATTTCACCTGTTACTTATTTGTACTGACAACCATCATCTACTTGATTTAAAGACACTGCATTCAAACAACAGCGCTTGAAGGCATGGCAACCACTTCTTACCCCAAAGACGGTGCTTCCCACCCTCTTCATAGCTGGTATTATCTTCGCACCACTCGGTGGTCTTTTCCTTTATGAAAGCGATACCGTATGTGTGCTTTTATTTGGCCATTTTTCCACCTTCACTTGATTCTCATATGACGTTAACTGCTCCGCCCCATCAGGTTAACGAAATCGTCATTGACTATACTCAGTGCATCAACCAACCTCCTGGAGTACCAAAAGTTTTAGAAGATAGCGAATATCGCTATACATTCACTTCACAGAATACGACAGGCAGGTTTTCCATTTATTAAACCTCCACACTAACGTCAATGCGATTCTAACCTACTACGTCCGTTGTTATAGTGATTCTCGCACCAACATATGAGCTTGTCAATTCTACAACTTGGATGAAGGGCGGATCGCCACCTAATGGAGCTCTTGTTCAACGCTGCAACATTGCATTCAATATTCCTATGCCACTTCATGCGCCTGTCTATCTATATTATAGACTTACCAACTTCTACCAAAATCATCGCAAATATGTCAAAAGTCTAAGCTACAACCAACTCAAAGGTCAAGTCATCTCTCCAACCGACGCTTCAACGAGTTGTACTCAAATGTCTGCGAATGCGAATGGCACAATCTATTACCCTTGTGGCCTCATCGCAAACTCCGTCTTCAATGGTAAATAGGTTACCGCCGTCATCGCTCTTATGTTGATCAAAATGACTAACATGCAGTTGGCTTCAGATACCTTTTCCCTCAGCCTTACTTTACTAAACCCACCCAATAGCGCTGACTCAAACCAAAGCTATGCATTAACCGAGACAGGAATAACGTGGTCTTCAGATCAGAGTCGATATGGCAAGACGACTGCTGATCCTTCCTCTGTCGCCCCTCCTCCTAATTGGCAAGATAGGTATCCAAATGGTTATACTGCTGATAACATATTCGATCCCACTAAGGACGAGCACTTTCAAGTCTGGATGAGAACAAGCTGGTTCCCAACATTTAGAAAGCTGTACGCCAAGTATACCAGTGACGAACCATTTGTAGGAGGCAGATACATGATCTCTGTAGACTTGAGTAAGTAATGAACAGACGATGTATGACCTTTTATCAGCGTGGGGTCTGACATGCCTTTGTGTAGATTATGATATCCAAGCTTACGGCGGAACCAAATCCTTGGTCCTCACCGGCACGTCCTTCCTTGGTAACCGAAACTCTTTCATGGGACTTGCATATATTGTCATGGGATGCATATGCGCTTTCCTTGGCCTTGTCTTCCTGGTTCGAAACTTCTATCGACCAAGGTTAGTAAATCAATTTTTTAACGGCGTAATGAATGACAATATGAAGTGTTGACTTTGTTACTTTATCGGCATCAGGAAATTGGGCGATCACGACCGCTTGTCGTGGAACAATCATCAGGACTAAAGGCAATAAAAGACAAAGATGTACCACCGTTTATACTAGTTTCTCGTTTCACTCATATTCACCACTGTGAAATATTCTCAGATTTTCAATCTATTAAAGGCTCTTATATTTTTTTTTATAAATAATGGTAATACATTGATTTGGGATGTTATGATGCGATTAACGGCGTACTACTTCAGCCAAGCCGTTTACTTTCTCTAATTCTTCGACTCTTGCACCGTTGGAGTCTTCCGAAGCAAGCAACGGGCCTACGCTCATCTCAGTCCATGTACGCCATACTTCCTCAACTTGAGCACTGGCTTCATCACTAAGAGTAATGCAGAAGATAGCGTCATATCCGCCAGCTAAAGAAGATAAGAAAGTCAGTTACACGTTCTAATGCGGTGGTTATAGATAGAAGATATAGTCACCTCCAGGCACGCCGGCCATGATCACACCAGGGCGATCCATGCAGGCATCCAAAAGTTTGGTCTGCTCTGAAGGCTCAATAGGAACATTGGACTTTTCACTCATGTCGCGGATCAAGCGTCGTACGTTCTCGAAATTTTCATACAAACGCAACAACGTTTCCTGTACTGCATCCAGGCTGTCCATAGACTTCCACTTCATAAACAGATGTTGTGAGTAAAGATATCAATGGAGAAGCTTGACTGCTCTAAAAAGTCATTTTACCTCTGATGCTTTCTTGGCTGCCAATCTGTCAATGGATTGGTTATATGTTTGTTGATCTTGCTCAAAGCATGCGTTCAATTCTCGCAAGTCTTGTTCCACTTTGGTATTGTAGCTATGCAACTCATCCCATAGTGCCTTAGCTATACATTGGTAAAAGTAGCATAAGTTTCGATGAAACGCTTATTGTTTGCTGATAGTGCTTCAAGAACTCACCTTCCGACGCATTCTCTTTTCTCCAGTTGAGAACTTTGCCAACAAGAGTAGGGGTATGACTGCCAGCATCGATATCTGCAAGCATCATATGTAAGCGATGCGGCAACTTGACAGGAGTGACGATGTTATCCCATGCGGAATGATCAGGCGATACAATATCGTACAGAGTCTTGGCATTCACTTGCTCATCCTGGTTGATATAGTTGACATTAGAGATTGAAATTTGTCATAAAAGCAACCGCGAGGAAGTTCTTACCATGGCAGGTTCAAGCACTTTGGGATCAAATCTTCGGTAACGGTGACTACCCCACACGGCGGCAGATACATCAAAACCGGAGCCAACTTTTCCTTGAGCCAAACAATGAGCTTGCTGAGCCGTATTGTGAACAAGAACTCTATCTGCTTCATTTTCCAATGACGACACCGCACCGAAATGCACAAATATAGCTCCAACAAGGGAGGTGATCAGAGCTGCTGAGCTTCCCAATCCAGTCTTATGGACATCACCAAGAGTAGTATGAGTTTCACAGAATGGAGAAAGAGATCGAAGCGAAGACATAGTGGTAGGAAGGTTACGTTTCTGAAGCTGAAGGCGCTGAGAGTAGAAGTCGTTGTCTCCAACAATGACCATTCGCAATCCTCCATTGAGCTTCGACAACAGAGCCTGTTCGCCGACCTTTTCGTATACGACTCTCATACAGCTTTTAATACATGTCTCAACAAACTTGTTGCGGCCTTCAGGAGAGCTAATTTGATACGATCAGTATTTGTCAAACGTCTTTGGGTAATACGGTTGTCGAAACTTTGCATTACCTCTGAACGACGTTGACGCCTTGCTCGTTGAGTCCGCAAGTGTATTTCCAAGTGCTATTTTCAAATTGTGGAGACTCGACCACGATGGTACCGTGTTCTGCTTCATCTTTGGACTGAATCACAGTGTAGAATCTGGCGTTGGTGCCGATGACAAGACCGTGGTAGCTAGGATCGAGTACGAGGTATCCACCGGTCACCAAAACTTTTCCAGGAGCTGAAACAACGCTAAGTGAAGACACTATGGATTTAGAAAGCAAGTATAGGCATCTCACGCTTTCAAGTTATGGTTCTTACGTTGTCATCTGTGGATTTAGCTTTGAACTTGCTGTCGGACAATCCAGCACACTTTCGCTTTTTGATTCACCAAAAATGGTGCCTGAAATTAGTCACGTGTGCAGTTTGCTCTCAGTAAGCCGACGTGCCCACTGTCCGCATTTGTTTTGACGTGAAGAGATGAAACGTGCGAGCCTCGTGTGATTGAAGAGATCTACCTTGACAGCGTCGTATGTTTTTTCAATGTAATAATTGTGCAACGTCTCTATTTGGGATCCTTCAAGGGAAATACGGATACTTGCAGTTCGCAAGAGATATGTTCTAAGAAGGAAAAATATCTTTTTTTTTTATTTTTAATCTAGACTAATATTGCAAGCAAGGCTTGGGGTGAAATGATGTATGGTCGGCCGTGAATTTGAATTTCGAGCACTTAACAGAGATAAATGCACAAGCGAGCAAGTTGAGCACAAACGTGTAATCTGCTAAAGTAAAATCATGCAATTAAATTATGCAAACTGTAACATCTGCAGCAGAGTGTTATTACTTTACGAATTCAACTAATATTTGCATTATAAAAAAACCTTTGGTCCAGTTTCATAAAAAACATGGGCAAGTCTTCAGAATGAACAAGCATATCTCTAATATCACAGTGTATGCGTATCCAGCTTTTTGATATTGTTGTACTCCCTCCTCCTCCGCTAGAAAAGGTCTCATCAACAAAAAAAAGGTCCTTAATTATAAACCAGATATTGTAGATTCTAGTATTTCCAAAAACTGAAGGAGATAGTATAGTAGTGAAAGAGGCAGCGAGGTATTGAGAATGGAGGAAAATCTAGCTGTACATTAAAGTGTGGAAAACAGATACAGTATGAAGAAGGAAACTGATATAAAAGAAAAAGTATCGCAAAGAAACAATGGGGGAAAAAATAATCAAGATTAGTGATACATTATGATGTTGGGAGCTGGCCATTTTTGGATGGGGTCCTTAGTTGCCTCTTTGATGAAGAGACTTGGAGTAAGTCCAAGCGCCATTATCCAAATCATGATGTCCGATCATTAGATCCTTAAGCTGTGTGTTTCGTGCGACATACTGGTCACCCTTATCACTATCTTCCAAAAACTGGAAAAGGGTTGGTTTCCACACCTCGTTGGTTGCCTCTCGCTGTTTCTTGAGCTGTCGCTGAAGTTCTTCGATTTTGGACTTTTCAGCGTTAGCAACTGTATAGTTCTTAACCTTCAACGCTTCAGTGACAGGTCCCCAAAGTCGATGAGTCTCGTATTGATGCTGTTGTTCGAGAGGTGCAGTGACTCTTTCGGCCATGGGTTCAGCATCAGCATCGAACAAAAGGTGCTTGGCGGAGTCGCCTGAAATTGAATAATAGGACTTGTGGCTCCATCGTCCACTTAGGGTGTAATATTCCTTGCCTCCATAGCTGACCGAGCCCTTGATGCAGTTGGATTCACCTCCAAACCACGGCTTAGGTAAGAATTCCATAACGGTGGTCGCACCATTGGTGCATGCGATAGTGCAAGTGCCGCTCAAATCGATATAAGATGCTGCAGTCAAGAATCCCTTGATATTGAGCACAGGGAAGTCGAGCACATATTGCTCATCCCATTTCTTGAGATACAAAGTGGCACGGCCCACCTGGTCAACACGGATGGTGGTGCCCTTGAATTTTGACTTTTGGCCACCTAAGGGGTAAGAGTGGCGTTTAATAAACAATTCCTAGGGGATCATACCACAGCCAGACGATGAATGACTTACAGTGACCATTTAGAGAAATGCCGGTCTTTTCATCTTCCAAGTAAAAGGCGGAAATAGGTGGATGATGGGAAACTATATGAGGAAAATTTGTTTGTTGGGGGTTTATCGGTCAGCTTGGTTGGTTATTTGGCTCGGTCACATTTCTTAAGCCCCAACCCCAGTACTAGTAGGCAGGCCATTGCCATCCTTGGTAAAAAAATAAAAAATTGTGCCGTAGTACGTACCTTGCTCACAAATGCAGTCCACATCGCCAAGCTTACAGAAGAATTGTTCGCCAAGAACAGGATTGTAAGGCTTCTTCTCATTCAAACCATTGGTACAACGAGAAGCGTAGCTACCCCACAAAGTAGACATAAACCAGCGAGCAACTTCGAGCATTCGCTCTGAAGGGATTAGCAAGTACAGGACGGGGTTTGATTAGTAAACTAGATGTAACCTATGAGATTGTGTTTGGAATTTGTGATGCCTACCTTGGGGCTCGGTAGCCGCCGGGATGGCAGTGAAGGATTGAGGATGATCACCCCAATAGGTTCTGATGACAGCATAAATGACAGCGTAATGAAAATAGTGAGTGACTAGTGTTTCCATCAAGGGTGGTGGCATGTCAAGTACACGCAATGGAGCATGTAGAAGATTTCCCAAAAACAACATAACTGTCGCAAAAGCTTACCCATATTCCAAGAGAGAAAGTCCATTCAAAAAAAATGCTGGACATGTCAATGACGAAAGGTCCCCGCTGAACCGAATGACGGTCTTGATAAATTCCTTGAACTGACTGCCAGTGCTGGGCTCAGGATATTTCAACTGAATCTTGTCAGCGTCTTGGGCATCAATAGTGCCGTTCTCAGACAGGGCAGGACTTGAAAGATCGTTGGCCATTGTTACGAGTAGTTGTAGGAAAAGAGAAAAGAAAAGCGGAAAATGTTTGAAGCAGGTCGGATCGTCGTAAGTTGATCGTTCGGAGCCTTAATGCACAAAAAAAAATGCTGATACGCAATCGCTGGCCGCCGAATTTTTCACTATGTCACCAAACGTGCTAACGAATGAAATTTGAAGCTCAACCTATAACATACAGATGGTGGTCAATATGTGACGCACGTCAACACCGCTAGCGTCTTGGCTCGAAGAGATTTGTTGATACCGGACAACACCACCATAAAAGATGGCTCGGCAAAAACCAGCCTGATATCCGAGCCGCCTGCAAGGGCAATTCGACGGCCAGTAGTTTATGTGAATGGCGGATATTACATAATGTTGAATGTGCCGCTTAAAAAATATACTAGCCGTGCGCATCGTGATGGAGAACAATGTTTTTTTCCGGTGCTTCTTTCACTATTATCTTACCCGCTATCCATTTAGCGAGATTGCCAAGCTTATATTTGGTTACAACGATGAGGAAATGCTGCTGAAGCAGTACACGTCTGCCCCACAAATGGTCGTACAGTCGGTACTTGAAAACTTTCGCGAGTCGATGTCCAAAAATGGCAACGAGCTGATATTTGCATCTGAGAGCTCGTGAGGTGAGCTTGGTATCATTACTGCATTCTTGGCAAATTTCATAAGCGCTTACGTTGCATTGAGAAGCCTTCATACAAGAATATGCTTGGTGTTAAAATGTATCTGCCCACTAGTCTGTGAATATTATGTGTTACATGTGGCCAATCGGATGTACTGGCCGACGAACGGTCACTCGCCGACATTGTCTCATATTGACGACCGGTCACTCATGGTTTCAACAATCGCGCTCAGAACGTGGAAGATTTATAGGCATTGGTTTTACTACGCTTACATAGGTGATCTCAATGGCATAATTGATGTCGCAGATCAATAGATATACTGTACGAGTCGCGTGCTCCCATAAAGTTCTTGTCCCATGAAATGCCATTATATCATGCCACTCCTCACAGTCATCGCTGATCAATCTATCCGGCATAGTTACGCCGGCGACTGTCATATTGAGCACAAATATCAATTTTTAGTATGCAAAAGCAGTTAGCAAAGCCAATACCGAAACCAGGGAACTGGCTCCAAAAGGCATGGATAAATACTATTGCCGAATATTTGATTTCAGGGCTTTCCTTACCGAGATCTTGCTTCATATCACCAAATCTTTTCCTTCACAACCTTTTCAGGTCGCGGCCCACAGTATTGGCATGCATCGTATACCTTCACCTTGTTCCTGTTATCTACTAATTGAGTCAAGTTTACGGAAATTCGCGGCACAGATTGGATAATCTGCGCCAGCCGTTCTGGCCCTACTAGTTTTAAGTGACTTTTAAGTAGCAGTGACTCGGAGCTACTCAGGGAGAACTCAAACGGCATAACATTATAGGTATCCCAATCAGCAGGTTTCGGTACATCAACAAAGCCGATAGCTTAGCTTAAATATGTATAGAAATTTAATATTTAGACAATAGACGTCCTGGCGTTCATGCCTTGGGTATGTGCCGTTGATGGACCCTACGAAAAAGATAAAAAGCTCTTTACGGACTTCATTGTCTTTTTGACTCACTGATTGACTTTGCCACTCTGTCCCTGGAAGTTGTGACTGGCCATTTAGCGCTTTATCCATAAAAATGGCTTTGCACTTTCCGCTACCCTAAAACACCTCGAAATGCCAGCATTTACAGGGGATCTGAAAGCATTTTGTGTTGCATTGCCAAAAGTCGAACTCCATGCCCATATCAATGGCTCCATTAGCTTTGATACCATCAAAAAGTTAACGGAAAGGAAGGCAAGGCGCAACAACGTTGTGAGTACAGCCAAGTTGACTTTGTCTACAGGAACTAACCAGTCCGTGTATAGAAAGCTGAAAAGCCGTACCTAGCTGACTACCAGATACCTGAAAACAGTCTGGATGGCATCAATGAGTGAGTGTCGAAATCATTGTAGCTTAAATACCGCTGCGCCTCCAAAATCTAACAGGGCGGCCTTTCTTAGTTTCTTTCCTCTGTTTAAACTGATCTATCAGCTTACTGACGATATCGAGGCAATCAAAATAGTCACCCGAGATGTCATTGACGAATTTGCTAAAGACGGGACACGGTATCTAGAGCTGAGAAGTACACCAAGAAAATACGATGACACAGACTTGAAGACGAAGGATCTGTATGTTCAAACTGTTCTATCGGTCATCAACCAGCCTCGGGACGATATAGTTGTCAAGCTAATTCTGTCAGTGGATCGACGCAACACCTTGGAGGAAGCGATGGAAACGGTTGAATTGGCGATCAAGTACAAAAATCAAGGCGTTGTCGCAGTTGATCTGTGTGGGGATGTCCATGCTGGAACGTTCGAGACCGTCAAGCCTGCATTCCTTAAAGCGCAGCAACATGGGTTGAAAGTAACGCTTCATTTTTGTGAGGTGAGTTTCATTTTCTGCTGTGCAAGTGAGCGAAAGCGCAGAAAATTCATCACATCCCTCTCTATAAGGTGCCCGAAAACCTTCCTGAAGCACCTTCTCTATTGGCCATATCACCCGATCGATTGGGTCATGCTACGCTGTTGGACGAAGCTTGCCGCAGTCAAATATATCAGGAACGCATCCCAATCGAAGTATGCATGACTTCCAATGTTCTAAGCAAAACTGTCCCAAAATATGAAGATCACCATGTGAAGGACCTTCTTCTTGCAGGACAACCATTTGTGATTTGCGTAAGTCGCGCTTTTGACTCTGTTGATGTACATGACATGGATGCTCATCTTAGTATATTGAATGTGATAGACGGACGACAAGGGCGTTTTTAGAGCTGACCTGTCAGATGAGTATATGCGGGCAGCCACCGCTTTCACTATGACCAACCAACAATTGTATGAAGCATCGTTCGCTTCTATAGACGCCATCTTTGCTGGCGATGCAACCAAGGAATCTATTCGAAAAGAATGGAATCAATGGTATGAAAGAAATGTACACTACTTTGACAAAGTCTAGTTATAAGAGATAGAGTGTCATAACCTTAGTTAACTACTGCATATAATGAAGAATGAACTATTCAAAACAGAATACATGTTTCATAAACAGATAATGTTATCGCCACGGTAGAGGGTTTTGTACATTGAGCATGACATTTAAACTTTATGTAGAATTGGTATGAATGAGAATAAAATATCAAATGGACTTAAATGGAGAGGAACAGTCTCCATACACCTTGAGCGTACTGTACAATTTCAGAAGCACCCATTTTGCTTTCACCGTACACTCGGTCGACAAATGTGATTGGCACCTCTCCGACCTTGTAGTTGAATTGCCTTGCGCGAACAATCATCTCCATCTGGAAAACATAGCCTTTGGCGATAGTTGCTTGGATTAACTGCAGGAGGACATCCTTCTTGTACAGGCTGGTTTTTTCAAGAAAAAAAATGAAATAGATGAGTACAGTGATTTCATACATGTATATTGAAATAAAATTACGTACCGGAAACTACCCGTCAAATCTGATGCATTGGGTCGAAGCAAAAGAGTCGCCAAAAAATTTGCACCGCGACTATCGGTCAAAGAATTTATTCCAGCATGAGTGAAAATGGAGAAACCCCTGATGAAATTTGAAAGCTTGACACTTACCTTACTAGCTTGCGCTTCAAGTCCCAGCCGTATACACCTCCTCCGGTTTTGTAACGAGTACCACTCACAACATCGTAATCATGCTGCTTTTGAAGTCTGCAAAGTAGCATAGTCAGCATATATAGTATGATGGGATGGTGAACGGTGGTGCGAAGGCTACTGACCTGATCATTTCAGGTATGAACTTTGGCTGTGGGAAAGAATGATTGGCATGAGTATGCTTAGCACGCCTGACTAATTATTTGGTGAAAAAAACATCAAATCTCTCTAAAAGCTTACATGATGTGAGAAGTCAGCGTCCATGATGATTGTGTAGTTTCCGGTGGCAAATTGGATACCGTGAACATATGCAGTACCTACGTGAACATGATATGCAGTCAGTATTCAAAAAAGTGTTCGAAGCAGAATACAGGTATGAGTTCAGAATATTACCAAGACCGAGTTTGCCAGCACGAGGGCGTAATTGCTGTAAGAGTGATGGTTCGCATTTAAAGATGGGCCAGTAAGAGTCAATAAAGGCACCTAATGATCAGATGTAGAAAGGACAACTCACGATTCTGTCTTCGCCATAAATCTTTTGGAGTTCTCGGGCAACATCCTGTGTGCCGTCAGGGCTGGCATCATCAATAATGACAATTTCCCAGTCAATGTTGTGTTGAGTAAATGTACGGGCAAGCAACCATGTGATCACAGGTAAGTTCTCGCGCTCATTATAGGTTGGCAGCAAAACTGAATATTTATCGGTTGTCATAGCGTTGATTTGTGAAGTGAAGGTGTCGTCAACGTTGAGGATAGCGTGGTCAGCAGCCATACAACAAGACTTCAGGGGGTGAGGCAAGATCAATCTGGCAGTCAATGATGGCCACGTCAAATTTCAACTTCCGTGTCACCATCACCAACTTGCGCTGAGAGGAATTTTTTTTTTTAATCCCCAAATTTCTGGTTATTTTATTTTTTAAACCATGTCATATTTACACTTCTTCATCTGAATTATCTTTGTGTTCAAAACGCAGTCGACTAGGTGACGACGCTAAGGAAGCAAAGGGTGGAAGGGATGTTTGTACAGACTGTACGACGTGTTGATTAGACGACGACTGTTGAGCCAGTGTCCGAAGCAAAGTACGTTCACGCCCATCTCTTGGAGGAGGTTGTATAGCTCGTGAATTTTCCTCTAAACGCAGTGCACTTTTTGGATCCGTAGTCTGTTCTTCATTCTATTTTGAGGAAGAGAAATCGTGTTTTCCATATGAGCTCAAACAATGCCTCGACAAAGAAACTGGTGCTTTGGCCAATACTTTACCTGGTTGGGTTGAGCTCTTCGCTTCTTTGCACTTTCTTTTAGCTTCTCCCACCGTTCCTTGTATTTACTCATGAGGTCTTTTTGTCTATTGTACTCTACCCGTAACGCCATTACTTCATCCTCTAATTCCTTGATACGAGCCTGTGGGTTGGATGTAGCTGATGCTGCAAATAATACTGTTGGTAACAATTATAAACTTGCTACTTTTCGTCTTCACAATTGCTTACCACTAGTACCCTCGTTGGGTTTGGATGATTTAGATAGAACGCTGGCTGCTCCATATTGACCATTAATCATAGAAGATTTCATAGATTCCTGACTTTGCATAATCCGCTTTGCCTGCTTTTGCACATCGTTTCTGAATTGTAATATACTACTCTTCAAGACATTGCCTTCGTCTGCCGCCTTTTCCATAAAAATCGCTGCAATTAATATAACGTAGATAAACATTAATCTCCATTAAGTGTAAAGTGTACCTTTTTCCAGTATGAAACCTGTCGTGATAACTTATCCACGGTATTCTTCAAGTGTTTGTTTTCAATGGCGTATTCTTCTATGGTTTTGGATCTACTCGACCCAGACGTCAGAAATCATTTCAAACAACTATTCTCTATATCTATGTGAAAGTGACGTACGGTATGGGCATTTCGGAAGCGGTGGTATTATTGGAGTCGTCGATTATGATCTTTGGAGTTGATGGCGTCTGAGGCTGAACAACAAAAAATGATTCCATCATGGACGCTTCTATTTGATGTTGGATTGGGAGTTTGCTGAGATCACCTTGTTGTGTTGCATAGATATTGGTATCTTCCATTAAGGCTTTAGGATTATCTTCCTCGTTCAAGGGTACACTGGCAAATGCAACTGGATTTGAGAGTTTCTGAACCAAGGTTTCTACAGCATTCCAAAATTTGTTGAATGGATCCGAGTCGTCCTGATAATATGAAAAATGTTTACTATAAAAATACTCATCTAGAGTGTTTGAACAAACCATACATACGTCGTTTTGATCATTCAAAAGTGCATAAGAGTCATCAATCGCTTGAGAACCAAGCAAATGAGACTGGTGGCTGGTAGAGTATGTATTTGAAGGGATGCGATCATGATAACCGTTGCTCTTATGAATGGCTAGGTTGCTTAACCTATCGTTGGTAGATTGCATTTTGGAGTTGTTTGGCGTTGCTGAGGAAGATATACTTGTGGGCTGTGACGAAGTGGATGAATTGTCGGAGCCCCGTATTGATGACTGTGGTTCGTTTGCCTTGGCAGCTTTAAGAAATAAAGTCTTTGCCTTTCTACTGTGGTTCATCACTAGTAAGCGAAGTGTTTTGACAGCCTAAATAGCAAATAATGTCAGGACCAGGCTTTAGTGAGTTTGTGCCATTTATCAACCTACCTCTGGATCTTGGGCAAACACAATAGCTTTTTGAAATTGCTCTAGGATTCAAGTCAGAAAGCATGTTGGAACTACGAGAATTCGACGCAGTATTAAAGCATTACCTGCTGCTAACGAATGGGCTGTGGCAGCCTTATCCCATTGCTCTCTATCCTCGCAGTCATCGGCCTCATTAGCATATGCGTGGCCCTGTAACAAGAATAACTTAGTTCAAAGTGAATGCCATATAGCTCCAAGTAATGATACTTGCTGCATTGACAGGACTGGACGTTGGTGTCGCCATTTATAAGGTTAAAACTAAGGATATGGTGGATAGGCGAGGAATTAAGTCTGATATACTGCTGGTAATGCTCGTGATCGAAATTTGAACCTCGTGGCAAATTTCAAAGGATTGCTTAGTCTTTCAGACCAAATTGTAAAAACGTAAAAGAAATGGCATATACAAAACATATATTTATAAGCTACATGAAGGCTACTATCCTAACATTAATGAGTCACGAACTATGCGCTAGCAGAAACAGGTTGTTTCTGTTCCTTTTCCAGCTGAGCACGCTTGCTCATGGCTTGGAGATTCTTATAAGGAGTTTCCAATGAAGGTGGCAGGGTTTTAACAAAGCGGTCTTCGTTCATCCAGTCCAAACCGTGTTGGAAAATGTTGGCAGCACGATGATGTCCTCCTTCAGTGCTTCCAAAGGAAGCGTGAAGTGTGGCACGCTTATTGGCACAGTAATAGATGGCACGGTGCAAGATATTGTTGTTATAGAAGACGGTTTGGCCAGCCTTCAGATGAACCTGAAGTTGATCGGGCATATTGCGACTCAAAGGATCATTGACAGTGATTTCTCGTTCTTCAGCGGTTCTGATCCGATGGTGTGAGGCTGGAACAACGAATAAGCAAGATTCGTCATACAAAGCGCTATCAGGGGACATGCATTACCTATCAGTTAGCTACATGGCCGAGAAAAAAACACAATGGCTACTCATTTCCTTGTTACTTACGTATTCCATTGTGTTCCATAGTGAGGAATTTTAAGAAGTTCACGCTCCTCATCTGCAGGTACCTTTGGCTTGATGGCGTCACGGTGCCAGGGGAGATCGAAATCAGAATCTTGTGGGTTAACCAGCATGTTGAACAACTCTGTTACGTTTCCAATGTGTAAGCACTCGTTCATCCATACATACATGAGATACAATTAATTACCCACCGAGTTGCAATTCTTCGGGCTTCACTTCCAATAGCTCGCAAACGGCATTGATCATCTCCTCGCTACCATACCATTCGGCGAAGACAGGTTCACCGAGCTCCGGGTTCAAGAGATGCTGAACTCCCCACACGTCTGTTCCTTCGTTCCACGGGGGGAATGGAGTACCAACTAGTCGTCTAAAAATTGATGCGTTGGTAAAAAAAAATCCCTTCGAGTTTAGCATCGTAACCTTCCAAACCTCTTACCGTTCCTTCCATTCACCATCTCGTGCCTTCTTGATGACCCGTTCGGCTGCTTGACGAAGAGGCTCTAGTAGCTCAGGCTTGATGAGATTATCAATGATAACAAACCCATCGGTAGTCATAGCATCATGGGCGGGGCGTCCGTCAGTGGAGTATAACATTGTTGTTTGGTAAAGAAGAAGAAGAAGAAGAAGAATGTGTCATACAGGGTTTTTCGGGCGTCCAATTTATAGCTTACGAGGGGGAAATACCTGGTGGGAAAAAAATTGTGCAACCTGTTGGTTAGCTAATCATACGGAAGGGTCTTCAGGGTCTCCCCGCCCTTTCCCTTTTCAACAGCTGGCAATTGACAGTAGAGTTGTTTCCATAAATATGGAACATTGAATCAATGGACATAATATATTTGGATACAAATAAAAACTAGATGAAATGAAATATGTTGCTGATAAGAAAAAAGACATTTACAAAGTGATGGTGGGGATTCTCAAAAAGCCAAGTGGGTAATATGAAGCCGGATGCAACTAGAGTCAGCGCCTTGCCTTCCTCCGAGGATGCGGTGCAATAACCATTTTGATTCTGAAGTGAATTTAAGGTTCTTCATATACCTCGGTTATTGTGCAGATTCGGAACGAGAAAAAAATATATGCTAAAAACTCCCATCTAAGTTGATGCTGCGTTGGCATCGCTTGATCGATTCTCTGAAGCTTGAGATTGAGCTAACTCGCCAAGGTGCTGACCTACGTTGTGAATAAATTGTAGTCCGGGATGGCCTAATTTTGCGTTTAATTCTTCCACTTCTTTCATCAATCGATAGCTCTCTGATCCCTCTTGCATAGAGTCAAGGGCAAGCTTGGCATTTGCTTCTTCCATCTCTTTGCGTAGTCGCAAATTCTCTTCTTCCAGCCTTGCAATTTTTTCTTCCATGCCTTGCACATAATTCTTCTTTTTCTTACGGCACTCTTTGGCAGCCATTCGGTTTCGAAGCAAGCGGCGCTGACGACGCTCATCATCAGTTAGCGCTCGACTATTGTTAGCACGCTTGCGTTGATGTTCACTGTCTCCATCACCATTTACTTGACCAGCGGCAGTTCCATCCATATTGGAAAGATGCGGTGGTCCGGGCAGCGACGTGATAACGTTGGCTGCTTGGAGGGACTGAAGCAAAGTAGAGCTTAAGTTGCCGGGCACAGAGATAGGAGACACCATAGCATTAGCGAGAGATGCAGCCAAGTCTTGTTGACCATTAGCTTGTGCGTACTGCAATATTTGCTGTTGCTGTTCAGCCGTCAATACAAGGCCCGACGTGTTCTGAGCACTTGTTAAAGCAGCGTTCAACGCGGCACCATTGAGAGGTGAAGTGGCATGATTCTCATCAGAGGGAGATACAGATGGGGAAGGGGGAGCAGAAGCTTTCCTATGAGTTAGGTGATCATGTTCTGAATCACTGTCGGCGTCACGCTTGGAGCCAGTCGTCTCTTCTTTAACATATCGCTCGACCTCAGCTAGGTTGTGGACGTCAGCGGGCATTTTGGGATAAGAGCAAGTGGTTGACGTCGTCTTGATGACGAAGACAACAAAAGAAAAGAATGGATGACATAAGCATCTAATTTTTGTGATATAAATAAATTCATGACAATCGGAGATGCAATTGTTAGTTCGAAGTGAACATTTGCCCGTGTATTTTCGACCATTTCAACCGCGCGGAACAGTTTAAAAATATATTCTGCAAACCATCCATTATAAATATATGGAAAATGGCAAACGTCCTCGTGATATGCACGTCTTGAAGGAGTCTCTGGAAGCCAGTTCCCCAACCAGGGCTGCCTAACCATGACGCCATAAACTGCATGCAATTAATTGTGATAGTCCAAGGGCGATGCTCGCTGTAGAATGAAGTATGTGAGCACGCTATCATTTTCTAGGATTGCAAGTATTATGATATACAGTTTATGTGTTTATTTTACAAAAGCAAGACCACAAATAATAGTACTATGCAACATCGCGGATGGTTAGTGACTCAACAACCGCTTGCTTAAATCGATCTGGGATAAAGTTGTGTAATGTGCTGTGATATATGCACTATCTATTGAGGATGGTAGGCATACCATTTGCAAAAAGCTCCTTAATTGGTCAACACAAAGAGCATTAGTTTCCGTATTAAACACAGTGGCAAGTGTGTTTCTTTGTTGCAGTAAAATTGCCTTCAGTAGTACAGCATGGAATAATCAGCGTCGTCTTCCTTTTTGGCATCAGATGTGAAGATGTTGGCGGTGGTATCCGGCCGTGCTGTTCTTCTGCTGAAAATGCGCCTCGTTGTGGGATGGTTCCTCCGTATAGATGACTCTTTGTCGTCTTGCCCTGAAGAGTCCTCATTTGAATCGATGTCCATACTGGAGGGTGTAGAACGCCGCTCTCTTCGAGTTCGCTTCGTTTTGGTCGAGTCAGGGCGATGTCTATTCTGGACTAGATCTCGCCAGGATATCGATACTGAGTTATCAACAAACTTGTCACTATCCAACAAGCTATCGGTCAATGCAAAAGGGTTTCGCGCCGTCAGATCTTTCGGGACCGAGAAAGAACCACCTTGGAGGTCAACAAAATCGAATTCGTTGCCACCGTATAAATCGCATGATCGAGGTAAATCTCGGTAAGGCGAATAAGGCCGTACAAATAGATTACTTTTTCGTGAGCCTGGTTTTTCTTCGCCGACGTTGAGAGGGCTTGGGCTCAGGCTGCGACCATGTAATAAGCTTTTCAAATCTTTCCCCTCCAGTTCAGAGAGCGAACTAGTGGTTCTGTGACGGTGCATGTGCCTTGAAGGCGACGTCATTCTTCTCCGTATCGTTTTTTGGGGAAGGTCATCGATTTGCATTCTTGATTCGAAGTCCCTCAGAGTAAATGGTTCACTTGACGATGGGTTCGGATCTTGTGTATTGAGAATGTCCGACATTATGTTCTAAATGAGTTTGGCCGAGCAGTGTATAAAAATAAACCACTGGTTATGGAATTCTTCGAGTATAAAAACGATAACTTTGGCCTTTCACTTTGCTAAGTATGTAGAAAGATATGGCTAATCAAGCAAGGTATCGAATATCGTTATTTCAAGAAGGAAAAAAATAAAAGTCAAAAAAAAACTGTGAAAGCGTATGGCTGGCTAAAAGGATCAATGTCCGGGCCAATGAAATCGCAGGTGTGTTACAGCAGCTTTTGATAACCTGGCGATGGCGAGGATATCACCTTCTACTTGCCCAGTCCCTTTCATGTAGCTTTGGTTGACTTGAAACGATGTACCTATAGGACGGATCGCATAATCGGAGTAGCGATGAATCAGAAAGGAATAGCTGATTTGGATAGAACGATACTATTGCAAAGAGGAGATGCAAAACCTTTTAATTAACGTGTATAGACCAAAAAATAGAAAAAAAATAATCTATTTATTTCATTCATATTTAGGATCGTGAAATGCGTCGCTGAATGAGCTTTCATTAGCACATTATTGACCATAGTATGAAAGTACCAGCCATAACAGGTATAATTTTTTTTATCCATAGGCTCATGTTGAGGTAACCGTCTGTGAAATGCATGAGCGCAATCGTGCTGTAACATCCGACGGGGGAACACGGTGGAGTTGTAATTCAGTGAAATGCTCGTTGCAAATATGATGCTTCTGCACAGAAACTCTGTGTAGTATACCCTTTTTTGTGCATTTCAATATGTTTTAAATGGGATCGTCCGAGCACAAAAGCAAAGTCGGGAACATCAAAGAGGTTTGATTGGCTCTATTGAACGGCACTTGGGGGAGCTTGTGGTACTCTAATGCTTCACGGGGCGGTTGGACAAAGAGAAGATCTTTTTTTGGATACTAATCTCATTTTTTTTAACTGTAGTCTGCTTCTTTTTTTTTGTGCTTTACTGTCTCTCTTCACCTTCATTACCCCTTTCCACTCCCTTTTGATCCTCGAACCGTCCCTGCTCCTATTTAACCTGCCGTGCAGTAATGTAAGTCTTTGAACATATTTTTTCTTCTTTGTCCCTAAATTGACATGTTTGCCCTGGATATCATTACTTTAAACAGCTTTTAAACCAATGCCAGAAAGTAGTGCAACCTCAAAGCCAACTAAAAACTTAGTTGCCAATATTGAAACTTCAACGGAAGTGAAAAAGACTTCAGCAGCAGCAGAGAAGACTACCGAGAAGAAGACTACCGCCGCCGAAACTAAACAGACTACGGCTGCTGCTAAGACTTCTGGATTCCAAAATGCTGACACTACGACGACAAAAGCAGCTACATCTACTCATGCAGCTGCATCTACCCATAGCTCATCTTCTACCACAGTGTCTAGCAAAGTAGCTTCCTCGTCTGTCTTGCCAATCATTGTGTCTACTCCGTCCTCTTCGCTGGCCACCACCACGTCGGCTAGTGCTCTTCCAACTTCAACCACTGCAGATTCTTCATCTTCAGGAAGCCCTAGCGTTGCTGGTCCCGTAGTAGGAAGTATTGCTGGAATCGCTGTGGTTGGAGCTATTGCTTTCTTCTTCATTCGCAGACGTAACAAAAACAAAAAGACGCGCGCAACCCATGCATTCAGCCAATTTCTTAACGAAGCACCACCGCATCATGGTACTGGCAATGTCCGCGATAGTATGTGGGGCATGCCTGCTAAAGCCGATGAGAAGGATGTGAATAACGGCTATGCTATTTCCCCTCCGCCACCACTACCGGAGAAAGCGTATAACCCAGACTTTGGTTCTCCTCCTCCAATGTCTCCTCCCACGGCTTACAGTGCGTACGATCCTCAACAACATGTTAACCCTAATGCCGCTGCCTATGGAGGTCCTTCACCACAGGCTGAGTATGGAAACGTGTCTCCGTCTCATATGGATCATAATGCTGCTATAGCTGGCGCCGCTGTGGCCGGTGCAGCTGTCGGTGGAGCTATAGCGCACCAACATCATCAACAGCAATATCCAAATGAGGTGAATGGTGATATGCCACTCTCCGATCCTTACAAGCAACCGTCACCGCAATCACCTCAACAACAACAAGCAGCCGACCTTGGTGAACAACAACAAAATGCGTACTATCAACAACAATCTCCACAACAACAGCATCCCGATCTTGCTGGTCAGCAAAACGCTTACTATCAGCAATCTCCACAACAGCAACACATCGATGTCAATGGCCAGCAAAATGCTTATTATTCACCTCCACAAGAATTCCAGCAGCAACCTGGTGTCGGATATAATCAGCCCTATCCTGGGTATCAACAAGGCTATCAACAAGAGGCTCAACAATACTATGATCCGAATGCTCAACAGTATGGCTATTCTGCTCAGCCTTATTCCCAATACAACAGCATGTATATCGGAGCGGAGCATAGCTATTTCCAAGATGACCCAGAATACGCCAATAACTATCCTGCTGTTGCAGCAGCCACTGCATTTGGCCAGCCCAGTCATAATGCACCTGAACAACAGCAGCACAGCTATGAAATGATGCCTCAACCTTCTTTAACTCAACCACCTACTGCTGACCAAGCTGAATCTGTGCCAACCACATCTCAGCCTGAGCCATCGAGGGATGTTCAAACTCCTAATTCCATCACGGCACCTAATTCTGTAACTCCTGCACCTACTCTCCTTACAAACGATATTGGTCAGTCAACACCATCAACGGAACACTACGTCGATCATACTACACCTGCCGAGCAGCAACCTTCTCAGAGTGAGCCAGCAAATCCTTATGTACTTGACGTACCCATTGAGTATAATAACGATCCAGCACGCGAAACTCTTTACGGCCTTTCGGAACACTATCAATACGGCGGTGACGATAAGGATGATGGACAGGAGTTGAGCTCTGGACATCAGACTACCCAACCACCACCACCCCATCCTCCTGCACACAAAGGCGACTTGATGTAAGGCAATGGGGGCACCAACATGGATTAGGCTAGGTCACGGCGATCATTCAGTACTAGTCTCCTTGATAGAGAGCTTTCCATTCATTTCTTCTCTTGTCTGAGTTTCTTTTTTTTTATTTTTCCATTTTTGCTTTATCATTGTCAGGGATACTTTGAAAAAACACACGAGCATTAGAGCTTTCAAAGCTGTATTGATCAAACAATGCTTAGACAGGTCATCTAGGCGAACCTGCATTTCTCTCATTTTTTCCTCTGTCATATAGTCAATAGAATGTACATTATGCATACCCTCCTCTGGCGGGCTCTGCTTTCAAAAATCAACCATGTCTGTATTTTTAGAAAAGTGCAATATGCAAAAAATTATCTGGATATGCTAAATTTCTTGACGCCCAAATGATCGGTGTATCAAAGGGGACGATCACTCCATGGCAGACCGCTTTACTCTTGCTTGTATCGAGCGTTGGCAAAAGTTCTCGTATGATCTGCTCCATGGTCAGCTCTTCACCTACCAAGAGTGTTCAATACGGCATACGTTATGGAAGAATACCAATGGAATGTAGACCTTACCATCTTCCGTGCGAGGGGATACGCGATCTTGAATAACAGGGCAGTCGTCCGGTAAATACAGTCGCAATGGAATATGACGTACGACTTGATCATCGACTGGTATTAAACGCTGATTGACTTTCCAAAAGGAATCAAAGTCATCTATATTAAGTGCATAATTTTAATTTTCGGTACTCGAACACGGTCAAAGGGAGTGATGCATACTTGAGCAGAGACTTTCCCAAAGTTGAGTTTGGTCGCTTTTTGAGAGGTTCATTACTCGTTTAGTACTACCGTACCGTAGAAAATCTGCCTATAAATATGGCGATTAACAACTAGAGCTATTTTAATAGAAGCCCACAATGCATCATACCTCTTTGATCATGGACATGAAAAAATCTTGCGCTGTAGCCGCTGACTGGTCTCGAAACAAATGCGCCGCTGGGTAGTTACGAAAATGTACCTTGATATTCCAAGGTATTGATTTTGTATCTTCCATTTGCAGATATGACGGCTCGCTTATACATAATATATCATACAAAAGACCTAAAGGGTAGTGCCTTGATCCAAATGTAAGTAATGAGCCGGTTGTTTCCATTGTACACAAGTGTACTTACCATTTAAGAGGTTTGCCCTGGTACTCAAACCATATCTCCGCCGTTGAATCTGGAAGTGTTAAGCCAGTTGCTCTATACAAATCTCGAATCTCCTCTGTAAGCAAGATTAAATAAGATGTCCGGGGTACTTCTATCTGTTGGCGGATTCATGGTTAGAAAAACGTAAGGTAGAATGGCCGGTAAGAATGGGCAGAAAGCTCACAAATATGGAACTTGGTGTGTGCTCGGCTCCGAAATGCTGTGCCTCCGATCCATCTATCGAGAAAGCCAATGGAATTCGACCTTCCCATACAGATTTGGAAACGCTGGTCGACATGGCAGAAGTGAACAAGTTTCAATAAGGCACAAGCTGAGGAAATTTTGAGTTTTCCAAGTGGTGGTGAGCGCGTGATACAGAAAGCCTACCCATACATTGACTTGACCATCACGTTGCTTATAATATGGCTTCGAAAAACAGTATTAGATCCACTTTGATACAAGCAGATATTCATTGCTAGTCTTGCTGCCTAAAAGGAATTTTATCTGCAGCACTTCAACTGCATTGCGCCTGCATAGTACCCTCGTTTAATTCCTACTTAGTTGTTGTGAACCCACTATCAATCACATTAAAACCATGAAGACGAAAACTGTATTCTAAGCTTAATGTTAAAGATGCGATCTGCTCGCCATACTGCCTACTGGGGAGCTATCCATAGCATTGCTTAAATTTTCGCAGGAAAATTGAGACTGTCACACCAGCGACGTCGTGCTTGACGTTGAAAAAGCTTACGTGTGCTAAGCTTTTTTGACTCGCACTTTTCTTTGATCTTATTCTAAAATGTCTAACGTACTGGACCCGTCGTCTGTTCTGCATACATTATCTCAGGCACTACCAAAGGACGATGGTAGCCAGAATCAATCTGAACCATTGCTCCGCAACAATAACGAAGGCATTGCCGCCTTGTCTCACGCCGTAATGCTTAGTGTCGGATTCCGCTTGGTAGGCCTCGGTGAAGACGAACACAAAAGTAAGCTATATTTCGATATTAAATCTCGTGTTTATGCTCTTCAACTTGCCCGAGTGTCGCCTCTCTTGCTACAACTTCACTCCGCAATATACACCGACATATAACACTAATGCATAGTTTCTTCGAATTATTACTGACTTCGTTGTACAGTTCCAAGTGATCAATCGAAGCTTCCTTCTGAATGGAACAAGCATGGCCCACACTCTTACACATTTCAATACACTCATCCTCAATCCAGTTTACACTTTACCATGAAAGGCATTACCCTGGCAAAAAAGTTTATCATTCATGGCGTGGCTATTGAGGTTAGGGCAACCATTTTTATTTTATTTTTGCGATCCCGCAAGTGTACGCTGTAATTTTCTGTCCACTTATATTAACGCCTTCATAATTCTAGGACAAAAAAACCGCAACATTCGAAGTTCATACCGAAGATTATACATCGCCGTCATTTTATCCATACACATCATCAACACAAGAGCCTTTGGTTAATGGATTCATATCCAGCAGCCGTTTAAACGACTTCATTAGTCTATTCAAAATCAACATATTGCAGAAGTTGATCCCCGGTCTGAATAAGCCAGGTTATGAGGAGTCTCAATCGAGGTAAGAGCACGACAATCAACCATATCGTTTTTACCCATGATTAACATTATGTACTGCTATTCTCAGTACCGATGTTCCTTCTTCCACAACAACGGGACAAAGTCGACCACGAAATCCTCTCGAGGATCCGCGCTACGAACGGGAGCGTATCCCCAGACCTCCCATTTTTGGAGATCCACTGGCTGGCGATGAGCCATTTGGACCGTAAGTTTCTATATGCTTGTTAGCTCTGTACCCCGACGTAGTTTTCTGCTGGGTACTCAAAACGTCGACATATGTTCACTCTACAGGTATGGAGGAAACCCCTTTAGCGTAGGTGGTGACGACTTGAATCCTCTTGGCAGTTTACACAGACCTTTAGGGTAAGATTTTTAGTATTTCGTGACACACTAAATTACATTCTCTAACGTCATGATGTAGTCGCGGCTCTGGCGGTGGGATGCTTGTTGGTCCCGACCATCCTATGTTTGGATCCGGACAATCGAGAAATGATCCATCCAGCGGCATATACGGTGGACCACAGCCTTTACCACGGTAAGTAGATGCCAGCCAGAACATATGATGTTACGTAGACAACTCTAATTCACTGAATATATTATATTTTTTCTCAACAGTGGATCGGTTCCTCCAGGAGCTCGATTCGACCCCATTGGACCATTTGGAAACAATCCCAATGCTGGCCCGCAAGGTTCATTTGGGCCAAGAGGACCGAGTCGAAACTTCCGTGGAGAGCCTGACAACGACGAACTTCCTCCACCAGTACGTAAACAACTGAACGTGACGAAATGAACCCCATGATGATACGATTTCTAATTAACGTTCACATTTGTTTAGGGCTACGATGATATGTTCATGTGAGAGAACTATCCAAATTATTCTCAAGCAGGCTCACGAAGGAGAATACGTATAATAAATAGGAATTCTCGCTATATTCCATTCATGTCCTTGCGTGCTATAGCTTCGCATTTGTTGCAATGATAACCTCTATATTTTGCCAAATATTTGTACATATCCTCCAGTTGAAATTCCATGGTTCAATGATATTCATATTGTTGTCACTTCCGATAATTTGCTTGTTTAGCAGAATATTTCCCTTTTCTTCGCATAAGAAAAGCTCAAATACACGTCAGTAAAGAGTCATCGTTGAAACCAAAGGCGTGGCTGCACGTGGTTTCTCGAACGTGGAAGTGTCGAGATGCGAGCGCGGGATGCTAATCTAGCCAATCACATTTGACTATTTGAAGGACGGTGAGCTTGACATTACAAACGATTATTTATAGCCTTCCATTTTTTAAGTCAGAATCGAGTACCTCACATTCAATACACCACAAATCTTTCACAACATGAGCGACATATCCTATTGTGTATTCTCTGGTGGATCAGCCTGTAATCATATAGGTAAGTATATTTGTGTTTATGCTTTGCCTGCATAGCCTCACATACGCTAAAGCATTCCACAGTCAGAGCATTCCAAGACACTACTCCCGACACAGTCTACATTCTCGGTATTGGAGACAATGGAGGTTCAACTGTATGCTTTACTTGACGATTCCTTGTTGATTAGGCTTTGAAGCAACCTAATGAATATAAGCTCACCTTTTTTCTCTGAAGAGCGAACTGCTGAGAGTTATCGGTGGCCCATCCATTGGTGATCTACGGTCACGCTTGACAAGACTCATCAATCTTCTTCCACCTGAATCAGACGATGATACGGGATACAATCAAAGAGCAGCTATCAAGACCATTATGAGTTATCGACTTCCCGCAGAAGGCAATGAACATGATATCAAAGATGAATGGTCCTCCATCGTTGAAGGTCGACATAAGTAAGTTAGCGGTTGTTTATCTTTTACATCGTACAACGGATTATTAACCGGTCTCGTTAGACTATGGGAACCGATACCTGTTGAAAAGAAGGAAACGATTCGAGGATTTTTGACCATGTTTGACTATGAAATATTGAAGCGAAGTCATAAACGCTTTAACTTTCGAAATGGCAGCATCGGTAACTTTTTCTTGACTGGTGCAAGACTATTTTTTGGATCTTTGGAGGCCGCCATCTTTTTATTTTCCGCTATCACTGGTATCAACGAACCTACTAGTGTGATTCCAGTCATTAATACCAACCACACAGCTAGCATCGCTGCTATACTAGAGAACGGCGAAACTCTGAAGGGCCAGTGCGAAATCAGCCATCCAGCACCTTTATCAGAAAAGAAGCAAAAGCCACTTAATCCAATAGACGCTTTCTCCAAATTGGCATTTCCTGGATCACCCATCTTTGAATCAAATCCTCAGTTCAATGATAACCTTGTCTTTTCGAAAACCCTTGAAGAAAAGCTTCACGCACGCATTGCTCGGATATATTACATGAATGAGTTTGGCCAGGAAATCTACCCAATACCGTCTCCAAAGGTGCTGAAGCATCTTTCTACGAAAAACGTCCTTGTATTTTCAATTGGCTCCCTGTATACGTCCATTGTACCGTGTTTAATTTTACGTGGAGTAGGCAATGCTATCGCTCAGTCGCCATCCCTCAAGCACAAGATTTTAATTTTGAATGGAAACAACGATCGAGAAACGCACGGCTACACGGCACTTGACTTTATTGATGCTATTACGACGGCTCTGAATGAAAGTCGACTTGTCGATGCTCGTCGAGTCTTCTATCAAGATTGTAATAAGCAGAGCGACCACCATCTGGAACCGCCTCCGACATCACTCATGCACCATTTGCGAATCGACACTCAGAGCAATGGAACTGACTTAAAACATCCAAAACCCATGCGCCCACTTCTCGGTGTAGATCGTAGACCCTATCCACTCACCCCATCACCAGCGCTATCGACATCTACACACGAAGGTTATCCTGCCCCGACGACCACTACATTCTATTCCGGTACGCCGCCGGGTTATCCTTCGTTCCCCCAAACTTTGTTCACGCCTTCTCCTCCAAACTCTTTCATCACAACCTTACTGTACTTGTCCAATAGTGGTAAGATTCGATCCATACCCAAATTGCTCTACCTAACAGCCTGGAACTAACCATTTGAACCTTACTACAGAAATTGAAGTCGATGTCGGTGCTGTTGAAGAACTGGGCATCAAGTGTATACAAGTTCCTGGAGGGATTTCCGAGGGAAAGCCGGTATATGATGACGATAGGTTGCGTCAAGCTCTAGAGTCGGTTGTAACACCGTAGCCCCTGAAAGACCAGTGGTGATGGAAAGGGACTGAAAATGAAGAGATTTATGAAGGCTGAAAGAAATAGGAAGGAAAATTACAAATACATAAAGAAAGAAAAAAAGATATAACATGCAGTAGTAGTGAATGGATAGAGGGATAATGTACTTAATACAAAGTGATTGTAGGGCCAAGAAAGAGATTCTGTATTATGCTTGCCAATCGTGCTCGATGCGATCTTGTTTATCCGGTCAACGAGAAGTCTGGAGACAAAATTTGAAATCATTTTATCTTGAAGATAGAGGAAAGGTGATGAATCCCGGTCCGACATTGTCAATGAATAGACACAATGTCATGATGGTAACGTGTTCAAATGCAATCTTGTCGTGCACGTCTTGATAAACACTAGCATCAAGTTCAAACCGCGTATAGGTTTGTTGGACCCTTTCTGGCTTGACGTTGTATAGCTTGGCAGATCCCATCAGTTCGTATTTTTTGGCTTGGTTGCCTGCCAGTTGTCTGGACAATGTGATGCGATTATTGAGGTGAAGTTCCCAGCGATAAGCTCTACCCTCCCAGGTATATTTGTACTGGCGACGGAAAATAGACGCTTGCTTGAAGAGGAGGGTCAATGGGATCTTTGAAGACTGAACATTCAGATCAATATCTGTGTTCAAAAGTGCCTTCACACCATCCACTACTACAGCATTGGTAAGGGTATCTTTGAGAAAGTAATTGGTTTGGTGGGCAGAGGGGGTCTGTAACTGTAAAGTATATAGTGAGTGAGTCATTCCTGCAGGCTTAATATCTACTACATTACGAATGTTAGATCTTTGTGAGCTGTAGTCACTACCATGGCTGGTAGTGATGGTAAAAAATAAATTAGACACATCAGCAACAGTCTCGCAATTTACAAGATCATTATTAGATGGGGACAGAGAGTATTTTGAAACCGACGACATAGTCGTTAAAAAAGTTTATTTTGAAAGTTGTTAGTTTTTGGGTTACCTGGCCATCCTAGCTGCGCAAAAAGTTGGGCTTTTTTATATTCTTTGGAAATTTGCTGCGGTCAGCACAATGGAAACCCAAGAAGTATGATTTCTTTCCCAGCACTTTTGATGGCGAAACCTTAATGACTCAGCAATGCATATTGTTAAAAGACACATACAACACACTATTCAGAGTGACAGCTGACAGTATAGAAAAACTTCACTTGATGTAGTTTTGTTCTCTGTCACTCACCACTTCTCTAAAACGAAAAAAGTATAAACTTACGTTTCATATAAAATGGGCTGCGTACCTGACAAGAAAAAAATAATTTTTTTTGGTCTCCATAAGGCAATTCTTGCCAAAACCTCTCCAGTATAATATGGCAGATATACTAAAAAACTTTGAGTAACCGCGTTTTCGACAACAGATTGACTCACTATGTGACTTTTTGTTGGCAGTTGGAACCCAATAGCACTGCGAAATTGTACAAAATTGTTGATACCGCAGACTGAGCTTTTACTCTGAGAGAAACGGGAACGAAAACCTGAGTCGTTCTGCTCAAACACACCTACAAACCTGCCATCCTTTACTTCGACATTAAACCTTTCTTTCTCTCACCGATAAATCTGAGAAGTCTATCAAGTAAGGTACATTAAGATAGTCATAGACATTGCCAAAGTGTACTCTCCATGCTTGATAGATCCGAGCAACGCTTTGGCAGCCTCTGCATATGGCACCACAATATCATTCACTGAAACGCCCATGTTAAACGCACTGAGGGACCATCCCGCAAATAAAAGCAGTATGTTTGGCCAGCCGGTAGTGCTTAGTGGTTTTGATAGGCAGGACAAACTGAGAACATTTTTCCATAAGGAAATCGAGTGATGACATAGAACGCAATGCCAAGTTTGGGGCTCATGAAAGAGCACTGCCTTGATTTTTTTTATATGATGAAATATGTAGTGGCTATGGATACAACTATCAAAAGTAAAAAAAGTAATATTATACTTCTTTTGCCGATGAATCGGCCTTTGTTCAGTCAATATTACCGTAAGCATTAAAATGTTAGTTGTCCGACATATTGTCAGAGCATCACAGTTTAAAATGAAGTAGCAGCACCCCCACAGTCAGTAAGCCTTATTGTTCTTGTCGGCGGATGAATGTTCAACGCGATTTTGAACCCCGCATAAGGCGTCGTGGGAAACTTGTGCAGCAGATAAACAGCGTGGCAAAATATGACATTACGCTGTCATTCCCTTTTCCGCTTTTCAAACATGTCGCCAGCTTCAAACGCTCTCAAATGTAACTTACACTTTTCCATCACCGATGAGATCGGAAAGTTGGAGTCCTGCTTAGCTGCTATCAAGAGCATGAATGTTTCGTTGACTAGAATCGAAAGGTGAGCTTTAAATCCTATCTCAGTTGACACAAAAGCATATTGATTGATAAGCTTTTCACATTTGACAAAAAGTCGTCCAAGCAAGACCGCCGACTGGGATTACGACTTCTTCATTGAATTTCAGGCTGAAAATCAATCTCAAGTAGTTCAGGTTGTTGAAGGCTTGAAGAAGCATACTACGCAAGTCAGAGTTATTGGATCTGGCACTGCCGTGCAAGGAGGTATGTCACTGTCATGCGGATAGTATTCCCCCTTTTAATTTGCTATATGCCCTTATTCATTATATCACACTGTTTTTGTAGAAACAAGTGTACCATGGTTCCCCCGGAAGATGTCAGACTTGGACAGTTTTGCCGAAAAAGTCTTGGAGATGGGAGAAGACTTGAGTAAGTATAGAAACACGATGAATGATAACGAACTATGCAACTTACGGTTTCTGTCTAAATTAGGTGCTGATCACCCTGGAGCAAATGACCCTGTTTACCGCAAACGTCGCACTGAAATTGTTCAAATTGCAAAGACTTATCGTACCGGCCAACCTATTCCTCATGTTGAGTACACTCAACAAGAAGTCGAAACATGGGGAGCTGTTTTCCGCAAACTGACCTCCATGTTTCCTGATCATGCCTGCCGCGAACATCAATATGTCTTTCCTTTACTGATTCAAAACTGTGGTTACAACGATAAACAAATTCCTCAATTGGAACAAGTATCAAACTTTTTGAAGGACTGCACTGGTTTTACATTGCGACCAGTCATGGGGTTGCTGACAAGCAGAGACTTTTTGAACGGCCTTGCTTTTCGAGTCTTCCACTCTACGCAATATGTACGACACCACTCACATCCCTTATACACCCCAGAACCAGACGTTTGTCACGAGTTATTGGGTCACGTTCCTTTGGTAAGACAGGACAAAAATTTACTCCAAGCTGCCAAATTACCAAAATGCTAACATCGGTACCTTATAGTTTGCCAACCCAGATTTTGCCGCCTTCTCACAAGAAATTGGTCTGGCGTCGCTTGGCGCAACGGATGCAGATTTGGAAAAACTGGCTACAATTTATTGGTTCACAGTCGAGTTCGGTGTATGCAGAGAAGGTGAAAAGGTTCGAGCTTACGGTGCTGGTCTCCTGAGTTCGTTTGGAGAACTGGAATATGCCCTCACCGACAAACCGGAAAAACGACCATTTGATCCACAGGTGACAGCCGTTCAGAAATATCCTATCACGCAGTATCAGCCGGTATGCAAATACATTTTCCTCATGATAACAAATCTGCAGACAGACTAATTCTGAAACATCATGATAGGTTTACTTTGTGGCAGAGTCATTCAAGGATGCGCAGGAGAAGATCCGAGCGTTTGCAAACCAAATGGAGCGCCCGTTCACTGTGAAATACGACCCTTATACTCAGAGTATCGAAGTTCTTGATAGCAAAGTAATGTATCATTTCGTTGGGTCGATTCGCATCATGCACTTCTAGAAGCTAATCATTTTCAAAAACCCTATAGGAGAAGGTCGTCAAGTATGCTCAAAACATTCGTGATGATATGCGTAATTTAACAATGGCATTGGAAAAATTGATGTAGCGACAGATGTATCCTATGTTATCTCAATGTACAGATTCAGAATATGTTCCTCCCAATACATTCTTTTCTTATATACAAAATTTGATATCTACGTATGATGGTACACGATTGGATAGGATGAAGAGGTTTCATTACAAAGTCCTTTCAGTCCATTCTGGAGTAGGGTGTGGGAGTTCGCATGCTGCCAAAATGGGCAGGAGACGGTGTTCTCCATCGTTCTGGGGGAGTCATCTCGTAGCCGTCTGGAGCAGGAGACGATCTTTGGCCTCCAACAGGAGAAGGTGAAGGCGCTGGTGCGGGGCCATTGTATGCAGATGGATCTACCCAATTATTGTACTGATGATGTGCTGGAGGAGGAGGAGGAGGCGACGGTGATGCGTACTGGCCATAAGGGACGCCTGGTGGAGGAGGCGGTGGGACATACATCGGTTGCGGCGTAGTTACGATGTAGGCAGCGGAACGGCCTTGTATGCGTCGACGTCTGCAGCATGATAAAAGGCAGCAAAGAAGTAGTATACCTACTACACATACAACTGGGATGAAAATGCTAAGATGTGTTTGTATCCAATTTAATGCGTTGGATCCTACGGTGCATAGAAAGAGTTTAGTAAAATGATCTATTGCTCAAAATTCCATGTGGTCGTCGTCCACTTACCGAAGTTCGCAGTGGAGCATGTACCGTTCGAACAAGCACCTCCAACCCCACATGGAGTACCGTCTATAAAATTGCCAGTAAAAAGTAGACAAGAGCCCAAGCCGCCAGAAGGACTTGCGCACGATAACTGGCAGTCGCCGCTATCAAGTGAGCATGCTCCGGATACATTCATGGTGGTGCCTCCACGCTGTTGACACTGCAAATCTCTTGAAGTACATTGACCGGACGCACACTGTAAGTTGGTACCGCAAGATGAGCCGTCTGATACATGAGCATCTGTTGGACAGCTTGATGAGTTTCCAGTACAATACTCTGCTATATCACAGTTAGACACCGATGGTCTGCACTGATATGTCGATGGACGAAGCTGGCACTGATTACAGCACATGTCGTTGTAGTCACTATTTAATTATGTTAGATACACGAACACTGCTTATGATTCCATACACAATCGGCAAGACACTTACTCGCAAACAGCACCAGCTTTGTATTTACAGGTAGCGGCGTCACAGCAGGCGGTATCATTGCCAGCCGTATCACATTGTTCTCCTGTCTCGACAATGCCATTTCCGCACATATTTGTCGTTTCCACATTTCTGCTTCCAGGTTCTATTACAACAATTTTTTTAGTATTTTCTCATTGATGTTCGCCTGAGAAGTAAAATACCTTGAAGACATGAGCCTAGCTCGGGGAAGTTGGTACAGATGGTTGTGATGGAGCATGGACTGAAGTCATTTGTCGATACATTGGAAGTAGGGTTCATAATGTACGTGCCACCAGCGTCGCATTGGGTCGAGCTGAGAGGACAACAGGCACAGCTACTACCGGAACACGGACAAGTACTCGATGTACAATCATGAATGGCGCCAAAACCATGTCCAATTTCATGTGCTACGACTTTCCATTCGTCGCGAACTGATTCTAATGTTAGCATTCACATAGCTCCATATCGACACAAGAGCGAAATGCAACTTACTGATGGAGGAAACACCAGTTCCAGAAACATATTGCGTTGTACCGCTCTGGGCTTGCTGAGTCGCTTTATACTGGCAAAGTTGCTGGAGCCAAGCAATACCCACCTGCGTACCAGTGCTTTACAATGAAAAATAGCAGTTCAGTAAATGAATTGGCCATAGCATGCTGGACAGATCTTGGAAATTTACATACTTGCACTGGGTCATTAAATGCCATAATCCGGCACCGTCGTTACCAAGAGAGCCTCGCCACTCTGAAAAATCACTCAAACGATCACTGATGGTATATGTACTAGAACACGCTGTGTTCCAGGCTGTATTTTTGGCAGGCGTTGTGGGACATGCCGTATCCATGACAGTGATATTGATCAAGCCAAGTGAGACGTTGAAACTACGCTCATAGACAGCCGACGCTTGATTCCAATCACTGATGATCTGTGTTCGGACGGCAGATGTTGACTTGTAGTAGGAAGCATACGTACAATCCGCAGCTGATGGGGAGCAAATCAGAAATGTGGATATAACGATGTCAAAAGAGTAATTATGGCTTACCAGCACCCATGTAGTTGACTAAGGTTCAATTCGTGCGTAAAAGAGTACCAAAGTTAGTAACTAACAACCATTTTACCATGATCCTGACCGTAACTGAACCGAAAGACTCACTTTTCCGTTGTGTAGGACAGCCGGTAGCTCTTTTCACAAAGGGATTGGAATGCTTTGAGTGTGACATGTCACCAGTCAGATCTAATCCAATGCCCGGAAAATTATCAAGGTATCCACTCGAAGAAAATTTGGAAACTCCTGCAAAATCGTTCCATCCAGAGAGCTGATTGTGGTCTCGTGGTGTCAGAGATCGCCTAAAATGGTTGGAAAAGCTACTTTTACGCTGGTTGAATAATAAGGTATCCATTCCGCACTCCAGTTGAGATGAACCGGAGGGTTCATTCAAGTCATCCACATCTTCTGTGTCTGAGTCACGATAAATGACCATTCTAGATAGATCGTCGGTTCCATTTGGTTCAATAAAATCTACATCATCTGAGCGTTTGGTCATTTTGTACGTAGATGACAGTTTAACATGATGGATGTCGCCATTGACTGAGAAAGAGCCTTCAAAGATGGGATCGGAGCTCAGATGTCTTAATTAAAGGAGCAATTCAAGTGTCAAAACGTGAATCAATCAAGGAGATAGAGAAGAGAAAAGTCAGCATACCCAAGGTCATGTCGGACGACGATTCGTGCCCATCCAAGCACGCCTAAGCTGTTGTCCGTATCAAGCGAGTACCGATCCCGCCATACTCCGGTCTGTTCTTCGGTCCATCTAGCATCCGAATATGCGGTATCAACGACTACACCACGGTAAATTCTGTAATCTTCGTGCTTCAAACTTTGTGAACCTGAACTTTCCAAGTGGAAAACGGCATTGGGATGGAATAAATCCAAGTTGGGTATCATATGCAGATTGAAAGTAGTGCCAAACGCAGAAAATTGGAGTCGTATAGAGTCGTCATGTCGTAATTCATGAATTTTAGCGCTACGATGTGGATTGGGAGTTGTGTCTCGTTTATAAAAATCCCTTGGCACAATCTGAAGGGATTTTGGCTGGAGCGATTCCAGTACTAGCAATCGCTTATTATTGATGCTGTGAGCTGTGCAAATTCAGGAACTCAGCAGTTAGGCTTAATGTTGGCACAACGGTCTATTCTAGCATTTATAACTGTACCTTCACATAGACAGCACAGCGTTGCCACGAGGACAACAATGTAATGAAAGTGCATCAAGGGCTGAAAAGGAGAGCTTTGTGCTTTTCGTAGTTTAGAAATAAAAAATTCAATCAGACACTTCGTGGAATTCCTTGCAGCTTCTGCCATTCCAAACACCGCATCGGCCGAAATAAGCCCTTCGTTTGCCAAGTCTGACAACAAACAAGCTTTAAATAACCACTCAGATTCCATCACCTTTTCTTTCCCTTCTTTGTTTCATTTTGTGGCCTTTCCATATACCAATGCAATAAATTGCTGAGTCACTTGTGATTCCAAGATAACGGTTCGGTGAACTTAAATCAAAGCCGCGATGGTGAACTGATATCAAAAATGAGGCAACCTGAGCCACGTTGCCACAATTCCCTTACCTGAAAAGTGGCAGTCGCTTCGCTCGGCTAAGCGAGAGCAAGCTAAGCCATCAGAGAGCTCTGCATCGCAATAAGCTATAAGAGTCAACACCCTTCTTAGTTACATTCAGTGGAAGCTACCGTTAGCCTGTGAACTAAAGCACTACATGCAATTAATGTCGGCTAACGGCACATTTCGATGAGAGTCCCCTTTCGCATAACAAGAATGTGATATGGCTTTCGAATTGAATTCGTGCATAACCGGCATGTAGAGCAAATAGCGAAAAATCGCAGTATGAACCCCAAAAAAAACCCCCCCAGGACATTGATAATTGCGACTTTAGCGTTTATCTTTTCTGTGTTTAGGTTTAATGTTTATTAACAAGCTGTTCCAATAACCCTCACCGAAATATCGCATTAGAGATGAAAAAATAAAAAGCGGTGATGTTGCTTCGTTATTCTCCTGCGTAACAACCACTGAATCCGCACAGTTAGACGAGGATAGAGTAAGCATACCGCGGAGACAGCTCGACATCGGCAAAACGGTGGCATTGCTTATGAGTTCATTATGTGAGCCATATCCATAGCATTGGGAAGTAGACAAAACAAGCTAAGCAATATTGTCCATTTTTGGGGCGATTTCACCTAGCATTTAATACTGTGCACAAAGATTTACCCGCCATACATCGCCAAATGCCTGTTCACCCACTGCAGTTGACGGTATCCAAATATAACATATAAGCCCATTAATAACAGTAACGGCTCCCTATTTTTTCCGTAGCCTTCTCCGTCTACCATTCATTCACATGCATTACAATCGTTCTATGTCCCTTGGGAACAAGTACGGTAGAACTGCAACTTTAATATCGGTGTGAATTGGACACAATGAGTATCAACTAGTCCTAAAAGACAAACTTGCATTTTTTAATTATGTTATCCAATCACACACCAAAGGACTGGATCAAGACAAGAAATTTGCCTATAAGAACAAATGCGAAAGACATCGTCGATGGCCAAATTACCCACCTGGAATCAACCGGCAAATATGTTCTATAGCGCTCAAGTACTGACCATCCTTGGTCTTTCTGTGGTTCAAGTAATGGGTATAATTGACCCTAGTCTTGCCAAGACACCAGTAAGCCGCTTTGTGATTCATTTTGAATTATGATTTTACAACAAGTAATATTCACAATTATGGACTTACCTTTACTGTTATCCCTTGTTGTAGCAAATGGGATGGAACTCTTGGAACAAATATCAATGCAACGTCAATGAGACAGTCATTGTGAACACCGCCAATGCTATGGTTTCAAGCGGCCTTAAGGACCTCGGGTACCAATACATCAACATTGACGACTGCTGGGCATTGCATCAACGTGATAACTCTACTCAGAGGATTATCCCAGACCCCGAAAAATTTCCAAATGGTATCAAGGGTGTTGCTGACAAAGTGCACGCACTTGGTCTCAAGTTAGGAATTTATTCTGATGCAGGTACCAACACATGTGCTGGCTATCCTGGGTCTTACGGATATGAACAAATCGACGCACAGGCCTTTTCAGATTGGGGAGTAGACTATCTGAAGGTAATTCAAAGTTTCCAAGACTAAATTCAATACTATGAGCCATACATATTTATGAATAACTGTTTCAATCAAGTATGACAACTGTAACAACCTTGGATTGGCCGGAAATGCTAGTATTTCAAGCAAACGGTACAAGCGAATGGGGTATGGCTATATAGTACGATATGCATCTCCTTTAGGGAAATTTTTTTGACTCTAATTTATTGCAGAGATGCACTTAAGAACGTCAGTAGACCCATCTTCTTCTCCTTATGTAGCTGGGGCCAGGTAGGCGATAATTCACGAAATGATGGCTTTGATTGTGGTTATCTGACCTTGAACTTTGCACATTAGGATGATGTATGGGATTGGGGTAGAGTAAGTGCTCGTTATTGAGAGGGTTATGTTTTCGATGTTGATATACTCATGATGATGTTTCTAGTCTGTCGGTGGTCAATCATGGCGTATGTCAGGCGACATCTCCGACCACTGGTCCAGTGTTGTGTCAATCATCGGCCAAGAAGTTCCTATTGCCAACATTTCCGCCCCTGGTGGATGGAACGATATGGATATGTTGGAAGTCGGTGTGTATGATCAAATGACCATCACAGAGTACACCAGCCACTTTTCTATTTGGGCAGCCATGAAGAGCCCAATGATTCTCGGTAACGATATCACCAACATGACAAGTGATATCAAAAATATTATTACAAACAAAGAGGTCATTGCCGTCAGTCAAGACTTGTTAGGAGAATCTGTGAAACAAAGATGGGTCAAGGGGGATACACAATTATTTGCAGGACCTTTGTCTGGTCAAACATATGTAGCTCTTTTCTTGAACGAGGGTAACTCGACGGTCACGATGACCGGCACTTGGTCTGATATCTTCAACAACAAGCATGCAAACAAGCAAAAGCCTATTGCTGTACGAGATCTCTGGACACATACGGACTTGGGTAAATTTAGGGGCAGTGTTAGCGTTAGTGTTGAGGCACACGGTGTTCGCATGTTGCGATTTAGTCAACAAGCCTAACTTGAATCTAAATAAACCAATGACTTCCTCACACGCACTTCGTGCAATGGTAGTACTCCATGTGTGTACGTGTGACATTGCGTGCCCCATCGCCAGCCCCTTCAAAGTCTTTTGTACTTCCAATTTTCAATGTATCCGAAGCATCCACTGCAAAAAAAAAAAAAAAGTATCCGAAGTATCCATTCCATTGAATTATTGCTACAGATGCTGTATAAACATATTTGGTGATGAGAATTATGCTATCATATATCCTGCCACTCCCGTAAAAACAAAAAAAAGGCTGATTTTTATGCGTGTCATCCATTAACCTGCGTTTTGAACCATTTAAGTACACTCTCTGCAAGGAATCGGTCTGAAACATACATGAGACGTATAAAAAAAAATAAAAAAAAATAAGCGGGCTGTCGACTATCCGCTGTCGATGACAAATTAGAAGAAAAATCAACCTGGACTCTTACTGTGCCAAATTATAGATATATAAGCGATTGTTTGTTTACACCGGTTACTCTCATGAAGCACAAGTTGGCTCTTCTGTATAAACTAGCCAAATAAACCTCGTGATGAATATACGTCTCGACAGCGTGTTGTGGCAAAACAAGCAAAAGCGCCTTAAGATTTTGCTACATGCATTTTGAATAAGCTCATTCTTCTAACTAACAATTTGTTGGTATGAACGGCAGGCAGTATGTATAACAGATTTGAGTGAACTGCGTGTATAGAGGAAACCGCAGAGAGGGGACACAACCATCATACCAAACGGAGGAAAGGGGATACAAATCAACCGAACGATTCTGAATAATTCAAAGTGATGTGATAGCAGTTGATTACTGAAAAGGCGGACGATCAAATGATCACGCAATTGATGTCGACCACTTGCGCCATCGCATCTTTGGCTCGCTGAATAGTGAATCGGCCAATCAAGTACCGTACACGGTATTTAACGGCCCGACCCTCACTAAGCCAGTCCACCAGATTTGGCAGATATATATTGAAACCTTTCATCTTATTGGGCTTTTTTAGTTCAACCTCTTTTACCACTCTCCTATACCTCTGGAAAGCCCAAAAAATGTCGCGGGCTAGCAGCATGTTAATCGACTACGATGAGCCCAACTATAAAGAATCGGCTATTCGGTTTACTCGCAAAATGCCATCATATACCAAAGACTATTTTGTCAGCCTGTTCCCTATATTTACGTGGATTCATCGATATAACCTTACTGTACGTACACCCACATCTATATAACCAGCCTAACAACTGAAATTAATCACCCTTCAATACAGTGGCTACTGAGTGATGTAATCGCTGGTGTGACTGTTGGCATCGTTGTAGTGCCTCAAGGAATGGGATACGCAAAAATTGCACAATTGCCACCGGTACGTCAACAGGACAAACATTTTTATTATATGCTAAGCAGTTCGGTTTCTTATATATGGTCTTTTGTAGGAATATGGTCTCTACAGTTCCTTTGTTGGATTATGCATATGTATGTATTACTAACCTTCCAGATGAAAAATTGAATGGACAGTCACTAACCAGCTTCGATACCATTAGACTGTATATTCGGTACATCAAAAGATATATCTATCGGCCCAACTGCCGTCATGTCTCTCTTGGTTGGCCAAACCATCACTTCGGTCACTGCTTCAAATCCACTATATACCGGTCCAGAAATAGCAGCACTACTAGCCTTGTTTGGCGGAATTGTCAGTCTTTTCATTGGCTTAGTACGCCTCGGTATAATCGTTGATTTTATACCCAATCCAGCTATTGCTGGATTCATGACAGGATCAGCTATCACCATTTCTATCGGACAGTGGCCGAAGTTATTCGGTGTCACAGGTGTCAATACTCAAGACTCTGCATATCTTGTATTTGGTCATTTCTTCCAGCACCTGCCAAGTGCTAAACTTGACGCAGTATTCGGCATCCTTGGTTTGATTTGGCTCTACTCAGTTCGTTTCGGCACTCAGTACCTCACCAAGAAATATCCCAAATACGAAAAGCCCCTTTTCTTCGCCAACATCATGAGAAACGGTGTTCTAGTCATCTTTGGCACTTTAATTGCTTATTTGATCAACATCGGCAAATCTACTAGTCCAATCAGTATTCTTAAGACTGTACCTGCTGGCTTTAATGCTATGGGAGTCCCAACAATCGATACTGGATTGCTCAGCGAAGTTTCAGGCACACTCCCATCTGTTGTCATTATTTTGATCTTGGAACATGTTGCTATTGCCAAATCGTTTGGTCGTATAAATGACTACAAGATCAATCCTAACCAGGAAATCATCGCTATTGGTGTCACCAATGTTATTGGCTCATTCTTTGGGTAAGTTTTATGAGCGATTTGACATGTTGAGATTGGGAGTATGTTTTTCTGATCAACTTTGCTTTTACCTATAGTGCTTATCCCAATACAGGCTCCTTCTCCCGTACTGCTATCAAAGCTCGCTCAGGCGTCCGTACACCTTTGGCTGGTGTCTTTTCAGCAGCCGTGGTCGTACTGTCACTCTATGCCTTGACTCCAGCTTTCTACTATATCCCTGACTCCATCCTCGCTGCCGTCATTATTCATGCTGTCTCTGATCTTGTTTCTGGTCCAAAGTTTTTGAAGCAATTATGGCACGTCAATCCTTTGGAACTGTACGTATTCTTGATCCAGTCAGACTTTTATTTATAGTGAAGATATGCCTCTAACATAATGTTCCTAATTTTTTCTAGAGGTACATTCGTATGCGCTGTCATCATTACCTTTTTCACTTCTGTGGAATACGGTATCTACGTTTCCGTCGCTCTTTCTATTATCATTCTCTTGGTTCGCATTGCCCGCCCACGATACTCTGTCCTTGGACGCATTCCTCTGCAACGCTCCGCCGAAGACAAACAAGCCGATAATGAAAGAGAACGTTTTATTTATGTTCCACAATCTCACCGCTCACTCCGAGATTACGTTCAACCTACCCCTCCTGGCATTATCTGCTTCCGTTTTGACGAGTCACTAACCTATCCCAACTCTGGATTCATCTCGGATAAAATTATCGAATACGTGCGATCCACTACCCGACGTGGAAAACCGTTGCCTGAAAAGAAAGGTGATCGCGCTTGGAACGATGCCACCAAACATGAATCAGAAGAAGATAACAAGACTGTTCTGAAAGCACTTGTTTTTGATTTCTCTGGAGTCAATAACTTGGATTCAACGGGCGTTCAAATGCTTTTGGATGTTCAATTAGCTATCAACCGTTATGCCGATCGTACAGTCGAGTGGCACTTTGCTGGTATCACTAGCCCGTCTATTCGTAGTGCTCTTCTTGCCGGAGGCTTTGGCGTGAAGTCCTCTGGTGACCAGGGTGAAGTTCTCCCAGTTGTTCCAGCACACAGGGATGGTCCATCCAACAAAGGCAAGCAAGTCATTACCCCCGACAACAGACTAGACGATCTCGAGTCTGGCGGTGCCGCCTCCTCTGGCTCTGACTATGACTTGTCGGATGGCAAAGAACTCCATACCGTTCAAACTGTAGAATATTGCAACGACGACAAACATGAAGACTTTGACGTGGGTGTCCCTAGAGATGTTTATCCACTGTTCCATTGGAACGTAGAAGAGGCGGTGGTTGCCGCATGCAAAGCATGAAAAAGTCCAGAAACTGATTTCAGGATACGCTCTGTACATTATTGTAAATAATTTTTCTTCCGATCTATAAAGAAATACACCATCATCCAAATAGACATACGAACCAAACCTGCCTGCTACATTGACTGTTACTTTAAGCGCTTACGATTTTCACATCGCTACAAAAGAAAAAAAAACCAGCAAAAGACATTTTCATGGTACATTAAAGGTGAATGTTTGTTTTCTCTTTTTCTTTAGTGTAAGATCTTTGGTATTTTGCATTCACCAACCATTGGAATATGCCAGCAGTTGCACAAAATTTCTATAAAAACAACAAACTTCTATACAATATTTGCAAAGTATAATTAGCAAAAGGGCAACAAGAAGAGAGGAATTTGAACAGGGAAGGGGGGGAGGAGATATTTCGAGTGAGTTATTAGAACTTGATATGGACATGGGGTGGATTGAGGAGTTACTGTTGGTCGGAAACCACGCCAACCTGTGCGGGTCTCAAGACACGGTCCTTGATCATGAAGCCGAATTTTTGGACAGAGAAGACAGTACCAGCTTCCTTGTCAGGCATAGGTGCCTGGAAAAGAGCTTGGTGCTTGTTGGGGTCGAAAACTTCACCTTCTGGGTTATAACGCTCAACACCATGTCGCTTCAAGGCCTTCAACAATTCCGACTCGGTCATAGAAACACCAGTGTAAAGGTTGCTCAATTGATCGGCAAGCTTCTCAAGATCTTGCTTAGCAGCCTCCTCCTTGTTTCGGAGACCCTCAGGCACAGATTGCAAAGCCATACCCAAAATATCAACAGTATCGAGCAAATCTTTGGCGAATTTCTGAATAGCGAAATCTTGAGTCTGTGTGATTTCCTTGCGGGTGCGAACACGAAGGTTCTCTTGGTCAGCTAAGCAGCGCAAGTAAGCATCCTGTGGATAGAAAAGGGGAGATATTAGTGTTGGTACATTTGACTAAGCAATAGATGAACAAGCGCTATCAGCCAAGGCAATTTCTCCTCTTCGACACTTGGACAAAACCGCCTAGCACCTGAAACGGCTACCATTTGTCCACATGTCAACAGCAAATTGACCCTGTTCATCTTCCATTTCAAACCCGTCAGTAATTACCTGAATTTCAGCAAGCTTTTTCTCCTTCTCTGCCAAAGCAGCAGTAAGTTCTTCAGCAGTCTTACCACCAGTGGCCTTCTCGGTGGATTCTTCCGTGGTGGCTTGCTTAGGAGTTTCAGTGGAACCCTCACCCTTGTCTGTTGCATAGGCTCGGCGTGAGATGGCGGCCCAAGATAGAGCAGGGGTGGCCTTTTGAACAGCGGTGAAGCGGGCAGAGCTGATGGCAGCAGTCTTGATTAAGGTGATGGCAGACATTATGTTGGGGGTAAGAGATGTGAGTTTGGGACTGTGAATTTTTATTTTTTTCAAGTTTGTTTACGACAAGGAAAAAAAAAAGAGTTGAGTCAGACACTTCATCCGCCCGTACTTCTCCGCACTTAATCACTGAAATAGAGTGTTCTCAATCATGCTTTCAGCTTCTAAGGCATTATTCATATTTAAACTTGAGAAAAAAAAATACCAATGTTTAAAAAAAATGCACATGTTTTTCAACCACCTCTGTTCTCTTTTTTTCTTACCTTGAGTAGCACTTGAGGGTGTATATGTCATTCTGTAAGTCAAAGTACTTTGGTGACCACGTTTTTTTGTTCTGTTCCCGTAAATCGCCTTCTTGACGTTGCCTTTCCTCGATATTGCATTTTTCCTGCGTCGCGGTTTCCATGTCTCCGGCATTCAGAGCTTGAGTCACAAGGCTCCAGCAGCTGGTAGGGGATGAGAATTATTAATATTGCAAAATCTCATAGCGAAATAGGAAATTGCTTACCGTCGGGATTCATTTAGCTCTTGTCGTTCTTCGGGTTCGACAATTAGTTCGTGTCTGTGTAGCACATTCACATCCAGCAACAACTTCTCCTCTTTGTCCTGCAGGATGTATGTCAGGGAGGTACATAAACGGCCGAGGAAAATATAAAATGTTGACAAAGGATGTACCTGCGTATTTTTAATATACAACTTGTCATCCCAGCCGCCAGTGATTTCATACAGTGTTTGACCAGTAGATAGTCGCTTGATGTGACCATGTACACGATTCATGTGGGAATGGAAAATGCCCTAATATGAATGGTAAGATATTCTACCTGTCGTCCTATGAAGTGTCGATAGCAATAATGAAAGGCTTACTGTCGTCTTAAAGTCAAGGTAGCAAACAAGATCAGATTCTTTACATTGAACGGTTGAGTGACCCCCAATCTCAAAGTGCATCGTTCCGATCCTTTTAAGAGGCAATTAAAAATAAATATATATCTCTAAAACGCCAAACGACAGTATATGCATGTCTACGTACAGAATACCCTTGGCATAAGCGTTGGGAAATGTAATCTCGTATGTCTCGCTGTTCCTGGAAAGCATATTAATGCGAGTGGAACCATGCATCAGTGTTGCAGCACTATTGCCCAGAAATCGACTCTTCGGCCGTAAGTCTCCTTGTATAACGAGTCCTTTTTGTGGATTGGCGAAGAAGTAGGTTGAAATCGGCGGATGATGCGACACCTGCTCTGCAAAATAATACCCTTTGCTTCCATCATCAAATTTGTACTGACAGCGGAAAATCTCTCCAAGTACAGGATTGTATGGTTTTTTCACTCCCTGAGAACATTGTTAGTCAATAACGGAGATTAGACGACAAATCTCAAGGGAAATGGTAACTACCTTAGCTTTGATGTGCCAACCTGATAAAAAGTACCGAACTACCGAAATAAATCTGGACTCCGGGTCGTCATCATCAATAGCTCTACAAGCAAATAATTGGTATTTTTCTTCAGATATGATGTATGAAACGCATTAAAGCTTACTCTAGTAGTAAGTTTGGATGTGCACTAAAGTTTGTAATCCTCTCCAACATGCTGAGGGGCTCAAGAATGAATACAGGCAGCGAAATTCTGCCTAGTTCCATACCAGATGTCAGTTGGCCGATTATATCCAGTAATATTCTTTTAGAACTGTCTCCGAGAACTTCTGTGCTGGTATTCTCTATCAAGGTCATTTTGAATAGATGAGAGAGAGAACATGGTCGTAGGATGTCGTGAATAAAAGCGCTCTCATAAAAGGAGCTAAATGAAATACATTTCCCTACCCCTTTTAATTTTCAACAAAAACAAAAAGGTGTATATTGCAACACCGGATAAGGGTTGCTACAAAAGCGAGGTGAGTTGATGCCGTTTGTTAAGGCTATTGTTATGTATCTTCAAAGATGATAGCACCTGTTCTGTAGTGGCACGATTGCATCGCAGTTGAGATAGCATCCTGGCCAACGGTATGGCCAAATTTTAATCTTTGCAGGTTGATGTTTTACTGCCATGGTAATTTCCGAAATTTTCTATTCCCACATACGGATAATTCAGCTTTCCTTTTTTTTTTTTTTTTGGTTTTATAGGATAAATGCCTGAAAAAAGTTGTCGTGGTCAAAATGAATATACGAATATTAGGGACAAGATGGAGAGAAAAAATTTGAGAAAAGATTACTACAAAGTACAACTACAACAACAAAACCAAGACAGCAATGCAAACGAGTCAACACTCAGATAATTGATAGAATTAAAGGCGAATGACGTCTAGAAGAAGGAAGTGTAAACCCGCTAACTCGGGAGGCGCCAGTTGTAGTGGAGTGAGGGAAGATAGAGAGGTCTGTTTTTTTTTCCTATGGACACAATGATCGTGGATAGTATGCAGAATGGTAACAGAAAATGCAATTGCGTGGGCTAATTTCATGATTTCATATCCAAAATGACAACTTGTTTGCTGGAGGTACAAGCTGCGAGCTTTTCACCAGTTTTGTTAAAGTGCACCTCAAATATTCCTCCATTGCCCTTGTACGTCTTGAGAAGAGTTCCCTTCTACATAATAAGAACAGTTAGTACGTGAATTACGCAGCGGTCATGTTAGCCTTCTAAAGTCTTACCTTGGCATCCCAAATATTGAGCATTTCATCAAAGCTACCAGAACATAACAGACGTGCATCTGGACTAAATGATATAGAGTATACAGCTTCCGTATGGTTTTTGAGGACATGCAGACAGGTTCCTCGTAGAGCATCCCAAATTCTGATGGTGGCATCAAACGAACCAGTGGCAAGTATACGCGGTGAAGCGTCGGGTCCACTACGTTCAAAGTACGGTGCCCATTGAAGTGTGTAGATTTGTAGTTCGTGGCCTCTTATTTCTTGGACACACTGGTCTGAATCTGGTGACCAGATTTTGGCTGTTGTGTCATCAGAGCAAGAGGCAAGCCATTCTCCGGTTGGGTCCCATCTAACAGCGTTTACCTCGTCCTAAAGTGGAAAGTAAATATATATTCTTAGGAACACTGGCTGATCATGATATATGTTTTTTACAATGACTTACCTCATGCCCATGCCATGTTCTTAAAGGCTTGGTAGAACCAACCTTACAAAGTCGAATAGTTTGGTCGGTAGAACATGAGGCAAAGGTTGTATCGTCCATCCAGTCGACGTCTAAAATTGCCACTATAACAAACACATGGTGAGAACAAATGTCCAAATGCAGTTTTTTCAAGCGCATCAGCTGATGTCTATTTCGCTAACTTACATTTGTGCAGCTCAAATTGTTGTTTCATATCACCAGTCTCTGGATTCCATACAACAGTAGTGTTATCAGCACTACCGCTCAACAACAAATCACCCTTCTTGTTCCATTTGAGAGAAAAGATGGGCCCACGATGTTGGGTCATAACGCATCGTAATTCGCCACGTGGAGTCCATATCCTCGCCTGTCCATCATAAGAGCCAGTTGCGAGTAGTGTTCCGGAAGGATTCCAGTCCAGAGTTGTCACATCTTTGTTATCATTGAGGTTTGGCAAGTGGTTAAGTACGATGGGTTCTGGTACTTCATCACCTTCAGCAGGCACCTGCCATAAACGGGCGGTTGCGTCTCCAGATCTGGAAAACGAGAAATGAGTTGGTCTAATGCGTTGTGCGGCTTAAAAAGAAAACAAGAAAAAAACCCACCCTGACGCTACCATTAAAGGTATTTGTGGATTCCATGCACAAGAGAAAACTTCATTTTGATGTCCCTTTAAAATCAGCGCCTCATTACTTGCAATCTCTATGACACTGCTGGTTTGCTGGTCGGCATCGGCCATAACAACTGTGAAGTGCAATGGAATTGTGTGAGCAAATTTTCTTCTGAAAATTTACATCCCAGTAATAAGGTAATGTAGGCTCTTACCATCATCGCCTTCGCCTTCTTCTTTGTAGTCATTGCCATTTGTCGTGGTTTCCTGTCCATTCACAAGGCTCTGGCCAGCAGAGGGACTTTGTGGGTTATCTTTGCGGGCGCGCTTTTCTCTATCCTTTTGATTTTTTTTGTCCTCTTTTCGTTCCCGCTTGTATCCAGTAGCAATGGCGCTGGAAACAGATTCTGCACGCTTGTGGCCGCCTTTTTTCGATACTTCGCATCGATGTGGACCTAACAAAGTCATTGGTACATCGCATTCTATTTCATTCCCATCCTATTTCGGCGAGTTAGTCAGCGTTTTATGGAACATGGCAGTAGTGCAGGCAAAAACGAAGGCTAATGTACCTCATCCAAGTGCGTTTCAATATCCATGTACTGCAAGCCTTTGTGAAGCACATCGATAAGTGCTCCAGGTTGAATGTTTGCATTCCGATATTCTGATTTGTGTATTTGGCTTTCATGTTGAAAGGTATACGATGAATACCGAAAACCTAGTATGGAGTATTTTGAAAACGGAGGAAAATATTAATATCCGTAAACGAAAGCGTGATCAAGATGAAGAAAACGGGGATTTGTTGCAGTGAGAGTAATCTAACGTTGAGAAGACAGCAGTGCTGGTATGTTTTCGCGCGCGTTCGTGTTGAAATAGTAATGTTGCATTTTTGGAATCATCGGTTCGAGTAGAGAATGCGCAACAAGTAATGTGACAGGAATCAAAGCTAGAAATCGTCTTCATCTAGAAGAATCAAGTAACTACGTACCGGATTCTTGTAAGTATCGAAACACAAGGTAATTGATCTCCTCGCTGGTCAGACTCATCGGTGTTTTCGGGACCCTTCAGATGAAAAGATTAGCAATGTTGAATGGAAGGTCTTTCGGTTTCAGACCTACACACACAACAAAAATCACGTGATCTAGGGCATGTCTCGTTTTGGGAAAAATGGATTCAAAACAATCAAAAAAGAGCCTTTCTTTCATTCAAGTTTATGGGGTTGTGAAACGGGATAACTCTCAAAACAAACATAAAAATAATACAATAAAATTTAAAAAGTAAAAAGAAAGCTGGCACTATATGTCTTCTGATAAGAGCAAAAAGTTATACACCTCTTTGGGTAAAAACCGTCAATTCGAGGCTGTGAAGTGGGCTGATTTAATCGAACAATCCAGCAAAACTAATCCTTTGACGAGGGAAGGTAGTAACACCGTTCAAGCAAGTAATCTGTCGTTCATCTGGGGTCATAATCTTTGCATTTACAGTGTATTTTCCCTATGAAAGAGGACGGTCAGTAAGTTTATACCATAAATATCAACCGCGCAAGTGACACTTACCCCGGCTATACAAGATTCCGATCCAGCAAGTAGGATAGATGGCATATCATTAGCTCGAGAAACATTTCTAAAAAGTTGAATAGAGCGGGAACATGGTACTTACGAATCTCATTAGGAAGATCAACGGATTTAGTGAAGGTAAACTCTCCGGCAGCAATAGGGCACTGAGTATCGATCTCCTTAGCTTGATCGCACAAATCGAGACGCTTTTGTAGAAGTTTAACAACTCCAAACTAAGAAAAGCAAGTCAACGTCAGACTATTGTTTCGACTTGTACGCATGATGACTTTCCCCTTCCTTACTTTAACCGTCAAATCGATGTAAGATCCATTTTCAACTTGCTCACTTAACCAGCCCTTGAATTCGATATCGAGAGGCTGACCCTTGACCGGAGGATCGGGTGTCAAATTGATATAATCGATACTGTACGTTGTAGGTTATAAAAAATCAGGATTATATGTATAAGTCTCGCAGTACCTTTCCAACGTCAAGTTTGGCTGGCTTACCTCAAAATGTCATGTTCGTCACCGCAATTGGTAATCAAATCGGTCGACAAAGTTTGACCAATTTCTTGAACTCGGAATGCAGGAAGGACCGCTGCATTAGCAGCAGCTGCAAACAATGATAGTAGAAGAATGGAACGCATGGTCGTTTAGAGTACGGGTAACAGTGATAAGGTCAACCGAGGAGCACGTCATGTGCGACAATTTACACCTTTTAAATAAAAGTCCGCCTGGTCCAATCATCATGAACTTTGCCATAATGTGACTGACCATGGGTGAGCCAAAGTTAATATTCCACCGAAGAGGGGACAAGAAGAAGGCATGATTGCAATATGAAGCTAACACTAGATCATGCGAGTTAATAATCAACAAATGCATAAACTACATTTCCTTTGCTAGCGGTAGATGAGTTTAAGCATGTCCTGGTGCCTCTCATTCTTCTCGACACGGAATATCTACGATGCAATGGATCTATGATAGATATTTATACCACATAACCAAATTCTGGTATACCAATTAGCTTCCAGTTTATCCGGATAACAGAGGACATAAACAGTTTAAATCAGTAACCAGAAATCTCTATATCTGACCGAAACATGAAAGACCAGACATTGAATGGGACAATATTTTAGAGATTTTACAATCATGTATAATATAAAGGGGTTGGTCCATAATCTGAGAATGCAGGCGTATGTAGCAGGTCCTACCATTGATACTGTAGAGCTTTATATTGAAAGGGAAGGAACGTAAGGAAATGTTCATAGAGCCAAACGATCCAAACTGAAGGTGATAAATGTAGATATTGTATGCAAATAATCATTACTCTTGTATTGCTTACTTGCTTGCAACTTGTGGTTTTTTTGTTAGCTACCATGGCCAGGTAAGAAAAATTAAGTTGGGCACCAAATGGGTAGGTCAGATCACGTGAACATCGGTGTGCGGAAATCGAGGTCTGAAGAGGCACTGAGCAATGGAACTAGATGAAAACCCTCTTTTGTTAAGGTAAAAAATCCATCCATCCATCTACCCCGTACAACAGATATAGACAACGCATCCAGCAACCACATCAGCACATCCATCGACACTACTTAGAATCTTTCGATTGAATTTTTTTCACTGACTCGAGAATCCATTTTGTCAATTTCAGCGAAAATGGCTGCTCTCAATTTGCCCGCTGACATTGCCGCCAGCGCCGATGGCTCTCGCAAGCTCTTCAACAAGTGGTCCTACGAGGATGTCGAAGTCAAGGACATCTCTCTCCAGGATTACATCCAAATCCGTCAGCACATCTTTGTCCCCCACACTGCTGGCCGTTTCGCCTCCAAGCGTTTCCGCAAGGCTCAGGTAAAAAAAAAAATTACGTTTGATTCTAGTTTCCTGGCTTGAGAATGTCCTAACGTTTTGTATGGTATAGTGCCCCATTGTTGAGCGTCTCACCAACTCTCTTATGATGCACGGTCGCAACAACGGAAAGAAGCTTATGGCTGCTCGCATTGTCCAGCACGCTTTTGAGATCATCAACCTTCTCACCGACCAGAACCCCGTTCAAGTTCTTGTCGATGCTATCATCAACACCGGACCCCGTGAAGATTCCACCCGTATCGGTTCCGCTGGTACTGTCCGTCGCCAGGCTGTTGATGTTTCTCCTCTTCGACGTGTCAACCAGGCTATCTCCTTGTTGACCACTGGTGTAAGTACATCCAGTAATATCATAGTACCACTCATAGTGTGATGACTTAACCTTTGTGTGTGCTCTCTTATCTAGACTCGCGAGTCTGCTTTCCGCAATGTCAAGACCATTGCTGAGTGCCTTGCTGATGAGCTTATCAACGCCGCCAAGGGTTCCTCCAACTCTTATGCCATCAAGAAGAAGGACGAGCTTGAGCGTGTTGCCAAGTGTAAGTCATCTTTGCTATCTCTGTTATTATGCATACCATCATCGTCAATACTCAACTCTCTTCCTTTCATTAGCCAACCGTTAAAGAAACCGTTTTCGCGAGCATGTATCATCAGGCAAGGCGGTATTTGTATCTATCACAAATACTCTCTTGCATGTCGACTTGTGCTCACTTGTCAATTTTTCCAATTGTCTTGGATTAAAAATAAAAATCTAAATCCTCTATACAAACATAGTGAGTTCTAATTGAAGAGTAACAGACATGTATTTTCTATAAATGATGAACAACAGTACAGTGAGATGGAATGCATGTATGGAAGGAGCAGTAAAAAAAACAAGATATTAGTTGTTTTGGGATGGGATTTTTTTTTCTCTATAATTTAATCATCTTCTTGAGCGTAGTAGAACTTGCATTCTTCTATTTGACGCTCGATTTCGTCCGTGTCTGGTTGCTTAATGCAACTCCAGCTACGATTCAGTATTTCTTCCAGGGGGAGATGACCCACCAATGTTCTAAGAAATCATGTTATAACATTGTAATTTGGTCGTTTCAAACACGGGTAGTATAGATTATGTTACCTTCTGGGTGCGGTCTTCAAACAGTGCTCAGCGTCCATTTGCAAATCTAGGACACTGTCATAGTGAGCTCCAGGACTAAACCCAATTCGAAGAGAATGCTCCTTTTCTGTAGATGACAGCTGTCGCTCATACAGCTCAAATGTGATTTGAGTTAAGTCTGCATTTTTGCGTACAAAAGGACGGTTAGTATATGGCTGTGAGGTTTAATGAAACGGAGAATGGTTATCCGGCGAAAGCGTCGACTTACAATCAAGTTCAGGTAGCATTGAACGAGGAGTTTTGGTGGGTATACCTGTCTGGAATATCAAATTCAGCAGGGTATGCACGTGTGACTCTAACAATCGCAAGCATATCAGTGATATTGTCATCGGACATGTCGTATTTTAAATTGTTCACTAACCTTTGGTAAAGTACAACCTAGTTCGAGGGTCATCGAGTGCCTTGATTTCCTCCAGATCTTTCATTATCTTCTTCATTAATGGTAAACTGATGAGCATACCAATTTCTCTTTGCTCTTCGTCAGTCATACCAAATTCCTGTGGTGCAATGAAGTCGAAGAGTATCCTCACGCAGTGGTACAGCCTCTTCAAGTCTTGCAATCCATCATCAACTTTCCACAAGTTGGATTCGGTTGATGCTCTTGAGTAGGTATCAGAAACGTCGCTTTTCCTTGGCGGTGGTATGGTATCTTGGTCCACAAAGATAGTCGTCATAAAAGCTCGATTATGTAAGGCATCGTACTTCAAGGTATCATACAATTCTGGTATTTTGGATGGTGCGAATAACTTCACGTTTTGTTCTTCTCGGTCGATTTCACTTGCGCTCGAGTTACTTTCAATGTCATCAGTATCGTCATCGAAGCAAAAGTCTTTGAAATGGCGCTCCCATCGTTCCTTAAACAAGGCAGGTGATTCGTGGCAGCACCATCGACGCTGAATCGATTCAATATCCATGGATGCAAAATTGTTGCGCATGATCTGCCTGAGCTGACGCATGAGGCTGACAATCTCTTTAGCAATCACGCCAGGATGGCTTGCTTGTGACTTCCGTGATTGTTGATCGCTTGTGCCTGCCGTAGAGTCCGGGACTGAGGACAACGCTTCCTTCAACTTGATCTTGACTCTGTCGCATTGCTCTTTTGCAGCATTGCTATCGTCCAGGAGAACTTTGCTCTCAGTAATGATGCCTTCCAAATCATCTACACCACCTAAGAAGGACCTGGCAAAAACGTCCGCTGTAATTTTTTTTCGTAAGATAAGAGGTGAGAACTGAGAGGGTAAAAAAAAAACCAATTTTAGAAATAGCTTTGTTTGACATACCAGTGGCTCTTACTCGACGTTCTGAACTACTATAGATCTTGACGTTGTTTTGGAGTAAATTTCGATTCATGATTATCATATCCTTTCTCAAATTGTTCCCAAAATCTCGAGCCTGATGTAGACCAGCATGAGTGAATTCACCACCCCACTTCACGATAAGCTGAATTTTGACCAGATTGCCTGACTCCATTTCAAAATACGGTTTGAGTTGAACTTTGGTTCCAGGCATTTCACTTTTCTTGTTCAGAATTTCAAGAATGTTGTCCAGCTTCTCCTCGTCTTCCAGCAGTTCATTTTTGGCAATGACGGTGGCGCTTTGGAATTCAGCAAGTTGATGTTTTTGGCGAAACACTACTTCTTTCTCACTGCCTTGCAAAAGATCCACAAATGGTTTTGATGTAACATAGATTTTGAATTTTTGCTTTGGGGTTCGATCGGCGTGCCTCAAGACGGCTACAAATCCTTTAAGTCGCCAGGAGTGCTCTGGAGATATCTCCGGAGGAATATCGATGATGGAATTTCTTCGACGCACAGATCTCTTGAATGCATCACTCAGAATTCGAGCGCAATTATCGTAGTATGATTCGCTTCCTTTCACAAATGACCAACCATTGACATCGATGACATATGATTTGCCGTTGACTCGGAGCAAGTCAAACCCACATATGGTTTGTCCAAAGGCGGCCGATAACTTGCGCGCCATCTCTTTTTCCTCAGGAGTGAGCTCAACACAATAGCGAATTTCTTTTCCATCCGTGTTTCGTTTAACATGTCCATCTACTACAGGTGATCTGTGAAACGATGACTCAATATAAGATTGCAGATTTGCCCAAAAGGTGACCAGAGGATACATACTTGCGAGTTTCAGCGTGTGTATAGTTCGGGCCGACAGTATAAACTTTAACATCTTCTGCGTTATCGACATTCATGAACTGTTCATAAATATAGGAACCTTCATCTCGAGGACGGTTTAGGTCTTTGTCGTATTCACTTGATTTGTTTCCAACCTATGAGTAGACAAAGATTGAGCTGACTGACAAATGCAACGCTTCACTGCTCATGACCACCTACTTTTCGAAACAGTCTACGACCGCCTTCGCCACCGCTGAAATAGATGTTGATATTGTGATTTTCGCCGTCTACAGGCTTCTCAACATAAGGTTTGCTCAACGTTTCACCATTAACTCGAATTCCGTCTTCGAGTATTTCTAGATCAAGCTCGCCGGAATATGTATCCTTTATCAATTGTTCCAAGTCCATTCCATTTCTTCGCTTAAAGGCCTTTGCGGCTTCAGGTTCAATGGTTGGGCCTCCATCTCGAGAGACAGCAAGTCTATAGGGGGTAGGAACACCAATCTTATTCAAAATGGTCAGGACAATACGACGGTCCCAAAGCAGATGCTGCATCGGTAGCGAATTGACACTGTAGGGTCGACGAAGCTTGGTATACTGTATAGCCTTTTCAAGAGGGAACCCGGATGAAAAAAATGATATTAAGAAATCACACCCCGGCCATTTCTCGATATCTATTGCAGGTTGGGTGATGATGAGTCGGACTTGTAAACCTACAGAAATTTCTAAAGGCAGACGGATCTAATTACCTTCATCTAAAATCGTTTTGTCGCCAAAGATAACGATTTCAAAATCACCATGTGCAAGAAGTCGGTTCAATATGTATCGCATAGGCTTTGATCTTGCTTTGCAATCCATGGCACAAACACCAACGACATCTAATGACACAAATAATGGGAGAGAAGATGTTACGGTTTTAGCAGGTCAGATGTGCACACGTGAGGAGATGTGCAACTTCCGTTGCCAATAAGAATGTACGTTTACATTTTGCTCTATTTAGAGTAGGTGAAGGAGGGGTGGGGAACACAGGCGATGTAAATCCAGTGGGAGGCATGTGCGCTGCCATTTCCGAGTCATTGTTGGAAGGTTCCGTTTTAACAAATGGCATAGCGTATATACAGGGGTAACAACGCTTATCGTATGTAGACCAACGTTGGTTTCAGTGATTGCACAAAGGGAAATGTCAAGCTTGAAAAAGAGAAAGAACGCAAAGAGAAAAGTCGAAAATGACGCTTAGCTGTTGACTGGTCGACTGCTTTTTTGCCCCACTGGCCATGCCAAAAATGATTCAAACCCAAAATCAATCTTCATAGACGCTGTCACGTGTAATTGCGTTACTTGTATGAGATCAAAGATGTCAAAACTGTGCCATGTACTTGGCAATGACGGCCACGAAAGATTCCAGCCATTGAGTCAGTGCTGGTATTATGAAACTATTCTACTTTTTTAATGTACAATAGGAGTTCATGGGACCCAAACTTTGCTGGCAAGATATTATTCTCAGCGTTCTCAAGTTTTTGACTCCGTCTCAAACGTTGTGCATATCTACCACTACGCAGTGGGCTCAAGGGTTGTTAACTGCTACAGAAATTCCCGATTGGCTTCATCATTCTGATAACAGTGTGAAATGAACTTCCTAATAATTAGGAAGCTTTGGGTAGCTGATTGTCTTTCTCCAGTCGGTACCATTGTCTTGGGCACATTGAGTGCAGCTGAGATTTTGAGAGGACGAGCTTCCGACCGACGCTCAGTCATTTTTGCAAGTGTGTCATTGGCTATATTGGAAATAATGTGGAGTAATGTGTTGTCGCCACAAATGTACAAGTACGCTAAATTAATGGTCGGCTTGTCAGCAAGGTTAGATTATATCCATTCTGCATACTGTGCGATCAGATAACTTCGCTATTATACAATAAACTATCTTAAGCGGAGCCCATTACAGATAAAGAATTGTATTGCAATATAACAAGTATGACAGGAAGCGGATTTACAATGGAGGTCAGAAGATATAATGATCTTGGGATAAATTATTTTTTACCTTCCTTAGTTGTTCAAACATAGGTTAGGGTAGCTGGTGCATGCTTTGTAACGATTTGTATTCTGCCTTCCCGGTATTCAGACTTGTCTGACTCAGGTACCTTACGGCCACTTTTGTATTCCTTTTCGCTCTTCTCAAACACAATATTTAAAGGGTTTGGTGCTTCGACAGTAGCCGTCTTGTGAGCAGTGGAGACATCAAATGTACCAATGACAGTATCGGGCTAAGAAGAGGTGTCAGTTCATCAATCGTTCAACAGTATTGATGATAAACGATATAACACTTACCACTTGCACGTCGACCAAACTATGGCTTGTTTCCGCATACACTTCAATCCTCTTCTTGCTGTCATCTAGGCCGATTTTAAGATCGACGCTTGCGTGACTAGTAGTGGCCTTGATTTGCTGTCCGATAACAACATCGGCTTTGATGGATGAGTTGTTGGTAATCATTTTGACTTTCCTTCCAACGACCTTGCTAGGGATAATCTTTCCGTTGCTGGTATACAGGTCCACATCACTACCAGGGGCTTCGTAATTTCCACTGATCGTTGCATTGGAAGTTGAGATATTGAGATCGCCACCAGTCTCTTCAAGTCTGCAGTTGCTATCAATCTTTGCGTTGGTGGTCTTCAATGTTATATCTTTTCTTGCTATGAAGTTACCCTCTATTCTGGCGTTGGTTGTCTGGACCTTGACGTCGTTACCAGTAGCATTGATATCTGAGATCTTCGCATTTGTAGTTTTGATAGAGATGTCTTTGCCATTGTAATCACCAGAGATATACCCATTGCTAGTTGAAACTTTGATCCTTGCTGAATTGACTTTCAGTTGCACGTAGCCACTGCTACTTTGGATATTCGCACACTTGACAGCATTAATTGCTCCTTTGATGAAGTTGTTGGTGGTAGTGATTGAAACATCGCTCGCCTCAGCATTCATTTCGACAGCACCGTTAGTAGATTTTGCTTTGATATAGTTTTTAGCCACAAAATATCCGTTGATTTGTCCGTTAGTGGTTTCAAGCGTTATGTCCTCAGCGCTACTTGCCTATAAATTTGACAGTTCATCAGCATTGCGTCAACTTCAAAACGTAATCTTTCCTTACATACCAAGGCCTTGATGGGACCATTAGTAGTTATGAAAGTCAAGTGGTTCGCATTAACGGTCTAGTGATGGACGACGATTTAGCATTGTAAACTGAGTCAAAAACAGCGCGCACCCAGAAAACTTGTACTGACCTCAAAATTGATTCGGCCATTTGTGGTTCGAAGGTCGATCTCTCCAATAACGATATCACCAACGCCATCCAAACCAACGATAGACGAATTGACAAGAGATGCACTCAGTCTCTCGGGTCGCATCCAGTGGTCAGGGATAGTGACGAGCCAAAAGGCACGTACTTTCCTCTTGAACCCCAGGCTTTTTGGTGTCCTCAACGTATATCTGTAGCTGTCATCCGAAGTCTCTGTGCTCAAAGACACATCCTCATCCGGAACATGAATCAAAAACACATCAAGCTGGATTGTAATAATATCGACTGTTTTGTCTCGTGCTGTTCGGATAGTCATACCACCAGCCTAAAAGTTGTTAGTATCTGATCCGATTGGAATCTGCCACAGCAACGCTTCGATATCGGTACTCACAGTCAAACTGCCCGTAATTTCAGCATGAAGTCTCTTCGCTCCACTATCCGCAACCTGAACACCAGAGCCGGACCACAATACACCCTTCCGGTCTTGCTCAGGGATGTAATCTGTGGATGAGGGCTTGATGGCGGCATATGGTGTATATGGTGGAAAAGGTGGAGCTGATGCTGAGCTATAACTGTCTCGCGCTTGCGATCTAGGCGGACAGAATGGATTGCAACCTCCTAAGCCATAAAATACTGTTACAATTGAGAAGTGTAAGGCACGTTTATGATACAGCTCATAGAGCAGAATAGTTGAATGAGTATACCATACCATTGGCAGAAGGTGATGGCTGATGATCGGCGGTGTTCAGGTAACGCTGAGCGTGAGGAAGCGGAGGTGCTGTTGGTGTATAGAGAGAATCTGTTGCCAAGAGTGAGAAGAAACTTCAAATCGTACGGATAGCTGTATTTAGGCACACACTACTAATTACCATAGCTAGGTGGTTTATCGTCGATGGTGTTTCCTTTCATTTTGTATATATTTTTTGCTTGGATTTTTCGAAAGCAGTGGGGCAATAGGAGCAACGAAAGGAAAGGGTGTTTATTTAAGCAAAGGAAGTCAAAGTAGTGGCTGCGCAAAATTTTCCATAATTTACCTTTTACAAAAGCCGTCCTTGGGTTCCTTGGCGCCAAGCCTGCCAAAAAGATGTATCTTGAACTCTTGGACGGCTGTTCCTGAAAATTGAAATTGTTGGCAGGTGGGATGGTGGATAATCCAGTGGGAAACATGCTGTAGTTGATGGATACCACAACTACATGAAATCAAACGATTTTTGCCACATACTTTACTGGGTTGCGGTCAAACTCCGTTATTAAGCCCTCTCGTCAAATTCCAAGCGTACGCTTTGTACATACTACTTACTCCGAACGCTTGAGCCTAATGAGTCGCAAGATAAAAATTTTCGGTCTGTCTTAGTGCCCTTTCAGTCGGTGGGATAGTCGCCCCGCCTTCTGAGGGACGGTGAGTCCGACATTCGGTTCTTTAGCTGAATTTTATAAACAAAGGCAATGCAAAACGTTAATGTCAAAATATGTATATCACACAACGCGAATGTTAATGAAACATTTGGGGGAAGGTCGACTGTGAGGTAAATAGATAGCCAGCAGTATGCAGGTTAAACGTGGTAGGCATCAAGCTCAGCTCCACCAACATGGACGGGCGATCGTGATATAAAAAAAATGTGCATCCATGCCGAATATGAGAGCAGCTTTGCATTATGTTTCGTAATTGAATATAAGCGAAATCTCACATTGTACAAATATTGGTTGGCCCAGAGCGGAAGTCCATCCATAATGACAAATGTCGTCACTGTGAGGTTGGTTGATTTTTCTGATAATGATCTCTCTACTTCAGGGCAAGACGTCCATTGATGAGTAACTGCACTGTTCAGCAAGCCACGGCTTTCTTTTGATCGATTTGTCCAAATATCTGCAAGCCCTTTTTATATATATTTTTATTTCACGAGCATTCATACCTTTCCGGATGTGGCCGGCGAAAACGTGAGATGATAAAAGCCCATTTAATGACAGCATGTGTTTTGAAGTTTTTTAAATCACCCTTTATTTTTGCGAGCCTCCTTAAAAATTTTAGTATCTTTATTTTTTTCTTGTACAATCTCTCGCCTTCGTCCTATTGTCTCGGTGGCAAAATCGTTTGGTCTTTCAATTCACCTGCAATCAAATTCCCCGGTTTCTAGTATTTAAAGTTCTTTCTTTGACAACCAATAATACGCGTGGTACTGCATTAGATTATGGCCACGACAGCCGTCTTGAGTGAATTGGCGCTGTCACAACATCAACTTCTGATATCAAACCTACATTATTACAGTAATACTTCGTCCGACTCGCCTACCTCTAGCGTAATCTCAGCTGGGTTGTCATCCAAATCAACTTTGACTTCTTTCCCATTAGTCAAAACTTACCCAGCGCAGGGTCCACTTCCACAACGCAGTATGGCTTACACAGTTGTGGAATCACGATGGAACAACGAACAAAGTAACCATTCGTCATCCACAACCGTCCCCGCGTCATCTTACATGCCGCTCGAATCGAAACACTCGGCAATTCCCGCGTTGGTGTGTCAGACTTCCCCTGAATCCAGCCATGGCCCAGATGGACAGTCTGTCGAGGACGATAGGTAAGGGGCTACAACTGTTTAAAAAAGGGAAAACGTGTTACTGACGAACGTGAACCTCATCGGTTTGCTTGACCGTGTCATCAGTTCCGAAAATGCAGAATGGGCAAAAGAGTGTATTGCCAGGTTATTGAGCGATGTTTCCTCCATTGAATTTCCTCCTAGTGTCATGGAAGTTCCTATCAAAAGTGAGAAAAGAGCGATTAACCGTTCTGCTAGTACTGGCCACTTCAGTTTACTGGTACCTGACAGATCAGAAAGTTCACCGCTGGATCATATGACTCGAAAATCTTCACGTAGAATAGATAGAGCCAAATCATTCAAACAGCCTGATATTGCCACCATATCCGAAGAGAGTAATGGAATCTCATGCAACGATAGGACACAAACAAGACCCCAGGAACCTGGTAGACTGATTCGAAGATTATCTCTATTGGCACAACCTTTGAAGCGATCCTTGAGTTTGATTTCAGATCGAGGCGCCAACATGGAATCCATGAACATCAATCAAGAAAGTGAAAAACGTGCTTTACCGCAATCAAAGCGAGAAGTTCGAAGGGAGCTTCCGCAAATTACTCGACCGCCGAATGGACGCCCGATGTCGATGGCCATGCCAGTACCTGGCTCTTCAATGCTCGATCAACCTTCACCTCCTAGAAGAGCAAGAGCCCACCGAATGTCAAGTATAGAAGTTATGCAGTATTTGAGCAGTAACCTGCTGAATGTGGAGCAGGATTTACACCATGAACGGCTTGAAAATCTGCAATCATCCAGCAGTAGCTGCAATGCTACTACCATCGACGATAATGCTTCATCGACCGCCAATTCCGAAGTGGACTCACCTGATACCGTTCTTTCGGGCGTAGAATTTCCTGCTGGCGCGCTTGCTGACTACAATGCAAAACCAAAACCTAAAGAATATCAAGATCCATTTAACACGCAACCTCGAAAGCGTTCACTTAAAAGGTCCATTAGTAGTATTGATATACTTTCTCTCGGAAAATCGTTGAGACGAAATTCCATGAGCCAAGAGGATATATTGCGAAGTAGTACGTTTGGAGGAGGAGGCAAATCGAATGCGAAAGGTGTCAGCAAAAGGGAAATTCAGAGTATTCTTGCCTGGAAAAATACCGTTGCTCAGCTCAATTCAGAAGATTCCTTTCAACCGCTTCCACCCCTCAGTTACCAGGTAAGACATGCCGTTTGTGAAACCGTCGCTACTTGTTTTGCTTGTGCTGAAAAAAATACCCCACTTTTCAACAGAGTGATGCGCAACGCATAAGAACTCAACAAATTCGGCGCTTTATCATCCAGGAGATTTATACAACTGAACAAACATACTTGGATCACTTGAACATTATAAAAACGGTAAGTCTAAACCCAATAGCATGGTATGGAGGCAAACACGTTCTAGCCTCACAGTTTACTAATGTTCTAAATGGGCGTCTCGACAAAAAGATGTTTATGGATCCGTTCATTGCTGCAGCAACTCAAACGGGCCGCCCTCTTGTCAATCCGAATGATATATCGACCATTTTCGCATATATACCCAACATTATCGAGGTTTCCAACGTCTTAGCTTATCGATTTGAGGCGGTAGCAAAATCCTGGCATGAGCAGTCGTCTCTTGTCGGTGCTGTATTCAACCAAATGGAGAACGACTTTGAAGTGTATATTCGCTATGCTGTAAACTTTCACCACAGCCAACGCTGCATTACCCGAGCGCACAATAATATCTTGTATCGGCGCTTTATTCAAGAATCGCTTCGCAAGAAAGAAACCAATCGGATGGGCCTGAATGATTACATGATCATTCCAATCCAACGTGTCACTCGCTATAGTCTTCTTTTGAAAGGTAAGCACAAAGACATTTTGTAAAGACTTGTTGCCGTCATCCTTTGCTCACCAGTAAAGTATAGACCTCAAGAAACATACTCCACCAAATCACCCAGATTACATTAACATCGACAAGGCACTCAAGACAATGACTGGTCTCGCACTGGCCATGAATGACGCCCAGAGGAAGCCTTAATGCAACTCCCTTGCTCGTATAATCACCACCTTTTTTTTTTTTAGCACCCCCTCATTCCCCGATCGTCAAACTTTTTTATCTCATTAATTCGAGCTCACACCTCTCTTCATATGTAACATTTCTCCCAAGTCTTTCAGGCATTTTTGCGGCTTTGCATTTCTTCACTACAGCCAATGCAAGTGCCTTAGTCTTCCACCTACCCGCTTTTTCAGTTGTTTAAATTTTTTGGCTATCCCCACTTGTACATTTGTTCAACTTGCTTTTCCAGCTATCCCTTCAGCCATATTTTGCCCGCGCTTCAAATTTCTTCAGTCTGCACCACCGAACCCCCAATTTTTCCCGTGTCCATAGATTCATCAGTCTTTTGCATTCGCTTCTTTGCAGCTTACATATAAAACGCTTGCATTTATTTCTTGGCAACCATTGTTATGAGTTACACAGAGTCTATTTAATCAACCATTATTATCATCTGACACAAAGTGCCAATCTCTTTCATTCTGGAACGGTTGGTATATAATGACAAAGTCAAAAGTTGTTTGCTGTTCCAGACATGGATAATGAGAAAAGTTTTCGTTCAAAAGGCATAAACAATGATATGATTAATCATCTGAAAGTGTTACAGTGTGAACTCGAGTTCTAGGCGATGGGTCATGAGAAGGTTGGTCAAGATCAGAAAAGTCTCCTTCTTCACTGGTGAGGAAGCTTTTGGTGACATCGTCCATATCGATATCCTCTGATGCTTCCACAGGTGATCTCATTATTCGACTCTTATTCCGTTCTTCGATCTTTTGAAATTGTCCAATGCAAAGGATTGAAAATATGAAGAGTAAGACAAAGAATATACAGGTAGTAAATCCAAGGTGGTATTGCGGCGCATCTGCAGGAATACCAAAAAAAAAAAAGGTCAGATGGATGACCCCCGTGTATTATCATACTTTGAGAAGATGATCTTTTACCTGTTACAGGCCAGAGGACTAGAGATGTCGCCATTTGACTCAATTGGGATGCCGTATTCATGAGGGCAATGGTCATGGCTCGGATATCATTACTTTCAATCACAATCTCGTTGAGCCATGTCATTACGATCTAGTACATGATATTTGATTAGTGTGCCAAGCAACTACAATTAACCCCGTTTATGATGATGTACAAACCGAGTTAGTGCTGCCCAGTCCAGCGTGGATCAATAGAAACCCTATCCACAATATGCCGAAGGGCTGTACAAAAGCGGAAAGCATGCTACAAACAAAGGAATACAATCATAAGTATTGAAGCACAGACCTTTCCCGTATCACCACTGTCTTGGACATACCAATATCCTATAACACCAAGTATTGCCGGATACACAATGCACCTGCAAAATGACAATTGTGTCAGAGTCAAGCCACGGTTTTCTTTTTTGGCTTCTCATTCGGTGAAACATACCATTGGCGTGTTCGAAGACGATCGCTTAAAAACCCATTCAAGACAACCGTGATCATATTCAAAAACGTGCTTGGCTAAACAAGGTATAAACTGATCAGCAATGAAACGGTCATTCTCTCCGCTCTGAATCATAATACTCAGATGATCGATTTACCGTTGTGAACAAATTTGAAGATATAGCATCGTATCCTGACTTCCTGGCTACAATGCCGAGGACGGCTGTGGCTCCCATTGATATGTGTAATGACACCCAAGCGATCATAAACATGTAAAGCGGCCAAGTACAAAACAGTCCTCTCACGGTCTCTTTCGTAAAGAAGGAACCCTTTCGTGATGCTGATTTTCCCTCTCTCGCGAGACGTTGGATAGCCAGTTTGTGCTCCTAAATTCATCGCATTAGGTCATTCCTCAAAACGCAAACGCAACTGATGACTGGTTTTCATCATGAATCTCTACCTCTTCACTGAGCCATAAGGTGCCTTTTCCGGGGTAATCTGGTAAATACTTGAGGCCAAAAACGGCCAACACAGCTGTGAAAGACCCGTCTATGATAAAGGTCCAGCGCCATCTAGCATTGCAAATTCAATATTGACGCCTTCGATAATAAAGGGATTGTACTGTATCAAATATCACATACCCACTAATTCCTAGAGTGCCGTCCATGGTTTCTAGTAATGCAGCTTGTAGTAACCCGCTATTGGACATGTTGTTTATGTTACTCTCGTCACTTTCCACCAGCTACGCTTGATGGAAACCATACCTTGTCAATGTGCCCAGTGTTCCGCACATGGCAAATAGCGCATTTCTGGTACCAAGCTCTTCTTTTGTGTACCAAGATCCAAGCAGAAAGATAGTCTAACGAAATGCAGGAAACATGTTATCAAGGGGCAGGGGGATCGTGCGCCTTCAAAAGGTACCTACACCGCTGTCATTATCAGATCATTAATCGGATGCACAATAAATATTGAAACCATATATAGACACTGTTAAACTTACGGCCAAAAACCAGCTTCAAATAGTCCCAGCAAAAATCGTATGATATAGACCCCGTTCACAGATTGTACAGCTGCCATGGCAAAAGTCAACATACACCACGCAATTTCCAAGCATGGTAGGTATACTGATGGGCGGGTATGGGATAAAATCATGTTCGATGGTGTTTGCATAATTAGATATCCGCAGGTGAACGCGATCCCCATCCAATTGTAATCCAATCCTGTTGCATGTATATCTAAGTAGGAGCTGTGTCACTTCAGATGAAATAAAAAAATTGCCTGAACCGATATAAAGATCAACATGATACCTTCTTCCAAACCACTGATGTAAGCGTTTGCTAAAGTGAATAGCAAGTAAGTTGTGACATGAAGCTGTTACTAGCATATTTTTTAACCTGCCCTCACCCAAGTTACTATTATCTAACACCTTTATGACGTTTCCAACCATTGCAAATGCAAGTAGTCGGCGATCTAATCGACGTACCAAGGCACGTTCTGCTTCTCTAGAAGAGTCTGAAAGCTCTTCATTGAGTAGCTCGTATTCAGATGCCATTTAAAAGCAAGATGCGGGCTGATGTTGAGGGGATGGGGGTATGGACGACAAACAGAAGTTAAGGGAGCGAACAAACATCAAGAGTGCGGGCCCGAAACTCAGATAAGCTTGCGGGGCTCGTGGGCCAGATGAACAGCCTGTATGGTGGCTGCGTGACAGCTCTTTTTGCGGTGGGCTAACCTGCGTTCCCTCCACCAGTTTCTCGCTCATACAACCACTCTCAATTTTTTATGAATGCGTTTTATTTTCTGTGTATAATGTGTGGAGGGAGTGTGTAGATGGTGGTAGATGCGATGTAGTCTATCTGAGTGAAGTACCTAGTGCTTGAAAAACAAAACATCGCCTTCGTCTTCAATATATCGGCACAAGGATTGAGCTCGGAAAGCTGCAACGGGAATGAAAGTATCATCATGGTGATAATGAGATCCCAAAGCTTTCTTAATATAGCGAGTAGCTTTCACAGCATTGTAGTGGGGCATGGTGGAGAAGAAATGGTGAGCGACGTGAGAGTCAGCAATGTGGTGCTGGAAATAGTCGATACCAAATCCATAGGGGCGGTCAATAGTGAGGGCAGCTCCACGTTGGAAGTTCCAGACCTTGGCAGAGTAATGGGGCAAAGCAGGATCAGTGTGCTATGAGTAGAAGTGAAAAGTGAGTAAAAAAAATCAAAGCCTATCGATCCAGGGGCTGGCGAGATATGTCTTACCTGCAAGTAAGTAATCAAAACAAGCCAGCAGTTAACGAAGGAGTAAGGAAGAGCGTAGTAGCGAATGACCTCCCAGGTAGAAGTCATTTTGGCGGTATAGACCAAGAGACCCAACATGAGGACAAGACCAAGATCGGATATAATGATGTCCCAAAAGTGACGGGCTTCATAGATGGAGGTCTTTGGGTTAAAGTGAGACAAATTCTTCTCCTTGCGCTTAGCCAAGGGTCCAGTTGAGTTAAAGATAAGGTAAAATGGCCATCCGAAGTACAACTTGATACAAAGGTGGAAAATGACATAAAGAGGAGCATCCTCAAAAATGGAATGAGGACCGTCACCTTCAGGATCGTTTTCACGCTTGGGCAGCTTTGCCATAGAGCGGGTCTTGGGCAACTGTACAAAACCCAGAAATTTTTGTTGGGGGTGGATTAGGAGACGAAGCGGAAATGAAACATCAGTCACAGAAGCTACGAAAAAAAGCTTCGAGCAATAGATAACGAACTTACGAAGACTTCATCTTCTTCAATATGGCCGGTCTTCTTGTGGTGCATGGAGTGGGAGAGTCTCCATGAGTGGAAAGGAACCAACAAAAAGCTGTGAAGAATCCAACCAACAACATTGTTTACCACCTGAATTTTTCGTTTGATTAAATCGATCCAATCCGCAATAAGTAAAACAGGTTAAATTCGGATATTCCATAGAAGCAGCATCCCCTTACCCTGTAATCGCTGAAAGCTTGATGACCACATTCATGGCCCAATACCCAGATACCAGTAGCGACGATACTTTGCAAGAACCAGTAGAGTGGCCATGCAACCCATTGAAACTTGGTAGGCAGGTAATCAATGTAAGTTGAAGCATAGAACAAGGCACCAACGATGGCTATGTCGTGCATAACCCAGTATGAGGACTGCAACAAATCCCTATTGAAAAGTTCTTTAGGGATATGATCACGAATTTCCTTAATGGAAAATTCAGGCAACTGCCAGTCTTGTTCGATGATCAAGTCTTGATCGGCAGTGGTGTTATCATCCTGCAAGCTTCTATGCTTCAAAGTGCTCTCTGGCATGTTGTTTGAAGATGACTTCGGGAAGGTGAAGAAGGTGAAAAAGGAGGTCCAATGGATTCCGATAGTATTTAAAAGATTGGGCCAAAAAAAAAAAACGTGCGGAGTTGGACTATACCCCAAAGGCTGATCCAAAAAGTGTGCGGTCGGAAGGTTAAATTGGTCTTGCTAGAAATTTTTTTCGTCTCGTACTGTACTTGATTCAAACCGGATTGACTGTGTAGAAATAACTGAAAGACACATGCGATATATCAGTATGTGTAAGTACTTTAGGCTCTTTCGTAATAATAAATTTTATCATAGGAAAGCTCTATATTGATTCATCATATGCCAACAGACATGTTTCAACAAAAGCACGTGTAATTGGAATATTGTGGCCAATGGAATTAAAAAGTTTTCTTTAATCTTAAAAGTGAGCGGTTTTGTGTGCCATAACTGGAAACGACCCCGAAATGGGATTTACGTTGCGATAATGAAAAGCATTGAAGAATGGCTGTTGAACTCGTACCAGCGTCGCTAGTACTTACTTCGCCGATGTCAAAAAAAAAAAATTCAATACATGGCGCATTGATAGATGTCGAACCTTTTTTGGAGGATAAATATCTTAAGTAACTGATTGTTGTAGATCAGACGGCCGGTATATAATCTTCTTTACATACCTTTACTGAATGTACCAGTTCGCCCAGTTTTTGACCCAGACCAAAGTTGAACTTATGACAAAAACAATAGCCATAATTTTCCCGACGAACGGATGCGGTACAACAGTCATCAGTGCGGAGAAGCTATTAGTGTACATGCCATTATCTACTCTTCCTCATCTCAATAAATATGAGTTTAACTAATTGCTTTGTAAATTGCTCGAATATAAACGTTAGGCTCAACTCGTTGATTGAAACTGATCAAAAAGATCTAGCTTTACAAGTAATCTCCAGATCATCGCCCAAAAAGCTGAGTCATCAATTCCAGTGACCGTGAGTCTTCTAACAGTAGCAAATAATGACGGACAAAGTCAAAGCAGGCAATATTCAAGATTCAGAAATACGAGCGAAAGTAAGCTTGTCACAATTCGGTCGTAACTCATAGCGGATATGCGATATCAGAGAACCCTATCAGTTACGTCAACGGACATTGGCTGGGCTTAAGACTTCTATGCCCAGGCTAAGCGCTCAAACGTTCAATGAAGTGGAATGAATATGATTCATTGCTAGCAAGCAGTATTAAAGTCGGAACACGGTTCCATGGCGTAAATATCTGTTTATTGGTACAAATGATCAGCCCTAAGTTTTTGATACTGTAAACAGGCTAACGAACGAAACAGGATGACCGTATTTACGCACCGCTCCGCGCGTTTGAACCTTGATACTGTTCTCTCCCAATGACTAAACTTACTATCTGCATTGACCGTGGAGGCACATTTACGGACTGCATTGGATTTACCGGAAAGCCTGGAGAAGAAAACTACAAAGAATATGTTGTAAAACTCCTTTCGGAAGATCCCGCTAATTATAAAGACGCTCCTCGTGAAGGCATTCGGCGCATTCTCGAAAGAGCCCTGGAAACGACGATCCCAAGAACTGACCGGGTCCCCACTGACAATATTGGTGAATACAAGCTCATTTTTTAATGCCAAGATAACGCTTTTGCTAACCTTACTATCCATGCCTGTAGATAGCATTCGAATGGGAACCACTGTGGCCACTAATGCTCTGCTGGAACGAAAAGGAGAACGCTGTGCGCTTCTAATCACCAAAGGCTTCAAGGATTTACTGAAAATAGGTATGAATTACAAGACTGCCTATGCATTTTACTGAATTCATGGACTAATAGTTGTACACAAGGGAATCAATCTCGACCCAAAATTTTTGATTTGGCAATCGAAAAACCGGACGTTTTGCAGGAGTGTGTTGTTGAAGTGGATGAGCGGTAAGACTGATGAAATTGTGCGTATGTCTTATGTCATGCAAAATGTGCTTACCACTAAAAATTAGGGTCACGCTGCTTCATTCAACTTCTAATACGGAGAAGCTCGAACAAGATGTAGAAGGAAGAGACGATATTGTTCGCGGCCTCTCTGGAGAATATGTACACATTATGAAGAAGCCAAGTATGTGCTCATGAAAATGTTGTGCTACATTGTACCTAAGCTTAACCAGGTGTTTAATTTTATAGATCTTGAACAGATCGAAAAGGATTTGACTCAATTGTATGAGGCTGGCTATAGAAGTATCGCCATCTGCCTTATGCACTCGTATACATACCCAGGTGAGCACTCTGACCACAATTGGAAGAATTTCGTCTTTGTGACATTAATATTATAATTTCCTTCCTTTAGAGCATGAGAAGCAACTTGGTGAACTTGCTTCAAATGTGGGATTTACTCATATTTCGCTCTCGAACGAGATTATGCCTATGATCAAGATTGTACCAAGAGGCACATCAACCACAGCAGATTCGTATCTGACACCGTGCATCCAAAATTATATCAAAGGGTTTGTCGACGGTTTTGATGACGGTCTTAAAAACGGAGCGACTTCCCTTCAGTTCATGCAAAGTGATGGCGGGTTAGTGCCTGTCGACAATTTCTCTGGCTTCAGGGCTATTCTCTCTGGTCCTGCAGGAGGTGTAGTTGGATATGCCTTAACAACGTACTCTGACCAACAAAAGCAACCTGTTATCGGTTTTGATATGGGTGGTACTAGCACAGGTAGAATGTTTTCTGGTGATTCTTTAAGATGCATGTTTATGAAAGGTCAACTAACAGCAAATTTCCTTTCCGTTCCAGATGTGTCTCGTTTCGATGGACATTATGAACACGTGTTTGAAACCACTACTGCTGGCGTTACCATTCAGGCACCACAGTTGGACATTAATACTGTAGCAGCTGGAGGTGGCTCTATGCTCTTCTATAAAAACGGCATGTTTGTCGTTGGTCCAGAGGTAAATTTAACGTTGGTGTATATGATTGCTACAGCTGTAACCATTGCTTATATTATGCATCTGTAGAGCGCCGGTGCACACCCTGGTCCTGCTTGCTACAGGTGAGTTGGTGGATAGGCTACAAGCATATGCGCTTGATGACTCAATGTTACTATATCACTACAGGAAAGGAGGTCCACTAACCGTGAGTGATGCCAATTTATACCTGGGTCGCTTGTTACCTGATTACTTCCCTAAGATTTTTGGTACAAACGAAGATGAACCCTTGGACTCAGAAATTACCGTCAAAAAGTTCGAGGAGCTTGCTAAGAAAATCAATGCATCCACTAAAGGAACTCCCAAATCTGTCGATGAAATTGTGTATGGCTATATCAAAGTTGCCAATGAAACAATGTGCAGACCCATTCGAGCCCTTACGGAAGCTAAAGGTCATGATACCAGTAATCATACATTGGCTGTCTTTGGTGGTGCTGGAGGTCAGCATGGTGAGTTCAGACATTTTTATGCAAGCGATAGCAAAGGCATACCATCCATTATCTGACTATTGTGTTGTAGCATGCGGTATCGCAAGGAATCTTGGTATCCGTCAAATCGTTATGTACCGCCATAGCTCTATTTTATCTGCATTTGGCCTCGCCCTTGCAGATGTTGTTCACGAAGTTCAAGAACCATCTTCAGAAACGCTCAGCAAGAGTTCACTACCCAAACTCAAAGAACGCATCTCAGTATTGAGAGAAAGCTGCCAACAGGAGCTGAGCAGACAGGGCTTCTCAGACTCACAAATTTCCAATGAAGTTTACCTTAATCTGAGATACGAAGGTACTGATTGTGCGCTAATGACTCTGCAACCAGTCGGACAGGCCGATGAATGGGACTTCGAAGGGGAATTTGTCAAGTTGTACAAGCAAGAATTTGGATTCTACTTGCCTGATCGTACTATTATCGTTGATGACATTCGTATCCGCGGCATTGCTAAGGCCATTGAACATAATGAGCTCACCATGATCAAGGAAACACAGGAATTGAAGCAATCTAACAAGATTAAGGACATCGACCCTACCATTAAGAATGGAGTGTGCTCTGCGTATTTCGAAACTGGCCGTGATGACTCGGTCCCCATATATCTTCTTAATGAAATACCAGTTGGATCGGTTGTCAAGGGTCCTGCCATGATTATTGATGCAACTGCAACGATTGTGGTCGAGCCTGCTTGCAGTGCTTTAGTTACTTCTCAGCATGTTACCATTACTGTCGGTGACGAAGATCACAAGAAGGTGACAACAGAGATGGAACCCATTCAACTTTCAATCTTCTCCCACCGCTTTATGAGTATCGCTGAGCAAATGGGTAGAACTTTGCAAAAGACTGCAATTAGTACCAACATCAAAGAGCGCTTAGGTAGGTTTTTGCTTTTGATTTAAGTCCTGTTTGCCATCTGTGATTAGTTTTTAACATTACTCTATTCACAGACTTCTCATGCGCATTGTTCGGAGCCGATGGTGGCCTCGTTGCTAATGCACCACATATCCCTGTCCATCTTGGTGCGTTGAGCCACGCAGTCCGCTGGCAGACTAGTTACTATGGAGATGATTTGAGGGAAGGAGATGTTATCATGACCAATCACCCTGCTTGTGGTGGATCCCATTTACCAGGTAAGCATGCCTTGCTGGATATTGAGAGCTGCTTTCAAGATACAGCAGTATTCTAAACATGATGCGATTGTGTCTAGATATTACCATCATCACACCAGTGTTCCAAGACGGGAAGATTGTCTTCTTTGTAGCATCCAGAGGCCATCACGCTGACATTGGTGGAATCTCTCCTGGCTCTATGCCTCCCCATTCTAAAGAAGTATGCATTCATTACATAAACGTAGGTATTATCATGCTTTTGTTAACGATTTATTGTCATAGCTTTATCAAGAGGGAGCTGCGGTCCGATCATTCAAAATCGTACAAAAGGGTCAATTTGATAACGATGGTGTCGTGAAGCACTTGTGTGAGATACCTTCTCAGTATCCTGGATGTTCTGGTACTCGCTGTCTACGTGATAATGTTTCTGGTAGGCATGGTAGAGTGTACAATATGCTTCTCCACATTTTTTCTAACTCGTCTAATAGATTTAAAGGCACAGATTGCAGCAAATCAGAAAGGAATCAATCTCATCCATGCCTTGATCAAAGAATACACTCTGGAAGTGGTTCAAGCATATATGTACCATATTCGTAACAATGCCGAAAGTGCCGTCCGTAACTTGCTTAAGGAAGTTGCTGAGAAGCACCGTGGTCAAGATCTAGTCGCTGTTGACTACATGGATGACGGCTCCCCCATCAAACTTCGTGTTTCCATCAATGAACAAGAAGGAACCGCTCTGTTTGATTTTGAGGGCACTGGTCCAGAAGTATACGGCAACACAAATGCACCTGAAAGTGTGTGCCATAGTGCTATCATTTACTGTCTTCGCAGTCTTGTCGGAATGGATATTCCATTGAACGCTGGATGTTTGGAGCCTGTGGAAATTCGCATTCCAAAGAGTTCACTGCTCAGTCCCTCAGAAAAAAGTGCGGTGGTGGGAGGAAACGTTCTTACCAGTCAACGTATTTGCGATGTTGTGCTCAAAGCATTCAATGCTGCCGCCGCTAGCCAAGGTTGCTGCAACAACCTGACCTTTGGTATCGGTGGTAAAGACGAAGAAACCGGTGAAGAGAAATCAGGTTGGGGTTACTATGAGACCATTGCCGGTGGCAGTGGAGCCGGTAAAGATTGGGAAGGCCAGAGTGGAGTTCACACTGTAAGTCAACTGCACCTCAACTAACAGGACAAGCTTCGTATGCGCATTACCCTTTTTACTAATCGTCTTTTTCTTTAGCATATGACCAACACCAGAATCACCGATCCAGAAATATTAGAGCGTCGTTATCCTGTCATTCTACGTGAATTCTCTATCCGTGCAGGTTCAGGCGGACAGGGTGCTAATAACGGAGGTGATGGTGTCGTCCGGGATATCGAGTTCTTGGAACCTAACATTCACGTCTCGATTCTATCGGAGCGCCGCGTATTCCACCCGTATGGTTTGCAAGGTGGTGAGGATGGCGAATGTGGACGCAACCTCTGGATTCGAAAGCGTGAAGACGGAGAGGTTCAAGTATTGAACCTTGGTGGTAAAAACACTGCTGTCTTTGGAAAGGGTGATCGAATCGTCATTTTGACCCCAGGTGGCGGTGGCTGGGGTAAGCGACAAGCTGAAGAACAAGAATCAACAGCAAAGACGCTTGCCAAAAAGCTTCTACCTACTAGCATCTTAAAGGCTGGAGGAAGCCTTGGCGAATACAAGGCTATGTCTGAAAGTGCCTAAAGTATGCCATTGGTGCAATGCCATATATTTTTTTACTACCATTGGATCAATACCTTGATACATGCAAACAATAAAATAAAAGTAAAAAAAAAAATATTATGATCCATAGCCCAACGATGGTTTCTAGACTGCATATCAATTAAAAACATCCGCCTGATCGAATGACCGCTTACCATTGTTTGGTCACTGTTTGCATCCGTATTGATGATGCTTCTCGGAGCTCACGTTCCGCAGTCAGCACGACAATACTCGATTTAACCTTGAAAACCTAAATCAGATAGCTTGGAAGCCAAGCACAGTACGCCAAGACTGTGATTTCAACAAAAAAATCCGTTACTGTGAATTTCAAAAGTATTTGTTACATACCAGAGGAAAGTTCACCGATGGAGATTTCGTATACGAGAGAGCACTGGCAAACATGGAGTATTGGCTGTAGGACTCCACCGTCTTTGTTTGCCCAGATTGCTTTGAATTGCCGAGTGCAGTCGCCGAGAGAATGACGTTGCCAATGTGTCGTATTCGGGATTTAAAAGTCGATGAGCATGACCAGATTGTTGCAGCACCGCTCTACTTTACTCTTTACATTTTCATAGTTAACATGTCAAGTAAGTGTCGAATCGTACGTGATGATTAGTATTTTTGCCATCCGTTGACCATTTCATGCAAACAGGCTCCACATTCATCGTTACCTTCAAGAGGGATACCCCCCAAGACGTTATCGACAAGCATATGGAGGAGGCCAAGTCAAAAGGCTGCAAAATCAACCACGTCTACAAGACCACCACGAAGGGATACTCTGTCGAAGTTCCTGATGACGCCGTTAACTCTTTGTCCATGCACGAGAACATCGTTGCTATCGAAGCCGATGGCGAAGTCACTACTCAAGGAAAGGCTCTCCTCAAGCAGTAGATATCAAGGATATATCATCCATTTTCATTCTTAAGTTGTAGCTCTTCTAGAGGATTTACTGTACAATAAAAACAGCACCTTCTCATAAACAATTTCTTCTCAACTCGTTGTCATCCTGAAGAATTCGTGTTGGCTATGGTGGTGACTAAGAGGGAAACGGGATGTCGTCAGCTCGTGGGATAATGGAAGGACGGTCATTCAATCAGACGTGAGAAGTCTGTCAAACTTCAGCAGATCAAAGCGATGGATGATGTAGCTTGAAACCTTTTGAAATGCATTGTACAAAACATGCAGCATAACTTGCTTTAACATTTAATTTATTAGCCATGCTTCTATTGATTGAGCACTGAGCATGCTCTGATCACGCTTTATGTCTGATAATACGTGAAGTGTGCAGGAAGAGTTAATGGTAGATGTGGGTATATAGGACGAAAAGTAGGTGGAAATATCGATAACTGGCGCATGCAAATTGTGAGGTTTAATATGAGCAAAAAGACGGTGAAGTACGCTGATGGACGGTCGAACACGAGCTGACAGTGATTAACGTCGCCAAAGGTGTGTAAAGTTCTTTTTTTTCATTTTCTGATTCAAGGGTGCGTATGGTCATTTATTGCATTTATTGCGTAACGGTAAAACTGCATTGTGAGGCCTTTTTTTCTTTTTCAAGAATGTTGGAAACAACTGGGTCTAGTAAGGAGATCTTTGACGAGGGGGGTAGGCTTCATATCTGCCGGGCGGTGGACGCCTTTCTCGGTCATATCTGTCATATCTGTCTCTCTCGTATCTGTCGTATCTGTCATATCCGGCACCTCTGTCAACATACATGCTGCGATCGTAGCGATCATAACGGTCATAGCGTGAAGGTCTGGGATCGCGTTCATAACGATCGTAGTAAGGGGCTGGCTCATAGCGACGGTCCACTCTTTCGGGACGTCCTCTTGAGTCTAATGAGGGTCGGTCACTAAATGAATTTGGATGCGCGGAGGGACCCAGGGGTTCATCATTCTTACCACGTTTGGGGGGTCCATAGTAGCGACCAGGGGTGGGTGTGCGTGGCCGTGAACGTTTGGCCTTCTCAACGGTAATAGCTCTTCCATCGACGAGCATACCGTTAAGAGAATCGACACATCTGTCAGCATCCTCACCAGAGTTCATTCGGATGAATGCAAAACCACGAGACTCTCTGGTATGAGGGTCGTATATAACTTCTGCCTTTTGGACTTTTCCGTACTTGTTGAACAGCTCTTCGAGATCTGCACTGGCAGTCTTGTAGCTGAGACCGGTAATGAACAAATTGTCTCCAGGATTGGTATCGTGGTCTTCAGGAGGGGGAGGTGGACTGTTTGAGCGGACTCGTAAATTGGATATTCTGTACAAAGGCGCATACGTTGTATAGCTAATAGACTGAATCAACTGGAACCCGATTATTGTACCTGCGTTGTCTGGATCTAGAGCGGCTTCTACCGACGTCTCTGTCTCGTCTTTCAACTGGTGAGCGCGATCTGGAGCGGCGCAGCGGTGATCTACCACGATCATCGCGAAGATTATCTACGTCGTTGGCGTCTATAGAAGTACAAGTCAATATGCGTACAAGATCATAGAAGAAGACGTAGTGAAACGCTAATTTGCCAAGATACATTACTTTCTGAGCTCATGTTGAGATGATGAAAAAAAAAAGCTACAGTCTGAGAATTGGCGGCGTAGTAGACAAGAAAAATATACGCATGACGTTTGTCAATACTGGGTGACGTCGTTTCACGTGACTTATACGACATTGAAGCCATCTCAAGTTATTGTGTGCCCTAACCCGTAAGTTACTTCTCCAGACTTTTGTTGCTGTACCCGATTCAACTCGCAACTACCTCTACAGATGGTTTTAGTCTTCTTCTCTCGCTATTATTTCTTTTTTCAGCTTTATTGGGATCTCTGTTCATCTCTCTACGTTACAGGCCTGCTGCAAGTCTCGCAATTGAGCAACGTATCTAGTCAGGCGCTGGTATTAAATATTTAGACAGATCCATTTAGTTATTGTTAAGTACAGCTTCATTCCACCATAGATTACTATCATTGTGCTCAATGCATGCTCGCTTACCACTGGACCTACAAAATTTGATAAGTAAAGGCTGGAACATCTTGATATACAGACAAAAATTTGATATCTGGTGGGGACAAATGATCACCGAAATCAGACAGGATGCCTACCGATTAATTTGGTGACGCGCCTGGTGGAGGTACCTTTTCAACAGTGTTCGTGTTCCCGTCAAGAATTTTTTCGTATTTAGCATACCTATATGCTTAATCACCGCTTCAGGAGCTGTACGATCTTCCGTTAAGTTGACCGACCTCACCTCAACACTGCCTGTGCATTTTAAGCTATGAGCCTTCCAATACATTCGTATAAGGAGAAGTCTGATTCGATCAGCATGGGCACACTTTATCTCTATTCCATTTGATTGCATAATATCTTCTGCCAATTACCTTATTCTGTTCTCTTTTCTTCGATTATTGCTCTGAAGGTTCCCATAATCACTGGCATCAAGCGTTAGGCAATCCAGTGCTGGATGTGGGGCTGCCTCCTGACAAGCCTCAAGCTAATTTATAACAAAATACGTTCGGCATAGATTTATTTACTGTTAGTTCGACGATACAGATTCCTATCTCGAGAGACAATGGGCTTTATTTGACAGTTCATTCGAAAATAAAAAAACTCAGCAGTGACAAACACCACCTTGTCAAAGTAGAGGGACCCTTTGAAACCGTCACATCACGTGCTTCGCAAACAGCAACATCGGTTGTGATTTTCTCAAAATTTGAGATTCCAAGAACCTCGAATATTTTGCCTCCCAAATTCCACAATGTTGGCACAGTTCGCAAAGCTCAGTCTTCAGCGTACTACTCTACGAGCCAATACAGCATCAGTTCAGTCAATTCGACTCTTTTCTGGAAATGGTAACATCGTGCCTCCTTCACAACCCATCGATTTGGGTAATCTTGCCGACAACCCTGGAGCTGTAACTGAGGTAAATTAACCGCGAAGAAATTCTACTCAAATCAAACGTCTTTATATAACCTTGTACCTTCGACCTTCATAGCGCCTTCGTCTCGGTAGAGGTCCTGGTTACGGTAAAGGAAAGACAGCAGGTAGAGGTCACAAAGGACAAAAGGCTCGTTCTGGCAATGGACCACCACGACCTTGGTTCGAAGGTGGTCAAACCCCCCTCGTCAAGCGTATGCCTAAGAGAGGTTTCGTCAACCAGCACGCTAAAAAATACCAACCAGTTAACTTGGAACGCCTGCAACACTGGATACAAGAAGGCAGATTGGACAGTACGGGCATCACCATGGCCGACCTCCTTGATTCTAGATGTATTCACAAAATAGAAGACGGCGTCAAGCTCTTGGCTGATGTAAGTTTTACACACTTTACGACAATTGACTTCAAGTCAAATAGTAATATTTTCTTTTTCTAATGCAGGGTGCTGAGGAATTCAATGTACCTGTTCACATTGAGGTTTCTCGAGCTTCGCAAAAGGCTATTGCAGCCATTGAAAAAGCTGGTGGAAGTGTTACCTGCCGCTATTACAATGCACTTGGTCTCAGAGTCGTTACCCGACCAGAGAAGTGGGGATTCCGATCACTACCAAAGTTCGCTGAGCCTGTCAAAGTCAAAGACAAGGAATGGTACTCTGACCCTAAGAACCGAGGCTATCTCGCCGACCCTGCTGCCATTGAAGCTGCCAAAGCCGAAGCCAAGGCTCTTTGATTAATTTAGTTACATCACACTTTTCCTTTTGCCTTTTTGTACTTGTAAAGACAACCCAAACAATAGAATTGTTCATTTTGACCCTATTTCAAACCAACCAAAAATCGGGGTCTCCACACCCAAAAATTTCCATCCTCGCTTGCGTTTGCTAATAACGCTTCCCCATTTGAGCCATGAGCGATCCAAGTGCCTACGCTTATCCTAGCAGTAATTCAGCTCGCCTTTCAACCACATCATCCGTATATACAGATGGTCGACAAAATAGAACTAAGTCTCTCTTGGAGAGAAACCTCAACCGAACAAAGGGTGCAGAGGTAATAACACAATTCAATACTAAAGCATTCACTATGCCGTGATGATCTCTAATGACCACATGTTTTTCCATTGATAAAGGTCAGCTTGAGTGCGCTATCATTCCTCTTTTCAGAGATGATTCAATATGCACAAAAGCGTGTCAATGGCATTCAAGACCTGGAGCGAAAGTAAGTCAACATCCATATTCCGCGCTGTGAATCTTGAATTTACTCGGTCCTGCAGGAGACTAACATCAACTGGACCCATCTTTAGACTAAACGAGTTGGGATATCGAGTTGGACTTCGTATGCTGGAGCTGTTGGTGTGGAGAGACAGGAACCCTAAACGTGAAACGCGAGTACTGAGTATCTTATACTTCATTCACACCGCATTGTGGAAAGGTCTCTTTGGCAAGCAAGCCGATTCCTTGGAAAAATCAACTGAGAATGAAGACGAGTGTATGTAGGCACCCTATGGAAACTTTTACCCCAAGTACATGCTGTCTCACTCAGTTTCTTGCTATTCCAGTCATGATTTCAGATAACGAGCCCATCCTCACCAAGTACATCTCCGTGCCACGAGAGCTATCGCAGCTAAACTGTAATGCGTTCATAGCAGGTGTGGTTGAAGCTATTTTAGATAGTGCACAATTCGTAAGTTCCCTTCTTGTGGTTTTTCCGATGTTGACTCATATAACCAACATTGCGTCTTAACAGCCTGCTCGAGTCACTGCTCACACCGTGCCAATTGATGGCTTTCCATTGAGAACGACCATCCTGATCAAGTTTGACAAGGAGGTGTTGGAGCGTGAAGAAATGCTCAAGTAGATTCCCGTCCCTAAACATTCTCCCGCTTCTCTTTTTCTCATACCGAAATTACCAGTGTAATATAATATACAACTACTTTTCCCTCTTATTTTATTGCGTGCATTTTGCTCATGGACATTGGCATGGGTCATTGATCTATTTTTTCTTTCCCTTGCCAGTTTTATCGACGACTTCAATGTACTTTTTAGGAACTCCTTGCGAAAGCAGTAGCTCGGTGACATGCTTAGTCTGCGGTCCTTGAACCATGATCTCCTGCTGAGGGTTTTTGGGGCTGGATCCATGCACTGGGTTGGCTATATTCAACAAAGCTTAGCAAAGTAATTTTGAATACTATATCTAATGGACGTATATGTACCTGTGACACTACTTGCGCATCGTCGAGTCAAATCCTTGCACACTTCTTCCACAGAGAGGCCATACCACTCAACACCAGTCACCTTGGTCATGGTTTTTCTTCCTTGTCTGGTTTCCAGGGTGATCACCACATTACGGGGACTTCCGTCTCGTAAAATCGGTTCCTTTCCAGGTAGAGTAATCATATGCATTCGCTGCATTTGGTCCAAAAATCTGCGTAATGATAGGGTTAGCGGAATGAATGGTTTTCCAAAGAATTTCTGCCGGTTCGTACCTTTGCAGTAGGTGGTCGCGCTGAAGTCTGTCAACTGTCAAATACTCCTCCTTTTTCAGAACGGCATCACAAAGTATGGGATCGATCCGAATCATACGCTTCTCTTGTGCGTCAATTAAGTTCTCTTGTTCAACGTACTCCATCAGAACAGTTTTAACTTCCTGCGAATTATACGCCTGCTTAGTGTCCTTTTTCAATGCATCGAATATCCGTGCGGTGTCCTTCTTTGGCTTGTAATAAAGTTGGATTTGAGTAGCCCCGTTTGACTCTTTCTTAGCAGTACCTGGTGTGCCTGTGGATGCCTCTGATGAAGTAGACTTTTCAGCTGCATTGGATGGCTTAGACTCTAGTGTTTTGTATTTTTTAGCTGACATCAAAGCTTCGTGGCTCCAATTGATGTTAACGACATGTGTTTCTCCCTTGCGGTCTTTCAGCTTGCATACACCTGCCTTCTCCATATCCTTTAAAAACTTTTGCATCTTCTTCCAGCTTGACTTTTTCACATCCACTTCTGTACCGTTTACCAATGGGCGGCTTGGCAGCATATACGTAGAGTAGAGCGTCGATGCCGACATTGGCAACAATTCGGGAGAGTGACTTTTGGTCAGTTTGAATACTAACGCTTGATAAAACGTGTCTTTCACTAACTGATCGATATCTTTACGCAATATGGTGTTAATTTTCACCTGTTGAACATACTATTTTTGTCACCACATATAATTACCATTCGTTGATAGCTGTGGCTTTTCTTCCACATGAGCTGACCCTTCCTCTGGCATATTTTTGTTTCCATCCTTCTTCTCTTCTTCTACAGTAAGGCGGCTCTGGGTTTGATGTGCCAAATCATCAATGTCCTCTTCATCTTCCTCGTCACCAGAATCTTCAGATCGCTCAATTGATTCCAAATTTGGAGGATCCGATTTGTCGCCCATGGCCCATAGGCAATCCTGATAGACATGTATTAAATTGACCGCCTTACCCTTCATGCCCGAGCGTACAGCGATGTTCGAAGTGTCTAAAGCCATCCTGCCAACTGCAAGCGGGTACCTTTTGCCGGAGAAAGAAAGCTTAGCTCAACGGTTTAACAAAGGGAAATCACCTTTGAAAATTAACAAAATCAATCTTACTTGTAGCCGTTAATACATATAGCCACCAAGTCGCCTGTCTTCAAATTAGGTAAGCCTTCTGATCCAGCTACCAAGCCGGGAATCATCAAGTCTAATAGATACTAGTCAGCGGCTTGTTCCAGCGTTAAATAACCTTTCTCGGTTTGAACCACTTGCCTGCTCCGTTAATCAACTTGGATATGACGAACGGCCATGTATTTAATGTTGGTAGCATATTCGGGTATTTCCACAATGTGTATACTTAAAGCATAAAATTAGTTGCTCTGCTCAAGCGGATTCTTGCACCAAATTGTTGCATTCTCTTACCGGTTGGTATTGGTTCGGGACCATTCACCTGGAACCAGGTAGGCGAGTTGTCCATGGCGTAAACGAGGCCTAGATCATCAATATGGCTTGAAAACTTGGCTTTCTGTAGATCCTCAGTGAAAAATGAAGGAGCTCCCTCTACGGAGTGGAAATCCTTTATAATGGGGTAAGAATCAAACACGTCTGATTGAAATCGACGCCGATCTGAGCTCTTTAATGCGCTGTAATTCTTTATACTGGGTTGCTTCTTGAACATGTCGAGGGCTAAAGGCTTGCCTAATTCGGCTGCGCGTCGGGACTGTCATAAATTTCACCTTCTTCTGCTCCAGTGCGCAAACGCGACCTTGTAGAAGCTTTCATGCCTTGGCGTGAAAGGAGTTATACGTTATGCTCAAACAAGTCGAACATAAGCTTGCCATAGAACTCGAATACATGCCATGCTAATGAAATCTTTCATCATCCCATACCTATCCTCAGTTCCCAATTTCATACACCATATGTCTCAGTTCCCTGAGCCTTTTAAGCTCACTGTCTCTGAGGCCATGGTCTTCGTAACGGCGTGTAGGTTTTCCCATTATCGTCACTCACAAACTATATCGAGTTTCTCCGTGTTCCACAGTTTACTACCATGACGCCCTTTGTCCTCTAAAGTCAATTCTTCGAAGTAACCATCAAGTGGTGACATTTGGTTGGTCCAATTTTGCGGTCCCGAAAAAAAAATTCAATGCCTTCCACCGAGTAAAAACTTTGGATCCGCTGGCCTATTGATAGTCAGACAAAGCAGAGCTTGTATACCAAACTAGCCGCTTAACAGTAATAGAAAAATAGAAATACTGTCAACCGTACAGAAAATAAAGACTGAAGCTGCTAATAGAGTGTCATACGGATTCAATGTTGGAGCTCGCAGCTACTTGTATATTTACTGAGGTCGGGGACGGGAGTTACATTGCAAGTGCTAGTCACTATCCCCTTAATTTTTGCACTTACTCCATGCGTCTAACAATGGGACCATTGCTAGATAATGGATAGTGATCCTAGTAACATTGTCATATCACTATGTGCTCAACATTACAGCCTATATCAAGTGGCAACTCTACTATTACACGTGATTGTGATCATTCCTTATGGCGTTATGTTTTTCTCTACCTTGTCTGCTTTACCCCCCAAGAGTATAAATTAGCTACTTTGGCAGCCGTCCGTCTGCCGGTGCGTCAACTCGTTATAAATCATCAAGGAAGTGCACCTTACTACAATCTACTTTCTCTTCATCCGAACGCCATCCTCTCCTTATCTCTCCTCTCTATCCAGTTTATGGTAAATCTCCCTTGTATTCAATGCCCGTTATGATGTGACCCAAAAAAAATTTGGTTGACACGGTGGAAGGACTGAAATCCTTACTCACGCGGCTCCGATATTTTTTGTTCCATTCCTATTTTCTGTTTTATTTACTGGGCTTTTTGCTTTTTCCTCTTCAATCACTTCTTCTTCTTTTACTACTTTACTATGTTGAGATCCGCTTTCCAAAGACCTATCCGCAACGGTGCTTTGCGTTCCCTGTCTGTCGTGTCCATGCAGATGGTATGTGCTTAAACCTCCACTCAGTTGCAATCGTGTTTTTTCCCCGCCTTATGCTAACCCTTCACCTATAATAGCGAGGCTACGTCTTCCCTGCTGGACAGAAGGAGGTAAGTTTCATTTCGTATTGCACGCACTGGGTGTGCCTATGAACTGCACTAACGCCTCCTTCGCTTTCATTATGTAGCTGCTCAACAGCCGCCTCAAGGATACCGATCCTGAAATGTTCGATATTATTGAGAAGGAGAAGAAGAGACAGCGTACCGGTATCTGTCTCATCCCCTCTGAGGTGAGTTTTCAGTCAATAGCTTAACCTGGACGCATTGCACAACGTTGACACTGATAACCTTCTGTAGAACTTCACATCCCGATCTGTTATGGATGCTCTTGGCTCCATTATGCAGAACAAGTACTCGGAAGGTTATCCCGGAGCAAGGTAATGTGTCGTGGTGGTAGTTGTAGTGGAACGGGACTGCAGCTTTATCTAACCGATCAAGCGTGTTGTTTGCCACAGATACTACGGTGGTAACGAATTCATCGATCAGTCTGAGCTTTTGTGCCAAAAGCGTGCTCTTGAAGCATTCGATCTCGATAATTCCAAGTGGGGTGTCAACGTGCAGTCTCTTTCAGGTAGGTGCAAGGGGTGGGCAAAGCTTTTGCAGATTGTACTGGAAATGTGATCATACTCACGAAGCGTAATATGTATAGGTGCTCCCGCCAACTTGTACGTTTACGGTGCTCTCTTGAAGCCTCATGAACGTATCATGGGCCTCGATCTTCCCCACGGAGGACAGTAAGTAGATGTTTGCTTAGTGGGTGTGGATATTCCTCGGCAAAGATTTTAACCACCGCTCCTTGCAAAAAGCTTGTCTCACGGCTACCAAACCCCGACCAAGAAGATCTCAATGGTTTCCAGCTATTTTGAAACTCTCCCATATCGTCTTGATGAGAAGACTGGCTACATTGATTACGACGCTCTTGAAGCCAATGCTATTCTCTACAGACCCAAGATCATTGTTGCTGGTGCAAGTGCTTACCCTAGAAACATTGATTTCGCCAGAATGAGAAAGGTAAAGTAAAAGCGTTGAGTTGGACCTATGTTCACAGACGTGTTCGTTACTAATCTGGGATCGATTATTGTGTTACAGATTGCTGACCAAGTTGGTGCCTACCTTCACGTCGACATGGCTCACATCAGTGGTATGTAGGGTGGGGATCGCAGGATGAAATAGCTCCCTCAAAAGCTAACTTTCAGTTCTTTCATTTCATTTCATTAAGGTCTTGTTGCTGCCGGTGTTCTTCCATCACCATTTGAATACGCTGACCTTGTCATGACCACCACCCATAAGTCTCTCCGTGGTCCCCGTGGTGCCATGATTTTCTTCCGTAAGGGTGTCCGCAACGTCGATAAGAAGGGAAAGGGTATGTTTTGCAGAGAAGCAGTCCATTGCCATCTGGAAGTATAAACAAGTTTCCATTCATGCTAACTGACTTGTTTATCTATAGAAATTATGTATGATTTGGAAGGCCCAATCAACACCTCTGTTTTCCCTGGTCATCAAGGTGGCCCTCACAACCACACCATTGCTGCTCTCGCAGTTGCCTTGAGACAATGCAAGGAACCCATCTACAAGGAATACCAACAGCAAGTCCTGTCTAACAACCAAGCCTTTGCCAAGGCTTTCACCGGTCGTGGATATGAACTCGTGTCTGGTGGTACTGACACTCACTTGCTTCTTGTGAACTTGCGCTCCAAGGGCATTGATGGCGCTCGTGTTGAGCGTATTCTCGAATTGGCCAACATTGCTGCTAATAAGAACACTGTTCCCGGTGACAAGAGTGCTTTGATCCCAGGTGGTCTTCGTATTGGTACTCCTGCCATGACCAGCCGTGGACTAAAGGAAGACGACTTTGTCAAGGTTGCCGACTTCATTGATCGTGCTGTGCAAATCGCTCTTGACGAAAAGAAGAAGGTTTCCACCACCAAGTTGATTGACTTTAAGAAGCACATCGGTAACGGTGAGAATATTCCTGCCCTCCAAGAACTCAAGAAGGACGTCATTACCTTCTCTGAAAGCTTCCCCACCGTTGGTTTCAATGAGGATGAAATGACATACCAATAGACTTGTTTCCTCATCAACTCAAAAACACTCCTGCATACCAAACCCTTCTTTCTTTTCTCTCCCCATTACTTTCAACACCTGTAACCTTATCCGCTTTTTCTTTACATGTTTGTCTTCAACTACTAGCATAAAATAAAATACAATAAAAAAAAAAAATCAATCCATGTATATTCTACTGTTGGGTTTATACTATCGTCAAATTGACTGCTTCTATTCCAGCTATGCTATAAGCGTGGAAACACCTTTCTAAAACGAAGCAAATGGATATATTTTAAAAAGTATAGTTTACATCATCACGCAGCCAGTGTTCTTTCGCTTGATAGCCTCTTTATCCGTTCCAGATGCCAATGCGCGAATTTGTATACGGTGGACTTTGTGATCTACAAGGTGTCTGTAATATAGTGTCTGTTGATCCTTGACGTATCTCCAGTCTCCATCAGACACTCTGATATCAATGGCTTTCCCATCATAGTGATAGCCAGGTATATATATTTCAGTCTCTGTCGCTGTGCCGTTATGCTCGAAAACAAAAGTGTACTCAAGCTTATCCAAGTTGAAGGCGGCTGAGATAGGTGTGCCCGCTATTTTAGACGCATAGGGTCTCTGTGTCATGAAAAGTGGAACAAGGACAAGGAGGAATAGCAGTTAGTCAGAGTTTACTATGCTTGGCGAATGATGATGTATCTCACGTACAATGACAGCATCCAATACTCGGCCACCCTTATGCCAGTGGTCGACGGCAGCTTGGTCTCTACCGTGCACCTTGGTCATTTCCTGATCGATTGCTTTGAGTTTTTGAACATCAATCTCAAAATTGCCGACAGGCGGTTCTTCTTCGCTATTGTGATCATCCTCTGTCACAGCTTTATCATGCATAGGAGAAAAGATGGAGAAGTCTTCACCATTCCAGTGATCACCATGCGTATTATCGTTAGTAGGATTGTAATTCCATAGCCTGAAGGTATAGATTAGTTGTGACCTCTTTAGCAACATCCAACATGTACACATGAATCCTTACGTGAAGTTGACAAGGTTGCTCTCCAAAGCATATATAACAGCATCAAGGAAGTTGGTATGATGGGTGTAATCCCCAGTTTCGAAAGCTCTACGTTGGTTTAAATCCATGGGAATGCCAACTTCACCAACCACACATGGTTTCTCGCCCATATTGTCGATGCCACCCTTGCGAACATTACGAATTTGACCCGAGTAATTCTTCTTTGCTCCTTTTACACCAAAGTAGGTTGCCTTTAAAACATTGCCTCCCTACGAATAGGTTAGTAAAGAGTTCGCGGTCACGGTATTCTGCTTGAAATGGAGCATCATATGCATGAGCTTACCTTCTGAAGATGCTGCACGTCATGGGTCACTTTGCCTTCAAATTTTTTATAGAACACGCAGTTAAGGTCATACCAATGTGGAGAAAACACAATGTTATCCTGATGATGCTCGTCATTGTACTTTGGTGCAATCTTTAAATCAACCAAAAAGTGAAGGTCAGCAAATAAGACCCTAAATAGTTGACTACGAAGAGCACATTTTGCACAGTCTCTCTCACCTCATTCGGTAGTGGTTCAACAAAGCAGAACCATTCCTGTCGAATATTTTGGATGGCTTTCGCATATGCATTAACGAATGGGAAATAAAAGTCGTTGTAAAAAGAAATGGGTTCGCCAGTTTCGGGATGTTTTGCAAAATACTTGTCGTTGATAAGTTTTGGCTGGTCATTTTCGTCTAATCCCCAAACGCCATGGTCACGCCAGATACAACCATGACCTTCAAGCCAAGCAGATGTTTTACTCTTATTGATCACTCGACTGTGAGATCGCTTCGTTGGAATCGGCCAACTTTTGACATAGACGTCTACTTCTTGCGGAATGCCATCCCCCAATGCTAATGCTTGTAACGCAGTTGGTGAGTCTCCAAAGATCAAGTTGATAGCTGAGTCGTATTTGGCGAGAGTCTTTAGTCCAATATAACCGGGATGAGGTTCATTCATCACTTCGAAACCGAGTACAGCTTCCAATTGCGAAAGACGTTGGGCTAAATGCGCAAAGCAGTTGATGAAATGAGTTTGAAGAAATTGTTGAATTGACTCGCCGTTGTATGTTTTGGACGGAGCAAAGGTATCTCCCGCGAAGAAAAGAGTGAACATAGTGCTGCTCGCCAACTTTGTATAATTTGTAGGCCAAACCTGTAACAACACATATATTAATGTCAAACTAAGTGAGTAGGTCCTTGCATAATTTTTTATAAATGTGAATTACCATAGGCAATGGATCGCCGGGAACGGCATTGGTGTTATGAACATATGCTGCACCAGTTTCTTTGAAGGACCGAATATTCAAACCAGCCAACTCAAAAGTCCATCCTGGTGCTCCTGATCCACCTGAAAATCGTGACCACTGTAAAAGTGAAGTGAATTAGTCCGCTGACAGGATAAAAAAGGTATGGATGCAGAATGCCAAGCCGGCTGGAAAAAGGTCACTTTGTACTCACAGCATCTTGATGCGGATCAATAAAGCATTTGATACCATATTTTGGCATCATCTCAATGATTTTAATGAGATAATCAATGTATTCTTCGTCGTATATTCCCGGGCCGGCATGCTCAAGGCTCTCCCAAGGTACCAGCAGTCGCACAAATGTCAGACCCCAGGCACGAAGTCTTCCAAAGTGCTCTGCAGCATCCTCTAGAGGAAAGGGACGGCCAACAAAGCTGACATTACGATGGTCCCAAAACTTGTCTTCGTCGTACAAATGGGTGGATCCAGCATAAGGACTAGTTGGCAGCTTGGACGCGCCACACAAATTGACTCCTCTCATAAGCAGAACTCGGCCATTTTCATCTCTAAACCATCGATCTGTTCCTTTTACGTTGCATGACCAATGATGTGCTGGAATACTCGAAGCTCCTAATTGTTCTTTGGTCTGCTGTTCGTTAGAAGTGTACGACGACAAAGACGACTGATCAGCATTGGATTGCACTGGTAAGAGGTGATGTGGCCGTAGAGGTAACTGCAATGCCGGATCAACAGTGGGCATCATCTCTTGAGAAGAGTCCGATTGCTCGCTATCGGACATGGCTTGCAGTGAATCTTGAACTGGTGGTGACATTGACGATTTACGAACCAAGATAAAGTGCCCTGTGGCGGAAGGTACGAAAAGAATATATTACTTGCCATCTTTTCAAAGGCCGCCATTCATACGAAGGATGATGGCCAACTGATATTATGGATATCGCGTGAGCTCAGTAGCCATTGGATGGTGACCTTATTCTACAATTTACATGATTCCCTTACTGTAACCTAAAATTTATACCATCGTTAGCGTGATATACACCATGGCATGTCACGAGGTGAGGGTATGGACAAGGGGCCATATGTATATCAGCATGGCCAGCACCATACAGAGTAGTGGTGTAGTATTGACATAGCCATGTGGGTTCTGAAGAAGCACCGAGGAAATGCTGTTGATCACCAGTGAATGTCTTGAAGAAGAGCAGACGTACTCTAGATTTTAACCAGGCAGGCATTCGATCCGGTAGATTTTCAGCGATGATAGCTTCTACGCTTATTTCTACTGTGATCATACAATTCAAAAAAAATAATACAAATTGAACTATTGTTTAGTGCTCATGTTCGTCTCCTACCCTCTTCAAAGACAAAGAGGAAACGTCAATTTAGCGAAGTACTAGTGGTGAAAGACATCGGGGGCTCAATTTAATTGGCTGGTTTTCTAGATCCTTTGTGCGCATTGACTGGCTGGCGTAGTCCAACCATTGCTCCTTCCATAATCGAGAATGCAGGCCATTGCTCTTTTGGTAACGCTTTTGTTACCCATTGTTTTGATCTACCTTATTCGCCACGAGAATGGAGGATCCTCATCGGCCTCGGCTGCAAAAAAGAAGAAGAAGTCTAAGAAGAAGTCTTCCAAAGCAGCCGATTCAACTCAAGCGTCAACGCCAGCTTTGATTGATGTTAAAGATGCAGCAGATCGCGAAGTCAAAAAGCCTTCTAAGCAAATGAAGCAAGAGAAACAGAAAGATAAAGTCAAAGAGAAAGATACTGTACAAATTATTGATGAACCCAAGGAGGAGGTCACTATCACCACCGAGAAGGCAAATACACCCACCGAACAAGAAAAGGCGGCAGCATTATCATTTGTTGAGGAGAGGATGAAAAAGGCTGCAAAAGACAGTGAAGTTAGTGGCATGGCTATTGACCAGCATATGGATAATACGAGTCGGTTTTCCAGAGTGATGCGCATCAAAACGGATGAGCCGCCAGCCGAAGAGGAATGGGAGCCAGTGGAACCAGGTTGGAACCGAAAAGCCAGTAAAGGTACGTGTCATTCAGCCAGTGTACGATTCAAGGGCATCCAAAACACATAGAATTGATTTTTCATCTCTTTCGCAGCCAGAAGCACGCCTCAAATAGCATCAGCCAATTCCTTTGAACCGTTAACCAAAAAGCAAAGAGAAAATCTAGCTAAAGCCCGCAAAAAGAAGGAAGCTAAAGCGACTCAGGAAGCAGAGCAAGAAGCTAGATTGCGACAGCACAAACGCGAATTGGAGAAACTAAGGATCAATGATTTCTACTCAAAGGGACCTGGTAAAAAGATAATATCCCAATCAAATGTGTGGGGTAGCGGCTCACCAGGCAGTGGCAAGCGTCCGCAAGGTGTCGCCAGCCTGAACGAACATGGACAATTGATTTGGGATTAGATGCTCAAGTATTCAGACGTACACACTATTCTTTACATTGAATGGTAACAAAGCTTTGCTTCTTTTTTCTTTGGTATTTTTTTTTTTTAAAAAAAAGAAGGAAAAACAGAAACTGGAACAAAAGAGATAAAGCCAAAAAATGAAAATGAAGGTGTGGCAAAATGGTTTGACTTATGGTGTTACAAATAATGACACAGAGGTGCTATTACATCTTATGTCAGTGAATGAACAATGGTAGTGTTTCTCGTTTATGAAGAAAGAAGCGACTACAAAAATCTGAATGAGTGTTCTACAAGGGTAAATAAGTTGAGGGGGATTATCAACGTATGAGTTGATTAGTTTGAAACATAGAAAGCATGTCCGTGGAAGCTGCAGGTCTCGTTATGTTGAGTGTCAGCAGTAACCTTGTAGTAATATGCGTATTGGTTAGAGATATCGGAAGCAGGAAGAGTATCCTTAACGTTGAAGATAGCTCTGACGTGCTCATCACCAGTCCAGCTGTCCTTGACCTTGGTGCTTTCCTTGGTTTGCAGATCGATCTTGTAAAGCTCGATGGACTTGAAGTCTTCAACATGGGAAGCAGAGTCACGAGCTGTTGCAAATAAAAGATACAATTAGTAAAAAATAAAATACAAATTGATTTAATGCCATTCCATAGGGTTCACTTACTGAGAGAAACGGTGTAGGCTTCACTGGCCTTGACCTTTTCGCCGGAGCTAGGCTTGTCGACGCTGACACCGAAACAACCGTTATCGACGTTAGGGTCAAGAGAGCTGCCATCGTCTTCAATGCTGTCAGTGCCATCATCGTTCTTATGGCTTTTAGGGACGACCTTGAAGACCTTGCTCATAAGTGTGCAATCGGGGCCAGCATTGTTGTGTACCCATGTACTGTACAAATAAAAAAAGAAGAGCGAAAATTAATAGGCGAATCAAATCAATAGGAAGTTAGAAAACAACGAAAGCTTACCGGAACTCAAACTGGGCAGGCAACTTGATGTTCTTGGCCTTCTTGGAGATATCAACACTAGAAACCAGAAGCAGACGTCAGTAAGTGAAACTCACTACAGAATAAATGGTATTGGCTGACATGGTCTAACCTGATGGTAGCCTTGGAGTTGAGCTTATATTTGCCTGTCCAGGTGGTACCGAGGTAAGTCAACTTATTGCCGGAGCCAATATGATAGATATCGACGGCGTTGATGACCTTGCTTTCGCTATTGGGCTTTCTGGTGACGGTCAGTTTAATCTTACTGCCTTCAGTGAAAGTTTGGCTTTTGGTAGGGGCAGTCAGGGCAAGACCGCCACAGAACTTTTTAGTGGCCGCGTCAATCTCGTCAGACAAACTGTCAGCGGAAACGAATGGAGCTGTCACAGCTAAGAATCCGAGAGCGAAGGTTGCAGCAATTGAAAACTTCATACTGATTAACGAGATGAAGAGAAGCGCGAAGCAAAAGACAGGGTAAAAAAAAATGAAAAGGCGACTTTATTAACTGTTTTTGTTGACAAAAATAGATTTGCTCGAGGGAACCTGTCCGTGTAACCATCATTAAAACGAAGTTACAGCCTTGCCAACATCGAGAGCATGCAACATAACAGGGCCTGCTTCTTGGCTTCTGAAGCCAATACGTTCATGTGACATTTTTCTTCTGATCTTAACGAGATTCCAGTTGTATTCCAATCTTGTAAGGTGATGCTCTGTGGGTCGTAGCATACCTTCTTCAAATACTTCTTCATTTGCGGACTAATTAGTCGGGCAATATCAGAGTAGTCGTAATCCTCCTTTTTAACACCATAGAGCTTGAGGCAGTAAAACCATATAGCTCGTCTCAGTGGGGACGTGTCCAGCATAGTGTCTTCTTGTTGATTAAATATGCTTCATATTATTATAAAATAAAAATAATAATAAAAACAAAGGTGGGTAAAGGTTATTTACCATGGATGAATAAAGTAACCTCTCACATTGTTTCATTTATAGTTCACCTACCTCCAATCAGTAATGCTAAGTGCTTCGTGAAACTCTGCATCAATGTACTCGCCAACTGAAGGTAAATAATGATTTACAAGATCGCAGGCTTCAGTTTCCCATGAAAAGTCTCCAAGGTTGAGCTCTTCGTCAATTTTGACATCAAATTCTCGTCTTTCAATTGCATCACTTGCTGAAGTATGATCCACAAACCGATCCAAATTTTCGTATACTGCATTTACATATATATTGATACTACTTGAAAGTTTGGTTTGGAAGTTGGATGAGTCCTCAGACTGACGACGTATGGGGTGCAGTTTGGTCGGTGAGCCATCTGGATCCCTGCTTGGTGTGGTGCGTAAGCAGTGGGCAGACGAACCGGCTGTTGAGCTCACTTGAGTCGTTTCTTTTAACAAGGAAATAATCATTTTCGTTTGATCCTGCATTTCAGACTCGGTGGGTCCATTCACGCCGTCGTCTTCAATGTCTGCCTTGGCGGATCTCATGGGTGTAAATTTGAGTCCAAGCCCAATGTTACCTGATGGGCCGTCTTCTTGCATAACAATGGTAGGTGAAGGATGTGAATCTAATTCTTCACACCATCCCGTTGCAGCAGACGCTGCATGAATGGCTTCGTCTTCCTCTTTGACTGGATTGACTAATTGTGTTTGAAACGTTCCTAGCTCTTGCTCTATGCCAGGTTGTATTTTACCGCCGATGGTGAATCCTCCAGTCATGTCGGGTTCGTTGGCTATCCCGCAAGAGCCTATAAAGCTGCTCAAGCTTAATATGGTGGCGAAAATGGTTGTGGCATGTACCAACTCGCTATGCGTCCAAGTGTCTGATACAGGCGTTCCTACCGAGTTATGTCGCATTAATTGAGTCATGTCCTCTTCCTCGAGCTTCCACGGTTGTCTTGAAACCTTTAGAAGCAATCGTGATATTGTTCGTAATTTAAATGGGACATGTTTCAGTCCCTTCAACCAATTTTTGTCTCCACCGTGATGGATAAATTCGTGTGTTAAGACTTGCACTATATACTGGCATCGATGCTCGGCAGCAGCCTATATATACAGTATAGGAATGTGAGGTTTACGTATGATTGTTAACTACTACGGAATGCTTTGGCAAAGATACATACCATAATGCCTAAATAATATCGCCATGGAGGATGAAGTGGACCAATAGAGCGCTTGAGGACGACCGAGATACTAACATGAAACGCCTCATAAAAAGTTGGAAAATAAGCCAACACACGGCACAAGTTACTGATTCGTCCAGTGGTGAGGTACATTTGAGCCATAATCTGCCAAACATATTCATCGACCGGCTGACCAATCACGTCTTCATCTGGAGTCGCATAAACTTGCAAGTGAAACCAATGATCGCCATGTCCAGTTGACTGGTACGTTATGTCATCACTATGACTTTCCCTCGGTCCCGTGATGACTGAAGAAAGTGAGGGTGAAAGAGGGGATAATTTTGTGGACATAGTCATGGGAGCTTGACTATGGAACGACGTAATATCGGTTTCGGTGATGAAAAAAGATGGCGAAGGGTGTAACAACATGGGGGTAACAATGCCACTGGTCTTTTGGATAGGGTAGTATAGTTAGTTTAGTAAGTCATATAATGTGAAATGGCCTGGCTTGCTTGATCGTCCCCGAAAAGTCACAATGCTTGACCCGCAGCTTACCTGCAACTGGCTAAGGAAGGTAGTGCATCTTCGTCGCACATCACTGTACGGACAAGTTGTTGCTAGTCTCAGCAGCGTTAATAAATATAAATGCAGTTGTTCAGCCGCGCCTTCAGCCTCCAGGGAGTGATCGACAGTCGGTATAGCAGTATTTGGATCGTCCTCAGCCGTTTCCGGAGAGCCAGAAATTTTCATATTCTCGAGATCCATGTTTTGAAGTGCAACAGGGCTCAAAGATGAATTCTGGGATGTAATGGCGTATGAGTGAACCAATCGAAAGATCTTTTGAAGAGTGGCCTGCCTTGTCTTTTGATTGTCGCTCTGTAATAGATTGAAGAGCGCTATTCTCAACCTGGAAGCCTGCAATCGACTGGTCTGATAATCGAGTATTTCTGTTAAAGTATGAATGAGGATGAGTACATTGTGCACGGACAGCAAATAGCGGAGTCATTGTGTCGACTCATTCGGATTCCAAAGCAATGGCAGGAATGTCAGGCTAACCTTCGTCTGATTCGTCCATTGCTGGCACACGAGTGTTATCTCGGACGCTTGTAACCATGGAAGAAATACCAGAAGGCGAAAACTAGCCTAGAACGCTGGTAAGGAATCTTGAAAAAAGTGAAATAAGTGTAGAACAAAAAAGTGCGCAGAGGAGTTTCTATTTGGTGTGTTCGGGGCAAATGTTGTTATATGGCGATTGCATGACTGCTGGGCATTACGAAATTGGGGTCCACCATTTCCCTATGATATCTCATTTGTTTGCATTTTTTATTTTCCACCTTCAATTACATAACACTACCAAAAACGCGATTATGTCTGCAAATGCTTGGGCCATACTCATCATACTCGGCCTTGGTATGACAGTAGCTGTTGAAATCAGGCTGGGAAAAAATAACCACGAAAAAATATGAGACATGATGTGATTTACCAGAGACCCAGTAGAAATCTACTTACCGTTGAGGCCAATAAACTACCACCAAACCAGACCGCGTGCCGCTGTTTCTTGTGTGAAATAACACTCACATCGATGGGCTTAGCTTTCATGGCACCACCGCTCAAATCCTCGCTCATCTTGACTCGCAGGTCAACAGTTCGTTTGATGTCACGTTGCAAACGCTTGTCGAAATCTTTATACATGGTGGAGCCACCAGAGAGCACAATGTTCTAAACAGAAGTTGTTAGTCCATTGCATGATTGAATACCAAAAAAAGGTAAAAACAAAAAAACAAAAATGCAATTACCTTGTACAATCCTCTGCGTGTGTCAATAGGGCTGCTTTGGATCACATTGTCAACAACCTCTGGAAGAGGAGTTAAAAAGTCAGAGCTTGCAATTTCTGGGTTGAAAAAGATCTCGGGAGCCAAAAAGCGCTCGAATCCGACATCTACACTGTAAGGCTGCATATGGAATTAATTCACCACCATCCGAAATGAATTGAGCATACTATGGTACATCATAAAACCAACCTTGCCAGTAACAGTGTGAATGCCGTCGTACTTCTTGAAGTACTTATCAGGCTCTTGTTCGTATTTTTTGAACTCTTTGACGATATCTGGGCACACGTATGAGTATTGTTCTTTGATAGTTTCCGCAACATACAATGAATCTTCGGGGGGGATGCTAGTTTCACCACGCTCACGCAAAAGCTGTTGAACGAACTTTGAGATATCTCTTCCTGCGATAGGAATGCTCTTAATAGAGCTACCAATGACATAACCCTCAGCCTGTGCAAATAATACAGTGCGTATTAGCTTCACAGTTTTTGCTCGATAGATATCATGTAATTGCGGTCAATTTACCACAGGAATGACGTGCGTAACACCAGCACCGGAATCGATGACAGTTCCGGTCAAAGTCTGTTCATTGACCTTGTTCGATGTCCACGAAGCAGCAAGTGCTAACACAGCTTGAACGGCAATGTAGAGGCCATTAACATTAAAAGTCTCAAACATGATTTCAGCAGTCATTTCACGGTTTTCAGGAGGGTTGAGTGGTGGTTCGGTCTACAGCAGAGCATGTTAATATAATTCATCCAACACCATTACGTGTCCATCTGATATATATAACTCACAAGCATAAAGGCATGATCTTCAGGCTCGCATCTGAGGTACTTGAAAATGGATTGTTCCCAGAAACGCTCCATATGATCCCAGTTTTCGATTTGGCCATGACGAATAGGATTATGCACAGCCATAGTTTTAGAGTTAGCAAGTGCTTCATCACCGATATAAAAATCCAAGTCTTCTATGCCTCGCTTTGATGCCAAGTTGCCGCTAAGATATGACGGTTTGGAAGCTACGGATGGAGCTCCTGATGCTGATGGGCTCTCATGAGTAGAGATGGCAGTCGGGAATACGAAAGAAGGCTCATTGTTGCCACTGAAACCTAGCTTGGTATAGCTTGAATAGAAAATGTGTTAAGATGTGAGTTCGAAATGGCTAACGGAGACGCGAAATAACGGGCTATTCGAGATATGACGAACAAACTGGCGTAGGCTTTGTGCCATTGCACGCCAAGATGTACGCTTCATAGCAAGGATAGGAGTCACAACTCACCCAGTGCCATTGTCCATAACAACCACGGGAAGGTTCGTCATTTTGTCGTTAAGTAATGTTTGATAGTTCCCTTGAAGCAGAAGTCCAACTCAAACTTGACTGACCTTTAAAATCACCGTCGTCATTGGGTTGCACCAAACTGGGTGCGCAAGCTGGAGGTCGCCTTAAGCCACTAGAAAAATCACATGACCAAATCTTGGCGAGTCGCTGCGCTACTGATCATTCACCATGCCATTCTTTCAAGCTCACTCATATTGCAAAACATTCATTCTCTCCAAATACATTTCAAAAGAATTAGTAGACAAAAAAAGGAACCAATATGAGATACTGAATGTACAGGAATATCGATTTATTCATTTGATACGGTGGATGCAATATTGTTTGAAATTGACTAATGCTATTGATCAACCTATTATGGTCGAAGCAGTGGGAAAAATCCGATTAAAGTCTGTTGACGTTTCCGAGATCCTTGCATGCTTCTTGTACACGAGTGATCATGGTCTTTTCACCCTCACGAACGAAGACACGAGGATCATAGTACTTCTTGTTAGGCTTGTTGGCACCTTCGGGGTTGCCAACTTGTGCCTTCAAATAGTCCTTCTTGGCTTCCATGTAGTTTCGGAATCCAACAAGATAAGCCCATTGAGTGTCAGTATCAACATTCATCTTGACAACACCGAATGACACGGCAGTGGCAATTTCTTGGTGAGTAGAACCAGAACCTCCGTGGAAGACGAAGTAGACGGGCTTATCGTCCTTAGTGCTGAGTTGCTGTTGGACATACTTTTGGTGCTTTCCAAGCAATTCAGGATGAAGCTTGACATTACCAGGTGAGTAGACGCCATGGACATTGCCGAATGCAGCAGCAATAGAGAACAAATCAGTGACTTCGGAGAATGCCTTGTAGATGTCCCAGATATCTTCTGGCTGAGTGTACAGAGAAGCGTTGTCTACATTTTCATTGTTAACACCATCTTCTTCGCCTCCAGTGATACCGATCTCCATTTCCAATAAGCACTTCATGGGGGCCATGCGCTTCAAGTACTTTAAGCAGATTTCGATGTTCTCTTCCTTGGGCTCCTCAGACAAATCCAACATGTGAGATGAGAAAAGTGGTTCACCATGAGCCTTGAAGTATTCCTCATCTGCGGCAATCATACCTATATATATCGAATCGGTCCACCTTGTTAGCTTACTGATATGGTATGTAAGACCACGTTATACTTAAATGGCTTCATCTTACCATCGAACCATGGGATAAGCTTCTTGGCACAATGATCAGAATGGATCAAGACTGGGATTCCATAAGCTGCAGCAACTTGACGGACGTACTGAAAATGCGAAACAAACAGTGTCAAAAGCCGTGTTACAAGTTTGAGATAAAAAAAAATTGATGTCACGAAAGTACGTACGTGGGCGCCAGCAACAGCACCAAGGATAGAAGCCTTTTGACCATCATTGCTCAAGCCCTTTCCAGCATAGTAGGCGGATCCACCATTTGAGAACTGAATAATGATGGGAGATTTGATATCACGAGCAGCCTCTAACGCGGCGTTGACGGTACTGGTGGAAGTACAATTGATAGCGGGGATAGCAAAACCGTGCTCTTGTGCATAATCAAAGACCTTGCGAACATTGTCACCGGTAATGACACCAGCTGGAACGATATCTAGAAGACCCATATTGTGTAAAGTAAATGTAAAGTAAAGTAAAAGAACTCTGACCGGGGGGTTGTTCACCCTGAATCAAGGTATTTAATCCAAAGGAAAATTTTGCTAATCATGCAAATCGAATGACTGTGTTTCAGCTCACGTTTTTTCCAAAATCATCCCACGATTCATAAACAAAAAGTCCATCCAAACATGCCACTATATTCTATAAAGCTGGTGTTTCTCTTTCATTTATCTATGGACGGCAGTAAGCTGTCTACCTGTTTGTCAAAGCTTATCGGAGTAGAGGTTGCTTTCAGTTGAAGCGGCACAACGAGGTGGTAATAGGAAATTAACATGGGTCTTACTGCGATATCAAGCGCGTCTCTAAAACCGACGCCAAACGATCCGCGGTGGGATGGGGGCTGCAACACCCCCTCCCCATCGATAAAATCCGTCACCATCGACATCTTGAACGTAAACCGGTAGTCGACGTCGCATCAGACAAATTATTACATCTACTATTATCAAACATACGTTGAAATATTTGAAAAAAAAAAAAAAGTATGAAACCAAGAATGAGCATTTGAGCAGCGCGAATAATATGACGGCATTTTTTTATTTTTTATCGTCGCTGAACCACTTTGCGGCAAAGCACATATCTACCACACGCTTTTCATTTTCTCAAGGCTGGTTGCCTATTGGGCGCTCATGAGCTCCTTCATGAAGGCATCAGACGAAGGTTCGCGTTCCAGGAAATCTCTAAGTAGATCCATGCCATCGCTACCAAAGGTGAAAAGAAATTATGTCAACTTGAACACTATCTATAGCTGATCAGGCGGAGGTACTTACCGGCTGCCACCACGAGATAAAATTTTATGACGGTATGCCAATCCGTTGTCTCTGGACAAGGTGTTATTGTTGAACTTGGTGTAAAACATATCAGTCGAGAACACCTTGCTCCATACTGTTAGAAAAATTGTTAGCCGTCAGAAGCTGGTTGTCGCGTTGGGATCTGAAAAAGAATGCCCCTGTTCCACTTACGATAACCATAGTATCCTATACAATGAAACACAGCAAGTTAAAAAATTATTCTAGGTGTAATACCAATTAGCCAATTGCTGATACATACCTGCATCGTATCCTCCCATAATATGACTTGCAACACAAAAAGCATATCAGAATACGTTTTCTAACCATGATGTTGCTTGACGCTATTACTTACCCAAATGCAGCTTGGCCATAAGTTCCCTATAAAGTTGAAGTGCATGTTAAGCAAAAAATGTATTGGGAGGCGGTTGAAAAAGCCGGTCGATGGCAAAATTTTCATACCTCTGGTGAGTTGATCAACGAGACCTTCTTACGAAGAGAATGCCAAAGAACAGAAGTATCCAATTTTTCGTCTATAGAACATCAAAGTCAATGCATGTCCAAGAAAAGCATTTTGTTTCTTTCTTCAATTCGAATAAGTACCATCAGAAGTGTGAAGTGTCATATCGTAGATACCGAAGAATAGTTGACGCAAGTTGAACATAGCACCATTCACATTTTTTGCCTTTACGATGCGGTCAATGACTTCATCGGGGATAGGTTCACCGGTTTGATAATGAGACGAGAGATATTTCAAGCTTTCAGAGTCAAAGCACCAGTTTTCCAACATCTTTCGAGATCAGGTCAGTAAGAGATCACAAATCACACCATGAAACCCTTACTATTCCTCGCGTACCTGTGATGGGGCTTCAACAAAGTCGCGTTCGACAGCTGTACCGTTGAAACGTGTGTGCTTTGTTCTACTACAGATGTGATGCATGACGTGACCCTATAGCAAAAGAATCAGCAACCAATACCCTTTTCTACACAGTATATTCCCGCCTTACCAATTCGTGAAACAAAGTGACAACTTCGTCATGCTTCAGAAGTGAAGGCTTATCAGCAGTGGGCTTGGTAAAGTTGGCTACCATTGCTGCGGAAGGTGCAACGCGTTCACCACTTTCCTTCAAGTACGAAGGTTGAAGAGGGAAGCAGGCAGCGTGGGAGTCTAAAATAGCATAAGTGTTGCTATACAACTATTCTCCTTGTTTGAACTGGTTTTACTCACATTTGTTTTCTCTTGGGTGAAGGTCAAGGTACATGTAGCCAGAGAATTCTTGGGTATCGGTATCATCCCAGCATTCGTAGAGCTGAACATCAGGGTGCCATACAACGGCCTTATCAGCAGGTACCTTTACAAATCTCAATCCAAGCACCTTGGAGTAAATTTCCAGCATTCCTGCAATTGCAACTGGTTAAAAGAAGCACACCATCTATTTTTGCATTTGGTTTGAAACTAACTGTCGACAGTGTTGCTCAATGGGAAGTATTGTTTGATAACTTGCTGGTCAACTTGGTATTCTTCCTCCAAGAGTATACGCAAATAGTAAGCAGTGTCCCATCCATTGATGTTGCCATCAAATTCCTCTCCTCGTGATTCCTTCTCCTTCTATCTCCACCAAAAGATGATGTGAGTGAGTTGACATGATCATATTTTCATGGCCGGATGTCACTTACGCGTTTGATGTTCTTGAGTCGTTCCAATTCCTTTTCACCCATGGGTTCCAATCTGTTCACAAGATCGCTCAGGAACTATAAAGCATGCCATGTCAGACAGGTTTCACGTTCGCTCTTTGCTTTACAATATGTATACGTACTGATTGAACTTTCTCTACTGACTTGGCCATCTTGACCTCCAATATAAAAGCGGCGTGTGATGGGTAGCCAAGAAGCTTAACGCACCAGTATTAGTCAAATGGGGCAAGTTTGAACTCATGCAGTGTAAGGCTAACGACGAGTATCACAAACCTTGGCAGCTTGGCGACGGAGCTTAACGGCCTCTTCAAGAATTGCAATGTTCTCCTTATTACGAGATTCGTAAGCGATGTAGTGAATTTTTCGGGTATTTTCATTCTTGCAGTTTTTCAAGACGGGAAGAACATCAGGATATCTACACGGATTCCGGTATGAACAACATTTCGCCTTTGATGCACATTGATCACATCTTTCGCTGAAGCTTACCTCATAGTCAAAATATACTTTTGAACACCATCGACTTCCCCTGTCTTCAATCCACCTTTAGCGATGGTTAGCTGCAATTCAATTCGACAATCTACTTTCACATTAAAGCTACTTACTCAAAAAGTCATCGTCCATATTTTCGAGTTCATCCTAGTCATCAATGGGACCATCAACACCACATCAAGAGATTTCGTGCATGACCTTTTACACATTATCTCTTACCTTAGTAAAGCTAACGGCTATAGAGGTTGTTAGTATATCTATAAAAAGAATAACACATATAGTTCTACAAAGGATACTAACTGCTGCTCTCCTCGTTCAAGTTCTTGCTGAAATCGATACCCAACTCACTGAGCTTTTTGCGGATTTCCTTAAGTTCGTTACGCTTGCTTTCCTCCAACGCGAGACCACTTCGACGGAAATCAAGTTCGGTCTTAGTCAAAAGTCTTGCATCCTCAGGTTCCAAAGTAGCCAAGTCTGTCTTGTTGAAGACGTTGAGTACGGCTTGATACAAGTCAACGCGCATGCCTTGCTCGATACCGAACGCATCGTATGCCTTGTCAGCCTCCAATGATGCATCCCTAACATCCTTTTCTGGGGAAAAATAGCTAAGGTTTGTAGCCAAATGAGCTTCACCAGCAACAGCATTGTCCACCTTGCTCATAGGGAGAATCACAGTTTCAAAGGTCTGCTGTTCAGGAGCAAGGCTAGCAACCTTGTTATTGACCTCCAGCTCTTGGGCCATGATGTCATCGATCGACTTCTTAAGTTCAGTCGCAGTGATTGCGAAATTGAGTGTTGGTTGCGGGGCAGTTGTGGTGGTCATGGTTCAGTTGGTAACGTGTGAAGAGCTGCGAGGGGTATACGCGCAAGTCGCTTTATACCTTGTATTCGAACTCCGGTACCAAGTCACCAATGTCTCACAGCAACGAGAGATGAGAAATTCAGTTAACAGCGAAGGTAAAAAGGCTCCTATTTGGATGAATTAATATTATTTGATATCTTTATTACTGTGTTAACGTTAGGTACCCTACATAACATTTTATTGCAGTAAATGTGTGTGTAGCCCGATTGACCGGCCAGACAGTAAGAAATCAATTTCCTTTTACAGGTTGAAGTTTCCATATCCACACCCAGAGACTCTTGTGCATCTCTAATCCACGCAGAAATCTCAGCTACGGCATACCTGTGGAGCAGAAGCCTAAAGACATTGTACACAGCATAAGCTGACACTCAAATTTATGACCATAAATTAGAAGTGGATGATCTGCCAACTGTGCGTACTCTGCAGTTATTAGTTTACCGAAGTATGTACACCCACTGACATACAAATTTTTGGGGAAAATGTTGAAGTATAGCAACGACTTTCGTCTTCGCCAGAAAGTAATGCTACGTTCAGCCAATACTGAGAGGATCTCGCGAATCTGGCAATAATTACCCAAAGCAGATAAAACTGCAATCCACAGAGAACGTTCGGCATTCCATCTTTCGTTATATCTACCATGAAATGCCATTGAAAAGGTTTCTTTCCTCTCAGGGACAATCATTTGCTGTGGTTTACTTTGATAGCCTCCAATGGGACCAAAAGACATGAAATTTTGGCTGTAGCATACTTGATTATTTTTTAAAAAAAAAAAAGGGGAGGGGGACTTCTTTATTAACATAACGTCTACATTCAGTTAGCAGAAGTTCCCGCTTGTTCCGGTTCGTCATTTTCTGCGTTAGCACCATCATCATTGACTGATACTCCTGCCATTCCATTTTCCAACTCTCGTCGTTCATTAGCTTCACGGTCTCTTTCCTTTTCAGCTTCTTCACGATCGTATGCAGACAAGTCGAAGTAGTCGTCTTCCTCTTCTGAGTCTTCTGCCCAGTCGGGATTGAACTCGAAAAGATCTCTTCCAGACATGCCTTGCGATTTGCCGGCTTGGAATTGCTTCTCCTTAAGCTTACGTTTGACGGCCATTTCAGCATCCTTCTTATCCATACGATGCTTCTTCCATTCAGTGAATGAATCTAGAGTTACTGGCGTCAAGTTGGAACCGAGGTTATGTCGCTGCAAAAGGTTTATGATGAGTATGCTGGTACAGATCAGACAAGCGTTTAAGGCGTCAGGTTGATACAAACCTCAGTTTCCAAGAATTGTTCTAATGTGATTTCTTCCTTCTTCTCTGTCTTGTCCTTCTTGGACTTGAGAATGAAGCCTGGAGGCAGTGCGTGTACATATTTGCAGTTTTTACCTATGGTGAAAAGCGTGCAATTTATCTTAGCAGGTCGCCTTTGCGAAACATAAAGCAGCCAATGAAATCATAACGATCACTTACCTCCGTTAGGGCACTCCCAGAACCAACCATACTTATTATCTTCAATAGCTTCCAAGAAATATTTGCATACAATATCAGTTGTTGTCTTGGGGTTACCAGCCTTGCTAAGAACAACCTCTTCCAGCTTCTTTTGATCCCATTTGTCCATGGTATCTAATAAATGATTTACATGAAAAGTTGAGTCTCATGTTTTTAGGAACACTGAGTCGTTTTAAACCTCAAAGATCAACATACCTTCTTCTTTCTCCTTTCGAGAATCGGTATACAGATCTTTCTTTTGATCCTTTCGTGTGACATTAAGATCATGGGAGAACTTGCACTTATGGCCTTTCTCACAATGTCCAGCCTTAAAAAATTCGCACAATACGGTCTTTGGATCAGTGCCGAATGGTACCTTTTGAGGAGCTTGAACCGGCTTGAACAATTCAAGAAGTTCTTGCTTCTTCTTGAGTTCTGCAGCCTTTTTAGCCTCCTGTGCATCCTTCAATTGCTGCTTTTCGGTCTAGATCAGAGAAATGTTCGGTGAGTACATCTTCAAAGAGTTGACGATGCTGTTCTGATTTATACATACAGCTTGTTTGCTCTTTCCACCGGTGGTAGCCTGCTGCTGGACTTGTTGGACGAATTTTTGAACCTTGGCAGACTTATTCTTGTTCTTCATGCCAAAGGTCTTATCTTCGACAGCCTTTTTCGTTTTGGCATTATTCTGTTGCTTTTTCGGTGGCATATTGAATTTCCTTCAAATCTAATGTGTAATTGAATTTAGAAACTTGTATCCAAGGATGCTGCACTGACTGAATCGAATTGCTTACGGTGCAACTTGGAGAGAGAGAAAAAAAATCAGTAATCCTCGGTCGGTCGATTAGATCAGGCGAAAATGGCCACCAGCAAAACAAAATGTGACTGTTCTTGTCATCATTCCAATTTGGGAACAAAAAAAAATGTTGTGTAGAGCAGCGTCAAGGATGAGAATAGATCCAATAATAAGCGTGAGGATACCCTTGAGTTTCTTAATTGAAAAATAAAAGGGTTCGCCAAATTCTACTAATTTACAACATTTCTGTTCTACTTGCTATTAACAGCAACAAATGTTTCTACTGTCTATAGCTAAAGTTATAAGATGATGACAATGTCTTGATGGTGAAGGAGCAAGTACGTATTTAAACTAAATAACATTGCTAGCATATATTTCATAATATAAGTTATATTCAGACGTTATTTAACCCACTACTGTTCATTTTTACGGATTGCTACTGAAAATGTCTGCAACAAACGATATATAAATCTCTCTTCAATGGAAAAGTGGTACAGACAGCCAACCCATCAGTTCCTTCCCAGAGAAGAGTTTCGGATGTTCACTTTTGTGATTTACAAATATATCACATTTGCCGAGAACATCAAGCAGGTATTGAAGGTACCAACGGCATGGCATTTTATAATTTATTTTGCGTATCATTCGCGTGAACTAAGAAGTATGAATACTCTTCACAATGGCAATCGATTGTTTACACTAGGAAGGTGAACGATGCTTTACCGGCAATTATGCGAGGTTTTTGGCTTCTGTCCTATATGATATAAAATATCTTTGCGAATGTCAACAGACTTGCCCACTCAACCAAGCTCTTCATATGGTCGTTTTCATTTATGACATTTCTTTTATTTTTTTAAAATTCCGCTGTTTAAATTTCTTTGGCAATCAGCGAAAGGGTAGCTGATCGGCATAAGACTTGACAGTATGGCCAAGCCATGGCTTACGGAAAATCACAGCCAAGAGTTTGCTGATGCAATTGCTGATGCCTGTTTGAACCAATACCAAGCGCTTCCAAATTCAGGAAAACCTAGTGTCAAAGGTACGAAGCACGAATGGACCATTCTGGCTGGAATCTGTCTCGTGCAGCATGCCGCGCTAGGTCATTCCAATTCAGCAAAGCAAAAAAGCAACCAAAAAGATATTACTATAGACAATGAACGATATCAAATATCTGTTGTGGCTTTAGGGTAAAGCTATTTTTTAAACTGTTGCCCTTTGTCGCTATACCTGCAAATTAATGATGACCAGCAGGACCGGACTGAAGTGCTTGCCACTAAGTAAATTGAGCCAACGGGGAGATGCGGTCCAGGATAGTCACGCCGAAGTAATTACGCGGCGTGGTTTCATAAAGTAGGTACAACTTTATGGCCAAATTAAGATTGTATATCTGTAATTAAATGGAAGTATTTTAACTAGGTATTTACTTGACGAAGTTGCAAGTTATAATGCAGAACAACCAAGTATCTTTGAGCCTGTCGATGAAAAATCGCGGAAATTGAGAGTGAAAAGCTCATATACTTTTCACATGTACATAAGTCAAGCCCCATGTTAGTATCTTGTTTCATCTTGTATGCTTTTTCAACATTACATCTTGTTTGACTGGCTTTATGAAATATGCTAGGCGGTGATGCATCAATGACCGAACTCGAAGCGATACAATCAAAAGAATCACTACTAGCACACATGGAAGGAAAAAAGCGAAAAGCAACAGATCAGGAGGTAGAATGTAATTCTTTATCATTGTACACATACAAATTTAAGCGACAAAAGCTGCATAAGAAAAGTGATGATATACCTGAAGGAAACGACTTCGAGACGACTACTGTGCGTAGAGGCAGGGTTGGCTATCAAGAATTTGGTATTCTCAGAACAAAACCTGGTAGGGTTGACTCCGAGCCAACGTTATCCATGTCATGCAGGTACGTCTATCATTAATTGAATGAGCATTCATGTTCATACTCACCTAGGTCTGCTTAACTCAGTGACAAGTTGGCTCGTTGGAACGTTCTGGGATTGCAATCGGCGTTATTAGCCATGATTATAGATCCAGTATATCTAGACAGCGTGATAGTAAATCAAATGTTTGATTTACAAGCCTTACAACGAGCACTTTATGGTCGACTGTCTAATTTGCCTAGTGAGTACTCAAAACTACCACATGGGATCCTCGATCTATATAACTGATAACATGCCAAAGCGTTGGAATCTCCATATCGACGGAATCAACCACGCATTCTACACACCGAACGACAATATTCATGTTCAAAGCAAATACTTGAAACAAAAGTTCCAGCGTCTGATGTAATAACGTGCAATACATGTAAGCAAAGTTCCCTTTTTGCCGCATGTTAATTGCCAAAAAGGAAGGAGATCATAACTTCCACATAGCCATAGAGTGGGTTCTAGGCATGCCAAAGTGCGAAGTAATTGTCAATGGCCGTCGCCAAGGAGCACCTAAGCCCAAAAACGGGCAGTATGATCTCAAGTCTAGGTATGACATTCCAAGCAACGAAGTGTTATGTGTGTGTTTGTTCTACTAACGCAACTGTAGGGTAACAATATGTAAACTCTCCCTGTTTCAACGGTTTGCGCCATTATATAAACAACTCAAAGGCGTAAGGTAAAGGCAGATACGAGAGGAAAGTTACCACAAGTTAATGCTTTCAGAATTTCTTACGCAGCCCTTTTGTCACTAGCCCTTCAGCCACCAACTGGGTATACCAAGATGTAAAAAGTAAAGCAGTGGATTATAATGCAGCAAAATCAGCCTTACTTGAAAATTGCTTCCAGGATTGGGTTCAGACTCCAGAGGATATGTATCTGTTTGATTTGGAAGGTATCATAACAAGCCACACATAATTCTTCGATGTCGAGTTAGACTATCATCAATAAATGTGGTTTTACCAAGGCAAAACGGCATTTTCAAATTTTTGTGTGGTGGGTTGGAATGCCTTCAAAGGGATTGTGACTGCAATTCCGGCCGACGAAAGGGTTGGTTCGAGAAGCGCGAGCGGAGGTTAGTGGCAAGCAGCAACTCTTGGACGGTCCTGATGCAGCCATTCGCACTAGTTCATACGGATTTCACTGCTGACGTTCAGCTGAGCCTCGCTCCACATCGTCCATTGAAAACCTTTGCCATCAAATTTGCACCGGGCGATTTAATTCATGACAATGTTCGTAACTTCATGAAGAAACACAGCATTCCTGCATATCTAGAGCTCAGCATCCTCTCCACCATCGGGACATTGTATGAAAGGAGCATACAGAAGCGCAGAGAAGATTGCCTTGGGAATGATTCCGACCTTGATTTACAAGCTATGAAGGAAGGTCGCCGAGCGTTTATAAGCTGCTATGAGGACCACACTCAAGAGTTTCACAACAGCAGTGCACAGGTACAGAGAGCTAGGAGATAATAGATGCAGTTGAATTCATCCATTCACCGAGAATTATTTCGCAGGATACTTTTGCTACAGCCTATTATACTCTGGTACATTCTCCTATACCCTCCATCTTCGATACCATCCTTGAATTGGAACAGAATTACGCATTATCTATAACTCAATTGATACAAGCCCGAGATAATGAAATTAAAAACATAAAGGACAGGTGAGTCTCCCGTATGCAATGTTTTTACCTTTTGAAAAATATATTGACCTTTGGCAGACATGAGAGAGAGGTTGGAGATTCGATCAGCGCTCGACCTACTTATCTCATAACCCAGCAGGTGGAGGAATTGGAAGTGTGTCAGGCAACCTGGGCGTCAGATATTCATGAGACACAGATCACCCAAAAACGAGAATATCGTGATTTTATAATCCAATTGTATCAAGAATACCAAGCTCGAGTGGCTCAGTCTCAACAAGGAAATCTCCCAAATGGCGTAAATCATTCCAAACCTTCGGATATTATTGATGGCAAAGAAATTGTTTCAGCTACCATCAATAGAATGAAAACCAACACAAAGCCAAATGTCAGTTCAGAATCAGAAGAGCAACATCAAGGCGACACCGACTCCCAAGATCAAGCAACCGAAGGATCTAGTTTATCTCGTAGCAGAAGAGGAAGTTCGTCAAGCTCGCTGCTAAAGTATGCATCGGAAAACCTGGAAAATAGAGAAGATGGAGACAAGAGGGCATCACCTGTAAGTAAGCTCGTCATTATAAAAAGCATTCCAGACCCTTTGATAAATGCGGCGTTAAAAACCAAAAATTTTCAGCAGAGTCTCAATATACCGGATCCAAGCTTACAGCGGATGGTGAAAAGTATTGAACAAATGGGATTTCCGAAAGAACAAGCCGAATGCGCATTAGGGATGACAAATTCTAACGTGGAGCAAGCCATTGTACTTCTCTTGGAGCAACCTGAAAAGGTAGAGGCGGCTTTGACGTCGGCAGCTTCAGAACGGCTAGTACAAAAGTCTACCTCAAACCGAGCAAGCAACAAGAGACTTTCTGTAAACAAACCTACCCGGCCAAGTGCTCAAGGCCACTACCGTAGCGAATCGGGTAATCCATCTAGCCCACGCCAAAGCACATTCCAAAGGTCTGTTACAACACCGGCGTCCATTAGTGATACATTGAACAAAAATGCCAGATCCTGGAGTCCTATCACATTTCTTCAACAACAAAAGCAGGCCATGGAAAATACCAATGTCAGCTCAGTTAGGAGGTTGGGTGGATGGTTGGGAAAAGCCATGGAGAATCTTGGTCTCGAAGACAACGGCAAGTGAGTATCAAACCATAGAATCCAATGAAACTTTTTTTTCCAGCTAATGTAGTCTGACTAATTTGCACATTAGCCCGTACGCAACTGCATCCAGCCATATGCATACATCACAGCTCGTCGAATCGTTTACCATCACTCTCGGAACAGCACAGACTCGTGCAACACATAATTTAAGGCTCCTGGTGACAGACGAGAATTCCGAAATATTTTGTCCTGACATTCAGGATACAGGACGCGAATTGGCCTATCGAGCGCAAAATGCAAATAATCTGTACTCTGATCAACTAAGCGCTATTGTTGTTTTAGTGGACATTAAAGAAGTTCAAATTGAGCGATCGACATTGAATGATAAGCCCTTTAATCGCGGGTGGACACGGTATAGGAACGGTCAAGGCAGTAATCAAGGTAAGACGGATTCCACTATGCAGGATTTTTTTCAAACACAGATCGGCCTCTAATCATCCCGCCTTAAAGCATTGTTCTCCAGATGCCATCAATCGACGGAGTTTCACTTCCCAGACATTGACTCTCAACTTCAGACGATTGAAAATGATTATGTCGACAACCAAAGAACAGTGGATGAAGGCGATTTCTTTATTACTAGGCACTCCAATTTGCCTCTGACTCAGATCGTTTTTCACTTGGTTATTGATGGAGATGGTAAGTGCTAAGCCGATGAACTGCGGAAAAGCACGTATGGTGAATTGCACCTTAGCCAAGCATTTATTTATCCATTTTCAGCTATTTCTCGGGTGGAGCTTACAAGTCGGCATCCCATTCTGTCTGGACTTCGTAACATCCTACGTTTCACCACGCGATATGAAATTGGGTCTTTGTCATTACCTCTACTTTTATTACCTAATTACGTCTTGGAACAGCCAGAGCAGTATTTCTTCTCCACCATATTAGGGGCTAAACCCAGCCAAGGATCTACATGGCTTTACAAACGAGGAGAAGTGGTCATGAAGTGCGTGAAAGGATTCCTTATTGAAAGCTCTCGTCTTGGCAAAGCCGGCCCGATTGAGCGATGTTTCAATTTCCTCTTGCCAAAAAATACCCAAATATTTAGCACCCATTCAGGGGCAAGCGTCGGCGACAGCTTGAGCGACACAAGAAACGGCCAACAACAACAACCTCATGTAGACTTGGAAATAGCTTTCCAACAATTTAGAGGCATGCTGGTAGAGCTATTCCGAGCAACTTGACGAATCCTATAGTGTATTTTTATGCGCCTTGTTTAATCCATAACCTTTCTGTCCTTACCAAAATAACAACTATTAAACCGAGCCCCTCCAACAAATGCAATACGATAGATGACGTACAAACATAGACTCTACTGTAGTGTTGCCCTGAGTAAAAAATTATCATTTCTATTTATAATTGGGTGGTAAGTCTCAAAAATAGAACGATTTACGGGCTTAAACCAAACTGCATGCAACGCTCTGTCCAACTTAAAAGCGGCTCCAGTATACTCTTGAAAGGTATAGCATATAACTCTAATAATGTCGGTCCGAGATGTAAAGACTTATATGAAAGTGATTAGCTTATTTTTACAATGACCATACTTTTTGGGCATATCATTGTGTGCCTTCAGGCACTTTGAAGAAGCGAAATTGCCACGCGAGTCGCTGACGTGTAAAATTTTTTTCACTGCGCGCAGACCGGAAGTAAACACATCCGATACCGAACGTTTGCGTGTCCGCCGACAACTCTTGATTATACATCTATTTTGACTAAGAGAAATGATGACCAAGGCGCAGACTATAAGCACATTGTTATATTGTAGTATTTTGATTTGCTAAGAATGCCCCAAAAGCCCAGCAAACAAAAAAAAAACGGTTTCAAAAATAAAAGAACGCGCAACATTTCTCTTTTCCTCTATCGGATAACCCTACTGCATCCACACACATAAATCTGCTTGACATTCTTCTCCATTCATACAAACGCCAACCCGCCCTCTTTTTTACACCTGAAACAACTTTTTGTTTTTCTTTATTTCTAGTTGTTCCAACTTCGTTTTCATTCATCACCTTCTTTCACTTAATATCACACCACTTATACCTCCCTGATGCTTGCCAATATTACACGTCAGCTCATTCGGGTAATACAATTCTTGAGTGCCCTTGGTACACTCATTGGCCATTGCAAAGAGACTGCCTTCATCAATGTCTACGAAACATTAATCGACAACGATACATCCGATGCAATGTCGGATACCTTTGTACCTCAAGTACCATCCGTAGTACTGTTTCTGGTTTCTGCACTATCAATGGTTGCTAGCTTGACAATTGCCGCGTTAGCATTTCGCAGGGTGGTTAGGATTCAGCGCATTGAACGTGCAGTAGCCTTCTGTATGGTACTGTTGTGGGGTATTTCTGTTACTGCTGTTTTCGCGTTGGATGGACAGTTCTTCACGGCCAACGACGCCGATTCTCCTTCTGACACGAACGACACCGATTACAACGTCGAGATACAACTTATTACCTCGATTGATGTCACTAGGGCACTGGCTTTGGTGGCTCTTGCAAGTTGGATAGCTGGTTTGATGGGCTCTTTGTTGTCAGACTGCTTTTCCGACTGCCGACAAACTCATGACATGGAGGAAAAGGCTCAACTGAGTAACTGGCCACTGAATATGACAGCCCCACCGGAATACAGTGAACGATATGGAGAATTGCCTCACCACACATCTTTGAAACCTCCTTCAACTTTAACTTCAAGCTCATCGTATAATCGAAACTCTTTCTACAAAACACCTATGGAAGTTGCTACTCGTTCCAACTCTCCCATGGTCCTTAGTCATTATGAGGACATGTCTTCTACGCACAGTTGGGAATCGTCTAGCCCTTCCAGTCCTCTAACTCCAACGCATGGCTTGGAGTTACCGCTCCAGGCACATAGCATACCTGACGACCCAGCCACAACCAACGGCCTGCGCCCCTTTTCAGGCATCCCAACTATCCGAATCCTGCCCGATGGTCCTGAGCAAGATGTGTTGCCAACTTCATTTGCATATCTTATCACTAATCCCAAACCTGTGGCTAGTCTTCGTCGCGCCAGTTCTTTGGGTTAGAAACCGTAAACAACATGTTAAACATTTTGTCTTTTGTAAATACTGCATTGTTATTTTTGTTTTATTCGTACCTATAGTTTTGTTTGAGATCAAAAACAGGCAAGCCCTGACAGCTGCCTTTCATAAACGTGATTTTCTAAGAAACCATATTATACTCTTATTCGAGTAATTCGCTGTTGAGGACCGTACCGCAAAATTCTGCTTAAACCTACAGGGACGGTATGTTTCATTTTCCTAGGCGGATACACGCCGATCCGATAAGAGTTGATACTGGCCCACAAATCTAGGCACTCCAGGAAGATAATCTTACTGACACTGTGGCAGGGTTTGTGAGAATCAGGCGGATTTTCAACGAAGAAGAGATCTCCATGTGCTATACCATCAAACACAGAACTTGACCAAGCCTTCATGTTAGTGACTTCTGTCTCATCAATGATAGAAATGTTGCGTTCCCTTGCAGTGTGAGTCAGTCCATTAAGGAAATGAAATAAACGAAGTCGAACATAGTCCCCATTATGCGACACATAATGCGAGTATGATTTTGAAGTTAGGGTGATGGCTGTCACAGATGATAGTGGGTTATCACTTGAATATCGCCCATTACTCCGCCGTCGGTAAACCATATCAGTGACTGCCTGATTGAGCAGTATGTCTATAATGTTTAATATTATTTCTTGCGGAAGGAGCTGCATTGGTGCCTTTAAAAGTCAGGTCAGGACAAAGCGTAAAAAGTTGGAAAGGAGTGTAAGAAGCAAGAACAAGAGAGAAAGAGATGTGAAAAAAGAAGTGGATAACGAGTAGAGTCATGAGATAACTCACAGGTTTTTTTGTAAAGGGTTACACCATCTCGTCGTGTTCAGGGTCCAGTAAGAAAGCATAGTGTAACCGACGCCAGTGTAATATTGAGCGTAAAGGAGTCGCTTTGTAACCCCACAATTAGCCAGAAAAGCATTTCATGTGTACTACGAACTTCATTAACTGAGCGGAGATGGCAATGCATCAAGCCAGCATTGCGACTACTGATAAAGCGAGAAGTTAACGATAGTAGTGCGACCTTTGCCGTCTGAAAAGCTGCTGTGATGTCGCGAATGACCACAAGTACCTGAATAAAGATGGGCTTTACGTGAAGGATGCTCTTTTAAACCTGAGGGATGGGACAAGGTAGCACAGTAAAAAAAAAAAAAAAACCACCAGAACCCACATTCGTATGCATGTGTTCGTACCGCAGGAAGCGAATCAAATTGCCATGAAAACAACGTACAACCAGAGCTACTGAATCCATTGGACCAAACTAATCTTGACCACCTCAAAATCAATACGCATAGACAGACCTTACATTATGCGAATAAAGCATTATCATTGGCATAGGCACCAGAAATATAATCAAGAAAAATAAAAATCATTTACAATGCTTTGTTTAATACGATGGTGTCTCTATATTACTAATAATTTTTTCCATCTCGCTAGTGTGTAGTAGCACCGTTACTGTGCATGGATTCCAGCCGCTTCGTTGCCACTTCTTCCGATACAGGTTGAAAATACAAAGCTGGTAGCGTTTTCGTTTTCTGAAAGAGTTCATCCAAAGACAGCACTTTGACAGACCTTGCCCGCAGTGATGTCGTATTTATGCTCTCCGCAGATTGCCTTGGCAGAGCAGCGTTGCTCGGTTTTTCCGTTTCTGCTGCTGCTCTTTGAAGTTGCTTGGATACCTGCTCTATACCACCCAGTCGGCTCTTCCTAACCCCAGACGATGGTATCTCTTCCGTGGCCATTGGTTCCTCAGAAGAAGCAGGAGGAGCAATGACACTTGGTAATGCTTGGATTGCTAGCTCCCAGTCGAATTTGATACGCTTTTCGGCGGCTTCTTTCTCTAGCACAATCATCTCTTCTGCTTTGCTTTCTGATAACGAACCAACATGGAGTGTTCGTCCAGTGTCAGGTGGAAACACAATATTATCGATATTCTTATGTGCTGCAGATGCCTCTTCGACGGTTTCATACTGTGATGAGAAACATTCATTAATACTGCTTTTACCACCCGTCTATTGTAGCCGTTCTCAGAGCTGCTATACCAAAGTTTCACTTACTATAACATAACAATGGGTCTTGATACTATCCATCCAGAACTTTTTCACAATGCCATACTTTTTGGCAAGCTCTTCAGCATGGCGCAGTATTAATGGCCGAACAAAGCCTTTGATGTAGACGGCATTGGTCTCTACAGAAATGCTTTCGGGCTCCTGTGATGCTTTTTCTGTATCTATTTCCTGCTTCTGCGTACCAGCCTTGCTGTCAGATTGTTCTACGCGCTGTGAATTTGTGGTCACGGACTCTGACGGCGTAGTTGTGCCATTTGCTGCTTCGTCTACTTTTGATCGCTTCGCTAATATCAAAATGATTCAGTATATGATTCAGTATTCGAAAATGAAGTACAATTCGGTAAAAACTTTAAGACTAACCTTCATTTGACGCATCAATTTGATCGCCTTTTCGCTTTGAGCCTCGCTCATCCTCCTGTTCCATTTTTTCAACCGTCGTATCAGGGTGGACGAATCCAGATTCTTTGGTGATGACAGGACTATGGTCGTGCTCAATTTGTTTTTCAGCTGAACCCTGGAAATCATAAGAGTTGTTTTCCACTGCTGGATCGTCTGGCCATGCATTACCTGCCGGAGCTGTGTCGTCCGTTGCAAGCTCAGAGGTGGTTTCTTCCGGGATCGGATTGGTAGATAATGGCGCTTCTTCTTTTTCTGTTTCTGGCTCTGAAGCCTTTTCTTCCGTCGCGTTGGTAGCCTGTACTTCAGTTGCATCGGCAGCGGTTTCCGCGTCGTTCTTGTCAGCAGTTTGATCTAGTGCTTCTTGGAGTCGGGCAATTAGCTCATCTTTTTTACCCTTGGTTGGTAAATTGCGCTTAGTGAGCTCTTCCTTTAGGTCGACTACACGTAGCTTGCTTAGATCTTCAGGTAAAGCCATAGTGATGAACTACTTTTTTTTTTTATAAAGAGAAAAAGTAGGGTTTATCGCAAAGTTGCGAACGCTCCATAATGCGGCAGACAAATTTGGTCATCTCCAGTCCCAAAATTTCAGTTCACGTCACCGAAGCTTGAACTGACTGCCTGAAGACCGAACTGCTCTGTCAAAATCAATGGGCAATACATTCAGTATCCAACATACTATGTAAATAAGAATTCTATCTTCTATTTTTCTTTTCTCTAAATTTTATGTCATCTATAATGGCCATTTTCATAGGAATAAAAGATAAACACTGATCAATGCAGAATATGAATTCAACGTGTCTAAACACTGGGTTCTTCTCCAAAGCATCTTTAAATTTTTCTATGGTTCATAACCACCGGGAACGGCGTCTCTGGGAGCATCTATATCGTTTGGAACAACAGACCAGAATTTTCTAGCAATATTCAACTGGCTCTCCCGATCTCCGGTGGGTCGAATACCAAGGTATCGGCGACAGAAGATGTTGACTTCCTTGTCCCCGGGAACAATGCCGTCCAGAACAATACCACCAGCCTCTCTCAAGATGACAACAGCAGCGCATACGTCCCATTCCCAGCATCCAATTTCCCAAAAGATATCGGCCACACCCTTGGCAACACAGCAAAGGTTAAGAGCTGCGGAACCAGTGCTACGAATACTGTGAACTTGAGTTCCAACAGCATTTTGGATGACAGACCGAGTGCCAGGGTCTTCCTTGGACGCTACTAGATTATGGATGGCATCTATTTTGCGTGAGATGACAGCGGAAGATCTATCAGAACCCATTTCCGTCATGACAAGGCATTCGGAAAGGTCTTTGAGAGGTGCGATAGCTTTCGTGTCGAACAAAGGAAGTTTGGTGGTCTGGTTGAGGAAAGCACCTTGACCATCGGCGGCGGAGTACAGTTCGTTCAACAATGGGTTGTAAATAACGCCAACAACAGGAATCTTATTGATAGTCAAACCAATGGAAATGGCGACGAAGGGATAGCCATGAATGAAGTTGGTTGTACCATCTACGTTTTATAGGTAAGCAATGGAAATGAGATTAGATGGCACGTGTGATATAGATAGTATTGGGCAGACAGCATAAAAAAGCACATTGCTCACATACCGATGGGGTCGACAATCCAGGTTGGTTCATCTGTAAACGATGGTTTTTCACCAGCCGCAAAAGTCTCTTCACCAATGAATCTAAGAATGACATTATGAGTTACTCGACAGGAATATGTATTGTTACGAGAGACGAATGTAATCCGTACTTGTGAGAAGGGTAGGCCGCGCTGATCTTTTCTTTCACAAAGGCCTCGACAGCCTGGTCAGTTTCAGTCACCATGTCAGAAGGATTTGAGTACTTGGCCATGATGGATCCGGATCCTGCCATTCTTTTATCGACACCCTCTTTTATCATAGCACCAGCCTGCTTAGCGAGGTCAATGGAAAAGTCGAGATATTCGGTAAGAACTTTAGGTAAAGTCTGTTGTTAATAATAAAGTCTTTGGTCTTGACAATCTCTTGTAATGCTTACCAGATTGCGACATTTCTTTCTTTCTTATTGTTTAGACGTTTTTGAGAAGACGTGAATACTGGACTTCAAAGTCCATCCATGGAAAGACTTGATCGTCGGGATCTGAAATAAGCTTACCAAATCAATCTGGGGGCATTGAGCAATAACTCTTTGCTCGCGCCACTTTGAATGAATCGGGGCACCGAAAACAGTGCTGAAGTATATATAGTAGGTTCTAACAGAACAGCTTTATAATGAATTATTTTCAACGTTTATTCTCATTGCAGACATACAAAAACTCTGACTACTTGTGAGAATCCTCTATTCAAGCGACAGAATGGCACTCGCGCTCAAAATAGAAAACATCTGTGTTTAAAATTTCATGTATTTTGAGATTCTGTTTGCCTCCCTTGTTTTTTTTTTTCTTGTCTCGAGCCCATTCAAACCTTCACCCATGGCATATCACTTGAAACGTAGTCGCCAGTGGACAGCATTTGCTGTTCTAGCAGTTCTTGCATTGCTTGTGTTGCTTCCCGTCAATGCTTCGGATGAATTGGACTTGGACAATCATCTTTATAAGCGAGGTACGTGACAGTTTTTACCAGTCGGTGTGCCCTGAATTCCCTCGAAATAACATACTGACATTACTGCTTTCAACTGATTCATTTACGCTACTCACTATATGGCCGCTATGGATGTAACTTGTATGTCACTATAGTCCCTCAAGGTAAGATTTTTATCTGATGAAATATGATCTATACTGGTCTCAAGCGGTATATTGACATACATCTTTCTATCCCCTCAGCTGCCACCAACGTACCTCAATCATCAGTACCTGCTGCGACGTCAGCACCTGCTGCAACATCAAGCAACGCTGTTATTGCCACTTCAAATGGTGCATCCGGCTCAGCTACAACTATTAATACCGCCCCACAGTCAACGGCAGGAGCAGCACCTTCAGCATCATCTGCGGCAGCTTCTGGAAACTCTCTCCAAAATTTGCCTATTTCAGCTACGTTCCCAGCCAGTATGCAACCTGCTTACTTGACTTGGTCTACCCCTACACCCAACCAGTCCCAACCACCACTGTACAAGATCAATTCCAATACCAATGTCACCATGGTATGGGGTTTTGGCCCAAATCTGAAAGTGCGCCCACAAAACCTTACCCTGGCGGCAGTTGATATCGGCAAAAACACACAAACCATTTCAATTCTGGATGGATTGGCCACTAGCGCTGTTTGGTATCTATCCAACGTACCGCAGGCCACACCTTTGATGAACGGCCAGTACAAGATTGTATTGATGGATCAGCGTGGTCCTACACCTTATCCTTCCCCAGGATGGTTTTACCCAGGCACCACTTTGACCATTGCCATGTACTCACCACAGGCATATGTCTCGTATACTGACAGTAAGTGATGATCCTTGTAAAGGTTTACGGGCGTACAGAGAAACTGACGATTTCCACTCTTACTCTTTTTAGCTGCTCATTGTCCTACATGCTTGAATAGCAGCAGTGCCTTCTCCCTGCACGGTGCTTTCAAACCGTGGCTCGTTGCGCTTGGCATTGCCACTATGAGCTCTGTGGTCTTCTTGTACAGCATTGTCTAAATGACTTGACACCTTTGCTTTTTCTTCCTCCATCTGCACAAACCGAATATACGCATCATTTTTTTTTCTTCCTTTCTATTTGCAACCTCATGTAACATTGTTCTTTTTACATTGAACGTTTTGTTCAGCTCAATCAATGTCAATTTTCCTTATCGTTTTGTTTGATGTCGCACTCTTCACAATGGGAAAACCAACACATTGGGAAAATTGAAATAAATGAACTAGTTTCAATGTTTGAAAATCAAATAGGATATGTACAGATTGTTAAATTAGATAGGACAATAGCACTAGGCTATTGTGTTTTTCTTTTTTTGATTGGAGGTTATCTCTCAAGTAATCATGGGATGAATGCAACTTTAACAATGGCGTCAAGCAAAGACAAAAACTTTTCTAGATGAAACTATGAATCAATCTATTGGGTAAGAGCAGCTTGCTTTTCGGCAATACGAGCCTGGCGACGCTCACGAGCAGCCTTGTTCTTGGCACGGTGAGCATCAGCTTGGTCAGCAATGGTCTTGGCTCTGAGCTTCTCAGCCTTAGCCTTGTGGATGTACTCCATAAGGACACGCTTGTTCTTGAAGACATTACCCTTGGACTTGAGGTACAAGGTGTGGTACAAGTGCTTGTCGATCTTACCAGCTTCTCTGTACTTGCGGAGGAGACGACGGAGGACACGCATACGGCGCATCCAGAGGACTTGACGGGGCATACGGGCATCAGCAGTACCCTTACGCTTACCGTAACCCATGTGGCGACCAGCACGCTTGGCAGCGGCGTGTTCACGGACACGGAAACGAGAGTGGCTAACCTGGGGCTTGCGGATGATAAGACCGTCCTTGACGAGCTTGCGGATGTTTTGGCCTGAAGAAGTAAAGTGTATGAGTTATGAATATCCAATGAAAAATTTGTAAAGTTGACGTTACTTACGAGAGTTGGCATTGGAGATCTCATTGACCTCGTTAGGGTCAAGCCAGACCTTTCTCTGACCACACTTAAGGACGCTAGCAGCCAAGCGCTTCTGACTACGCAAGTTCACCCTGTAGATACAAGTTGTTTGTTATGAGCAAATTGCTAGTAATATAGCCGTACTTGATATTGACATCTCACATGTTAAAAGGTTAAACAAAAAGAAGGAATCTTAAATTTGGCCCTACCGCCTTTGCAAATATTCCTTTCGCTCAAAAAATTTTTCGTTTCTGGGCCAGTAAAATTTCAAGCCACTGAAAGTCACATGATACATGATACATGAATTGTGAGAGTCACGTGAGTAACCTCTTAATTGAGACCCAGAGTATGTTTTTATTGAAACACTTTTTATCTATTGTTTTTATGTGTGAACTCAAGGTTCACAATACACATAGAAAACACATCCCAAACCACATAGTGACTGATTGATAGGTCAATGGAAGGAGATATATCGTAAGAAACATCCTCAGGAAAAGATTTTGGTTATTTTAATCAAGATATATTTGCAAAACCAAGGCAATCTCCATAAGACATAGTCTCGGGAATGCTCCCTAGCGAACCTAAGAAAAGCATTCTGACAATGTTGGCTCTCTTTTTGCGAATTTTGCTGTGATCCAGAGACTTCAATCCAGGCAGCCCATCCCACCTCTGGAGAACAACCTTTCTATAAGATATTTGGACAGCTGGTTGGAGTTGGTCAGAACGCTGACCACTGGATCAAGGTCCCCTACCGACATTTTTGTACGTTGATGTTATCAACTTTGGCATCAACATTTTACTCTGGTGCAGAGATGGTCACAAAAATTGCAAATCACATTGCCCACAATTTTGAACCGTATTGCTCGAACTACTTCTTTTTGCGCCTCAACAACGAGGCGGACACATGGTATGTTGCCAATGCCACGGTTAAAGAGAGAAAATCTCTCGCAAATTATTTATAAAAGCGAGCCGCCTCTCTTGAGGCGGCATGGCCAGGTGTCGGAAGCGACGAAATTTTGCGCAGCACATTTGATGACCGTGCGGCATCTATGGAGCGTGGCCAACTCCGATCACATAGGCCAGCTTGTTTGCCTCCCCGCACGCTTTCCTGCCATTTTTGCACACTGTCTTAACCTACATGGACTTGGTTGTCCATATCTTGGAACCTCATCCACAAAATTTTGTTTCGAAAAGATACATCTTTAGAAAGTTGAAAGAGGTATACTAACTATCTGATTGTCGTATTATGATTGATATGTATAGTAATCATTTGTTTAGCTTTTTGCTGGGACAAAAGTCCCAAACCGCGTTTATTTAAGCATCGAAGTAGCTGTGCATACAGCCATACAGCAACGGACCGACGTAGTTTTTGGGAGAAGACAAGCGCATAATGCAATTTTGGACAAAGTAGACTAGATACAAGATTTTGTCACTCTAACCATTGGGGAACTAGAAGCGGGTACCTTTCGCCCGCAAAAATATACAGATCCAAAGGGATTCAGGAAGTTTACCATGCTTCCTGTAAAATAACTGCAAGCTGGTCATATTGCATTGGACGCGGCGACACTTCCTGTAATTTTGAGGGCAGCTGGATTGACCAACTGACGTACCTTGTCGCAAGAGGAGTTCGAACGGCTAGTATGGCGAAGTTTGATTTTACCCATCTTGGATTCGAAAGCCTTGAGGATTTGTTTACTGAAGATATTCAGTGGAGGTGAGTTTCTCATTGATAGGCTGTCTACATTGATATCTATCTGACGTTTATGTTGCAACCGATGTCTCCGGTCAGATGGCGTAGATATGATATTTTTATTTTTCAAGAAACTTTTATTGAATAGTGAGCCAAAGACGCCAGCTCATGAACGGAATTGGAATTTCCATGGTCAACATAGGTCTACAGTATAGGATGTTGATCCCGGAAAACCCGACATTTTTGTTGCTGTAGATGGAAGCAGCTCCAACCGCTACAGGATCCGCAAAACATCTAATCATGAACACCATGATCTTTGCGGGTTCAACCGGACAACCAACAAACGAAAAGATGGGTGGCTGAGAATGAGCATGCTCAACATTTAATCAACAACTCTGCCATCGGTCAAAACCGCCAATTTTGGAGAACTCTGCTTGGCAAAAACAAATCGGCTGGTCTGCTTTGGTGAAATTTGTGCTTTTCATGACGAGGATCAACGCTACCGCGTTTTGAAATTGAAGAACTACAAAGGCCGATAACTGGCACTAGAGGAAATGAGACGAAGGCTCACTTTTGGGTCTAACAAGTATGGAAGTCATACAAAGCCATCCCATGGACACATGGTGGACCCTCTAGTGAAGAAAGACCAAGTTTTGTACCTCTTCCATCTATTGATAATGAAAATAAAGACAATATACACCACTACTTGATTGCATTTGGAAACGGCAGTGCCTCACACCTATGAGGAAAACTTCCCGCGCCATCCAAAGGACACCCACGACATTCAAAGTCTCTTTCCAAGCGTAAAGTATTTGTATCTACTATCATTATTGACGAATATTTAACCTCACAAGTGTGCGCGGAATGCCACAAAAGAAGTCTAATCAATCTACGTGAAAGATCCTTGCCCTCTACTGCTACCGGATCCAAAATTTATGCTGTCCTCAAGTGTACCTCTTGCAGCTCAGTATGGAACAGGGATGTAATGGCGGCAAAGAACATATTGTATATCTTTCAATTTATGGCCACGCACAATAATGAGAACGAACGCCGAGGAAGGCACTGGGCCAAGGGAAGCTCAGTTGCCGAGTGGTTAATCCAAGAGAGGAGAGGGACTTGTAGCCAGTTCGAAAGACCTCGACATCAATACACGGTAGGTACCAGAAAATTGCAAAACTGGTTTGTATTAAGCGCTGACCTGACTTTTCACGTGACGCAAACGATTTCGAAAAGATACAGTACCCGCGTGCACGGCGCTTGTGGTCGTGTGAGCTCACATGAACCCAACTTTATACCCTATTAGAAAATCCTGCAGCAGCCGGTGTTAAACGTTGTCGTTGTTGTGTTATAATAGGTTCCCTATCGACATCTTTTGCGATAGTATAGCTGCCTTCAAGTAATCTGAATTGTTCCTGAATAGGCTGACTTTAAATAATTGTGCACAATAAGACCAGCGTACAAACTTCAAACTTTTTTTTCCTCCATCTACTCCGTCATGCCTAATCGATTCACTGAGAACGCAAGGATCCTGAGCGAAGAACAGCTTAGTAATTTGCGTTACTACAAATATCAAGCAGTTGACAAATCTCCAGTCAGTAAATATGTTTTACGCCATTACTGGGATTGGGCCATTAAGCTCTTTCCTATGTGGATTGCGTAAGTGAAAAGTTATCACTGTGTCTTGAGCCAGCGTTAACCATACTGAACTCTTGCTTCTGGTCCAATAGTCCCAATTTGATCACATTACTTGGCCTCTTTTTCATGATTTTCAATGTCATTCTGGTCGTCATATTCACACCAGACCTAGGTGTCGACGGACCACGATGGATATACTTCAGTTTCGCTGCTGGTCTCTGGCTTTACTCAACTTTTGATAATGTTGATGGCAGACAGGCTCGTCGAACCGGTACTTCTTCACCTCTTGGAGAATTGTTTGACCACGGCTGCGACTCTGTTAATTGTGCCTTTGTTGCTATACTTCAAGCAGCTGGAATGGGAATGGGCCATACAGTCCAAAGCGCTACCTTGGCCATTATTACAGCCTTAGGCTTTTACTTGTCAACAATTGAAGAATATCACACAGGAGTTTTGTACCTTGGGTACGTCAATGGTCCCACCGAAGGTCTTATTTTGTCCTGTATTGTCTTTATCATATCTGGCATAAAAGGTAGGTGTCGATGATGCCATAATTTTTGCGTTGATATAATTTTATCTCTAACTGTGGTGTAGGACCTGAACTTTGGCAATTGCCATTGAGTAAGCTTTTTGCCTCCGTACCATCATGCGTTCAAGATGCAACCATGGCAGACATTTTCGTATACGGATTGGCATTTTTCTTCATCTTTACACATTTACCCGTATGGTACGTATTTAAGCAAGTTATCTTCAAAATGAACTCAGTCCACTAAACCTCTCATTTCGTATAGTATCCATACCATATATCTGTCTTGCCGTCAGAAGCGTGAGGAATTTTGGCCTGTAGTTCTGCACGAATTCACGCCAATCGTCGCGTTCTCTTTACTATGCTATGCTTGGCTTCAGTCTCCATACTCTTACATACTGTCGAGCGAGCACTTAATTTTGTTCATCACTACTACTGGAATCATCTTCGGAAGGATCGCCTCCAAAGTCATTATCGCCCACCTGACAAAATCTCACTTCCCAACCTTCTCTAATCTTATGATACCCCTGTCTGTCGGCGTTGTCCTTGTCGAGTTTCCAAGGCTACTTCATATGTAAGTGATAGTAAAAGTGCCAGTAATCTGTCAACTACACCTCATCTAAAAAAATTCATCTTCAATAGTAATCCTATTCTCAGCCCTCGAGCGGAATTTCTGTATCTTTGGGCCTTTTTCGCCTTTGCTGTGGTATCGTATTTACGCTGGGCCTTTATCATCATCAACCAGTTCTGCGACTATCTCGACATTCAGTGCTTGAAGATACCATACAAAGCCAATCGTAACGGCAAAGGCAGAGAGCGTACACCATTATTGCGTGAACAAGAAGAAGGGCATGTTTATGGATCATCTTCAGCTTGAAGGGTACTATTTGTCTTGTAACAAAACAATTTGATTCCACTATAGTATTTAATAAAAAGCATCTTACTTTTAAAGCAATGCGTTTTAAAAGATTTGAATTAATTGACTGCGCAGCCGTGTCTTGAAAAAAAAAAAGATATGCTCTCTCACTGATTCCTCTCCACCATGTCTGATCCTGACCATAAGGACGAAATATGCTTCATTTCAAGAGGTCGATACGTCTCTGTCGAAGGCAGCTTCATAGAAAGTTGCGCCAATAACGCCAACATAGTAGTACCTGCACATATGGTCCAGAATCGAATCAAGCGCGACGGATTACAAGAGCATCACCTTACATTCATAAATCCTTTTGAGCTCAAAGATGCTGCTAGTAAGCTTGATATCAAAAAGAAAGCTGCTAGCCGAATTATAGAACGCATTCAAAACGAGCACGGTTTTCCTAGTACTTGGGAGCCACCTATCGATCTTGGCACTGGCAGAATTCTGGGCAAGGACAATGCGGTCACCCTGTTCAAAGTTATCCACTGGCCTGCAGGACAGGCTATTCGACAAAACCTCGGACTTGGTCATGCTTTCCTCCATGTCACTCTTGGTTTCGATCCAGCAGATATTCACCAATATAAAGGACCAGGATCCCTTGATACTCTTAATGGCATATCACAGTGTAGTCACCGCGACATTGAGCAACTCACTTCTCTGCAACACCATTACCATGGAGATGGCGTATTCATGAAAAGACTGGCGATTCAGTGCTGGAAAACAGGCTTCTATAGGTGGGCTTTTTGGCTTACCTTTAGATATTCTCTCGGTAAGAAATTTTGCTTGCGGGTCATAATTGAATACAGCTTGGTAGATTAACAGCTACATTCATAGCCACAATTAAACTATATATGACCGCAATCAAGTCTCCACGGTTACGATAACTTTCAACTTGACCATATTATCACTTTGAGAAACGTACGCACCAAGTGGACTTAGAAGCGATGTCTCAGCGAAGGAGCTTTTTGTTGCTCTGTACCTGCAAACAGGTAACTGTAATATAACCGACTAGTGCATCTACATCCATCATCTTTGGTAATACGAATTGAATAAATATTCTACCATTTTTATATAATAACAATACGTCCAAAATCTTCAATTCAACTCTTTGGGTAGGAGAATGCTACATGGTTATACCGTTGCTATCCCATCGTTGAGGACAGTCGTTGCGAGGGGACATCAGCCATGTTAATCAGTTATTACTTTTTTAGGTAGACCGCTCGTTACTATGTCTTTTAACGCATTTTTAGGTACGAGGATACAAGGCTCACTGGTGCCTATAATTTCGAGACTGTCAATACAGTTTAGGCCGACACAACGGAAGGTACAAGAGTTTGCACTCACGTCGCGACGGGGTTTCTGGGTTGGATCTCAAGTACAATTGTCACCAAAAATGCAAGAACATCACTTGGACAGATCAGACGTGGAATCTTTTACCATTCCTGGTGCAAAAGTTTTTGATCGCTACTTCGATTTACCACTTGGTAAGATTGCCTCACTGAGGAACAGTCTTACAACATATAACTTGTCTCTGTAACGGTTTGGCTGATCACATAAAACGAACTTATTGTAGCATACGACTCAAATGCCCAAGAGCAGAAGATCAAGGTCTTTTGTAGACACTTAGTCCCAATAAGCAAGGTCAGTGAAATGAAGCGACTGCCATTCCTGGTCTATCTTCAGGTAAAATCGTCAATATCCTGCCTATATGCTTTTCTCTTCGTCAAGACATTGAGTATCTTTCAATAGGGTGGACCTGGCTTTTCATGCGCGTTCCCCAAGATATCCGGTTGGATAAAGGTAGCTTTTGATAACGGTTATCAGGTGTTGCTACTGGATCAGCGTGGAACTGGCTTATCATCCGCAATATCGGCAGACTCTCTTGCACATCTATCCGACCAAGGGAAGGCTGACTACCTCAAATGCTTTAGGGCTGACAGTATCGTACGAGATTGTGAGTCCATTAGGAAGCTTTTGACGTGGGATCGCTCAGAGGAACATGAATCTAGAATAACCTTACTTGGCCAGAGCTTTGGTGGATTTTGCATAACGACGTACCTAAGCTTATTGTAAGTCTTCCACCTACAACTCTCCCACGCTTCGTTTTAATTTTCAGCTATTAACATTTGCCATTCGCTAGCCCCAAGTCTGTCAAGGCAGCTTATATTACAGGAGGTGTGCCTCCACTAGTTTCAACTCCAGATAAAGTCTATGAAAAAACATTTGCACGTATTCTCAAGCGAAACGATGTATACTATGGAAAGTACCCGGCCGATGTTCAAAGAGTACAAAATATCATCAAATACTTGAACAACAATGAAATTAAGCTTCCAAATGGTGGCTTCCTATCATCAAGAAGATTTCTTCAGCTTGGTCTTGCTTTTGGTGGATCGGGTGGTTACGACACTGTTCACGAAATAGTACTGCATGCTGCACAAGATCTTGAACTCCTGGGCAAACTCAGCTACAGTACCCTTAACAGTGTACAAACTCAGCAAGGTTTCGACACGAATGTCATTTATGCCATTTTGCATGAATCTATCTATTGTCAAGGCATGGCCAGTAACTGGAGTGCTGAGCGTGTCCGTATGTCGAGCCAGTATCTAAAGGATTTTGACTGGTCTGGTAACACCCGGGTCAATTTTACAGGTGAAACAGTTCATCCATTCATGTTTGATGACTATTCAGAACTTGTTCCTTTAAAGGAAGCTGCAGATATCTTGGCAAAATATGAGGATTGGGGCCCTCTTTACGATGTAGAGACTCTCAAGAACAATACTGTACCTGTGGCCGGTGTATCATATTTCGATGACATGTAAGAGATTTATATTGCACACTTTGATAACGCTTTTTGCAACGGCCGGCCATACTGACGAACGGAGCAACGTGTAGGTACGTCGACCTGGATCTCTCGATTGAAACGGCTAACACAATACAGGGATTTCAACCGTGGATAACAAATGAATTCGCTCACAAGTATGTATTTAGCTATTGCACTTCGATCATATCTTACATAATTAACTCATATAATGGCTCACAGTGGCTTGCGAGAGGATCCCGAGCGTGTGTTCGGCTATCTCATCAAACTTGCCCAAGGTGATCACGGAACAAACCGCTAAATTTTTCTGGATAAGCTACAACAAACAGCAAGCTGGATTATTCAAGTACCCAAGACGACGTTTGTGATATAGCTTCTTAGTAGAACAGTGCATTATGTGCTTCACTTCTGACTCATTTCTTATTAAACATGGACGAATTACACACTTGAATGGCAAATCACATTATATTTTTGTGGCAGAATGAATAACGCTGGCGAACATGAACAGAATCCTGATAAAACAGTAAACATTTTCATCATTCAATCAGTGAAGGCACGGATACAGCTCAATAGATAAGCTCTCTTTACTTTAGTTTAATCATATGCGCAATCCTTACTCTTAGTCGCTTACTGGACGACCGCCTCATTTTTTCGTACAAAAATTGCAATGGATGAAACCATACAAAGGATCAGTTCACAACAATAGTAATATTGAACGGACCAGCAGCCTTCTTAGCATGTTGGACTGCTTCATTTACGTTATCCAGGCTATATTGGTCGTCAGTATCAAACCAGTCAGGTTTCAGCAAGCCAGCTTCCATAAGGCCGATCAGCTTCTTGCAGGCTGTTCTGGGATACATGAAGCAGCCTTTGATGGTTAAAGATTTGACCATGATAGGCATAAACGGTAATTCCAGATTGTCGGGCCGACCAGACATGATGACGCCAGTTCCAAAACTTCGAAGAGACAAAATTGCAGATCGTATAATAGACACTGGAGCAGTGGCATCTAGTAATTCCAGCACCAAATCAATGGGTCCATCGGCAGCCTTATTAAACGCGGCAATGTTTTCTTGTTCGTCCTCAGAGAGCTGAACAGGAACAACTCGGTCGCCAAATTTCTTCACAAAAGCCTCCAGCTTTTCAAGACTTCGACCAGGTAGTACCACTTTACGAGCACCCATGGCGAGAGCGACACCTATTCCACAGGCTCCATAATATCCGGTACCACCAAGAAGCAAGACCGTTTGTCCAGGTTCAAAATTTCCAGATAAAAGACCTCCATATGGTACAAGCATTCGATTAATGCTTGTAAGCTTGGCTGCGTCTCTACCTAGCGAAGATGGGATAGGAATAGCATTCTCTAGAGGCACTAACATTTTCTCGGCGAAGCCACCGTTACGAAAGACATCCGACAAGCTACCAGGGGGTAGAAAGAGACCTTGAAGAATGGTTTCAGGGCTATGAGGATCATCTCGAGTTCGAATGGTAGGGTCGACATAAACAAGGTCTCCTTTCTTCAAATTATGAGCATCTGGGCCAACTTCTTCGATTTCACCAATGGCACTGCAACCAGGAATTAAGGGAAGCACCAATGGGAAAGGAATTTCGCCTGAAAAAACAGCAGTATAATGATGGACAACTGGTGCAGCTAAAACCTTGACGATAGCAGACCCAGGAGTAAGGACAGGATCGGGATATTCTTGAACGTCAAGCTCAACTTTGCGCTCGTTTAGTACTGCTGCTTTCATCTTTGCTGGAGTGAACTTTCCAAAACCGCCATCAATGCACAGTAATATTTATATGAGTCACAAGAGCACTCATTACTAATCGGTCAAATCAGTGTGACCAGCAATTTGTGAAGCAGTAAAGAGGTTCATACTGCAGTATTGTAAGGCGTCCCAGAGCAAAGGCCACTTGTTAACGGAATGAGAAATGGCGGTTTGCCGTCGGTATTTCATTGTTCTGGTATTTAAATCAAAGATAGGTCATAATATTAGATAATATCCAATAAAATCATATGGTGAGCGAGAGAATACAACCCGAAATTGCTCTTGTAGCAGCGAGTAGCTTAGTCATGGCTAGCGAAGGAAATTTCACCCGTCGATACTGAGTGCATTACTGCGCAGAAGGACAACCAAAAAGAAAAAAAGTTTGCCGATAACTCCGGTCGATGAAATTTTGAAAAAAGAAAAAAAGAATGATGCGTCGACAACAGGATTTGAACCTGTGCGGGCAGAGCCCATGTGATTTCTAGTCACACTCCTTAACCACTCGGACATATCGACCTTCGATATGAGTTCGACCACCAAAATTTACAAAAGCAAAAGTTTAAAAAGAGTAATGGAAGAGAACCATGAGTGCGATACTTTTGTTGTAATCTACGATAGAGACTGATCACCTCAATTGTTGAAATATTTTTAATTTATTTAAAGGACAATGCTCTAGTGCAGGCTAGTCTTCTTAAAATCTGTTACTAGACATTGGCTTCGAATCATGACAGACATTTCGTACCCGCTAACATCACAATGACGAGACTTCAGCCTCGAGGGACAGAATCAGAATCTATGAAATAATAGCTGTAAAAAAAGGAATGAGCAATAAAAAAAAATTATTTTTTATTTTAAGTAATGAGTTACGCAACCCTCAATAGTTAATACGTTCGCGACAGTGAAATGCTTTTATATGGATATTCTGGCTTTACGACATAAATCGCAGGGGTTTATCGAGGACCGAAGTCACTGCAAAATAAACGTCATGCAGTGCCTTTGATAAATGTATAGTAAAAAAGCTAAGGATGAAGACCCCTCATGTTGAATGATTGCCTGAGCTTCATAGGATGCAACCACTCGTCTGGCACTTGATTACCTTATATGCGGTATTAGGCACAATTTTGAATACTTGATACTAACAAATCTGCAAGAGATTTAACAGAAGCTGCAAGCCTTTAAGCAGATAACCATAAAATTAGAGAGTAGTATGTAAATCGCTTAATTTAGCAAAGGTACGACTGTTAGTATCAGGTATTATTATTGGGCAAAAGTCAGAAAAATTCGACAAATAATAATATGTCCGTCAGTTTTAGTAGAGGGTCAAGGGTTGTCGTACAACTATCAAAGTATAATATACGATATTTTATGTAGGCATATATTCTAATAATACTGGGCGGCTTAGGGCATACATTTGAGCCGAATAGATCGAGAGCAATGCGCGTGTACGGAGTACCTGATGTGGTAGGAGACATCGTGTGTAGCGATCCTTTTGCACCTTTGTCGTTTTGGCATTTGGTGCATGTTTTCACATATTTTTGGGGAAATATTTTTCATATCGTTCCACCAAAATATTTCTCAACTTTATCGTGGAATCTAAAGATGTTCTGCCATAGGAACATCACGATGGTTGGTGATAATTTCCTGTTGCATATTGCTTGGCACCACAATAAACACTTTATTTCGGTGTGGATTTTGGGAAGTTTTATCAGATTTTTGAGAAATTCGACTTTAGTTATAAAGTTGTTCGATGTGTCTTTGATGAGGGTGTGAATGTTTTCATCTTTATTTCACGTTCTAAAGATCGGGGTAGCGGTACACGACAACAGCAGATACTGTACGATATAAAAGTGTTGCAAAGCCATCCTCAAAATGACATCTTCCACCATCATACAGGGACGCAACATAACTTGTCTTTTCAAGAATGAAAGAAATTGGTCTTGATTTCCTGTTGAGTTTGGACATCAGATCGTATAACACCACAAAGCGCCATAGACGTAGCTTGCCACCACTCATCACTCCTTCCAGTCGTCGTCCGAAAGGTCCACTCAACCGATATATGCCGTTTCTAAATCCAACCCCTAACAACCGTAAGAGATCCGGTCCACTTATTGTAGGATCTGTGTGAGCGTAGTGATCCAGCATCTGACCTAGGCCATCCGCTATAGAAGAGACTGGAATCACTGTGTCGTAGAAGCGTTTTTTCGCCAGTAACCGACAATTTTCATCCTTTTGCTGGGTGGTTGTCCAGAACTCCCGCATAACGCCGCCAATAATTTTAGCTTGCCAGACATGGAATCAGCATATTCTCCTTCCACGTAGTGTCGTACTTGTTTGGGCCATATGACTGAAGTCCGAATATCATGCTCGTAGAAGAATTTGGCCGTGGTATACCCTATACATTCACTCGACAAGGTTCGAATAGCGAGCAACGCCAGTCCCAGATAAACGTCCCAGTCAAACGTCCCAGTCGATGAATAAGTTTTTGGTCTTGGTTGGCAACCTTAGCCAATACTGGGACAATCTTTCTGCTCATTCTTTCGCACAGGTTCTTCGCCTACGAGGACCGCACGGCACACTTCAAGACAGACCTTGGATTCGCAGTAAGCTTTCAATTTGCTATATTTTCCTGATTTCCATGATGTTCATTGGGTTGCCCTTTGATTGACGGGAAGAGACGTCTGGTGGATTGGATCGCCTACATCAATATCTTATTTCAATAGATTCGATGTTGTTTGATAAAATTCCTGGCTTACATTCTGGAGGTGAGTGATCAGTTGTTTTTAGCTTCTTAGTTGAGCTTGAATTGCTGCTGAAGGTTCTACAATGTGCTGCCTCTTTGATTGATTAATTCCTGTGGCAAGATTGCTTGCATCAATCTTTCGATTTCTAAAGCCTTTTGTTCATTCACTGATGGATCTGGTATCGACATACCGGTGCTGTTAATTGCAAGCAGTTGTTCAGGAAATTGAATAAGAAGAAATGTGAACGCCTCTTCGAAATTAATACCTATCGCCATAGTCAAGGCAGTTCCGATCACACCAGAAATTGTGAATGGGCACAAGGATACTCCAAAGATGATAGTGCGGAGCCAAGATCATTACGGAGAAATAAGGACGCGTGGATGGCTGAAATTCGTTGAGCGGTATACAAATATGGTCAACATCGCCTCAGGAAGAGTCGACAAATTATGCTTTGAAATTCTTGAGAGAATGGTAACAGTGCGCTTTCTGAACGGTGGGTCGAGTGATGAAATTTATTCTTTTAGCTTGATATTGAAAATGGGTTGAAAATGACTTTCATGGCGTAAGCTTCACGCGTTCGGCTCTCACTATACTATTGGAAGAAAATGAGAAAGCAACCACATGTCCTGTTACAAGTGCGTGAGCAGTACGATCGGCATGAGTGTCTTTTTTTTGGAAACGGTAATTAATTACCCGCTGTGCCTGCCATTTTTATGTTTTTTTACTATTCATCCAACAAGGTTACCAGAAAGTATAAATCTGATAAGCTTTTCATTTGAGAACTGAAAGGTCGCCCGATTGTCACTTTTTGTATGGATAATGTTACAATGACTGTAAATCTCATAGCGGGTCGATATGAGTTTGACAGATTATGCTACATAGCACATACGCTGCTTCTTTTTTAGTTGCATTTTTGTGATCCACAACGCCCATCATTACTGGTGACTAAGTCAACAATATTTAGTATGCAAGTCTTTAAGAGTTTATAATAGAATTTCATATAATGTACACTAGTCGAAGTCTAAATGATGTTAAGTACGGTAGAATATCAACTGGATGATATTAATCTCGCACCGTTCACGTACTACATCGAGAATCCATACCATGTCAGGTTTATGCTCCATATGCTTCCTCCTTCTGAGTCTCAAGGTTGTAGTAGTCGTCTCCATTTTCATTGGGAGGAGTCAAAGGCGCATTTCCTTTCAAATACTTTCCAGGAGGAAATGCAATCCAGGTACAGATACAAAGGAATATCAATAGAGTATCGAAGAACAAGAAGAAAACCTCGTGTGTGTTGATATAGCTGTGTCATGTGTAGATAAGTTAGTATGAGGCACAGCCCAAATCATTATAAATTTCTTAGTTTAGTCAGCTCCTCAAGCAGAAATGTAGTTACCCAAAAAATCCATCAGCTGTGCAATAGTTTGATTAGTATCGGAATGAATTAACAGTAAAAAGAGATAGGTTTCTACCACTCACCGAACTCAACAAGTCGATAGAATGAACGAATGATAAGACCTATGATGTTCAAGTAAAGAGCTAGGAAGACCGGCCGGAGGTTGGATTTATAAAATACTGGTGCTTCGCGAAGAGCTGCTCGATGGATGACAGCAATAGTACCAGCAAAAATGACGAAGTTGACACAACTAATGGCCATACCAGCAATCGCAATCTTGTTTCCTGTGTTAGCTAATCCCTGTGACACTAACATTCCAGAGCCAGCAGCCTGAGTGAAGAAGGCCAAAATATCCAAGTACAAAAAGGCACTTTCAATAATCTTGATAGCTTTTTTGCCAGTCGTAATACCAGATTCTCTCATACTGACAAAAGCAAAACGTATTTTAGTGCCTGTATAAAGACAGTTGGCACTTTACAAATCAATAGACTTACACATGAGCCAAAGTTCGATAACTTGCAACAGCCAAAACAAGAGGGGGAAGTAGCAGTAACAGAGCAGTGGGGATATACGCACCCAGAAGGCCTATCCAACCAAAGTTAACAATCCGACAATTTCGTTCTTATCATTTTTTTTTCTTATTTCTTACCAGTGTGCTTTCCAGAGTAAATGCGTATATAGTAACCAAGCGCCTCGACTAAATAATGGTGATGTCAATGATGATAGAAGTGCTAACGATATAGTTGAAAATTTGCTTACAAAATGCGGTGCAGGTGACAGTGTGCATGTATTTTTTGTGGTATTTTCTCGTCTGCCAGGCAACAACTATGCAAGCTAGTGTGTATAATACACCAGCTACAATAGCGACGGGGATAATTGGATCATAATGGTAAAGGTTGCTCCATCCATTTGCCGCAGCGGCTCTTTTTGCAATAATATCTAGATGCGAATTCATAGGAAAAAGTAAAGAGAAGAAGGAAAGGAAAATTCAGTTTTGTGGGTGTTCGATTTAGCTTTGGTGGACATCTTCAATCATTTATACCGCGACAGTCGCGGTGTTCGGATACACCAAAGCACAAGAAAAATTAAAGATCAGCAACAAAGAAGTTATATCAACATCGCAGCACTGGCCAATAAAGCTTGGCGCCGAAAGGAGAAAAGAAATTTTTGTATTTTTTGTAACTGGTAGATTCAATTGGTAAACCTCTATCTTGGCAGTGGAAAAATATGATTTTTTTTCAAGCGACTTGTCGCCGACTTCGGCAATCTTGTCCGTACAGGTCCGCGCAATCGTTCCTGGCTGAACCCCAACTCGTTTACGGAGTATCGTGGTAGCCACATTCATTTTTGAGATCCATGAAGATCAAAGTGGAACCTTTCATATTTCGACTATAACATATGAAAAAGACTAGGGCTAAGTTGTTTTATGTTATCCAATATCTGAGCGTAAAAGTAAAAAATGAAGTAGATATCACTCACAAAATTCACTGGCACCAAATATAAAATGATTTGTACCGTGGTCATGGCTCTCAGGTGCCACGTTCTTTCCACTCAACTTAATACGGTAACTCCGCCGAGCTATTATATGAGACAAGACATGAAGACAATGCAATTCATTCCACACAACGACATCACTCTCTTCCGCTTCATTCACTGCTATGAAAGAGGGCGGGCACTACTGAACTATCGGTTGATTTGTTCAACATTGCCTTAACGAAATGCAAACCAGTCTGCTCGGCAATCTAACGGTCTTTGGTCGCAATGGTCAAGGAACCTATAAATACCGCACCAAAAGCATATAACGTCATCTTGCGTTGTATAAACGCTACAGGCTATGATCCAAAGGGCAATTTGTTTGTGCTGCTAAGGTTGCAATGGGCTATATTCAGCAACAATTCCTGCCAAGCAACAGAGGTGGTATTTTTAGTACGATTCTGCCACAGTACAAGGAGTTATTGTCAAAATGAGAGAATCTCAGCTTGTTAATGTTTATAACCTTTCGGATGAGTTTTATTTATTTACTTCTGTTACAAGCATTATTTTAGACTTGAATAGGTGAGTCATGGAGGCGACATCGAAAGTCGTGCATCGTTCGAGAACCCCTCATGAGGTTTTTACCTTGCAAGGAATATGTTAAGTTGTAATTTTATTTGCCTTTCGTATGTGTCGACTAGCTCATTCATTTATACAATTTGATCTTTGGGTTCGGAAAGCAGGCAATTACAAAATACAAATTATTGGTCAATGATTTATTAAATCAAACTAGCCTTTGATTGTAGTTTTTCCGGCGAAGTTGCCTGGATTTGTTGATGCCGGTACAATGTCTAAACAATGAATAAACCCACAACCATACATTACCATTGCTTCAACTTCATCATCATAAATTGCCTGTGCTTCGATAAATGCGATCATTATTAGATGTTATTATGAACAGACCGTGCTGTGACATTTTTGTTACAGAAACAGCCGATGCTGCCAACAAATATAATTTATCCATTCCATACCAACCAATACACGGTATTCAGTCTTCCTCCAGAACATGAAGAGCAAGATAGTATGCTTATGTATCACTATAGTTTTGTTCCTTCGTCGCCCCTCACGGTAATAACAAGTTTTACAACATGACTTTCTTTCGAGTAATACGAAGAGTGCGATGGAAAAAGCAAACGATAAGAAGATATTCTGCTGTACTTCAAAGAGCCCTTGCGTTGATGTTTGATGGCTATTGTTCGGCTATTCGCTCTAAGCTCCATGTTATAGTAGCTTATCACAGGTTTTTCATCCGTAGCTCATGTCTTGTAAAATCATATCAGGCAGTGCATGGTAATCGACGATGAAATAAATACATCATTTGTGGAGCCAAAGGCACGCATGCATTTTGTCAAGTTTCAAATTCAATAGTGAGTAACTTAGGACAGTAGGTAAACAAAGCCATCCCAATGTTTCGATCTTACTTACAAAAAAAAAAATTTCCATCTTTAATACCAGTAATCTAATTGAACCGTTTTTCAACTTTAGCTCAATAATAAAGAAAATACAGTGATAGGAATAATAAAAGTAAATTATATGATTACAAGAGGCTGTTGACTTAAAGTCTATATACGAAATTTGGATCAACCAAATCCGAGAGATCTCCATTATCCTCCACCTTTGGTGAAGGGTTAGAAGCTTTCATTTTGTTCATACGGGCCATCCATATCCTAACTGCAATGAACGTCACCATGGCGACAACGTTGGCTGCAATGCATCCAATAACACCACCGACATAGAGAGGAGCCTGGTTTGATGTCATGATCAAAGGACCAATCATGTTTCCAATAGTATAGCCAATCAAGACCATAGCGTTGGTGAGAATCTTCTTGGTGTAGCCACTGGTGTTGCCAGTTATGCTACCAAGGAACAGAATGTATGCGCCAATATAGAATGTAACCAAGTAAAGGCCAACTAATTTACCAACTGTGGGTAAGGTAATCAAGAAAATAAGTCCAACAGTAGCAGTAAATACGAATCCAACAGCTGTATATAAAGAATCTCCGGTTCGGCCATGTAACCAACTGGCAATCAAGATGGCAGCTATATCCACGAAACCAGCTGGAATTCCGAGCAAAATGGCATCAAGACCCTGTAGAAACTCTTATTAGTTAAAATTCCCATCACCATAACCGTATACCGAAGCTTAAATCTCACCGAAAATCCGAGTCCTACAGTAATGAGACTACCAAAGGTTAGCAATGCACCATTAGAGATATTGATGCACAAGGATATCAAGAACCACGCATAAGTTTTGGGATCTCTAAAGCATTCCTTCACTTGGCTCCAGTTGATCTCATTTGATTGCTTGATGCCGGTATCTCTAAGACGTTCTTCCATTATGACCTTTTCTTCCTCTGTCAAGTTAAGCCTTGGTGATCTCGGATCATCAATCAAGAAAAAGAAAACAAATACGCCAAAGACACTTGTAGCAGCTCCTAGTATAATCATAAGCCATTGCCATGCGTGAACATTTAGGTCACCTTCCATATGACCGATACCGTATGCCATCTACGTAAATTGATATCATTTAGTAATGTGTAATATCAACGATCATTGCTCCTACACATAACTGTTCGATTGTCATGTGCGCCATTGTCAAACTGAAGGAGCTCATAATCTTACCAAACCTCCGAATGAAGAGCAAAGTCCATTAACCAACCACCAGGCAGCAAGCCTTGAGGTAATTTCTTGCTTGCGATAAAATAAACTGGTCAAAAGCATAAAATTGGGGTTGACGCAGGCCTCAAAAAATCCAAGCAAAAATCGTAATCCAGCGAGTTGTGCAAAATTTTTGCCCAGTGAAGTTAAAGCCAAGATAGCTCCCCATATGACGACAATGGTTCCAACCAGTTTTCCTAAGGGGAATCGTTGCATCATATAACTATTTGGAAGCTTCAAAAAGATTGTTTAGCGATATACTCTCGGCAAGGAATTCTGACTCCCATGAGCATTGTTTCTCGTTCATTCATTTATTCTTACCTGCATTGAGAGATATCCAACATAGAACAGTGAACCTAGAGCACCATATTCTGCACCTTGTAAATGCGTATCAGGAATAATCCCAAGTACAGAAGCGTAGGAAAGAGAGACTTTGTCTGTGAATTGAAGGAATCCTATGACGCAAAGCCAGGGTAAAACCTTCCAGTCAATCTTGCGGATCAGCTTTTTCTCTTCAGCAGAAATAGTGGTGCGATGATTTGGTTTCTCTGCAGTTGGTTGATCTACAACACCCTCAATGTAGGAAACATCCACCTTCTCATTGAATACCACATCAGAATCTTGAGATTTGGTTGACATAGAAGAAAGAATTTTTGATGAGCTTCATACTGACAGACATGAGGGGCATATATAGCGCTTGATAAATTATACTTTCTTATCTGCAATACAAAGTCCGCCAGAAATAAGTTGGCTTATCATAGGGATGATTGTCATTCCCACACAACAACGATACACTTCACTTTCTCGTTTAACCAATTAGAAAAACAGTCTTCTATTACAGGCAAATCAGTAACCCATAAGAGGTATTCAAGTCGGAAGCTATCGTTCAGACTTGCACTGATATTGGTTTCTTCAAAAGGTAATACTCGCATGTGACGGATTTCGGCATCAAATACTAAAGAATAATGTGGACAAAGACATTAGCAATGAACGTCAACAAGATTGACCTGCACTCCTGTCTAAAATTGGTGTTGTAGCCTATCTTGTCGTCATATAACATAATAATAATTTGGGAAAATATACCAGTTATACAGGTCATGCTCGCTGGTATCGGCGACACAGACGACCAATAAAGGTAATTGGCTTGATGGAACCTAATTTGATGACTGGATCTCGCTTATAGTAGGACAGTCCTTCGTTGATCTCATGATGGCTGTGGGACAACTGGCCGGAAAGCGGCGTTATAAATGTACCGGATAAGAAGATATCTGATCTCGTAAGCCACTACTATCTAATAGTAAATTTATAAGGCTGTTTACAGGGTGATAGAGGATCCTTTGGTTAAATGCAGACGGATGTTCATATATACAAACCAGGTATACATAAATTTATTCCCAAATAGAATTAGTATTAGCGTACTAAGCTATAATTTAAAAAACATTTATAGTATACATCCATTTTTATCATCATTTTTTGAGAGAGAAAATTTTTTCGATACTGCTGTGACAGTGTCGAAACTGGGCTATAAGAGCAGTAATAAGAATTTTCATAAAAAACTGATAAAATACGTTTGGAAACATGTAATTATTGAAGGTTCAACCTTCATCGAAGGTCGATATGTCCGAGTGGTTAAGGAGTGTGACTAGAAATCACATGGGCTCTGCCCGCACAGGTTCAAATCCTGTTGTCGACGCAACATTCTTTTTTTATGTTTTTAGTTTCCATCAAAATTTTATTGGCCGAGCTTTCGGGTAAGACGTATGATTGGCTAAATTTTTATTTTACTCATAGGCTACTGGCTGTCAGTGGATACACCTATTGTACTTGAAGGAACTGATACGTATCTGTACTTTCGGCAGTGATCCATTTATCTTCTATAAGGATTTTTTTCTGTAGCGATAAGCGGACGATGCTAGGGATGCCTTTTATTCTCACACAGATACGTTATCTGAGATGCTAGGAAGAGCGTTTGAACTCAAATTAACATGTTACCTTGAAGTCTTGACATTTAATGCACCATCGTAGATCATCCTTACAGTGTATATAAGCCTTCAAATCTTATGCTATCCTTATATTATTACCATTGTGTAAGCTCATTAAATAGAAAGCACCATTGTCGCTATTTTGTTTGAATTGCCTAGGACGGGAAATATAAAGTTCAGTTTCGACGGAAGTCAATAGTGTATCTCGGTCGTAAGCGACAGGACACGAAGGGCGCGAGTAATCGGTCTCCAACATCACATGATACTGAACACTGTTTTTCTTGATAACCAATGCTCTGATGGACGTTGCTTCAATGCGCTGAATGTTATGCTATTTAATTCACCTCACTATCTTTCCTAAGGGAGGATTTCTTCCCAGTTAATTTTTTTTTTCTTTCTACTGTACATCAGATCCCTTGTTTCTTTATTGATATGTTAGTATTGTCCACTCGACTTCGGTGAATTCGTATTTGCGCTTGCCTTGGCATAGATTGAGGAATCTAAGAAGTGAATTGCAACTTGCGCATGCCCAGGTTTGGAGTTGTAGCTGAGGTAATAATGTAAGGTGTCGCCTTTTAGAATGAGAGCCCGCTACACTTTATTTCTTTGATGACGGTGCACTACTATGATAGCCGAAGAGATCTGAAATACAGGCGATCGACTTGGAATCAAAGGTAAGCTCGATCTTCACATTCATACATTTGGAAACGAACTACAACCTCAACGCGAACGAATTAAACAATTATAAAATTTTCTTGAGTGTCATATGCTGCATATTACAACCAGTGCAATTGTTTCCTTATTTTTTCTTCGTATTTACTTCAACCAACTCTACAACTTTTACTCCAAAACACTAATCATTCGTACTATACTCATAAGTTCAATTGCATAGGTAGGATATCGCTTATTTGGTGACTGTCGGAGCAAAGAAAACAAAAAATGAATCAGCCTTTCATATATTTTATGTCAACCAAGCATCATGCAAAAATACTTACCACCGATGACACCGCAGGCCCAACGATCACCAGCGTTACCAGTGGTCTTGGAGAGCTCATGGCCACCCTTACCGAGATCGTCTTCACCACCGTGAACGACAACAGTGCGTCTATTTCAACAGAGTAGAAAATCACGTTAGCGATTATATTTTTATTGACAGCAGTGGTCCGCCATGCCAAAGATTGGTTTCTGTAAAGCATCTTACCCAATAACGGACTGGGGTCCAATAAGCTTGACCATATTGTCTTGGATCTTGAGAGAAGCCTTGCCTTCGGCGTCAGCAACAACGTTACCAAGATCACCAACGTGGCGAACAGAGTCTTCGGGAGCACCGTGAGTCTGGCCGAAGGGGTTGAAGTGAGAACCAGAGGAAGTACATCCTTAAAATAAGAAGAGTCAGTAAAGAAAAAAGGAAGCGCACATGCATGTAGAAGCTTGAGGAATATGCCTACCGTTAGTGTTGTCACCGAACTCGTGAACGTGGAAACCGTGCTTTCCAGGTGTCAAACCAGAAACAGAAGCTTCAATGAAGGTGGGGGCAGATTCGCTTTCTTGAGTGAAAGTGATAGTACCAGTGACGGGAGAGTCTCCGCGAATAACAGCAACAGCCTTGACCATTTTTAATGTTTTTAAAGTGTAAAGAGAAGTATAAGACCACTTTAACCGCGCCAACTTATATGCGATGCAGCAATTTTGCTGGGGGTTTACGTCACTCACCCTGAATCGGCGTTTTTGCAGCCGTGGATGATGAATCAGCTTTTTTACACTCCACTCCCGAGGGCGGAGGCACCCTTCTCCCTTTTTATTTCTCTCCACATCCCCAATGTCGCTCACTGCAACGAGAAGACTGGCTCAAATATCAGATCATACCGTTGTTCGTCCTATAACAACAAAAGCTTCAATTCGCTTCGATTCTCGAAGCCGTAACTTTTATCGTCAGTTCTTGCCAATCCAAACACGTTGGTCAGATAACGATCAATACGGTCATGTCAATAATTCTGTATTCTACCATTACATTGATACTGCGGTCAATAATTACTTGATCGACAAATGTGACCTTCAACCTCTATCTATCACTTCTCCCATCGGTCTCGTTGTTACAAGCTCTGCCAATTTTTTCAAGCCTGTGTCGTTTCCAGCTGTCATCGAAGCTGGTCTTGCAGTCACCAAGATTGGGAAGTCCAGCGTTACATACAAAGTCGGCATTTTCGAGCGAGGAAGTCAACAAGCTAGTGTTGTTGGTGGATTCACACATGTATTCGTGGAACCGAAGCATCGCAAACCTGTTCCACAGCTACCATCGGCTATGAAGGAAGGCATGGTATCCATTCTAGTAGAAGAGACTGACATATAGGCGGGTTACCATATTGGCACAAACACATGAAAATTACCAGTGGAAATCGTTTTTCTTTTCCCACATCTCAACAATTCAGCATCTCAAGCATTTGAAAGATTTCTTCCAGTACTGTTTATTTCGACAAATAATGCTACATCTATCTTAACAAGGGTTTTTAATCGCACCAGTTGCTCACCGGCAGACCTAGATGAAAACATTATTATCACCCGTTTGATATTAGAAAAAAAACCCCCCTCCCATTCCGGCGTGCTCACTTACATGACAAATATTTGCAGTTGGGACAGATCTGCGAAAATGATAGATGTAAATGAATATAACTAGACTTCACGATAGAATAAACATCTTTGATTCCACCCACCTGACTAGGATCCGCAACAGAATAAAATTCTTTGACGGTCACTACAAAAAGCACGATCAAAAGCACAAGAGCAATGACTCGAGCGACCCATGTAAACATGATGAACCTTCGAGTGGCTCTCTTACGGTTAGGTATGAGCATGACTCCTGCCACAATGCCAACGATGAAACCGCCTATGAAATGCAAAGATCAGCATGTATTCATTCGATTCATTCTGCAGCAAACTGTGACATACCTAGATGGGCAAAGTTATCCAGACCGGGCAATAACCCAAGAGCCAACGAAATCAAAGTTGTAACTGCCAATTTCATCATTTCTCTCCATGGGTTGACAGTATCCCGCCAGTTTAACAGAATATCCACAAACATGAAACCAATAAGGCCAAACAATGCACCAGAGCATCCCATAGAAGCTATTGAGACACGTTAGTCATTGAATTGCAATGGTTGCTATCACCCGTACACAGCGGAACTTACGTCTAGATGGAGAGCCAAATAAAGCGCCAAATACAAATCCCCAAATACCAGCTGCCATGTACAGAATGGCATATCGAATTGGCCCTAATTCCTGCTCAAGCTGAGCTCCCAATCTCAGTTGCGTGAGCATGTTCATTAGATAATGGATGATACCAGCATGGATGAAAATTGGGGTGACAAAGCGGAAAGACTGATCTGGCACATTAGGATCCTTAAAGCCTCCCATTCCACAAATCTGTTCCAATGTACATGTTGTTCCTTCGACAAAGCAAGTAGTAAATGTCGCGCTAGCTGGAAACTCCGGTATAGGCCGAATGCAACCGACAAAGCGAGCACCAAGGTTGATTAAAACCTATTAGAAAGACAGAAAATGCAATTAATTACATTTTCGTACAGGAATATGGTTGTTTAAAAAGGCCAGAAAAGAGAAAGGTGACTTACTGTTGACGAAGGTCCGATCATTGGATTGAAAGCTTGCGTTGCTGTTTGGGTTTGGATAACTGAGCCTGTCAAATTTTTGTTTTGGACAAATTCGTAAATCAGTACAGCTGCCATGGCCAGTGCAGTAAGCCAGCTGAATATGGGTATACGAGTAGGACCCCATATCCATGCGATTAGGCCAGTTCGCGGGGCGGCGTGGTATGGTGGGTCAGCGGACTCTAGTCTCATGAAGCCTTGATTTGGCATATTTCTATCCAGTGGTTTCAGAAGACCTGTCGTTCCAACCATATTCATACTGTCACGGCGACGATCATCATCTTCTCCTATCTTTGGACCATAGTCATGACGATCTGGTGAATATGGCATATCATTGTATTGATTGATGTCTGCGTTTTTTGAGCGTGGCGAATAATAGCCCGCTGCGCTGTGTGAAGGTACGGAAGGAGGGGATGAGGCTGATGCGACAGATGTATCTGTATACGGGTATGCTGGAATGACAGAGGGTGATCGATCTGCGAAATGGGGATGTCTTTCCTCATGAACCGGAGAAGAGAACTGTTGAGGCGCACGATTTTGGACTGGTGTGCCTAAGGGGATTTCGGTTTCAAAGCTATCGCGATAGGGGTTGCTGTGCGGTGGTGCTGTAGCTATTGGTGACGGATAGTTGTATTCATAGTGCCCATATGGTTGACTCATCTAGACGATGTCGGCAGAAAACCAAAAAAAAGGTACGAGTCTCGCGGGGTCTCTAGTCACAAAATTTCTTTTATTAGCATCATCATCCATCTCAGCCGACTCCGTTGACTAGCGAACCACAGCCTCACGCTTGGCCATCAAATGTTTTGGTTTTCAGCCACATCCAACCTAGTAGTTCGTTTCCGAGTGTTCCAAAAAATACCTTCTTAGTTTGATTTTGGCTGGTGATAGGCTGTTATAAAAAATAGAACCTTTCTGCTTTTCTTGGCATCAACGACGTCCTAAAGGGTGTACCTTCCATAAATCGGAGTTTCACCATACACGGTGGAATAATACTTGGCATAACCACTAAACGTCTATGAACTGAGAGCTACGGACGAAGGTATGGTGATGAAATAAACAGACCTTCAATTCATGCTATATCGTTGAGACTTTATCCATATCTCCATCTCTTACACCTTTAGTGCTAACAGAGATATGTGGAAATAGCATAATCATAAGATACAAGTCGAATAGGAGAATAGATGATGACTTCCCTAATGAGTTGTCATCAGACTCATTGAATAACGACAAAAAGAGTATTCATTTCTTAGTATTAGTCTCAGCACTGAAATCGCGGATCTTTTTGCACATTGTCAATTTATAAAGATAAATTAAGCGAAATCATGTTATTGGGTTGACAATTCATTGCAAGTATCATAGCCATCAAGATACATAGTACATCTCAAGGTATAAAATTAGAAATTGATATTGCTTAAGTTTTAATAAGCAACTCTTTCGCATACAAACAACATAAAAGGTAATACAATGAGATAATAATATTAATCGCGAAAAATCGAAACAGATTTATGGTAACAGGACTTGGAGTCGAAGGATGAAGAAAACAAGAGAGTCTTTCATATCCAAACGTCAATTATTCCGGGGGTTTTTTTAAAAAGCAAATCTCCAAATACCGAATCGAAAGACGAAATAAATTTTGAAAGATGAAGAACAACCGTACTTTTTATTTTTGGGCCGAGCCTGTTGAGCACTATCCCATGAACACGAGAAACGTCTCAACATTTAAGTAACAAGGGCCAAATATAAGTATTGGATGCAAACTGTAACATTGCTCATTCATATATTATATTTAAAAACTACCCTTGATTGGATATCTGTAAGATAGTAGTTACATTTCCAAAAATGAGGGTTC